AGAAATAGTCACAATTTTTCTTACTATAATTACAACTAACTACTGCTTTATAGTAATTAAGACATTTTGTCTGACTAAAATTTACTTTTACTACTAAATATTCTAAAAACGATTACATTTGGCTGACTAAGCCATTCCTTTTCTACTTCTAGTCTACAATTTAGATTTGTTTGACGAAAAATATACTATACTATACTAATTGACTGTTGTATGTACTACTAATTAACATTCTAAAATTGAAAGATTCGTTACACTGAAAAAATACATTTTATTTGATTTAAATATGTTTATTATCACAAACGAATATTTATTTGTATCAAACAATTTTTAACTCATTTAAATGGTATTTGCTTCAAATACTAAATAAATTATTGGTTAAAATACAATTTATTTGATTTAAATAAAAACTATTTGATTCAAATGTTAACGCTAATTGGAATCGGTGGTATGCTTATCGATTTTTCAGATTTAGAGACTTGATAAAAGAAAAGTAATCGGTGATTTGAATGAAATAATTTTTTTTAATGCAGCATTGGTCTGACTGAAAAAGATTCTACTACTGATAACACAGAAAATTGTGGGGTATTATTTTAATACCAAAATAGATGAAAATAATCTGCAACACTTTAATCCATCAAAGAATTAATTTTTCAAAAATTCAAAATGTTTTAAAAATGAGTTGGTTTTAATTTTGACACATTTTTTCATGAAGAAAATTATTTCAAAAATGGATTAATTTAATCTTTTTTGGTGTTAATTTAAGCTTTGCAGCTTTTAAATTGTAAACATGATAAATTCCCAAAATAGAAAAGTTTTTGTCTGACAGAAACTCTGTCGTTTTCTATTGATACCTTATACTTTTCAACAAACTGTCCCGTCTGACTAGAAGTTGTTTTCACTACTGTTACATACTTGATGTTCTCGATGTTAGCGACGACACTCAGCAACGAAAACTATTTTTTGCGGCTTTTTAGAAATGAAAACGTCACTAATTTTATTATTTACAGTCATCTCGGGAGTTGAAAATATGTTCACTTCACTTTTTATAACCTATAACCTTTAAAAAAAAGTTTAAATTATTTTCGATTTCGCAAAAAATTTATTTTTGATACTGAGCGTCGACGCTAACTTCAGGGAGCTCATAAATTACCAAAAAATGTCACCAATTCTGACTAAAAACCTTTTCTATAACTTGAATAAAAATGTCAACACACTTGAAAGAATAAGAAAAACTTTTCGCCATTATTTGGTAATAATGTAAAATATAAAAGACTTGAGTGAATATAAAAAGAGAATTTCTCATGATACTTGATTTTTAAATAATAATGAAGTAGATCTTGCTTTTTTATTTTTTTCGAATTTTGAAATTTAGAGAAAAGTGAAAATAATGTATATGGTTTGAAATTCTATAGACATTGGCTAAAACGTCTTGAGTAAACCAAGTGAAAAAAGAAACTTTTCTTCTTTTGAAGCTATGAAGACTTAGTGCTTATCCCAGTTGCACAAGTCGAATAGACGTCTTGAAATATAAGAAGCACTCAAACCCGTTTAGGAATGTCTTGAAAAATTCTTTAAATATCTCTTCTTCCAAGTTTCTATTTTTACAAAAAATTATTTCAATAATAATTAAGTAAACACAAACATAAATTATAACAAACTTTTTATATTTTTAATTTTCAATTTAGTAGAGACTAGAGAGACAATATATATTTTGATAATAAACTTATTTTTTAAATGTCGTGAAGAAATATTACTCCAAAAAGTTTTTAGACAAAAAATAAAAATTTCTTGTCCTCTATGTAGCCATATAAATTTTTTTCCGATTGGAGAATCAATTTTTATACAGAGTAAAGAGGGGTAAAAAGACACTTTTTTATTTTCTACGCTAAAAAATCATAATTTTAAATTTCTTTTTCAAATTTCTAACTAAGTAGATACTATAAAACTTTAGTTTTTAAGCCTATCAAAATCTTTATAGAACATTTTTTGTATTCCATGAACAGGGCTCGAACCAGTGAAAGTATTTAAAAATACGGACTTTACGGAACAAAAATGAAAAATTACGGACCATTTACGAACCAAGCTGACAAAAATATAACCAGTCCGAGTCAAATAAGAGAACATTTTACTTAAAACTAGAAATTAAATTTTTCATAACTATAAAACATGAAGATATTTCTTCATGTTTTATAATAAATAAAGATATTAACCCAGTGATAAAATCATTATCATTTCAATTATTATTTTCAAGAATTCTTAACTAAAATTCTTCTTAAAATCGATTATTTTTAATAATTTGAGAGAAAGTTCTTTGACAATTTTCAAATTCATTTGTTTACAATATTATCAATTTTACGAAATTTCAATTATTCGTAAATTCTTCAATTAAATATTTATAAAATGAAAACTTGAAATAATTTCCAACAAAAATTCAATTAAACTTTTTCAAAAAAATTAAATCCACAGAATTGTTAGTTAAAAATGTGAAAAATTCAAATTTTCAAAGATTCTAATCTGAAATCTTTTCAAAATTCAATTATTTCTAAAAATTTACGCTCTAATGCTTTTAATATTCATATTTTTATGAGAAAATTCTACTAAAATTCAATTATTTAAATACAAAAAAAAATTTATTGAATAATTGCGTGTTTCTCAAAATTGAATTCTCATAAAGAATTTTATTAATAAATTTTTAAATAATTCAATTCTTTTGACGAATTTTAATAAAATTTTTAAGAATTACGGTTTTTCGAGGAATTTGATTAAAATTGTAGGTCTGTGAAGCTGGCCAAATCACTTTCATAAAAATGAATTTGAATTATACCATTAATTAATGGTATAATTCAAATTCATTTTTATGAAAGTGGTTCGGCCAGCTTCGCAGACCTTAAAATTGTATTAAAAATAATTAAAATTCTGCAATGAGTTTTATTATTTATCAAAATAATTGAATTCCTAATAAGAATTTTATTATTTACCAAAATAATTGAATCCCTGTAAAAATTTTATTATTTATGAAAATAATTGAATGATTGAGAAGAAATTTATAAAAAAAAATGTAAATAATGAAATTCCTGTGAAATTTTTATTATTTTTTAAAAATAATTAAATGTTTGTGTATAGAATTTTATTAAATTGTTTTTTAAATAATTGAATTCTTTTGAAAAATTTTATTAGAATAGTAAATGCCTATTAAAAATCATTGAATTGAAGAATATTCTTGAAAATAATTGAAATTTTGCCAAGAATTGTATTAACATTTTTTAAAATAAATGAATTTCGGAGAAGAATTTAATTAGGTAAAGATTATTGAAATTTTGGCAAGAATATTATTACAATTTTTGAAAACAATTGAATTTTTGCGAAGAATTTTATTATTTGAAAAGATAATAATTGAAATTTTGACGAGAAGTTTTTCAAAACAATTAATTCTACAGAATTGCAATTTATAAAAGTATCAAAAATTTTAATTTTCAAAGCTTTTAATTTGAAACCTTTTCAAAATTCAATTTTTTCTAAAAATCCATGCTCCAATGCTTTTATTATTCAATTATTCATTATATAAAATTTCAAAAAAAATTAATTTTCATATCAGTTTTGATTAGAAAATTCTACGAGAATTCAATTATTTAAATACAAAAATAAATAATTTATTGAATAATTGATTACTTCTTCACACTAAAAAAAAAGTTTTACTTTTAGCCCGTTTTCGAGGCTGAATTTACGGTGTAAACGGAGTCAGCCCCATTAAACAAGGACAGACTTATGTGAAATACATGGGCTGAATTTAAGGTGTAAACGGAGTCAGACTTTTTTTTTCCTGTGTTAAGAATAAATTCTCATAAAGAATTTTATCAATAAATTTTTAAATAATTGAATTCTTTTGATGAATGTTAATCAAATTTTTATGAATAATTACATTTTTCGAGGAATTCGAATAAAATTGTATTAAAAATAATCAAAATTCTTCCATAAATTTTATTATTTATGAAAATAATTGAATTATGACTAAGAAATTTATATAAAATTTGTAAATAATTGAATTTCTTTGGAATTTTTATTATTTTTTGAAAATAATTAAAGGTTTGTGTAGAATTTTATTAAATTTTGTTTTAAATAATTGAATTCTTTTGGAAAATTTTATTAGAATAGTAGATACCTATTAATAATCATTGAATTGAGGAAAATTTTTGAAAATAATTGAAATTTTGGCAAGAATTTAATTAAAATTTTTGAAAATAATATTGAATTTCGGGGAAGAATTTAATTATTTCTAAAGATAATTGAAATTTTGACGAGAATTTAAAAAAAATTTTGAACATAATTGAATTTTTGCGAAAAATTTTATTACTTTTGAAAATAATTGAATTTCTAATCATTTGTCTCTAAAATTATCCAAATTATATCATACAATTTACGGACCTTTTTCAATCAAATTACGGACTTTACTGACCTTTTTTAAAAAAAAACGGACTTTTACGGGATTTACGGACCTAGTTCGTGCCCTGCACTGTCATGAAAGATCTAATTTTTAAAAGTTTTACGAAAGCACTGAAAGTGGCTCTTTTGTCCCAACTGGTAAGGGAAAAAAGCCACTTTGAGATTTTGGCAAAATATTGTTTTAAATTTTTGTGTTATTATATTTTTCTTTTATTTATATGACAAATAAATAATTTAAAAGAGCTTTTAGCATTTGGAATTATATTTTATGTTAACTTTACCTGTTTTCGATTCACAGTCATCGAAATGTTTTAACTCTTTAATAAAAATTGCAATAACAACTATAGTGCTTTAAATAAAAGATCCAGACTAGAATAAAAAATTTCGTGTTAACTATAATTATTAAACTTATATTCTAAGTGGCTGGTAAAACAGTTCGATAGTTTTAATATAAAACCAAAATGGCTATTTTACCCCACTCTGCTCTAAATAGGAAAATTTGAAAATATAAAATATATAGAGAGAAAATAATGTCATAAAACATTTATTTTCTGTTTCAGTTAACTTTTGATACTTTTACGGTAGGACGCTTTCAATCTTTTACCTCAGAAGGATGTCCTGACGGGTATATGAGTATAAGGGAAGAAGGACGTCCAGCAACTGATGGACAGTGGTGTGGTAGTGCATGGGGTTACACTGTATATTACAGTGAGACTCATTCAATAAATTTAACACTTTTCTTATCACGTCTTTCCGAACAGGTGCGTTTTCCCCTTTTTCTCCACCTTTTAATATTAAAAAATTGCTCATTCTTTTATGCTTTTTACTAAATTTAATTCTCGTGTATTTACTCTCTAAATTTTAATTAGTTAAAAATAAATAATTTTACATTAAAAAATCACTCTTTGATTCAAGTATATTAGTAAGTAATATTTTACTAATAAAAAATAGTTAATAATATAGCTAATTATTACTTAAATTTACTTTAAAGTTAGGTTAAAATAAATTATTGATAACTAATTCATTTAGTAAAATTTGACTACTTTTTTGTTATTTATTTACTAACAATTATAGTTATTTTTTACTAATTACTGAAACAAAAAGTCAGTCATACTCTCTAAATTTAAAGTAGTAAAAATCTTTACTAATTTGAATTAGTGACTGACTTTTAGGTTTAAATTAGTAAACTTTACTAATAAATAGTCATTTTTACTAATTTATTAATAAAATTTACTAATACAAAAGCAAAAAGTCGGCACTAATTCATAATAAACAATTTTACTATTAATTATTTTTAACTATAATCCAGATTTAGAGAGTAAAAAAAAATAATTAACTCTTTATATCTTACTTAGTAAAAATTAAGCCACTAATTAAGATAAGTAATAACAATATTCTTCAATTTTTAGTAAAATACTACCATTTTGTTATTTAGTACTTAATTCAAGTTTTTTTACTACAATTTTTAGTTATTAATGTAGTGTTGCTACGATCGATTCTCAATCGACTAATTCTCGACAAAATCATACAAATCGTCAAAAAGACAATTAAAACAATTGAATTTTATATTTTCAGTAAGCATTTATATTCTTAAATTTCTATCCAACCAAAGTCAATCAAAAGATTAATTTTGCATAAAAATTAAAAAATAAATTTCATTTGACTTAAATAATTTAATTTCATATAAAATAATAATCGAGATAATCTGTCCTCACGTGAAGTTAATTTTTTTTGAAGCTGAAGTCCGCAACGTTTTTAAAAACGAAAAATCAAAAAAGAATTTTTTTTCAAGTTAAATTCATCTCTAATTTTCATGTTTCTTAATTTTTAAGAAATTAATTGTTGCTTAAGATACAATTATTAAAAATTAACATGAATTAGAATCAAAAATAAAAAAACCGTCCCTTTATTTTTTCGTTTTCGTTTTTAAAAACGTTGCGGACTTCAGCATCATAATTTTTTTTATTCCATTTTTTTGTTTTATAGTTCGAATTGTCATATGTCAAACGTTTGACAGTTAAGTAATATGTATAAATAATAAAATAAGTGTAGTAGGAAAATTTAACCCAAATTTCAAAAACTCAATAAAGAGGTACAGTTGAAATTTATAAAAACAATTTATTAATTTAGGAATTATTTATTTTTGTATTTAAATAATTAATTTCTCGACTTAAATTCTGATAAGAATTTTAGTTAAAACTTTAGAAAATAATTAGGAGTGTTAAAGGAGGATTCTTTAGAAATAATTAAATTTCAAAATGTTTTTAAATTAAAATCTTTAAAATTCTAGTTGCTGCAAAAGTATTGATAACCTTTAGAGGTTATCGACCTTTAATAATCTTTAAATACAAAAAATGATTAATTTATTATAGGTTCCTTAAAAATTAAAAGTTTTGAATAATATTATTCAAAAATTCCAAAGAAATAATTGAATTTTGGAAGACTTGCAGTTCAAAATTTCATAGAAAATTTTTCCAATGGTTTTACATTGAAATTATTCCGAAATTTTAAACAAATAAAGAACAATAAGTATATTTAAATATTTATTTTACAAAAATGATTAAAATTTGAAAGATTTAATTATTGAAAATTCTGAAAAAATTAGGTTTTTGAAAAATAGTAATTCTAATTTTTTCAAGTTAGGGTAAACCAGACAGTAGTCGGCCACTTAAGAAAATCTTTTTAATAAATACTGTTTAAAAATTACAATAAAAATTTCTTTAAAATTTCTTTCATGTGTAATTGTTTCTAATGTTCCTACAAAACTAGTATACCAATCATGTTTACAAAAAAATTTTCTTATTCGTTAAAAAAATTTACAAAAAAAAGTAAGAATCCGACAGTAGTCGGACACTTAAAAAAGCTTTCAAAAACCGTCTAAAAAATTTTTTTTTCTTTTACAAAAGTTTAGATTTGTTTATGATCACCTTAGAAATGATTAGCAACAAACAAAATATTTTTATCTCATACGGTTTTATAGCTATTCAAATTTGAAACGAAAATAATTTTAAAAAAATTAAAACAATTTGAAATTTTGTAAAATTTTATTTTAAAGAATTTTATTTTTTCATCTTTACAAATTATATATAAATATAATTGCGTATTTTTAAAAATACATTATTTTATGAATTTACAAAAATTATTCAATTTAAATAATTCAATTCTTGTAGTTAAATTCTGATAGGAATTGATTAAAAAATATTTCAGTTAAAATTTTAAAAAAAAATTGAATATTTAAAGCGTTATAATAACAGAAATTTTATGCCAAATGAATTTTGGTTTTTTTTAAATCAGAATTATGTTAAATGACTTTTATGTCAAATGAACTTTAGGTCAAATGAATTTTATGTCAAACAAATAATTTTTTTTTAATATAATCGATAAAATTGAATTTTGTCAAAAAATCGAAAAAAGCAGAAAAGTGATTACTATCCGAAATCTAATAACTAGAAAAATGACAAAAATTTGTATAAAAATCTTATTATTATAAATTAGTGGCTCACTTTCTACTAATTTGAATTTATTTATAATTAATTCATTTATTTAGATACAAAACAAACAAATTTAGAGAGAAAAACTTTATGAAACTTGATAAAAAAAAGTTGAACCAAAAAAATAATAATTTCCTACTTTTAAAATTGTAATAATTTCAAGCAAACATTTTTCCTCTATACTTGGTAGGAAAAAAAATTGCAGCTAATTGAAAAGTCTTTCGTAATAAATTTGAACTGATAATGAAGATAAATAAGATGGATTAAAACGTTATTAAAACTTGTACAACATGAGTTGCGTCAGAAAAAGCTCACTTTGCTTTGAAATTAAGGTTTTCTGCAAAAGGATCTACTTATATAGATTCTTTTTTTTTCTTTCTTTTTTTTTGTTTCTTCGAGAGAAACGAGAGGAGAAACTTTTTTAACGCGAAGCAGGGAGTGTGGCTTTTTTCACGCAGACCTTTACTTTATTTCGTGAAACTTTTGCGACCTTTATTTTCAAGCCATCACAAGAGAATATCCGTTTTCTACAGGGCACGGACTACAACTTTGACTTCAAACTATCGTATAAGTTCTTGAAGCGTAGCGAAGCTCACCTGAGATATGGGAACAGTACCATGGCCACGTGGCGTGGTGAATTAGTGAATGGCACTTACTGTGATCGAGTTTTAACCAGGTAAGAATATCACTTATGAAAAATTGTTTCTATTATCATAATTTCTCTATATCTACTTAGTTGATATTTATAATTTAGAGATTTACTGATTAGTTTCAAATTTACAACGTATAATCAATGATGTCGAAGAAAAAATATTTTACTTAGTAAATTTTTAATCCAGTATCAATAAGAAATCTTCATATATCCTCAGCATATGGAAAATTTTGTTTTAAATTTTTCTGATAGCAACTATTTTAAACAGAAAAATTGGTAAACATAAAAGTTTTATTGTTTTCTGTGTGAAAAAAATTTTTTTTTCTTTACTCGTTAATTCTGAACGTTGTAAATTTCGCCGACGTCGTTGATTAAAAATGTATCACAAAAAAAAACGAATTTAATTTTGGTCTGACTGTAACTGACATTTTTCATCACTGATAGGCACGATATCAAAAATTTAGTAGGTGGTCACTTTTCCTAAAAAATATTTTCTAATCCTTTTTGTCTAAAAAAACGATTTCTAACGAAATCTGTTTTCTAAAGAAAAGTTTTTCTAAAAAGTTATGATTTCTAATATTTATTTTTCTGAAATTTGTGAAATTCTATATATAATTTTGATGAAAGTTAGAAAATTGTTAAAAAATTAAGATTAGGAAATAGAAACTATTTTGCATATTTTCTGCTTCTTAATCACAATTCTATTCACAAAATTATGAGTTTTTTTTAAAAAAGAAGAAAAAACTTTATAAAATTCCTATTTCTTATCACAATTTTTAAACAAAATTCTGTTCTTCTTTGAAAAAAAGAAATAATAATTTGCATCATTGTTATACAAAAATTTACAAAATTAATATATTTATAAAACATTTTTTTAGAATATTTCTTTAGGGAAAAAATCCCTATAATTTCTATATTGTTGATTACGATTTTTAACTAGATTATTTAAAAATTTTGTTAAAAAATTTGCACAATTTCTATTTTTTATTTTACAGTTTTTTAACGAAATCTCAAGTATTTTTTTTTTAGAATTACAAAATGTTCATAAATTTTATTTTATTAATCATATACCTATTGATTATTACAAAAATTGAATATTGTTAGAAAATAAATTTGAAAATTACCTTTATAGAAGATGAAATTTTTAGAAAATGATCGTTATTAAAAGATAGAAAATTAGAACATCACCTTCATTAGAAAAAACTTTTTTAGAAATTCACCTTTATTAGAAAAAAATTTTAGAAAATAAAAAATTAGAAAATACATTTTAGAAAAACTGTACCCTAACCAAAAATTGTTTTCTGACTAAAAATTTAGTTTACTACTGATGCCAAAATTAGAAGAATATAATATGTGACTAAAACTTTTTACTACTAATACTTTTTTTTAAATATAGGCCTCGAATCGACTTTAAAGCACAAAAGAGTCGTTTAAAACGATTCGAAGAGCAAGAAGAAATCGGAAAAGTTGTTCATTTTTTCAGAATTATCACAAATTTGATTTTGTATATCTCTGATTTTCCCTGATTTCCAAAAATAATTTGTAACTTTTTCTCTTGTCCAGATAATACCTTCAATTCTAAGTTTTCATAAAATTCAATTATTTCTAAATATTTTTTTTTATATTTTTCATAGTTCAGGTATTTCAAAAATAATTATTATTTCTAAAAATTGTAATAAAACCTTTTCATTTTTTTTCATTCCTATAAAATTTGATATTTTCAATTTCTAAAAAAATTGTTAAATTCATTATTTTTGGTTATTCAATTCATTACAAAAGAATTTTAAATAAAATTTTCTGTATCGAATATTTATAGAAGTTGTAAATCAAATTAATTTCAAATTCAATAGTTTTGTTAATTAAATATTTAAATCTTATTGTAATTTATTTTCTCATTAAATTTTTGATAAATTTTCAATAAATATTATTTTTAATATTATTAAACTTCTACATCAATTAAAACTTTCAAAAATTTTCAAATTGGAAACCTTCTGAAATTTAATTATTTTTAAAAATTGCAACTGTAACTTCTCTAAAATTCAATTATTTTTTTGGAATTTTTTAACTAAAATTCGTCTTTTAATCAATTATTTTTGTTAATATTCAGAAAGTTGTTTAAGAATTCAGTCATTAAAAAAAAATTGTCTCTATTACTTAAAATAATTAAAATATTTAAATATTTCGTTATTATGAAAATGACCGAGTGATAAAATCATTATTTTATATTTAAATATTTCTATTTATAAATTTTCTCTTTAAAAATTTCCACTGTAACTGTTCCAATATTTTGCAGAATTTTTAAGTAAAATTCTTCTCTACATCAATATTATTTTTAAATATTTTCAGGAATTTTTTATTAAATTCTTTCTTGAATTTGTAACATTTATAAAAATTTGATATTTTTTACGATATTGAAGTCCAAAACGTTGATCAAGGAAAAAAACTTGTTTAATGAATTCAAATATTATTTATTACTTTTGAGAAAATTGTTCCACTTCCCTGATTTTGTAACCTATGTCAACTCAGTTATTATCAGAATTCCTAAAAATGAAAAATGACTAATTCCAAAAAAATATTTAAAACTCAATTTTTTATATTAATTTTAAGGGTTCATACCACTTTGTCATCTTCAAAAAAGCAAAAAAAAATTTATTATGGATTTCGAAAGTAAAATATGTCAAAAATGTGGTGTAAAATTTTTAGAAAGATCCCAGCACTCAAAATATATTTTTTTCAATGCTATTTGAGCGCGTACACGGCTATGTAAGTATAAAACAAAAACTTTAAACGCGTTTTTCTCAAAACCATATTTTTCCATGCTGCGGGATGTTTTTTTCGGAAACTACTGGACCGATTCTCAAATTTTTTTTACGAAAATCTTCGTCACATGAGTGGGTATCGCCGGAACTATAATTATTTAAAAATATTCATTTTTACTATTTTTTTAAACCAAAAAACTGCAAAAAAAAACTTTAATTTTCGAAAAAAAAAATTTAAATTGCCGCCATTTTGTTATTTTTGCATAAAAATTAAAAATTCTAGTTCGGGCGATAGGCACAGTCCTAGTGAAGATAAATCAATTTGAATTTTGTATTTTAGATTTTTCTAACTTGAGAAATCAATCCCGCAGCTGGCATCGATATTTTTAGCAGGTCTAAAATTATTGTTAAATTTTAAATAAACAAATAATATTTTTTAAGTAAAATAAGGTTTTTTATACAGTTAAAGAGTGTATTTATTGAACTAAAAAAAATGCAGATTAATATAATCCATAGGAATCGTAAAAAAAATTCTAGAAAATAGCTTCATTTTTAAGCGTGTAAAGTGGTATGAACCCTTAATGAATGTGCTTGACTAAAATATTTTTTTTACTACTGATACCAAATTTAGAAGAATGTAAAGTCTGACTGTAACTACTCTTTACTACTAATACTATAATATTTCTTCAAAAAAATTAATGAACTACTAGAAAAGAACAAAATTTATTGATTTTTGTTTAAAGCATATTACGAACATATTCTAAAAATTAAAAAATTTAAATTGTCAATAAACAATAATAAACAATGGAAATTTTTTATAAACGGGAAAAATTCGTTGGTAAATTATTAATTTTTCTCCAACATATTTATATTATAATATATATATATACATATATATTTAGACTGACAAGACTTTATTTCTATTTTCTGACACGATTATGATTAATTACCTTAATTGAAAATTGTTTCAAGTAAAACAAAAGGAAAATAAACTTTCTTTTTCTTTATATTCGTCTCTCACAGAAAAATTGAAACGTGTCTGTAATTTATCTGCTTTTTTTCCTTCCCCCAAACCCCATTATATCAAAGCAGTATTACAAGTTTTGTCGCTTTCCTTTTGTTCCTTATTTTCCCATTTCATCTTTTCCTACTCAAACTTTATATCGAAATCTATATTCATAAATTACCTTCTAATATATATGACAATTGAATTCCAGTTATATTATAGTTGAAAGAAAGTTTGCTAAGAAAAGAAAGTTAAAAAGAATGTTTCTTTTTTTTTGTATATAAAGAAAATAATTAAAAAGAAAAATCCAATTCTTTATTCCATTTGTAATGTACCAACAAACTAGTAATTAATTTATTGTGAAAAGTCTATTTCTGTATCTATATATAAAAGTAAAGTGTAACTTTTTGGAAAACTTGAGAGAAGAGTGCATTTCTCGTCAACTTTTTTAGGTGCGACACACGCGCTTGTCGGCTCCAATCGCCAAACTATCCCGGTGTTTATCCGAGGAACGTGACCTGCTACTATCGTGTCGAGCAAAAACGTGCCCCGCCGGGACATCGTGCACTTCTCGCTGTTAGTCAGCGGAACAGTCACAAGATACACATCAAGGACCAGATCGTCAAATACGACAGAAGTCAACGAATATTAAAGTTAGTGTAGAGAAAACTAACGAGAAAAGGAAACATTTCATTCCTCCAGAATGAAACAAACTCTCCAAGACAAAATCAAATACTCCTCATTCATGTCATTTCTGTTTACTTTAAAAACTATAAATCTGTATGTGTGTGTAAAAATCTAGAACAAGTTTGACCCTAATATCAAACTAATATAGGGGAGAGTGGGGCAAGACGGGGTACCGGCCCTATTTAACAAACGAATTAACCAATCGCGATTATATTTTACATAATACTGCACCGAGACGATAGTTTCTTGTTTACAAAACCTAAAAGCCATGAGAACAAATCTTTTATCTGTTTTACTAAAAAAGCTGTTTTCGACGATTTTCTTGTGAATTTTTCACTTTTTTTAGGAGGTGTTTATTATATAATAATAACAGTTAATGAACTATATTAAATTTTTTATAACTGGCAATGGTTACAGAAGAAGGGAAGCATTTGTTTTTTTCTTTGTTGAATCGTAAATTGTAGTAATTAATCGTTTTATTAAATTTCGTAGGTGCGGGCAAGATGGGGTTCACAAATTAAGCAAAAAAAAAAGAGAAATAAGAGAAGTTAAGAAAACTACTAAAATCAAGACTGAATAAAATAAGAGTGACCAAAAAGAAAAAAGCTTGTCAGGTTAAATCATCAATTAGCGATGGTAAAGTGGAAAATACACCTTGTCTCTATTGTAATGGTTATTATTTAGACTCAAATGAAGGCTGGGCTGCTTTTTTTGTCTGCGGCCAATGGGCTCACTGCAGTTATGCATGAAGATGAAGATCCAACCTTTACTTGTGAAATTTGTCGACAGAAATAGGTTGTTTTTTGTTAGTACCCCATCTTACCCGCCGGTGGGGCAAGATGGGGAGATTTGCAATTTTTCAATATTATTAATTATAAGTTTTTTTAAGAAACAGATGGCCTTTGTACGCTTTTTTATTATTACGAAAGACTGATTCCCAAAGATGATAATTAAAAATAATAATAAAGTATATATTCGATAATTTTCGTTTTTTTGCGCTTTAAACCTTAAGTACCCCGTCTTGCCCCACTCTCCCCTATACGACCTTTTTTTACTTCTTTTTTGTTTTTTACACACGTCAGGAGAGAGGAGAAAATAAGCTAAGCTTTTTCCGATGCACTAGCGCGTCAAAATATATATTTTTGTTCGGCAAAATTCTAGAAACTTTATCTAAATTTTGCCACTTGACTGACTTGACTGTGATCTAAATGTATTAAGTTCATTGCCACTTGAACTGCTTTTTAGAACATCTTAGGCAAAATGTAAGACAGTTTTTCTAAGGATATCAAATTGAGACCAAAAATGAATCAAAAGTGTTGCGAAGCAACATTTTGATTCTTTTTTTGTCTCAATTTGATATCCTTAAAAAAACTTTGAACACAAAAGTAGGGTACGTGTTATAATTTGGAAAGAATAAAAAATGCCTCAAAGCCAAAATTTAGATAAAAATCAAAATTCGAGAGCGAATTGTATATAAGTTTAAAATTTATGAAACTGAAGTTACCAACGTTGATTCAACGAAAAACTTTTTTAAAAAAATTTTCTCAGGATACAAATTTTTCTTGTTTACTTTTAACCCAAGTAAACCCTCTAAAAATATGTAAGATGTTGTAAACTATCGATATTACAACACGATTACAACATCTTACATATTATTAATTTGACCGAGTGATAAAATCAGGAGTTCTATATTAAACCTTCTAAACCCTAAAATAAAAAAAAACATGGGAAAAACAGTGATTTTTAATTTTTTTGTCGATTTTTTTTTTAAAATCACGCAATTTCAATTAAATTAATAATTCCTCGCATCGGTAGTCATTTTTTTCTTTTGATAATTGATTTTTCTGGCATTAAACGTTATTTTAAAAAATTTCAAGTATAATTCCAAGTCGGGAAAAGCAGTGATTTTGGTTTTTTGTCACGGATTTTTGGAAAATGCGAGAATTTTAATTAATTTAATAATTCCTCGCCTCGGTAGTTACTTTTTTCTTGTGATAATTGTTTATTTTAATATTGGACACTATTTAAAAAAAATTTTAAGTGATTCCAAGTCGGGGAAAGCAGTGATTTTTATTTTTTTTTGTCGAATTTTTTCCAAAAATCACGAAATTTTAAGTAAATTAATAATTCCTTGCCTCGGTAGTCGTTTTTTTCTTTTGATAATTGTTTATTCTACTGTTGTGTGCCATTTTAAAAAAAATGTTAAGTAGTTCCAAGTCGGGGAAAGCAGTGATTTTGATTTTTTTAAATGAAATTTCATAATTTTTGGAAAAAAATCGACAAAAAAAATCAAAATCACTGCTTTCCCGGACTTGGCACAGAGAAAAGCGAGTGTTGTTTTTGATGCGGGTAAATTTTGGTAGGGTAATTTTAGTGAGGATAAATTTTCTATAATAGAAAATTTACCTTATTTTCGGTGTTAAAATAACACTTCCGAGCTAAAGTTTTATGCAGACACTTTTAACACCGAATTCAGTGTTAAAATAACACTCACTTTTTTCTGTGGGAATGACTTGAAATTTTTTTTAAAATAACGTCCAATGCCAGAATAAACAATTATCAAAAGAAAAAAATGGCTACTGAGACGAGGAAACATAAATTAATTTGAAATTTTGATATTTTTGGAAAATTCGTGACACAAAAAATTAAAAATCACTGTTTTCCCCGACTTGGAATCATTTAAAATTTTTTTTTAAATAGCGTCTAATATAAAAATAAACAATAATCAAAAGAAAAAAGTAACTACCGAAGCGAAAAATTATTAAATTACTTGAAATTCTCGAATTTTCCAAAAATCCGTGACAAAAAAACCAAAATTATTGTTTTCCCCGATTTGAAATCTTTTGAAAATTTTTTTAAATAGCGTCTAATATTAAAATAAACAATTATCAAAAGAGAAAAACGATTACCGAGCCGAAAAATGATTAATTTACTTAAAATTTCGTGATTTTTGGAAAAAATTCGAAAAAAAAAATAAAAATCACTGCTTTCCCTGACATGGAATGACTTTAAATTTTTTTAAAATAACGTCTAATGTCAAAATAAACAATTATCTAAAGAAAAAAATGACTACCGAGGCGAGGAAACATTAATTAATTTGAAATTGCGAAATTTTTGGAAAATTCGTGACACAAAAAAATTAAAAATCACTGTTTTCCCCGACTTGGAATCACTTAAAATTTCTTTTAAATAGTGTCTAATATTAAAATAAACAATTATCAAAAGAAAAATATAACTACCGAGGCAAGGAATTATTAAATGAATTAAAATTCTCGGATTTTCCAAAAATCCGTGACAAAAAACCAAAATCACTGCTTTCCCCGACTTGGAATTACTTGAAATTTTTTAAAATAACGTCTAATGTTAAATTAAACAATTATCAAAAGAAAAAAATGACTACCGATGCGAGGAATTATTAATTTAATTGAAATTGCGTGATTTAAAAAAAAATCGACAAAAAAATTAAAAATCACTATTTTTCCCATGTTTTTTTTTATTTTAGGGTTTAGAGGGTTTACTTGGGTTAAAAGTAAACAAGAAAAATTTGTATCCTGAGAAAAATTTTTTTTTTAAGTTTTTCGATGAACCAACGTTGGTAATTTCAGTTTCATAAAATTTACGTGAATCGAAATCGGAGGTCAAGAGACTAATTTAACTTCTAAACTTAGGACAAATATCATGGGACACAAGGTGAACATTTACAACACAAAATTGGGGTCAAAATTTGAAAAACTTAACATAAGGACCATTTTTTCAAACGATTAGTTTAGTAACGATAATTATACTAAAACATTATGCTAAAAATGACGGAATTTAAATTTTTCTTAAACAATAAATAAAGCTGAAACTGGCAACCGGTTATTAGCACCCACTTATAATTTTGAAAATTGAGTTAAATATTTTTTGTTGTTTAAAATCAACATAACATTTTTAAAAACTAACTTGGTGCGGATAACTGTGTATGATATAATTTCAGCTTAATGAACAATAATAATAGATAATTTTCATTAAGAATAATAGATCATTTTTATAAACAATTTTTACTAACAATATCAGCCATTACAATACAAAATAATGAAATCTCTATTCAAATAATAAAAAGTAAAACTCACAACTCTAAGGAACACTTACATTAAAATTTAAAACCAAAATTAAAAAGAAGTTATATTTAAATTTTAATTTTTAAAACTTTTAAGCAAAAGAAGAAAATATTAATAGCATTTTTAGGATTTACATTAAAAAAATACAAAAACTTACTTTTTTCAAACTTTTTAAATTTAAAAACTTTTATAACTCAGAATTACAGAGGAATATTGATACCAAAAACACTACAAAAAGTACCTAACATTTTTCAAAATTTTCAATTTGAAGCCAAAATAAAATGAATCGTTGCATTAATTTTTCTTTTTTAAAAATGTTGCGCACTTCAGCCTCATCTAATGTTATAAAATAAAGGTCTCTGGAAAGAGCGTCGACGATCAGCGTCAAAAATTATTATTTTGTTTACTAATTTAAACCGGTAATACAAGATTTTTAAAAAACTATAAATTAGCAAAAGGATTTCGTTTATTCATTGAATTCAAAATACTAAACTTAGTAATATTTCACTTTTCAACTTTTACTTTTAAACTATTATAAGAAACTAATTTTCAAACATGAAGATGCGTCTCTCTATTTAAATAAATCAAAATTTCATTATGATTGTTATTTTCAGTGAAGAATACCTATAAATTCAGTAATTTTAAAACTAATTTCAAGTTGAATTTTGCACTGTAAAAAGAATGTTATTTTAAGGCCTATACTTCAATTAAAAACACTCTTTTCAACTGTAACTACATTATACTTGGAAAACAATATATTTGAACCAAACACAATTTCAAAAATTAATATAACAAATAAATATAATTATACATAAATATATTTGCATTAAACAAAACATTCTTCATTGTAGGAAATTGTTTTTACAGTGCACGGATTCAATATTACAGAGAATTATTATTTTTATTAATATTTTCATTAAGGTATGAGTTGCCCACAATTCAAACTGCATACAATAAACTGCACATGGAGAGAGAATAGGTATTAAATTTTGTAAAAGTATTTTACAATTTGTGTATTTTTTATATCAAAATTTTGTTTTGTCGCATTTTTTCCCCAAATTGTAAAATACTTTAACAAAATTTAATATATATTCTCTCTCCGCGCAAACAAACAAATTTTAGTAATAAAATTATTAAATTTAATTTGAAAAATGTACAAATTTAAACTGCATACGAGAAAATTGCACACGATTAAAAATTAAAAATTTTAATAAAAATATAAATGGCGCATGATTATTTCCCAAAAATGCCATTTGACCGAAGTGTCATTTTACCGAAATGCATTTATCTGAACTGTTATTTTAACGAAATGTCACTATTGCGAATCGACAATTTTACGAATTGACACTTTTGCGAAAAGTAATTTTTTCAAATTGTCATTTTTGCGAATTGTCATTTATGCAAACTGCCATTTTTACGAAATGTCACTGTTGCGAAAAGTCATTTTTGCGAAATATCATTTTTGCGAATTGTCATTTTTATATTTTTTATGTTTTTTTTGTTTCGAAATGTCATTTTTGCAAATCGACATTTTTATGAATTGTCACTTTTGCGAAAAATCATTTATTCGAATTGTCATTTTTGCGAGTTGTCATTTATACGAACTGACATTTTTACGAAATGTCACTTGCGAATTGTCATTTTTGCGAAAATTGCTATAGTAAATTTATATATAAATATAAGTTTACTATAGCAATTTTCGCAAAAATGACAATTCGCAACAGTTAAATTTCGTAAAAATGACAATTCGAGAAAATGACATTTCGGAACATTAACTATTCGTAAAAATGACAATTCGTAGTAATGATATTTCGCAAAAATGACTTTTCGCAAAAGTGACAATTCGTAAAAATGGCGATTCACAAAAGTGACAATTAGAGAAAATGACATTTCGGAACAATAACGATTCGTAAAAATGACAATTCGTAAAAATGATATTTCGCAAAAATGACGTCTATTCACGTCTATTTCCCGGTTTTTTCAAGGTTTTTAGGAAATTTTCAAGGTTTTTTTGTTGGTTCAAATTTTACTATAGTAATACTGAAAAAATACAACTATTTCCACATTTTTAATTATTTTTTATAGGCTTTTCTTACGATTCTGAACAATCAATCGTATAGATTTTAAAAAATTCAGGGTTGCCACAAATATTTAATTTTATTTTTCCCTGACTTTTCCCTGATTTCCAGACAAAATTTTCACTTTTTCCCTGACCATAAAGAATATTCTGATTCACTCTAAAAATTATTAGAGACTAAAAAAAACTTTCTATTACATTTACTTACGAATTTCTTAAATTGTAAAATTATTCGCAAACATCAATAACTAAATTTTTAAATAAGTATTTAATTATTATTTTTCCATAGGAATTAAAATTCTTCAAAACATTCAAATTCAAACATTTTTAAAATTCAACAACTTATAAGAATATTAAAAATTATTTATTAATTATTTATTTTTTTTTAATTTCCATAAAATTTTTCAAAAAAAAAATTAAATTATTTACAAAAATTATAAAATTTTTCTGAGGATTTCAATTAATTATAATACAATTTAAATTGAATTCCTAGAAAAATGGAATTATTGTTTTAATTTTTTTGTAAGAATTTAATTACATTTCACGAATATAATGAAATTCTTCGTCGAAATTCAAATATTTTCACAATCTACTTTTTTAATAAAAGTTCTCAAAAGAATTCAATTATTTAAAAAAATGTAATAAAATTCGATGCAGGAATTCAATTATTTTCATAAATAATAAGATTCTTTACATTATTTCAATTATTTAAAAAAAAATTTGAAAAAATTTATTGCAAGAATTCAATTACTTTTATAAATTAATAAAATTCTTCACAGGATTTCAATTATTTTTAATACAATTTTAAGTAAATTCTTCCAAAAATGTCACTATTTTCAAAAATTTTGTTAAAATTCTTCGAAAGAATTCAATTATGTATTTTTAAAAATTCATGCTATAATGCTTTTAATATTCAATTATTATCTAAAATTTTAACTGATATTTATTTTCAAATCAATTTTTATTGGAGAATTCTACAAGAATTCAATTATTTAAATTCTATTAAAATTGTATTAAAAATAATTGAAATTCTATGATGAGTTTTATTATTCATGAAAATAATTGAATTTTTGTAAAAAATGTTATTATTTATGAAAATAATTGAATTATTGCGAAGATTCCTTAGAATTTTATCAAAATTTTTTTTTTAAATAATTAAATTCTTTTAAAAAATTTTATTAAAATTGTAGATATTGAAAATCATTGAATTGAGAAAAATTTTTTGAAAATAATTGAAATTTTGCAAAGAATTTTATTAAAATTTTTGAAAATAATTGAAATTTAGAGAAGAATTTTATTATCTTTAAAGATAATTGAATTTTTATGAGAATTTTTTTTAATTTTTGAACATAATTGAATTTCTGCGAAGAATTTTATTACTTTTGAAAATAATTGAATTTCTGCAATCATTTGTAACTTCTCAAAAATTCAATTTTTTCCAGTTACTTAAATAAAAATCCCTGATTTTTCCCTGACTTTTCCCTGAATTCCCTGATCAAAAAATGAAATTTTGAAAATGGTCAAAAAAATTTTTTTTTTAGTTTTAATAATATACATGTTAGGCTCAAAAGCCGAAAACGGCCAATGGCCGGAAAAAACAGCCAAACCTAGTTTTGGCAAGTGCAATTTTGCCAAAACTAGGTTTGGACGTTTCACTTCGGCCATTGGCCGTTTTAAATTGACAAAAATAGTTTTGGCAAATCGACATTTGCCAAAACTAGGTTTGGACGTTTCATTTCGGCCATTGGCTGTTTTAAATTGACAAAACTAGTTTTGGCAATTTGACTTTTGCCAAAACTAGTTTTGTCAATTTGACATTTGACAAAACTAGGTGAGGCATTTCAAATTGTGAGAAAGACCGCTTCGTTATACAATAGGAATATATTTATTTAAAAATGTGTCATTGATTAATACTATTTACAATAAGATGAAATTTCTCTAACAAAAATCCATTGATATTTTGCACATAAAAGTTAATTAAAAAAACTTTTTTAACACTTATTTATTTTTACACAGACTAATTTATCTTTACACAGGCTAATTTACCTTGTTGACGATTTCTTATTTCATACACACAATTATTCAATACAGAAACAATATGTGACCTGGTCTATGAAAAGGGACCTTACGTGCGAAAACAAGTTTTCGAGAAAACAGCAGTTAAAGTTTAACTTAGAAAAACCCTTGTAACTTTTTTTAATATTAATATTTTTTTATCAAGTTAGGCTTATTTTCTTTACCGTGGATTACAGTATCAAAATAAAAAACATACAAGTAATGACAAACATTTTTTAATAATTGTTTATATAAATTAATAACAAACTCCCCAAACATAGAAAAAATAATCTAAGTTTTCAAAATAGCAACAATAAGTACATGCTAATTCTAAACAAATTTCCTATTAATACGGCGGTCTTTCTTTTTCTATTCTTTCTTTCTTTCAATTTCTCACAATTTGAAATGCCTCACCTAGTTTTGCCAAATGTCAAATTGACAAAACCAGTTTTGGCAAATGACAAATTGACAAAACTAGTTTTGGCAAAATTTAAATTGACAAAACTAGTTTTGGACAAATTTAAATTGCCAAAACTAGTTTTGGCAAATGTCGATTTGCCAAAACTAGATTTGTCAATTTAAAACGGCCAATGGCCGAAGTGAAACGTCCAAACCTAGTTTTGGCAAAACTGCACTTGCCAAAACTAGGTTTGGCTGTTTTTTCCGGCCATTGGCCGTTTTCGGCTTTTGAGCCTAACATACATATAATACTAAAATTCAAGGTTTTTAAAAAAATTCACGTACAATTCACGGTTTTTCAAGGTTTGACAAAATTCACGTCCATTTCAAGGTTTTCAAGGTTTCAAGGTCCGGTGGCCACCCTGTAATTCGTAAAAATGGCGATTCGCAAAAGTGACATTTCGTTAAAATAACAGTTCGGATAAATGCAATTCGGTAAAATGACAGTTCGGTCAAATAACATTTGGGGAATAATCATGCGCCTAAAAAATAACATTAATTTAATTTATTAATTTTACAGTTTTTAAATTAAATTTAATAATTTGCTTGCATACAGTTTATTGTATACACTTTTCCTGAATACAGTTGAATTATGGGTAACTGATAGCGACCTATTTAATTTCTAATATTATTATTATCATTATTAATATTATTATTATTATTAATAATATTATTGTCATTACTATCACTAATATTATTATATCATTGTTGTATAAATAGAAGAGAAATTTTGAGCTGGGTAGATAGTTAAACTAATTTATCTCATTGGATTGTAGAGTATGGGATCAGTGCAACGTCGTTCAAGATTATCTAACCGTTTACGATGGTGGGTCGACTTCTGACAGAGTTCTTGTGAGATTGTGCGGCGGAGATGCAGTACCGGATATTGTCAGTAGTCACGACACGATGCTCCTCGAATTTCACACATCGCCATACGACAATCCATTTCACCCCGTTCCCTTATCGTTCCTGCCCGGCTTTGAGCTTGAGGTTCAGGTAAGAAAAACTTTCAACTTCATCCCCCAGGGTTCTAACTCAGTTAGACCAGTTATGTTACTTGTTTGTTTACCAAATCCAATTTGCTCAGACTCTCTCTCTCTCTCACTCTCTCTCACTCTCTTTCTCTTATATACACATATATGTATGTGAAAGAAGTGAAAACCAACTGAAGGGTGCATTTCCTGAATACTTTTCCCACTGGGAATACAAAATATGAATTTTCTTCACTGTCTCTCCGTTTTGTGTTTGCGGAAAGAAGTACAGTAGTTTCAACTCTTGTAATGTGATAAAAAGATGAGAAAAATTCACGCGGGAAGAAAAATGGCTAAATTTTTTTTTACAACATAAATCATTTTTCTCCTTTTGGAATTTTCTGTGTTATTAATCGCTTTTTTAACAGAGGAATAATTAATGTTTTACTTCTTATAATAGGAGGCCCAGATCTCCAATTATAATTAAGGGAAAAGGGGGAGGAAGGAGATTAAAAGGAGATACGTTAGTTAAAATAAAAACTATTTATTAAACTTACTCCATCTCACTTACACTGAGTCACACAACAAGCTGAGACACGGGACCGATTCACAACGTAACGAGAGCAATTGACAAGTGTCGCGTCTGTCCGCGAATCTGGCGATTGACACCCTCGAGGCCCTTCGGCCGTTTCCGGGTTCAATCGCCTGATTTGCAACAGACGCGGGAGAATTCGTAACGCCACGTTACACCCCCCTTCCCCTCAACGGAACGAAGTGTAACCCCTTACAAAATTTTCCGCTAATTTCCTTGAATTTTCTGCAAGACCATTTTCCAGCAGTTCCTTCAGTTCCTCTCGACGTTTATCCCAGTTGGCTCCAGTTGACGTTAGCTCGTATCCATCTATTTGAGCTTTCCATTTATGTTTTCCATAATTCCTGTAAAATCTGCATGGCCAAATCTCCTTATTTTCCAGTATTACCTGTAACATTTTTATAAAAAAAAGAATTTTCTTTCCATTAATTTCAAAAAAAAATTAAAAATAAAAGTCTATTTGATTTCCTCAATTATTTTACATTTTTTTTTTTCGTAAAATGTAATAATTGACGCATTAATCTTTAAAAAATTTCCATTTCGTATCTAGAGTCTACGAAATTTGTTTCCAGTCGTCATAATTTTTTCCGATCCTAAATTTATGATACTTTCGCACTCGCATCGTTTCTCCTTTTTTGCGAATTTTCCTGCATTCGCCAGTTTTCCGAACTTGTTACGCGTTCGTTTATTTTTCTCTTTAATTCCTCTTTTTTATACCATTTTGCCTTACGTGTGTTGTCGATTGTTAACAGATTTGGATCGTCAGTCTCGTCAAGACTAAAGTCCATTTCTAATGTTTCGAATTTGTCGTACAAAGGGATTTCCATCAGTTTCGGAAGAATTTTCCGGGGTTTTGGGATTGGGATTTGGTTGGGCTTTTGTAAGGATTGTCTTGGTATAATTTTCGGAATTTTCCTATTATTTCTCGAGTCGACCTTTGGAAAAATTTTCGCATTTTTCCCATAATTTTCCGTATTACTACTTTTAATTTTCTCCAATTCGACTCTTTCCTCAATTTTTCTCGAATTTTCTTTTCGATAAAACATTCTCGTTTTAGAATTTTTCTCATATTTTCTAAAATTTTCCTCGACTTTTGTCGAATTTCCATTACTTTGAATTTTTCTCAATTCAAATTTTTCTTCGAATTTTCTCGAATTTCCGTTTTTGCGAACCATTTTCAGTTCAAAATTTTTCCTGGATTTTACCCTAATTTTCTCTGGTTTTTGCGCGTTTTTAATTTTTCGATTTTTATGATGTGTGTTTGACCACTCCGTTTGTGATCCTACATCCTGTTTTACGGGTTTGACTCTGTTCATTTTTTCAACTAATTCCCCTATCGTCATCAAAGGTTCAAAATTTTCTGATTTTTCGATATTTTCTGAGTATACTGAATTTTTCCGTACCTCCTCTACTCGTTTCCGTGATTCTGATCTACATTCCCTACGTATATGACCTAATGTTCCGCAACCGTAACATCTTTTCTGTGAGTTTGAAAAATTTCTCTGATAATTTCTATTCTTTTGATCTGTCCTAGAAGCATTTACATTCCCTGCAGAAGAATGATTTTGTACTTCCACTTGTAGACTATTATCTGTATTATTTTCATCATGAGAAGAATTTTCCATCATGTTCTGACCTCTACTACCGTCTGTAGCTGTGTCAGGCGGAAAAGTTACTTTTGGTTGGTCATATGACCAGTTTCTTTGAAAATAATTTCCTGAAAACTTTGATTGGACTTTCGAACTTCCGCCAAATCTTCTAGAATTTCCAAAATGGCGATTATTATCGGCTTGGGCATTTGGATTTTCCAAAAAATTTTCTTCGGAATTCGGCTTTTTCGCTTTTAAAAATTTTTCTTTAATGCTTTTCATAAGATCAATTTGTATCCTCAATTTATCAAGTTCTTTTTCCTTGAGTGTGATTTCATGTTCAACTTGATCTGAAATGGAATATTGTTCCTGAGCGTCGCCATGAGAAGCAATATTCTTATTTCCAAAACAATAATTTCCACGTCTTGAAAAATTTTGTCTTGGTCGCGAATTTTCTTTACGAAAAATTTTCTCTGATTTTTTGGGCTGGAAATCAGAATTTTCTGAAATGTTGGGTTCGTCTACTACCTCTATTTCACTAGCTTCGAGCCATTCGTAATTAAATTCCTGATTTTTCCGAGAATTTTCCTTAAAATTATTTTGTTGTTTTTTCCAATTTTCGCGTTTATCTTCTTCAAGATTATCCAAACGCATTTGAAAATTATCATCCGATTTTTTCTTTTCGCGCAAATTTCTTAATTCGTTTCTACTTTTCAACGTCTGACTATTTGTTCCTAGAAACGAATTTACATCAAAAGTTCCGTCTTTTGATTTCACCGCAAAATTTTCCGTCACATTTCTCGGTAATTTTCGTACAAAATTTTCCGTGACATTTTCCGGTACTTTTCCTATATTTCCAACAGTTTTCTTTATTCCGTCAAAGTACTGTTGTAATATACCGCGTTTTATTGGTACAGCTGTTGGGCCTGCATTTAGTAACCCTTGGTTACTGTTTTCCAAATGCATCAACTGCACGCTCGAGTCCTTCGTACCTCTTGCCCTTAATCCTGGCAAGGATACGTCCCTTGTTGCTGCTCGTTCTCTGGTTCCGCTTGGGAGGGGCATAAATTGATCGAAATTAAAAAATTTCAATTTTTCGGGGGGCACGAGTTCAACAAGAGCACGAATCATTGCTTCGTGTCTCTCTATCGTGGCTTCTAAATCATTCGATTTCGCATTGTCTTGCAGGGGGGAATTTAGTCTGTGTGTGGGAGGGGCAGTCTCGCTCGCTGCGTTTGTTTCCTCAAAATCTGTTTCATTTCCCGAACTATTTTCCGTTTCTCTGTTCTCTCGTATTTTTCTAGTTGTCGATCGTAATACGCGTTTTGACGCCATTTGTGATTATTTATTAAAAAATTAGAATTAAAATTAAATCGTTATTTAATTTTATTCCACTAATTCCAAAACAAAAGAAAAAATTTTTTGCTATTTTCTATTCATCGTCATGAATTTCTTCGTGAGAAAAAATTTCAATTGTTTCTTAATTTTATCACAAATGTTCAAACTAGATTTCAACAATTTTCCCGATTTTATTTATCGATTTGCACTTAAAAAAAATCAATGACACTTTCCTTCAATAAAGATACTAAAAGAAAATAAATCGATACTTCTTACACACCCAGTATAAGTATTGATTTTCAAAGATTTAATTTTTTCTACTTTCTTGATTTGATTTTATTTGTCACCCTGTATACTAATTTTTATTTCTAACTTGACGAAATTATTTTTCGATTTAATCGCGAAATTTGTCGTGTTTACTTTTCCGTTTACTATTATGTTGTGTGTTACACACGACCTCGACCACGAAAACAAAACAAACTGTCTTCTATCAACGACAAAATTTTCTCTTAAAATAATCGATGAATTCACTTTTTTCCGTAATTTTCAAATTTATTTTTCGCTATTTTCACTAATTTTCGCTAATTTTCACGAATTTAGTCCCGATTTCTATGAATTTTCCACGATTAATTTTTTACCGGTGTTTTCGCGCACTGATTTTACACGATAATTTTCGTCATTGTCGTCCGTTCGTCACATAAAAATTTGTCACAATTGTCAGAAATTATATACAAATATCACACAATAAAATCAATAATTTTCAAGCACAAATAACATATTTTTATCAAATATGGGAAAAAGGAAGAGAGAAAAGGTTCGGTTTTGAGGTTAGGCGACCATGAGGTGACAGGTGGGATTTTCAACAATTAAAAAATGATGAAAAAAAAATGAATTTTCTGGGATTTTCAACAAAACAAAGATGATGAAAAGTTACTTTGGGAATTTTCAACAAAACAAAGATGTTGAAAAAAGGTATTTCTGGAAATGTTCTTTACAGAAAAAGGAATGGAAAGATGGGTTTTTTCGTTGGGCGCCAATTTATAATCGATTGGCGACCAGGCGGTGAAAAATGGATTTTTCTTTTGATTTTTCCAATTATAAAAATAATCGAAATTTTCAGGGAATTTTCAAACAAGAAGGGAATGTTCCGGTGGGTTTTTTATGTTGGGCGCCAATTTATAATCGATTGGCGACCAGGCGGTGAAAAATGGATTTTTCTTTTGATTTTTCCAATTATAAAAATAATCGAAATTTTCAGGGAATTTTCAAACAAGAAGGGAATGTTCCGGTGGGTTTTTTATGTTGGGCGCCAATTTATAATAGGAGGCCCAGATCTCCAATTATAATTAAGGGAAAAGGGGGAGGAAGGAGATTAAAAGGAGATACGTTAGTTAAAATAAAAACTATTTATTAAACTTACTCCATCTCACTTACACTTAGTCACACAACAAGCTGAGACACGGGACCGATTCACAACGTAACGAGAGCAATTGACAAGTGTCGCGTCTGTCCGCGAATCTGGCGATTGACACCCTCGAGGCCCTTCGGCCGTTTCCGGGTTCAATCGCCTGATTTGCAACAGACGCGGGAGAAATTCTGTACGAATTTGGTTTTATTTTCGAAATAAATTTTTGGGTAAAGAATAATTGTTCACAGAGAATATAAATTTGAAATTGTTTCAGGTACTTTTTGTTGACGAGAAGTCGCAGAGTTTCGTGAAGGAAAGTGAAAATTGTAACTTTTTGATATCAAGTTTCGAGAGTCCCTCAGGTCTTTTGGAAAATCCGAAGCACTCTTTACCTCCCAATACAACTTGCCGTTATCACTTTCAAGGGAAGCCAAACGAAATTGTTTGGATATCGTTTATTAAATATTACTCGGCAACAATTGATCCGGCATCCAGTATTGATACAATTGACAGTCCGACGGAATGCAATGCAAAATTATTAATTTGGAATGGCGATCACTCGTCGGAGAAACCAATAAACGGAAAGGTAATTTTCTTCTACTGTTCTTTAATAAGTTTAAATCCAATTAAATAACTATTATTATATATATTAATAATTATTAAAAATATATTACTGATCATTAATAATTCAAATAATAATTAAAAAATTATATTTGATTTTTTGGGGAACTAAAGTATTTTGGGTAATACTTTTTCATTTGCAGAATGTCACATTATTGGGTGAATTTTACAAATAATTTTCTTCTACTGTTCTTTAACCCTTTGAGGACCAGTGTTGCTTTCAGGCAACATGAACATTTTTTTATTAACTCGGGCATAAATTTCTTAATTTTCAAAACTGAATTATTGAAACAATAATTTTCACATAGTCTGGAAAATTTCGTATCACAAACACTGGTCTTTAAGTAAAAAACTTCAATAACTTTCCCTGAAAAGTTTGCTTAAAAATGAAAAATCGCGATTTTTTAAGAAAAAATTTATGAGATTATTATTATAAAACATGAAGATATGAATCACTCCATGCCTTCGACTCGGAGTAATTCATATCTTCATGTTCTATAAAAATTTATATTTCCATAAAATTTTTCAAAAAAAAATTAAATTATTTACAAAAATTATAATAAAATTCGTTGCAAGAATTCAATTATTTTCAAAAATAATAAAATATTTCACAGTGTTTCACTTATTTTTGATATAATTTTAAATTTTCTCGAAAAATGAAATGATCTTCAAAAATTTTTTGCAAGAATTAAATTACATTTCACAAATAATGAAATTCATCGTTGAAATTCAAAAATTTTCAAAATTTACTATTTTAATAAAAGTTCTCAAAAGAATTTAGTTATTTAAATAAAAAGTAATAGAATTCTTTGCTGAAATTCAATTATTTTTATAAGTAATAAAATTTTTCACATGAATACAATATTATTTTTTTTTAAATTTGATAAAATTCGTTATAAGAATTCCATTATTTTCATAAATTATAAAATTTTTCTGAGGATTTTAATTATTTTTAATACAATTTAAAATAAAATCCTAGAAAAATGGAATATTTTTACAGTAACTTCTTAAAAATTATTTTCATCATTTCAATTCAATTATTATTTTCTAGAATTTTTAACTTGAAATTCTTCTTTAAATCAATTATTTACAATAATATAAAAAAACTGAAATTCACTTTAAAATCAATTTCTATTAGAAAATTCTACGAGAATTCAATTATTTAAATACAAAAATAAATAATTTATATTGAATAATTGAATGTTTCTCAATATTGAATTCTCATACAAAATTTTATCAACAAATTTTTAAATAATTAAATTCTTTCGATGAATTTACATAAAATTTTTAAAAATAATTACATTTTTCGAGGTATTCAATTAAATTTGTACTAAAAATAATTGAAATTCTGCGATGTGTTTAATTATTTATGAAAATAATGGAATTATTGCGAAGAAATTTATAAGAAATTTGTAAATAATAGAATTCCTGTGAAATTATATAATGAAAAAAATTTAACATTTGCGTGGACTTTTAATAAAAAATTTTTAAATAATTGAATTCTTTTGGAAAATTTTATTAAAATAGTAGATATTGAATCATTGAATTTAGGAAAATTTTTGCAAATAATTGAAATTTTGCTAAGAATTTTATTAAAATTTTTGAAAATAATTAAATTTCGAAGAAAAATTTTATTATTTATAAAGAGAATTGAAATTTTGACGATAATTAAATATATATATTAAAAAATTTAACTAATTTCAGAATAATTTAAATTTTGAAAATTTGTGCATTAAGTTCTTCAGAATACGAAGTTGAAGTCCACAACGTTGATCAACGAAAAAAAATTGTTTACTAAGTAAATTAATTATAGATATCGCAACAATATTGCCTCAAAAATATTTAGAAAAAAAATTGATGTTTGTGTTTTATTGATAATTGTTTTACAATTAAATATTATAAATTATAAATAATAATTGAATTTAAATAAATTTTTTTCGTTGATCAACGTTGTGGACTTCAACTTCATTTTAGAATTTCTAATAAAATTCATTCAAAATTGAAATTTTATAAAATTTGAAATTAAAATGTTTTGAAGTTCATCTATTTATGAAAATTGTAAACGCAACTATTTTAAAATTCAAATAATTTTGAAATGTATAAATAAAATTATTCATTAAATAACTTCTAAGTTATAATTGTATGATAGTTCTTCAAGAATTAAGTTATACTTAAAAAGAAATTATTGTCAGAAATGGAAAAAATTTAAGATTTTGTATTAGAATTTTTGTTTTTCTATAAAAAAAAGCTATTAATAATAATATTTTAATTATTTGAATGTTAATTAATTATTTTTCTAAAAGTCTGCATTCTGATGAATGAACCACCTTATAATTTATAAAATTCTTTAGGATATCTATATTATATCATTAACATAAAAAGACATATTTATAATTATTATGTTGTAGTGTTAATAATCTAAATCAAAAATAAAACTCACTGAATTCTATAACATTGAATCTAAATTTTGTGATTACACTTTAAAAAAAAATTTCGAAAAAAGTAAAACTTGTTTATTTTTTAATAGAAAAAGGTGAAAAAGGTGACAAATCAGCAAAAAACGAGATAAAATTGAAATAAGGGGACAAAAGGGGAAAAGGGGACCATCTGTAATGCCTGACTTTAAAAACATATATTAACAATAATTAATAATTCAAATAACAATTAAAAACCTATATTTGATTTTTTGGGCAACTAAAGTATTTTGGGAAATACTTTTTAATTTGCAGAATGTCTCATTATTGGGTGAATTTTACAAATAATTTTCTTCTACTGTTCTTTAATAAGTTTAAATACACAATTAAATAACTATTATTATATATTAATAATTATTAAACATATATATTAATAACAAATAATTAATAATTCAAATAACAATTAAAAAACTATATTTGATTTTTTGGGTAACTAAAGTATTTTAAAAAATACTTTTTAATTTGCAGAATGTCACATTAATGGGTGAATTTTGCAAATACGACATCCCCCGGCTCTGTGACCACAGTCTTTTACGAAATAGCAGTCGACACACACGACCCTGCAGTCTTGCCGAGAGTTACGTCTCATCCGGAAGGGATTTAACTTTAGAGCATATCCTGCGACAGGGAAGTGCCCTTTATCCTGTGAGCTTCGTCCTTCGATATGAATTCGTTCACGAATCAATGTCCTGCAATCATGTATTCACATCGTCGTCATTTGCATCATTATCAAACTCTTTACAATCACCATCATCGTCGTCATCGAAAACGGGCAAATTTTATTCACCAAAAAGCGTCTTCTTCTATGGTCGAGGTGGTGCGCAAAATCTCAGTTGCATTTACCGATTTGAAGCCGAGCCCGAGCAGAGAATTGAACTTTCAATATCACGAGCATCATTTGGTGATAAACAATGTAAATCCAACATTGATCCATTAGTCGATCGTTGGGCGTGTTATCGTGATAAATCAAAATCCAAGAAGAATGGAATCGCTGAATTGCAGGTTGGTTCTTCTTTTTTTCTAAATAATTAATTAAGTCTCTGAAAGTTTCTCACTTTTGCGCTTTATAATACTTTAATACCTTAGAGTCTCTTAATTATTATTGTTATCATTATTATCCAGTGAGAGCAAGAACTTTCCAAGGAAACTTTCAAATAGAAGAAACTATTTTAATGAATATTGATTAATCTTTTTGAAAAGTTGAAATTCTTTTAATAAATTATTTATTTTAATATTTTATTTAATTATTTAATATTTTATTAGTAAAAGGATAAAATTGTCTTTTGTGTAGATATTGGAGCATCCTTGGCAAGGAGTTGAATTGGGAAGAGACTGCCTTTGTTCGAATATAACCGAAAAAGTCGTTTTAAGGACTCTAACTTCTAATGTCGTTGAACTTAAATTCACAGTAATTCGTATGAACGTCACACAAGATTATAGAGATTTCTTTTTTGAGGGCGAATTTCGTTTTGTCGCCGGAGCTGAAGCTGGTGATCAAACTTGTGCCACTAGATTGGAAGATCGAAGACTAAGAGGCTCCAGTGGTGAAATATCTCTGAGAAGTCCTTTTCCTCCCATTATTCCCGGTAATTCATTTCATTAACATTTATTACATTCTCTTTCTTTTGCAAAAAAGAACTTAAAACCGTTCCAAACCACAAAAAGTGTGGTCATTTTTTAAATTTACTTCAGCAGGGTTGCCACAAAAATTTTAATTTGTTTTTTCCTAACTTTCAGACCGAGTTTTGAATTTACCCTGATCCCTATTTTTAAAAAATCAAAGGGAGAACAATATATTATAAAAAAAGAAAATATTTTTAAAAAATTTTAATTGGAATCCTTTAAAATTAACTAATTAATAGAAATTAATGAAAAAAAATTAATTGAAAAATTCAATTATTTTTAATAGAACTATAGGAAATTTCAATTATTTCAAAACAATTTAATTACTTGTCTGTAAAAATACAATTGTTTATCTTTAAAAAACTGAAATATTTTTTAAACATAATTTTATAAAGTTTTTAATTTAAAATCCAAGAAAAAAGTCTAATGTACAAAAAATCATAAAGAAAAATGTCCAAAGTAAAAAAATCCAAAATAAATAATGAAACATGTGAAAAAGACGCGTTTTTACTTTTTACGCTATAAAATCGGAATTTAAAAAATTAATGTTTAAATCGCAGGATTTTAATTATTTACGTAAATAATAAAATTCTACACAAACATTTAATTATTTTCATAAATAAAAAATTTAAATTATTTTATAAAATTTTTAAAACAATTATTCCAAAAAATACAATTATTTTCAATGAATAAAATTCTTTACAAAAATTCAATTATTTTTTTCATTACAATTCCAATTAAATTACTCGATTAATTTAATTGTTTTCAGAAATTTATATTAAGTTTACCTACTTTCGATTCACAGTCATCGAAATGAGCAACTCAAAAAAAAGACAATAATTTCATTTAAGGCAGCCATTTAAATTTTATATCTGAATTTTTTTCATTGGATTTTTATATTCTTAGGACTTTTTGACCAAGACAAAAAATCCAAAAAAATAAGTCTAAAGTGAAACTATTTTTTTTTTTTACTTTTTTGGATTTAATTACTTTGGATTTTTTGGTTTGGACTTTTTGTTTTGAACTTCTTGTCCGGATACCATTCGATTTTGTCTCTTTGTAATATTCAAGTACCTAATTGAAAAAGTTCTATAGAATTTCACTAGAACGATCTTATAAAATTTCTACATGAATTCTAGTAAATTTTAGTAATCTTTAAATAGAAAAAATATGAATTTTGAAAATAAAATTTTGCGGCCACCCTGGTCTTTTTAAGAATTAATAGTGTAAATTTGAGAGATTGCAGAAAAAATTTGATAAATTTTTATTTTCATTGAGTGAATTTAAAAGCATTTTTGTATAATTTTCAATTCCAAAAATCTTTTTCGAAAGAAAAAATGTTTAACTCTTAAATTAAACCTTATATTTTTCAATTTTTACAAAAACTATATCTGCTTTTATTTTTTTTTTATATTTTTATTCGATAACTGAGATTTTTTCCAATAAATTATGTAAAACTTGAAACTGGGACAACAATATACTTTATTCGAGAAAATGCAGAAAAGTAACTTTTTAATTTTTTTTTATTTCTTCGAAAGTTTATTTTTATTCCATTTTCAAACTTTACATAATTTATTTCAAATATCTCAGGTATCCAATGAAAATGTTAAAAAAGATGCAGTTTAATTGTAAAAATAGAAAAATAAGATTTATTTTTGAAAAAAAGAGTTAGCAAGTTTTTTTAATTTTTAATATAAAAATTTTCAAAAATTTAAGTATAAACCCTATTCTGAAATTAAATTATTTCTGAACATGGCAACTGTTTTTGACTTAAACCTTTTCCAAATTAAGTATACCTAATTAATAATATTATGAAAGTTCGAATTTAATTTAGAATTGTATTATTTTGAAGAATTATAGAATGTTAGCTTATTTTCAATTCAATTAAGGTTAATTAATAATAAACTAATTATTAGTATATTGTTTGATTTTATTACTCCGTCGTTTTTATTAATTTATAAAACAATGAGATGTACGGTCACTTCGAGTTAAATATTTGATTCGGAGTGATCGTAAATCTCAATGTTTGCATTAATTACATATCAGTCCAAACGCAAATTATTACCAAGAATATTCAATAGACTAATTAATTAATCTAATTAATTAAATTAATTAAATGAAATTGAAATGAAAGGAATGAATTCTATCTAATTTTCTATAATTATAATATTTAAAATAAATTTAATTTTTTTCAGAAATAGTTTTCCTAAAGTTTTAAACGTTCAAATGAACGAAATTTATTTTCTGATTAAATTTTTTTTGTAAATTACTGTATTTAAATGAAAATTAATTTAAAAGTGAAAATTTTGCTTGTTTGTGATTAAAACATATCATGGTTCATATCATAGCTTTTTTTCCCAGTTGCATCGGATCCTAAAAACTGAAAAGTTTCTTAGTTAAATATTGATTTTTTTAGTGCACAAAATATTTTTTTCATTAAAAATACAAATTAAAGGAAGTAAAAATTTACCATCGTTCATTTGAACGTCCGAAACTTTATTATACGAACCAGAAATAAAAAATCAAATGAGAAAAAGTTCAAAGAGAATTAAAGGTTTTTAAGGTTTTCAAAAATATTTTCGGAAATCAAAAATCAGTTTGTAGTAATTCTAGAAGTTTTTTATTTTTTCAGTACTTTCGATAAAGTTTCCCGACATTTCCCTGATCTGTAGCAACCCTGCTTTTAGTGAATTTGAAAATATATCAAAGAAATGATAAATTTTTAATAATTTAATTTGATTTTAGAATTCGAATAATGCAATTAGTAAATGAATAATTTTCTTAATAGGAGTAACTGCTGTCGAGGAAATTTCAACAAATACAGAAGATCTAACAGCGACACAATGTGTTCACGAGCCGTGGTTAATTGAACCCAAGGATATACGAATGAATTTTGTCTATTTGAGAACAAGTGGTTTCAGTATTAATCCCGGTAATATCGATGATTGTAAAACACAAAATCGGATTATTGTTTATTCAGCGGCAAATACAAAGGACCGTAGTGTCATTTGTCCTGAAAGTAGTTCAAATTCAGCAAAAACAGTCGACTTTTTCTCCGGCGGTTGGAATTATAGTTTAGTTAATGGTACAATGTCAACATCAGCCATTCTCCAGCACTCAAGAAGTTTTGTGGTTGAATTTCTCCAGAGGGAAGCTGGATTTTATGCTGTTACGTGGATGGCTATTTCGAAACAATCTCCAGCTTCTCATCTTGAATCAAATGCATTTGCATTTGTTCCATCTAATGAGTGTCCTTATAGGTGAGTTGCCTTTTTGTTCAATTTTCATTTTTCTATTTTATTATTTAATATATATTGGAAATGTGTTTCTTTCTTTTTTTGGAGGGAAATTATTTAAGTTGTATTTGAGAAGAAAATTCTTCTCTCTTGTAGAAAATGTTTCCCGGAAAGAAATTTAGAGAGAATTATTTGTAAAAATCGCATTAGTCTGCAAATAAGAAAGTAGTGTATCGAGTTAGGTCGTGAGCTGGTAAAATCGATTTCAAGTTCTTTTGAGAAGGCAATAGACTAAACTTTTTCAGCCAATACTCAAGGTGTGTGCATTGACCCCATCTCATTTCTTCCCGTAGACCCATCGAGAAACTGACCGAATTTAGAAGACAAAAGACGACCGATAGCTTTTTAGTTTGTTTCGAAACAGTTTTATTTTATTTTATTTTATTTTATTTTTTTTCTTTTAAAATTAGAATTCCGATTTTTATTCATCATCGCTTTACTGTCTTTTTCTAATTTTCCAAATTTCCTGTGACAATACCATTTTACTTGAGGTAAAATTGTTATGTTAAGAGTCAGATTTATCTTAAAAATTTTGTCTTTTCAAATATTTAAAAATTCGTCTATATATTGGGGTTTAAAAAATTTCTTTCTACGCCATTACCTCCTTTCAAGCTTATTTCGTTTCCATTCGCTGCATTTTTCCCCCTTTTGTTTTATTATAGATGGTTCTCATCCACTTCGCCACAGTCGCGTCCTATTCTTTAACATTATAGCATTTCCACTTCCTTGCGTTCTTTCACTCAAGTGCATCTAATTCCCTCTCGCATGTACTGCATATCTTTTTGCCATTCACATGCTCTTTTCATTTCTCTGCATGCATTTTCTATACTTTCTTTTTTTCTCTTCCTTCTTACATTCCCCTTATATGTAGAAAAAACGGTAATTTTTTTTCGCAATTATTTTCTTCTCTCAAGAAAAACAAAATACCAACGAAACTAAAATTTCAGAATATATACTAATTTGGCTAAATGTTGTTACGTCTTGATTTAGAACATAACATAAATAATATTTGAAAAATTGCGAAAGGATTCAAGTCGAGAAAAGTGATTTCGATTTTTCGACATGGATTTTCCAAAAATCCCGGAATTTCAACTAAATTAATGATACCTCGCCTAGAAAGCAATTTTTTCTCTTGATAATTATTTATTTTAATGTTAAAAGCTATTTAAAAAAATTACAAGAGGATCCAAAGCGGGAAAACAGTGATTTTTATTTTTTAGTTGAAATTTCGGGATTTTTGGAAGATCTGCGACAAAAGAATTCAAAATCACTGCTTTCCCTGCCTTGGATCCTCTTGGAATTTTTTAAATGACTTCTAATATTAAAATATATAATTATCGAAAAAAACTGCTTCAGAGGCGAAGAAACAATAATTTAGTTGAATTTTCAGGAATTTTGGAAAATCCGTGCAAAAATCAAAATCACTGCTTCCCCCGACTTGGATTCTTTTTTAAAGAACTTTTACCATTAAAATAAGCAATTAGATAAAGTAAAAATTTTCATCGATTAAACGTTGGTAACTTCAGTTTCATCCTATTTTAAGGGGTTTTAGGCATAGGAGGACCTTTGGTAAAAGGGTTGAAACTTTTCTTTTCTCAACTTTATCTCCCTTCCAACATCAATATCACTGTCTTTTACAAAAATGACAAATTTTCTAAATTTTAACATTTTGTCTAAATTCTAATTTTTTAATATGATAAAATTTAATTATTTATAAAAATTGTTTAAAATTTACATAATTGCTAAAATTAGCTAGCAAATACTTATTTTTGAAGATTAAATTTTAAAGTTAAACATTTTTTTTGTTCAAAACCAGCATAAAATTTTCAAAATTTAAGTGGTTGCTGATAACTAGGTGCAAATTGCATCTTGATAAATAGTATTTAACTTTTAATTTCCAAAATTAAGTGGGTGCTGATAACTAGGTGTCAGTTTCAGCTTCATATAATTTGTTAATTAACATATTGTTTAATAATTAATTAAAAATGTATTGTTCCAAAATTCTATTCATTAACACAATAAATAGTCAAAATTGTTTTTTAATAATTTCAGTTGCAAAATACTAATTATTGATTATTTAATAGTTACTGTTAATTATGGTTACACTGTAAAAAATTTAGGGAGTTAACGGACTCGGGAGTTGGGAGTTAAATTTTTCGAGTTAAAAATCAACTTCAAAAGAGAGTTAATTTCTAACTCCCTTCATTCAACACCCGCGCGAGTTATTTTTTCCATGGGGAGTTAGCATTTGGGTGTTAAATTTTAACTCTCTTTATTTAACTCCCCTGGCATTAACTCTCCAATGGGTGCGACTTTTATAGACCCCCCGGGGGAGTTAAAATTTAACTCCCTTTTTTACAGTGTATAGTTATGCTTATAATGAGTTTTTAATATTTATTTTGTCACTAAATAACCATTTTAAGACAATTTTTAAATAATTATTTCTCCTATTTACTAAAGCTAAACTTTATTTACTATTAGTGGTTTTAAAAGAAAAATTTCTCAACTTTAAGATGGTAAACAAATTTTTTTTTTAAATAATATAATAACCTTTTGAATATCTAAAAATCGTCGCTTCCGATTTTCTTGAAACTTATGTCAAAATGAAGCTTAAATATTCTGATTTTATTCCCTGTAAACATATTATAATGGTCAATTCAGGGGAATTTAAGAAATTACTTAAATTTTGCAAAGATGTCAGAAGTTAACTATCTATGTAAAAATTTGAGAAAACAAATTCCCCTCGGTAAATACATTATAACCATTGAATTTCTTATTTGTTGAAAACATTGCTAATTACAATATCGAAATTTTGGCTATTTCTGTTGTGACGACATAATCATTACAGGACCTTACAATACACTGTTTTTCTAAGGATATCAAATTGAGACAAAAAACATATTTTGATACGTTTTTTGTCTTAATTTGATATCCTCAGAAAAACAGTGATTTTATTTTCTTTCTTTCTTTCTAAAAAGAGTTGTTTTTAGAAAGAGTGTTTCAATTACTATTTTTAGTATTTAAAAATATTGAAAAATACATTTTCAGATGTCCAGAATTGCAGGCGTGTATAAGTTCAGACCTCTGGTGCGATGGTGTTAAACATTGTCCTTCAGGATTTGACGAGGAGGAGAAAAATTGTTCTTATCGATTTGGAGTGACATTGTTGTATGTTGCCATTGGTGCTGGAGCTCTGGGTATATTTCTCGTTCTATTACTGGCAACTGGTTGCCTCAAATACTGTCTCTATCGACATAAAGCGCGTAAGAAGAAAAAAAACGTCGCTCTTAACGTTAATCACCTACATGTGAATCACACTCATCATAATAACGGACTCACTGGAACTCGTCTCAGTGGACGTTATAATCTCGCTACTCCACAAGAAATGTATATGGAGAACTATGGAAAAGACAGTATTTGTTGACAATACGCCATCACCAATATTGAAACCACTGTGTGAATAGTCATGTTTTTAATGCCTTCCAGGCCTCTCCTACACATACACACACACAAAAACACACAGACACAAATACAAACACACCACTTCCATCAGCGTTTTATGAACGAAAAATGCACTATAGTGTTATTATTAATAATAAATATATAATAATCATCTTATAAAGATAATAATATTCCCCAGAACGAGACAAAAAGTTATGATAATCTATCAAAAATTTCCATACTGGTTTCTCCATCATATGAATATAATATGAAGATTATAAAGAGAAAACCTTTGTCCACTTTCTATTCTGTAACCAGTTTGGAATATTTTTGATAAATATGCCCTTTTTTAAAAAGAAATTCAAAAGAGTGAAGCAAAATTCTAATGAAAGAAAATATCATTATTTAAAATTACAAAAACACTTCGCAGGTGGTTTTTTAATAAACAAATATTGCAGCGAGAGGAAATATTCTTTCGTTTCGGATGGACCGATAACTTTTGCTCTACAACAATATCACAGTTTTTCTAAGGATATCAAATTGAGACAAAAAAAAACGTATCAAAAACGTTGCTTCACAACACTTTCGATAAATTTTTTGTCTCAATTTGATATCCTTAGAAAAACTGTGATAAGGATGATCTAATTTATTCTCTCTGAATCAGATAAGATTTTAACTGACTTACTTTTGCTTTCAAAGCAGTTGAAATTTACAGATTCTTCTTTAAAAAACATTTTCTACCAATAAATCAATCTTTGACTGAATTGACGTTGGTGAAGTTAAAGACATTCACAGATTTTCTAAAGATATCAAATTGAGACAAAAAACGTATCAAAATTGTTGCAATGCAACATTTTGATACTTTTGTTGTCTTAATTTGATATCCTTAAAAAAAATGTATTATCAACTCTCTAAATTTGAATTAGTAAAATGTTTACTAATTTGAATTAGTGGCAGACTAGAAATTACTACACACTAAAAAAAAAGTTTTACTTTTAGCCTGTTTTCGAGGCTGAATTTAAGGTGTAAACGGAGTCAGCCCCATTAAACAAGGACAGACTTATGTGAAATACATGGGCTGAATTTAAGGTGTAAACGGAGTCAGACTTTTTTTTTCTTGTGTATTCATTAGTAAAATTTACTAATTCAAAAGCAAACAGTCAGTCCCTATAATTCAAATTAGTAAATTTTTACTAATTCAAATTTAGAGAGAACATTTGAAAGAAGAAAAGATTTTTCAAGCGTAAAACAATTTTTTGTTTACAAAATTTCTCTTGTTAAATAACTGATCATATAAAGCTGAAGTCCGCAACATTTTTAAAAATAAAGACGAAAAAATAACGCGACTCATAGGATTATGGAACTGTGTAAAAAATTGTTTAAACAAAAATTTATAAAAATCTGAATAGAAAAATATATTTTTTCTAAATCGTAAATCTCTGAAGTTGATATCGACCGTCAGAATCATTTTAGAGGTCTCTGAAATTAATGTTAACGCTAAGCGTCAAAAAAATATTTCTTTATCGCAAAACCAAACAAAATTAAATTGATGAATTATTGATGAATTATTTTATTATGAAAATTAAGTTATTAAAATATTAAATTAATAATTTAATTAATTTTTTCGAACCTTTTATAATAATTTTAATAATAATTGTCCAAAAAACACAGTTTCTTCTACTTTCAAATCCGAAAAACTGAAAGTTCATAAAATATAGCTCCAATTTTCAAAAAATATTTCTTTATGCTAAAGGTGAACCAATAAGTTCAGTTTAAAAAAAATTGTAGAAGAATAAAAAATTAAGAATCCCCGAAAGCAGAATATTTTCTTTGCTGCATAAATTAGAAATTAAGAATAATTCCATTTGGAATTGATTTTCATCATTTTTAAATTCATTGAAAAAAAAGACTCCTTTTGTAAAAAAAGAACGAACAAAAAATATCAATTTTGTCATTTAAAGAGAAGTAATGTCTGAAAAAAAAGAAAATTTCTCATTTTCAATAATTTCCCATTTTTTGCGATTTAATATCAGCTTCTCTATATAAAAACACATCAATTAGAAAAATTTATATTATAACATCCATTGATATTGAATATTTCTATTAAAATCAATTTATATTAAAATTAATTAGAATTTTTATAAACTTAAAGATTTTATTCAAAAAAAAATATTCACTAATTTTTTATACAATATTTAAAGTTTTCATTTTTGATAAAAGTTTTTATAATTTTTTTCTCTAAAATCAAATTTTCCTTTTATAAAAAATTGTACAGTTTTAATTAAAATTATAAATATTGAGATTTTTTCTCAACAAAAAAATATATACAATGACCAGGCAAAAAAGATTTGTTAGCTTTTTTAAAGTAAAAACAAAAAAATATAATTGATAATATCATTTTTTGAGAAGTAAAAAAAAAGTATATCGGAAATATTTAATACAACAAAAAACGAAAAGGTGATAAAATAAAAAAAACAAGAATGAAATATCTAATAGGTAGACTGCTCAAGAAAGATTAAAAATATGACCAAAATAATGCTCTCTTTTCCTCAATTTGGAAAATATACATTTTAAAAAAGATGGCGTGAATTTAGCGACGCATTAAAAAAAATTGTAAATGGTGATCTTAAACAAAATGGAATTGATAACATTCAAAGGAAATTGAAAAGTTAAACTAAAAAACTTTTAATAGTTGTTCAATTCACCCCAGGGTTATAAGAAAAAAAAATCAGTTTATAACCAGATACAAAATTGCTCCACAATTTTTTTGTTTTTGTATTTAAGATGCTCCGTACCATTTTTATAGATGGAGATGAAAAATATAACGACGGTGGTAATTAATAAAATTTGATTAATTAATAATTAATAAAATAATTTCAGTGTTTCGAGACTCAATTAGTATCCTGCGCCTGATTAGATATCATACGTTGAGTCGTATAAAAAAATCATTCCACTCTTGTCGTATTTTTTATCTCACTGGCACATTCACCTTCATATAGAATATTTAACGTAGAAAATATAAATACGTAATATTATATATAAATATATATATAATATTAATTAGGTTTGATATTGATGCGTGATGCTTGATTGGGCGGTAGAAATCAATGTATAGTGTTATTTAAAAAAAGGCGAACAAATTCGACAAGCTAACAACTTTTCATTAAGGGAAATCATTTAAATTTATACTTCAATATTTATAAAATATTATTGTGATTCGAATTTTTATAATGCGTAGGCATTTTCAGTATAAGAAAAAGTTTTCAATGAAAAACAATTTTTTTGAATGTTTATTATAAAGTTTATTAACCCCTTCGCTGTGAGGAGAAAAATTTATAAAGTGGGTCCAAAATGTTAAGAAATTTTTTGGTGACCAAAATTTGTGAGATTGGGTACAGTTAGGTTTTGGGGGCCGCTGATGACGAATCTGAAGTCAAATTTTCAAAATTCAAAATGGCGGATCCAAAATGGCGGACGTATTTTTTTGAATTCATCGGATTTGCTTGAAACTTGTTACTCGGGGGTTTTCGAGGTCGCTGATTCCGAATATGAAGTCAGCTTTTTAAAATTCAAAATGGCAGATCCAATATGGCGGACAACATTTTCAAAAATTCATCGGATTCACTTAAAACTTGTTACTTAGGGGTTTTGGGGGCCGCTGATGACGAATCTAAAGTCAGATTTTCAAAATTCAAAATGGCGGACGTATTTTTTGAATTTATCGGATTTGCTTGAAACTTGTTACTCGGGCGTTTTCGAGGTCGCTGATTCTAGATATGAAGTTAGATTTTCGAAATTCAAAATGGCAGATCCAAAATGGCGGACATATTTTTTTGAATTCATCGGATTCGCTTAAAACTTGTTACTCGGGGGTTTTCGAGGTCGCTGATTTGGATCCGCAATTTTGAATGTTTAAAAATGCACTTCAGATTCGTTATCAGCGACCCTGAAAACCCCCGAGTAACAAGTTTCAAGCGAATACGATGAATTCAAAAAAATACGTCCGCCATTTTGAATTTTGAAAATCTGACTTCAGATTCGTCATCAGCGACCTCAAAAACCCCCGAGTAACAAGTTTCAATCGAATCCGAGAAATTAAAAAAATATGTCCGCCATATTGGATCCGCCATTTTTAATTTTTAAAATCTGAGCTTAGATTCGTTATCAGCGACCCTAAAAACCCCCGAGTAACAAGTTTCAAGCGATTACAATGAATTCAAAAAATACGTCCGCCATTTTGGATCCGCCATTTTGAATTTCGAAAATCTAACTTCATATTCCAAATCAGCGACCTCGAAAACCCCCGAGTAACAAGTTTTAGGCAAATCCAATGAATACTAAAAAATATGTCCGCCATTTTGGATCCGCCATATTGAATTTCGAAAATCTAACTTCATATTCGGAATCAGCGACCTCGAAAACCCCCGAGTAACAAGTTTCAAGCGAATTCAATGAATTTAAAAAAATTAGTCCATCATCGAAATTCAAAATGGCGGATCCAAATCCGCCATTTTGAATTTCGAAATTCTAACTTCATATTTGTAACCAGCGACGTCGACAACATTTTGATATAATTGTGTGAGATATTATTTTGATATAATAATGTATGCTGCCTGAGATTTAATATAATAAAAGTATAATTAAAAAAAGTCTACTTTTGAGCAGCCATATTGGATTTTGGTTTTCGAATTTTTAAAATTTGACTTCAGTTTCGAATTTATCGTCGAAAATACCATAAGTAACGTATGTGTGACGTAAATTTACTTGTTTTTTCTGCCTTTTATCAATTTTTTTGTATGTACGTCTATAGACGTACCTCACACTGAAATGCCCACTTTCAAATGTACGTCTATAGACGTACCCTCACAGTCAAGGGGTTAACAATATTCATTTATACGCAGAAAAAAATAATTTGATTAAAATAAACAATTACTTTTATATTATCAAATAAATATTTACTTGAATCAAATAATTTTTGTTTAAATCAAATTAATTATATAGGTATCTGAACCAATAATTTTAGTATTTAAAGCAAAAACAATAATTAAGGGGACCCACTAATATTTTTAACTATATAAAAAAATAATTCAAATATTCCATATAAAATTGCTTTTGTAATAATTTTTTGAAAGGAATTCAAAAATAGTCAAATAAACTCAGTCAGAAAATATTTTAACCCTTTTTGAATTTTTATTTTTTTAAAAAGTTGGTAGATTTTGAAATCGCATGCGAAATTTTGTAGAAAAAATATATTTTTTGTATCGACAAAAAAATTACCGAATTAAAAAATTTATTTTTACTATTTTTGAAGCATTTTTTTGTTGTTGAAAAAACGTCTTTTTTAGTTGAAAATTATAAAAAAAGACCGTTGTTTATCAATTTTTTAATTATTGAAAATTCATTTGTTTATTTTTCTAACTGATTTTAAATCATAATTTTTTCATATAAATATAAAAAATAAAAAATAGGTAGATAATAAAAAATTATGATTTTAAAGTAGTTATTAGTTAGAAAAATAAACAAATGAGTTATCAAATAAAAAAATTGAATAATGATATTTTTTACAATTTCAGCCGAAAAACAGTTTTTCTCGAAAGAAAATACTTAAAAAATATTAAAAATCAATTTTATCTTTCGGTAATTTTTTTCTCGATACAAAAAATATTTTCTACAAAATTCCACATGGATTTCCAAATCCACCAATTTTTAGGAAAAATAAAAATTCAAAAAGTGTCAAAATACTTTCTTACCGATTTTATTTTTGGCCATTGAATTCCTCTCAAAAAATTGATATAAAAATAATTTAATGGAATAGTTAAATTATTTTTTTGATATATACACTCTAAATTTGAATTAGTAAAAATGTTTACTAATTTAAATTAGTGACTTTTTGCTACTGAATTACTTTTGAATAAATAATCATTTCTACTAATTTATTAGTAAAACTTTTTGCTTTTGAATTTAAAAGCCAAAATTTAGTCATACTAATTCAAATTATTAGACATTTAAACTAATTCAAAATAGAGAGTAGTTAAAAATATCGGTGTGTACTCCCCTTAATTGTCTTAAATAAAACTTATTTGCTAAAATATACATTTATTTAAGAATATACAAGTAATTGGTTATTTGAATAAAATAAATCTTTCTCATTGTATAATGTTCATTACGATATTCGTTGTAATAAAGAAGTTAAAATTTTAAATTATTAATTAATTAATTTTATATTAATTAATTATTTTCATTGAAACAACATTTAAATTAATAATCTAAACAAATTTTACTTTCATAAAATTATATATATTAAGTAAATTGAATTTTTTTTATATTGAATTATGAAAAAAATTTTAACAATTGTTTTGATACAATTTATGAAAGAAGCTTTAAAATTAAAGTTGTACCCTAAAGGGTCCCGTTACGTACATCTTGTATGCTGTGATAGAAGTAAGCGTATCAACAATCGGACGAATTAAAAAAAAATTGTTTTCGAAATTTCCTAATAAACTTAACGCGTTTGCAACAAAAAAATTCGTTTTTTTTAAATTTTTACCCTACTGCGGAAGGAAAAAAACAAATTAATTATAAAAATCTAAAATTACATTTTAGAATAAACAGCGAATTAATATTCCTTTCGTACCAAGTGTAAAAAAAACAAAATTAATAAAAAATATCGCCCGATATATATTTTCCTTAATTCTTTTAGTGCACAAAATATTTTTTTGGTAAATAAAAAAAAATGTATGCAGAATGCAGGAATTTTAATAAAAATTGTAAATGATATATACAGGCAGTGTGCTGTAATTTTGACATATATAAGGAAAAAAATGGGTGTAATTTGTACATCTGTGAAAACATAATAATAGTGGGCGTAATGTTGGGCCAATGAAAAAATTTGGCTGAGCGTGAAATAGCGTCGAAAAAATGTTTTTCAAACAATAGAGTACGATTGTCAGTATTAAACATCGAGAAACTTAGAATTAATTTTTTCTAGTTTCTTTTAACAATTTATAAAAAGAAAAATTTTACATTTCCATTGAAATTGTTTTGCAGTCGAATTAATAAGAGACTACAAATTGATTGTTATATTATAAATGATTGATTGAATCTAATTGACGACAATTTTTATGAAAATATCAAGTAGAGAATCTATATTTTATGGTAATTTTTAATACTTCTCATTTTTTAATAATCATTTAATCTATATATTTTTTTGTGCCTCTTGAGAGACTTCGAATTTTTACACGTAATGTGCATAGACTGAGTAAGCTTTCAAGTTTTTTGTAGATAGATTATTTGGAATAAATACAAATACTCACGAAATTTTCTACATATATTAATTTCAACTTACTTTTTGTGTCCTCATTTTTATTAATTGAATATAAATCACTTTTTATCTCCTTTTTCTTTTAGTAATTTAGTTCGCCAATTGAGGTTATGTTACTGTTTTACAATTTACATAATGGTAATTTCATATACAATATTTGACGATTTTTACTAATATTGATTGTATTTATATATTTCGCACAAAAATAGAGAAAAAACCGTTAAAAGCGCAAAAAAACGAGGCAAAACTTGTGACAATACCGCGCGGCACACCGGCACGATGCATAGAATTTTCAACTTAATAGCTCATTGAAACGCGAATAATAAAACGCAAGTTTCGAAAATAATGACCACGAAATTCAAATTAATAAAACTACAGCAATTCCCTTGTTGGAGATAATTTAAAATCGGAAAAAAGAGAAATAAATTTCACCGGCTAACAATAACACTTCAACACGCGGCCGGTAACTATAAAGTCCCCAACGGCAAATTTTCTCAAACGGCCCCACTATATATCGCCGCGCATTTGTCACGACAGATGGCGGGACTGACATTCGTACTCCTATTTTCAAAAAGGCGATTATTTTATTTGTTAGTTAACCAACAAATAAAATAATCACTTTTTGAAAATAGGAGTACTATGGGAAATTGTTAACTATGTTAACTAAACAATTAATCTGCGATGTCACAGAAGGTGTTCCCATTTACTTTCGTGTTCGATAAATAAGATAAACTAGAGTTTTGTACTTAAAGTCAGATTTATTAATATTTCTCAAAACGCCTTGAAGGCTGCCTAATACAAACATACAAAAGATTTCCTGTTTGTGTCTCAGAGATTTTTGCCTCAACCCGTGGGAAGAATATTTTAAAATTATAAAAATAATTAACAATTCAATTTCTAGCGCGTTTATTTCGATTGTCGATATATCGAAATTATTCGAGCGGAAACTTAGAAGCGCATGCGCCGTAGTTTTACGTAAACTTACGAATTTTTACGTAAATTACACGGGGATTGTTTCAAGTTCACGACCCTGCTGCCCTGGTTATTTTAAGGTTATGTTGACATTTGCCTTTTAAATCCTTCAACAACGCAAAAACAAAACAATAAAAAAATTCTAAATTTTATTTTACACGAGTTGTTAATGAACATATTATAGGATTTACTTGAATAATTATTTTAAAATGTGGCCTATGGAATCGTTAGATATTGAAAAAGAGTTTTTTTTCTATTACAAATACAGGAGTGAAAATATTGTGTTTTTTTCTAATTTTTAAGTGATGATGATCAATGAAAGATTTCTCTATCTCTAAAAGAGAATACTTATGTTTAATTTTTCTGTATTTTTAACAACTCCAATTAATTGTATTTTTAGAAATTTCTTTCCTTGATGGAAAAGACGTTCTTAAAAAACGCGTTTCTGTGAAGAATATCTATATTTTCTTTTTAAAGATAAAATCTGAATTTAGTGATAAACGATAAAGAAAAAATGAGTAGTATTAAATTAGAGGTGCAATGGTCTCCGATCCATTCAAATAAATATATTACTTGGGGTACAGAGATATTTTTATACGAAATATCACAAATTAAAGAAACTGTCAGACCGTCATGCATTAAAGTTTCCGATACAACAACTGCATATTTACTTGCCACGAATACCAATCATCATTACGTCAAGTGTATTGATATTTATCCTCAACCTGAACCGGATATTTTACTTGCCGTTGGACAAGCGAATGGAAAAATTGTACTCACAACTTTTGGTCCAACTGCATTTGATTCCTTGGGCATTGTAGGAAAGGAATTTGGTACATTTAAAATGAAAAAGAAATATTTTTTGTTTATTTTCATTGAGTAAGAGAAAAATTATTAGATTACAAATATTTATGAATTTTTTTAGCACCAAAACATGCGAGACAATGCAATGCTGTTGCTTGGAATCCTGTCGATCCGAATCTTATTGTTTCTGGATTAGATAAATATCGTACTGATCATTCAGTTCTTCTCTGGGATGTTCAAAGAAGTCCGCCGAGTTCGGACAGAGCACATCATTATGGAACGAGTCAATCAGATTCAATTCGACCAGTTGCAGAAGCTGGTGTTTCGGAAACAACACATTCTCTCTCGTGGTTCAACAACGAGCCGAAATGTCTCGTTGTCGGTGTTAATAATAAACAGTTGAAAATTATCGATTTTAGAGGTGAGGAAACTTTTCAAAATTCCTATTTTTTATCGTTAAAAAAAAATTAATTAACTTTTCGCAGTTAGCGAGAATTTTATTATAAATAAATAATTTTTTGTAAATTTTTATAAATATTCTATAAATTTTATAAATGACACGTACTTTATAAAAATTATGCAAAAAGAGCAGTTTTCTAAAAATTCAACTTTTTCCCTGAAATTACTTGTGTAAATAATAATTTTCATTTTTTATTTCTATTACAGGCTTTGCACTCATCTATTAAAACCTACGATTTACTACTTTTTTACTATTTGCCACTATTTGGAAACTTTTTATAGAAAATTGTGACACTAAAAGTTATTTTCTTCTTTTTTTTAGAATTTACACTACTTTCAATCTGTTAATAATTGAAATTAGAAAATTATTCTCAAAAAAATTAATAAAATTCTTAAAAACAATTCAAAAAATTTTAATAAAATTCTTTGAAACAATTGAAATATTTTCAAAAATTTTAAGAAAATTTTTCGCAAGAATTCAATTATTTTCTAATGCAGTTCTTGGCTGAAACTCAATTATTTTCAATATCTACTATTTTTATAAAATTTCACAAAAGAATTTAATTATTAGTTTCATTAATAATAAAACTTTTACAGAAATTCAATTATTTAAAATATAATTTCCATACAATTTTTTGAAAGAAATTAATTATTAAAAATTTTTTTTTTCAAAAACTTCTTCAAAAGAATTCAATTATATAAAAAAATTTAATAAACTTCATTGCAAGAATTGAATTATTTTCGCAAATAATAAAATTTTTTCCAAGAATTCATGCTATGTATAAAAATGTAAATAAAATTCGTTGGAAGAATTCAATTACACTCATAAATATTACAATTCTTCGCAGAATTTCAATTATTTTTAATAAAATTTTAAAGAAATTCCTCGAAGAATGCAATTATTCTTGAAAATTTTATTAAAATTCTTTGAAAATTCAATTATTTTTTGCATTTTTGATAAATTACTCTTTAAGAAATAATCAATTATTTATTTTTGTATATAAATAATTGAATTTTAGTAGAACTTTCTAACAAAAATTGATTTGAAAATGAATTTTAGATAATTGAATATTAGAAGCGTCATAGTATGACTTTTTAGAAATTATTAAATTTTAAAAGATTTTTAATTTGTCCGTCTTTGAAATTTTTTATTGTTATAAAACTGTAATAATATTTAAATATTTATTATAAAAAATTAATTATTAATTATTTTGCAAAAAAAGTTTTTAAAGTTTTGAATAATGCTATTTCAAACTTCTAAAAATAAATGATTGAATTTTGGAATAATTACACTTGTAATGTTTAGAAACAGTGAAATTTCAAAAAGATTTTACATTTAAATTATTTAAAAAATATTAATTACTGTGGAAAAGTATTTAAATATTTATTTTAAAGAAAAGGTATTCATATTTTGAATAATTTAAATTAGAAATTTTTGAGAAAAATTAGTCTTTTGAAGACTTGTAATTTGAAATTTTTGAAGATAGTTAAATTTTTGTGAAAATATATTATAGTTTCAAATTTCCAATTAATTGTAGATTTTTTTAAATTTAACTAAAATAATTTTTATATTTTAATTAATTTTATTTATTTTTTTTTTAATTTATTTTGAAATATAATCGTATTTTTGAAGAATTCTAACTAAAAATTTGGAAAATAATTGAATTTTGGAAAAATTTAGAATTGGATTTATTCCCAGGATAAGAAAGAAAATCAATAGTTTTTATGGAAATTGGGAAAAAGTCAGGGAATTACTGAATTAAAATTTTGCCAATCAACTAAAACGAGTTTTTTAGTCGTCAAATTAAATTTTTCGATAGCTACATTTTAATAGTTTTTTCAGTCTTGAAGATACTGTTTTTTAAATTAATTATTGAGTGCGAAGCCTGCTAGCAAATTGAACTTTCAATTTTTTTTTATTTGATTTTGCAGATCCCGTGAAAATAGTCAATACAACACCAACAAAGGCTGTTTACAGTTTGGCGGTAAATCCACACAACGACTGTCATTTATTGTCGCATGTCGATAATCAAATTACAATATGGGACACACGTTATTTTGAAAAACCAGTTCTCACGTTACCTCAAAATAGACAAGTAACAAAAGTTTTGTGGTGCCCGACAAGAAATAATCTGTTAGGTTCTCTGCAAAAAGATTCAGGTTCATTATATCTTCATGATATTCAACAATGTGGACCAGGAGACGATACGGAACCAGGTGTCTTGGAAAGAACTGTCGTTCCACCCTGGACGAATCCAACAAGTTTTTCCTGGCATCCAAAACACACTAATAGACTCTTAGGTATTTCACAACAAGGTAAGAGCGTTTCTTTAATAATTTCAAATTTACTTCTACTTATGTATCTTCTCATAATTTTGAACAGGAAAAATCTGACACTTAGATCTTTTTAAATATTCAGGAACAAAAATTCAAATCTTAAGGGCAGGTGGGAGAAAAAGTGGTTTCGTAAATTACTTCTCATTTAGAAAGAATAGAATATTTTGGGTCGGAATTTTTTGAAAAAATAGAGGAAGGTGCCCTGATTGATTAATTAATTAAATATTTAAATTATTTCTTTTGAATTAACAGGTTTGACTGACTACACAGTTTGTGAGAGGATTACATTAAATTGGTCGACACGTTCACACCTCGTTTGGAATCACGCCACGAAGGCTTTCAAATATATTTGCAGTGGTGATAATATTTATAAAGCCATTGACGATATCTCCATTTTAACCAAAACTCGTGCAATGAACGAATATGGTTTAATTGTAAATAATTATCTTCTCAAAATCTTAAACAAAAAATCTCTTAAAATTTTCAAGAACAAAAAATTCAATTTTTATTTTTAATATAATTTTTCTATGACAAATTTTATAAAATATCTAAACTTTATTTAGACAAATATTTAAAATTTCAATTTTCATTTTACTTTTCATTTAATTAAATATTAAAAGAAGAAGATTTTTGCAACTTGAATAAACTTGAAATATTTTATTTGTTTAGAAATTAAATTTTATAACTTAAATTAATTTTTTTTCTTGATTTCTTAAAATAGTTTCTAACAGTATAATTTAATTAGTTCTAAACTATTAATATAGGTTTCATGCATTGTTATTGCCTCGAATTTTTGTTTAGAGACAAAATTATTTTAATATTTGATTTGTATTTTAAGTGTTAAATTTTTTAATTGCAGCCAGAATTATCACAAAACGGAGAATTGGCGGAAAATGAAACTTTGAAAAATCTTTGGCAGTGGTTGTATTTGAGTCAATCGTTAGTTGAAGATGCAACCATTCCCAGTCCGGATAATAAACATCCAGGAGTTAGGTAATTAAGCAAAAATAAAATTGCAACATCAAAATACATATTCTAAATTACATCGTACAGGATTGCTACATATCAGGAAAAAGTCAGGGATTTTTATTAAAATTACTGGAAAAAATTAAATTTTTAGAATTCATGAGAAAATTTTGAATTTTAGTGTCTTTTTTGTTTGCCTCTTAAACTATGAAATTACCACAAATTCTAATACAAAACAACCAATATTTTATATTTCTGACAATAATTTCTTTTTAAATAACTTCATTCTTGCAGAACTATCATATAATTATTACTTATTAATTATTTAATGAATAATATTACTTAAATATTTCAAAATTAATTAAATTTTAAAAGAGTTGCGTTTACAATTTTCATAAATAGATGAACTTCAAAACGTTTTAATTTGAAATTTTATAAAATTTCAATTTTAAATGAATTTAATTACAAATTTTAAAAAACATAGATTTTTGAAAAATTTTAATAATTCAAATTTTTCTGAAATTTTTTAATAATATATTTAATTAATTATTAAAAGTAATGGATTTATAGAAGAATTTTTAGTTAAAAACACTGAAAAGAATTGAATTTTGGAAAGTTAGAAATTATTTTCAAAAGTAATAAAATTCTTCGCAGAAATTCAATTATGTTCAACAATTTAAAAAAATTCTCGTCAAATTATCAATTGTTTTTATAAATAATAAAATTCTTCTTCAAAATTCAAATGTTTTCAACAATTTTAATAAAATTTCAATTATTTTAAAAAAACTTTTAATAATTCAATGATATTCAATATCTACTATTTCAATAAAATTTTTCAAAAGAATTCAATTATTTAAAAAAATTTTTAATAAAATTCTACGCAAACATTTAATTATTTTTATAAATAATAAAAATTTCACAGGACTTCAATTTATTATTTACAAATTTTTTTATAAATTTCTTTGCAATAATTCAATGATTTTCATAAATTATAAAATTTTTTACAGAGATTCAATTATTTTCATAAATTATGAAACTCATTGCAGAATTTCAATTAGCTTTAATATAATTTTAATCGAATTTCTCGAAAAATGTAATTAGTCTTAAAAATTTTATACAAATTCGTCCAAAGAATTCAATTATTTAAAAATTTGTTAATAAAATTCTTTATAAGAATTTAATTTCAAGAAACATTCAATTATTCAATAAATAATTTACTTTTGTTAATTTTGTTATTTGTTAATTATTTTAGATAATAATTGAAAAATAAAAACACTATATCATGATTTTTTAGGAATAATTGAATTTTGAAAAGGTTTCAAATTAAAATCTTTGAAAATCTGAATTTTTCATACTTTTAACTAACAATTTTGTAGAATTAATTTTTTTGAAAAAGTTTATTTCAATTCATTTTGAAAGTATTTGAAGTTTTTATTTTTTGATATAATATGTATTTAATTGAAGAATTAAACAAGTTTAATCAAATTCCTTGAAAAATGTATTTATTCTTAAAAATTTTATTAAAATTCGTCGAAAGAATTCAATTATTTAAAAATTTGTTGATAAAATTCTTTATGAAAATTCAGTTTTGTAAAAGATTCAATTATTCAATAAATTATTTAAGTTTGTATAAATAATTGAATTCTCGTAGAATTTTCTAATAAAAATTGATTTAAAATTTAATTTCTGTGAAGGTTTTAGATAATAATTGAATTTTGGAGAAGTTACTAATAATTGCAATTTTTAGAAATATTTGAATTTTATAAAGGTTTCAAATTAAAATCTTTGAAAATCTGAATTTTTTCATACTTTTAATAAAAAATTCTATGGAACTCATTTTTTTCAATAAACTTAATTGAAATTTTTTCAAATATTATTTCAAGTTTTTATTTTCTATTGTATATTTAATTGAAGAATTTGCGAATAATTGAAATTTCATATGAAACTGAATTGTAAACAAATGGATTTAAAAATTCTCAAAAAACTTTGTCAAAAATATTTTGGTTAAAAATTCGAGAAAATAATAACTGAATTAAAATGACGAATATAATTTTGAAAAATTTAGAGTAACAATATTCTTGTAAGTAATTGAATTTCAAGAAGATTTGAATTAAAAATTTTGAGAATCTTAGTTCCCATGAAAAAATAATGATTAAATATTTATTTAAAAATGAAGTTATTGGTATTTTTGAATAATTTTACAATTAGGGAAATTCATAAATAAATGTAATAGAACATTTTTTAAGTATCTAATCATTTTTAGAGTGAATCGCAGAATATTTTTTAGTGTCAGAGAAAAAGTCAAAATTTTTTCTGGAAATCAGGGAAAAGTCAGGGAAAAACAAATTTTACTTTTTGTGGCAACCCTGTTGTATTTTTAAAAGTAATATTATTATTATTTTATTATTTATTTTATCTATTCATGTTAAATTAAATTTAATTTAAATTTTAAACATAAAATTAGGTGTTTGGTACTATTTACTAATTTCAAGAGTTAGAAATATTTAAAGTAAAGTATTTAATTAACAAACGCCTTTTATTCTCAGAATGGTTTTAAATTTTGATGTTCAAAATGCAAGTAATGGATATCTAAGATCAGAGCCAGTTCATCGATTATGGACAGACATTGGGTCAAATCACACAGCAAAAATGTACAGGTGAGATAAATAAATTTTACATTTTTTTACATAAATTAATTAATTTTTTTTTAATCACAAATACATTTTTTAAATAATTCAGAAAAAATTACGTAATTTAAAAAAAATATCGCTTAAAATTTTATACATTCTTTTGATTTTTGTTTAAAATAGATCGACAGAACGTGATAAAGCGTTACAATTGTGCGGTTGGCGATTTGAAAAGGACACGAATGCGCCGTACAGTAATTTATTTATTGAAAGACTGGAGAAGGAAGGTGCTTATCCACGAGCAACGGCTATTTCTGTTTTTAATTTATGTCTACGTCAGGCGATTGATATTTTAAATCGTGGCGCATCAAAAATGTCCTCGCCAACGAATTTAAATTTAAATATTGTCGCAATGGCATTATCGGGATTTTCCGAAGATCGCAACAGTATGTGGCGAGAACTATGCTTAAAATCAAGATCACAATTGTCTGATCCTTATTTGAGAGCGACATTTGCATTTTTAACTGCCGACAATGATTCTTATGAAAATGTACTTGTAAGTAGAATAAATTTTTTCTTATAATCAATCAAACTAAAAATATTAAAATAAAGGAAAATAGAAAAATAGAAGCAAAAAACATAAAAATAAAAACTAATTTAAAAAAATACAAAATAAATATCAAGCTGTTTCAAAAATCAAAAATTCTAATTAAACAGAATATTTTTTTATATGAAAACACTTTTGTATATGAATTTAGAAGAATTCATTGAATTCGAAGTAAAATATTTAATTTTCTTTCAGAATGAAAATGGAATGGCTGTGGAAGATCGAGTGGCATTTGCTTTAATGTTTTTGTCGGACAGTAAACTTTACGACTACTTGAAAAAATTGACACAAAAATTGACTGATGAGGGCAATTTGGCGGGTTTTTTGATCACAGGTCAGTATTCTTTCAAAAGGCGTTTTAAATAAGAAATTAATTTCCTCGAGAAACTTAAAACTAAGTTTTGTGTTTAATTTTTTAAAAATTTATTTATTTGATTATATATTCATTTATTTAATTTATAAAGGCAAAGTAATAATTGCTTATTCGATTTTATACATATTTTTTTTGCCATAATCACATTAGCAAAAAGGAAATAAAATTCTATTACATATTTAATTAATTCATTCTAATTTAATTCTTAATTTAGGTGCCAGTTTGGAAGGCATTCAATTACTAAACAGATATTTAGAATTGACAGGCGATGTACAAAGTTGTAGTCTCATAGCAATTCGAGCTTTACCATCGAAATTGCTACAGGAAAATCAAGTTCAAGTTTGGATTGCCAGGTACAATTTTCCGTTTTTTTTTAGAATAACAGAATTTATCTAGAATTTATAGGTATTTTTTACTATTTTAAGTCTGCTTTTAAAAATTACCAGCTCGTTTTAATCAAAATTTAATTTTTTTTCTCATTTAAATTCCAAATTAATTTGGTTAAGAAATTTTCTTAATTTATTTATTTTCTTTATTGTTATTTATTATTATTAATTAAGTATTATTATTTCTTTATTTAATTTTAAATTGTTTGGAAACAGTTATAGAAGTTTACTCGACGCATGGAAAATGTGGAATCAACGAGCGCACTTTGACATCGCAATGAGAGCCTCAACGAATGAGAAACCACCGCAACAAGTTTATATTTCTTGTAATTTTTGCGGAAAGAGTATATCGTCATTTATGCAGGGTCTTAGTCGCGCGAGAGGTCCTTTTGGTCGACTAGGAAGCACTTCGAATAAATTAAAAGTAAGTGTAGTAATTTTTATTGTAAATTTATAAATTTTTTCTACTAAAACCTACTACATATTTACTATTTACTTTTTTATGATTTGCTACTATTTGGATAGATTTTTTAATTTTGTGCCACTAAAAGCTATACTTAATTTTTTTCTTTAAATTGCACTACATTTAAACCACTAACAGTTAAAATAAAAAATTTATATTTATTTTCTTTAAAATAATCATAAATTAAAGAATCACCTGTTTACCTTATTTTATTAATATATACAAATTTTATTTTTAAATTTAACTTTATCAATTCAAATAATTCTAATCTACTCAAAAATTAGTCGATTCGAATTTCCCTCGATTTAAATTTTAAACAATAATAGCTTTAACTGTTGATAAAATCAAAATTAATTGAAATAACAATATATTAATGAACTTACAAGTTAATTTGTATTATTTAACATTTTTTTTTTTTGGAAAATAATTCCTTCTTTCATCTACTAGAATAAAAAATGTGCTGATGTGATTCATGTACAATTTTTTACTGCAACAGGTTTCTCTGACTTTTCTCTAATTTCCAGACAAAATTTTGAATTTTTCCCTGACTCTAAAGTTTATTTTAATTCATTATAATGCCTGCTAATTATGTTTAATCTTTATTAACGGTTTCCATAGGAATTAAGATTTTCCAAAAAATTTAAAATTCAAACCTTTTGAAATTCAATTACTTACAAGAATATTGTTACTCTAAATTTTTCAAAATTATATTCATTATTTCAATTCAGTTATTATTTTCTCAAATTTTTAACCAAAATATTTTTGACAAAATTTTTTGAGAATTTTTAAATCCATTTGTTTACAATTCAATTTTAGGACATTTCGATTATTCGGAAATTCTTCAATTAAATATATTATAAGAAAATAAAAGCTTCAAATAATATTTAAAAAATTTTAATTCAAATACCTCTATTCAAAAAAATTAGTTTGACTAAATTGTTAATCAAAAGTATTTAAAATAATTAAGATTTACAAAGACGTTAATTTGAAATCATCGAAATTCAATTATTTCTGAAAATTGCAATTTTTTGTAACTTCTGTAAAATTTAATTAAATAAATAATTATTTTAAAAAATCATCTTATTTCAAAAGAATTTGAATTGTTAAAATTTTTCAAGAAACTAAGTTCTTTAAAATTTCTAATGAAATTCATTCAAAATTCAAATTTTCTAAAATTTAAAATTAAAACCTTTTGAAATTCATTTATTTATGATAATTTTAATCGTAACTCTTATAAAATTCAATTATTTTTGAAATTTTTTTAGTTATATTATTCATTAAATAATTTATGAATAATAATTTTATAATTATTTCTTCAATAATTAAATTATTGTCTGAAATAGAGAAAATGTAATGTTTTGTATTATAATTCGTGCTAATTTCAATTTATGAAGCAAACAAAAAAGACATAAATTAAAAAAATTTCATTTTTTCCAGTACTTTTAATAAAACTCCCTATTTTTTCCTTGATTTCCCTGAATAATTAAATTTCAAAAGGATTTTAAACTGAAATCTTTGAAAATTTTAAATTCCGTTGCAGTTTACTTAATAATTAAAATATTATTTTAAAAAAATAACTTTATCTAAACATTCTAAAAAGTTTTGGATAATTTTATTTAAAACTTCTGAAAAAATAATTTAAATTTGGAAGAATAATTACAGTTGTAATTATTATAAATAATCAAATTTCAACAGGTTTTACACTGAAATTATTTGAAATATTAATAGCTGTAGAAAAATAAATTACAGGAAGTATTTAAATATTTATTTGACAAAATTACTGAAGTTTTTAATAATTTAAGTTAGAAAATCTGAAAAAATTAGGTTTTTGAAAACTTTTAATTACAATTTTCCCGCATGTAATTGAATTCCCGAAAATAATTTTAAAAATTGAAACAATTGGAAATTTTTGTCAAAATTCATTGAAACAAAATTCTATATTTTAAAGAATCTCATTTAATTTTTTTGCTTTTAAAATTTATTTTTAAGTACAATCGTATTTTTGAGGATTTCTCACTGAAAATTTGGAAAATAATTGAATTTTAAAAAAATTCAGAATTGATGTTATTTACAAAAATGAGAGAAAAATATTAATTTTCTTTATGTACATTAAGGAAAAGTCTGTGAAATGCATAATCTATCAAACTTTTGTAATAATCCTGAATAAAATAAGTTACTTTTTTGTACATATTGAATCGACTAAAACTATTTTTTTAAGTCGTTAAATTCAATTTGACGATAGCTACTTTTTTTATTAATTAACGAAGGTGAAACCTATAATATACCCAATTTTTCATTTTGACAGATGTCTGCATGCCCTGGTTGCAGAAAACCGTTACCAAGATGTGCAATTTGTTTATTGCACATGGGAACTGTGAGCGGTTTACAAATGACAACCAATTCAAGTAGAAATGAAGAGGACAGTAAATTGACAGAATTCAATAATTGGTTTACCTGGTGTCAAACATGTAGACACGGCGGTCACGCCAATCATATAACGCACTGGTTCGAGTAAGTTTTTTTCATTAAAAAAAATATAAATTATATAAAAAAATATGGAAAAGAAATAGGGTCAGATGGGGTAAATAGAAACAAGGGGTAAATCGAAACAGTAGTTATTTCAGTTAAATAAAGAATTTTAAAAATAAATACGGCCTTACATCTTGAAGCTTATATCACCCCCAACAAGTTCTAAGTATTTTCCCATTTTCCGTTTGTCAATTAGCAGCAGTATAAACAAAAATATTTTCTATTGCATAAAAGATTGAAAATCAAAGAAGATACCCTTTCACTTTTTTGACTCGCATTTGTAAAAAAATAAACTAAAAATTCATACTAAAATTTATAATTATCTCTTATTAATACTACAACAAAAATCAACTTTGATTTTTTCAATTTGCAAACTTTATTAAAAAATAGGAGACTATTTCTATTTACCCCTAAAAACTGAAAATTCGGGGTAAATAGAAACAGCAAAAATTTCAATAATATTTCTTATAATATAAATGAGAAAATTATTTCTATCATACTACAATACTATTTTCAGCATTATATATATGAAAATGAGAGAGAATAAAAGAGAAAAAGAGAGAACAAACCTTTATTTGTGTAATGTGTTTCAATTTTTGTCATGGTTTATTTTTAAACTTATGTAATGCATTATTATTTATTAGTTTGAATTATTTTAAAAATAACACAATTTTTTATGTAATTATTTGTGTCTTTTAACATTTCCATACTTAAAATTGATTTTTTCTTAAATTTTTTTAAGAAATAATGAACTGTTTCTATTTACCCCTAAATTTTTGCAAAGTTGAAAAATTTAGGGGTAAATAGAAACAGTTGATTATTGCGATTTAATGATACCCATATTTTTTTCTTCGCCATAAAATTGTTCCACGGAAGTGAAATAATAACTCAATACACAAAAAAACCGAAAGTATTCCGATTTAAAAGAAAAAACTTATGTTATTGGTAAAACTTAGCAAGTCTGTTTCTGTTTACCCCAACTGACCCTATAAAAGAAAATATATTCAAAAAATATTTAAAAAGTATTCAAAAATAAATATATATATAAAAGAAAATATTTTAAGGGGAGGATACACCGATATTTTTAACTATATTAAGAAAATAATTTCAATATTCCACAAAATTATTTTTAAATAATTTTTATCAGGAATTCAATGGTCAGAAAATATTTTGATCCTTTTTGAATTTTTATTTTTCTTAAAAAGTGTCGGATTTTGAAATACATGCGTAATTTTGAAGAAAATATGTTTTTGAATACATCGAAAAAATTGCCAAATAAAAAATTAATTTTCATAATTTTTGAAGTATTTTTTTGAAAGAAAATCTTTGTTTTAGGCTGAAAATGCTAAAAAATAACAATATTGTTATTCAATTTTTGTAGGATGAAAATTAATTTATTTGACAAATTTTTTTGTAGATTTAAAAACATGTTTTCTACAAAATTACGCATGGATTTCAAAATCTATCAATTTTTAAGAAAAATAAAAATTCAAAAAGAATCAAAATATTTTCTGATTAATTTTATTTTTTGACCATTGAATTCCTAGCAAAAATTACCTTAAAAATAATTTTGTGGAATATTTAAATTATTTTCTTGATATAGATAAAAAAATAACCGTGTACCCTCCCCTTAAAAATACATTTATAAAAAGTTTAAAAATTGTTTTTTGAAATATATAAAAAATAAAATTAATTCTTTGCAGACAACATTCTGAATGTCCAGTCACTTCCTGCACCTGTCGATGTTTTTCACTGGATGCATCGTGTAAAATTGGAATCGGAATTTCTTAAATATGTATTTAAAAAGTAACCCAATTTGTACAGTAATTTTTACAATAAAATTTTTAAAATACACTTTTACTTTAACACTTTTTTTATTATAAAATAATTTATCGATTTACATTACAATCACGTGAGGCATTTAAAAGAAAATAATTTTTTTCTATAAATTTAAAACGATGGACCGTCACCTGTTGACCATTTTTTATCACCAAGTAAATTTCCAACTAGTAACATTTCATTGTAGTTTTCATTCGCTATTAGAGAAGAAGAAAAATAATAATAGTAAATAATTTGGAATAAATTTCTTAATTCATTTCGTAAACAAATCTTATACTCACCAACATTTAAATTGTCTTCAGTCGGAAAGACAAAGAAAGCGGTACACAATACTGTTGTCTTTGACTGTACAGTTCCATGAACTTCTAAATAACAATCAGAATTTCCATCAAATGGTTCTGATAATGATACATTAACTTTGACATCGTCCAATGTGACAAGTTCAAAGGATTTACCATTCGGGCTTAACTGAAAATAGATTTTAAATGAACAGACAAAAGAGGTTATAGATAAAATTTTATTTCGCTTCAGTATAAAATTCAAACAAATTAATTAATTTAATTGAAATTATTTCTGGAGTTTTTAATAATTACGTTTATGTAGATTTTTTTATTAATATAATTTGAAGGATTAATTTTTGTGAATGAAATTCACCAAGGACTGTAAACAAAAACAGTTCTACTTACCATTCCAAGTTTACCCATAAGAATCACTTCCTCGTTAACATTTTGAGATAAATCTTGACCCCGGATTCGTTTCACGAGTTTAAGCATTTTTGTTTTTTGTATCTGATTTACTAATCAAACTAAAATAAACTCAATTAATTCCTTTAACTACAATAAACAATGTCGGAAGTCGGAATAAATGACAATTACCGCGTTTTTTGGAAGCCGAAAATAACAGGGTTGGGTATGTAAAATAGATGTCGAGTTTCTTAAGGGGAGTTTACAATATTGTCCAGTTTTTTTAAAGCAATCAAATTTTGTATTGCAACTTAAAGTCGAGTTCATACATTTCCCACTTTGATCGCATGCGCACGCACCAAGAGTTAGGTTATGTTTTTAAACTGTCAACTGTCAAAGCTGTCAGTTCTCTCTGTGTTAACTTGCACACATTGGGAGATTGGGGAAAATAAAAAGTATAAAACACTCGTAAAGTGTATTATAGGAGGGGCAAAAGAATACTCTCGTGTATATATTATGATTCAACCACACGCGATGTAACGTCGCATCGACGGAGAAATCAACAGATCAATTTAATCAACTTGAGTGTATTGAAGATAACGAGGCAAAAATCTACTTGTCGTGAAACGTTATTTTATTCATTCAAGGGCGTTCGTTGAGTGAAAAGTGTTTTTTTTTTAAAGCCATTAATGACAAGGCGGGAGTTTCGTGATCCTGAAATATTTTTTTACTAATGCGCCGGATATATTTAAACTTTTAGGAGTAAAATTTTTCTCTATATTAATAGATTCAGAGCCCATCTCACAATCATTATTATATGTACGTGTTTTATCAAAATTCGTTCATTGTTTTCTCTTGTTATCTTACAATGAGCTAACAATGAGTAATTTTTACTTCTTTCAACGAGGATTCAAATGAACTTGATTGTAATCATCTCATTTGTTTGAATTTATAATTTGTATGTGAAATACTTAACTTACTGTCAATTATGTCAACGAGATTGAATATTAATCTCTCGTCGTCCAGGTGCTCTAGTGAAAACGGCGCACAAGGTAATTGTATAATCATTTATCAACTTGGTCACATTGAATCAATTTTATTATCATTTGTCATTTTATCAAGAATGTAACATTTCCTTAGAACTTAATATCTACTTGTAACTTTAAATTTAATCTGCTTAACTATTTTTAATTTGTTGTATATTTTTTGTAAATTTGTAATTGATTAAAAATAAATTTACAAATAAAATTAAAATAATTTCAGGGTTGCTACAGGTCAGGGAAATCAAGGAAAAGTCAGAGATTTTTATTAAAAGTACTGGAAAAAATTAAATGTTTAGAATTTATAAGAAAATTCTGAATAACTTAATTCTATTGAAGAACTGCCATAAAGTTATTACTTATAAATCATTTAATAAAGTATTTTTTTGAAAAATTTTAATTTCAATTCTGTTGAAATTAGTTTTAATTTTCAAAATTTTAACGCAATTCTTTGAAAGAATTCAACTATCTTTTAATAAATATTGAAATTCTCTCCAGAAATTCAATTATTTTCAAAAAGTTTTCTTAATTCAATGATATTCAATATTCTACTATTTTAATAAAATTTCCTAAAAGAATTAAATTATTATACAAAAATTTGATAATATTCTACACGAACATTCAATTATTTTCCAAAATAATAAAAATTTCACAGAAATTCAATTATTAAAATAGAATTGGCATAAATTTTTTCGAAAAAATCAAATATTTTAAAATTTGGCATTAAATTCTTTGCATTAATTCGATTATTTTTATAAATTTTCAAATTATTTCCAGGGATATAATTATTTTCATAAATAATAAAATCATTCGGAGGAAGACAATTCATTGGGAAATTTCAATTATTTTCAAAAAATTTTCTTGATTCAATAATTTCTATATAATCTATTATTTTTATAAAATTTCTCAAAAGAATTCAATCATTTAAAAACAATTTTGACAAAGTTCTACACGAATAATCAATTATTTTTTAAAATAATAAAAATTTCACAGGAATTCAATTATTATAAATAGAATTTGCATAAATTTTTTTTTTTTAAATCAATTGTTTCAAACTTTTCTATAAAATTCTTCGCAATGATTCAATTATTTCCATAAATAATAATACTCATTGCAGAATTTCAATTATTTTTAATACAATTTTAATCAAATTCCTTGAAAAATGTAATTATTCTTTAAAATTTTATTAAAATTCGTCGAAAGAATTCAATTATTTAAAAATTTGTTGATAAAATTCTTTATGAAAATTCAGTTTTGTGAAAGATTCAATTATTCAATAAATTATTTATTTTTGTATATAAATAATTGAATTCTCGTAGAATTTTCTAATAAAAATTGATTTAAAATTTAATTTCAGTGAAATTTTTAGATAATAATTGAATTTTGGAGAAGTTACTAATAATTGCAATTTTTAGAAATAATTGAATTTTGTAAAGGTTTCAAATTAAAATCTTTGAAAATCTGAATTTTTTCATACTTTCAGTTAAAAATTCTATATGGAACTCATTTTTTTCAATAAACTTAAATCGAAATTTTTTCAAATATTATTTCAAGTTTTTATTTTCTATTGTATATTTAATTGAAGAATTTGCGAATAATTGAAATTTCATATGAAACTGAATTGTAAACAAATGGATTTAAAAATTCTCAAAAAACTTTGTCAAAAATATTTTGGTTAAAAATTCGAGAAAATGATAACTGAATTAAAATGACGAATATAATTTCGAAAAATTTAGAGTAACAATATTCTTGTAAGTAATTGAATTGCAAAAGGTTTGAATTAGAAATTTTGAGAATCTTAGTTCCCATGAAAAAATAATATTAAATATTTATTTAAAAATGAAGTTATTGGTGTTTTTGAATAATTTTACAATTAAGGAAATTCATAAATAAATGTAATAGAACATTTTTAGAGTGAATCGCAGAATATTCTTTAGTGTCAGAGAAAAAGTCAAAATTTTTTCTGGAAATCAGGGAAAAACAAAACTAAATTTTTGTGGCAACCCTGAATTTGATATTTATATACTTTATTTTATTGACTTAAGAAAATTCGGATTGGTAATTAAAATTGAAATTAATATTCTTTAAATATAGAATTTTAATCAATGTATTCATTTAGCGGTGTGATGGATAAAAAGTCTGATAATTGACAGTTATTAACACGTCGATCTTAGGATGCTGCGAGGTCAGTTGAGAGACATATCATCCTGGATGGTTCGTGTGTCCGGAGCCATTCGTCGGAGCTTATAAAACGGACACTTAATAAAAATGTTTAGTTCAAAAATAAGCGGTTCCACGAGTAAATTCTACACTGATTTATATGACAATGAAGAAACTTCTCAGTCGGAGGATAATAAATCGACAACAACGAAAAATTCTCATCTACAAGAACAAAACAGTGGAGCTAGCGATGATGTCAATTCACAAGATTCAGATTCAATCAACAGTGTTGCAAATGAACAAAATTCTCCAAAACATTCTTCCTACAATCGAATGTCACGACTACAAAGTTGTCCCAGATTTCAATCGTTTCTTGTCACAACTTCAAATTCTTCAATATGTACGGAAATTCGCTCGGAAAAAATCTCTACCGAATCTTCCTTTGTTAAAGTCTCACACAGCGTTTTGGAATACAGTAGCAGCAGGTAATATCTTTTTCTTTTCTCATTTCAATTTCATTCAATTTGAATTTATTTAGAAATGTATTTTTTCCTGTATTAAAAATAATCTTTTGTTCTGTTTTTATACTTCAATCCGAAAAGATTTTGTAATTCTCGTTTAGTTCGCTTTTTATGTTGATGGAAAATATTATGATCGTCTTGAGAGGAGTTGCCAAGTCTCTATAAAACGTTATCAAAGAATAAAATTCAAAGGTTTAAGGATGTGGCTAAAAATAGTTTTCAAAGAACTGAGCATCTGGCACGTTTTTATCTAGTTTACATACAATCCATCAAATGTGTTCATAAAATCATACTCTCGAAAGAAACTCCTGAAATTAAAATTGTATCAATTTTTTATTCGCGAATTTTAAATTCTCTCCTCTGAAAACAGAATCAAGAGACAATTAATAGAAAAGAAAAATTTCCAAAAAAAATATCATTAATATATATTTCTAATTGCAAAAATTTTTTTTAGATACAAGGCAGCAGAGAGGAGTTCACATCAGTTTATACTCGAGGATTACGCGGTGAGCGAGTCAGAGAGTGAAGAAGAATCGGACGAGAATCGTTCAACGGAAATCACAACAATTATTAATAATCAGCCTAATGATTTGGCAAATGAAAAATTATTGTCAACAACAAAACAGGAGCATTGTGATTCAAAGAAAAAGAAGGCACATCAAGTTGCTGAGGAATTACTCGCGACAGAAAAGAAATATGTGAATATTTTACATTTAATTGATCAAGTATTTCAATTTCGTGTTGATCAAGAAAATCGTGCACATCCAATGTTTCCAATTGAAACGGTACAACATATGTTTTCAAATATTAAATCAATTTATAAATTTCACAATGATTTTTTATTACCACAACTCGAGGAGAGAATGAAATTATGGGAGACGAATTCACGTATTGGTGATATTATGAAGAATTTTGCGCCATTCTTAAAAATGTATACGGAATATGTGAAAAATTTTGATTACGCAATGAATCTTATTAATAATTTACAAGGGAAAGTGCCACGTTTTGCGGCAATTATCAATGAAATACAAAAACTTGAGGAGTGCGGAAGATTAACATTGTCACATCATATGCTCAGTCCTATTCAACGATTGCCGAGATATGAATTACTTATTAAGGATTATTTGAAGAATCTTACCAAGGATAATCCCGATTATGAAGATACGAAAAGTGAGAATCTTTTACATTTTTTTCATTGCTCTAAAATTTTTAACATTCAAATAAACGAAATTTTTTTGTTTAAATATTTTTAAGAAATTTCTGTATCAACTATGAAAAGTAAAGTAAATTATGAGGCACATTTTCATGTGCTTCGATTTTTAAAAATCTAATTGTTACTTAAAAAACAATCGCTCAAAAGTAAACATGAATTTAAAGCCAAAATAAAATAAATCGTCACAATATTTTTTCGTTTTAGTTTTTAAAAACGTTGCGGACATCAGCCACAGTAAATTAATTTTAAATGATGTTCTATTTAAAAAATTTTGTTTCACTTTTGTTCTAATAAGTTCAAATTTTTACTAATTCAGATTTATTATTTACTTACTTAGAGAATAAGTTTTGCAGAGATATTTTTGCAAAAAAAATTTATAAATTCTATTATTTTCCAAAATTTTGCGTTAATGAATGTGATCTTTTTTTATTTTTAAAGATGACATTTTTGTTTTAAAAAAAATATCCTAATTTGATTAACTTTTATAATTTCTAATCCCAAATAATTTGATTCTCGCATTAAATTTTTTAAAAATTTTTAAAAAAATTCAATTGTTTAGATGAATTTTATTAAAAACTTTTGATAATAAATTCTTTCAATGAATTTAATTAAAATTGTAATGAAATTTTTAACTCTTCTAAAGAATTTTATCAAAATTTTTGAAAATAGGTAATTAAATACTTTCAAGGAATTTTATTAACGGTTTAAAAAACAAATGAATTTCTTCGAGAAATTTTATTAAAATAGTATTCAAAATAACTGAATTCCTTCGAAAAATTTTATTAGAATTTTTGAAAATAATTTAATTGTTTCAAAGATAAATTCTTTCGAGGAATTCAGTTAAAATTGTATTGAAAATAATTGAATTCTTATAAAGAATTGTATCAAAACTTTTGAGAATAATTTGAATTTTTTCGACGAATTTTATAAAAATTTGGAAATAATTGAATTCTTGAGAAGACTTTTATGATTTTTTTTTAATATAATTGAATTCAATTATATTTTTAAAAAAATCATAAAATTGAATTGAATTATATTTTAAAAAAATCATAAAATTCTTCTCAAGAATTCAATTATTTTCAATATATTTTCAATGAATTTTATTAATTTTATTAATATATTTTAGAAAATAATAAATACCTAATACTAATTAATTTGTTCATAAATGAATTTTTTTAAATTTTGAATATGAAATCATTCAAAGATTGAGGTTGATTTTTGAAATTTTTATAATAGAATTCAAATTGAAAAAGGAGAAAAAATTTAAGAACAAAAACTACAAATTTTCAACAACATTTTTTCCCTCTAATTGTTTTACATTTTAATTTATATTATTTTCAAAAATTAATCAACAAATTTGTTTATTTTCAGTAATGAATTCATTTTTTTATTAATAAATTCAAAATTTAAGAATATTCTTATTAACATATTTTGATATTTATTTCATTTGGAAAACAATTAAAAGTATTCTTTAAGTAGTTGAATTCCAGTAAATTAGGATAAACTAATTTGTCGAGGAAGTGAACTTTTCTTTTAAAATTTGATTACACAATATTGTTTTTTTATATAATAAAAAACTTAATTTTTAACTAAATGTTCAATTAGAATATTTTTCATTTAACTTCAGTAATTTAAAAAATTATTGGAGCACAAAAAAATATTTCTTTCATTTTAAGATAAAAAATTTAGGATAATAAACCAATAAGTAATTTTATTTTTGAATAAGCAGAAATTTATTTATTATTTTGAATTTTTAAAATTTAATTTTAATTGAATGAAAATTTAAATCTCTTATTATTATTCTATCATAATTCATTATAATTTAATTTCTTTCTATATTTTTTATCTCTTCTTTATTACAGAGGCTTTGGAATTGGTATCAACGGCAGCGAATCACACGAATGAAGCTATGAAGAAAATTGATAAATTCAAAAAACTTTTGGAGATCCAGGAGAGCATTTATGATTCTACTGATTTAGTTAGTGCGACACGTGAACTCGTTAAAGAAGGAAGGATCGTTAAAATATCTGCTCGAAGTGGTGATCATCAAGAAAGGCATTTATTTCTAGTGAGTTACAATTTTTTTTCTTATCAATTACAAATTATTGCTAGTAATTTGCTAATTTCCATTATAAATTACAAAATTAAATTCTTCCTTTAAAAATTATTTCGAGATTTGTAATTTTTGAAATTTAGAAGTTTCTTTTCTATAAAATTACGAAAATTAGTTTTATTTAATATATAAAAATAATTTTGAGGAGCACTTTGAGTAATTAATTTGTAATTGTAATTATTTTCACATGCATTTAGAATTTTTGAAATTTGCAAATTTTTCCAAAAAAAATTGTAATTTTGTAATCTGTAGTTGCAATTCTTGTAATTCGCATATTTTCCTTCTGAAATAGGTACAAAATTAAATTCCTCATTGAAAATTATTTTTAAAATTTGCAATTTTTTCCCCTTGAATTAAAAAAATTTAATTCTTTATTCATAAAACAAAAATTTCTAAATTTGCAATTTACAAAATACATAAATTTTTTTCCCTCATAAAATTAGGAAAATTAGAAAAAAGGTGAAAACAATTTGCAAACAATTTCAACGATTTCATACCTAAATCTTTTCTTTGGTTTCTTTTTACAATTTTTCCTTTAAATTATGAAAGTAAAATTTTCCACTAAAAATGTAATTTCTAATAGTAGACAAAGTAAATAATTCTATTATTCAATTATTTTCAAGTATAATAAATTTTTCTGATCAATTTTTTTATATAGTAAAAATTAAAGAAAAATTTTTCTAATATTTATTTATTTCTTATTTTTATTATTTATTATATTTTTTCCTTCTCTTTTTAATCCAGAAAAATTATTTTTCTTCAGTTCTTTTTTTAAAATTTTAATTAAATTAATTTTTAATTTTCTTCTGTTTCTATTTTTCCTGCAGTTCAGTGATATACTTTTGCTGTGCTCATTGAGACTGATTCCTGGACCAATTTATCGTTTGAGAGCAAAATTTCTCGTAGAAAATCTTGAAATAATTGAAGGCGATAATTTGGAAACTGCTAATACATTTTATATAAGAGATGATAATAAAAACGTCGAATTATATACTCATTCTGCGGCGGATAAGGCCGCATGGCTTGATGCACTATTCGAGACAATGCACGAGATTATGAGACGAAAGGCGAGTTTAAAAACTGGTGAAGAGAAAAATAATTTAGTTAAAACTGACGATGTTAATAGATGCATGGTTTGCGAAACTTTATTCTCCGTTATGAAACGAAGACATAATTGCAGATCGTGTGGAATTGTAAGTGATACGAAAAAATATTTATTATTACAATTTTTATTATTATTAGAAACGTTGTTTCGTTTTTAAATGAATTTTAGAATACTGTTTTTCTTTTTCGTGACAAATGATTTGCTTTTCAGATTGTCTGCAGTAAATGCTCAAACCAAAAATTATTATTCGAGGACAATAAGCATATGAGAGTGTGTAGATTATGTTATGCAGCGTTAACGCAACCATTAACGAAATCACCCACTTCGCCTGTTCCAAGTTTACTTCAAGTATCAGCAAGTGCACCATCGGTTTTTTCCGGTTATTTATTACTCAAAACACAAGCAAGTAAACATTGGACGAGAAGATGGTTTTCGCTTCATACGGATTTTGTACTCTATACATTTAAATCGGATTCGGAAAATATGGCAATGACTGCAACACCCCTGCCCGGTTTCATAGTTATCGAGGGAAAAGAATTGCCCGACGAGGATCCATTAAATTCAAAAGATCGAATCAGAGCTTTTAAGATTCATCACTCGCGAAAGGGTTATTATCTTCAAGCATCGTCGCAGGAAAACAAAGAAAAGTGAGTATCAATAAAATAATTAATGGAAGAAAAAAATAACATTTTTCAAAATTCAATTGAATTTTATATTTATTATTATGCAAATTACTACACCATTTTTTTATTTTTAAATATTAATTTCAATTTATGAATAATTTCAGATTCAAAAATAACAAATTTAGTTACCTTATTTTTATTATTCATTATTTTCATAAATAATAAATTTGTTCACAGGAATTCAATTATTGAAACTACAATTTTAATATAAAATAATTCTTTGCTAGAATTAAATTATTTTTATAAATAATAAAATTCTTCAATAAAATTAAATTATTTTCAATACAATTTTAATAAGGTTTCACAAAAGAATTCAATTATTTTGAGAAATTTGGATAAAATTCTTCGCACAATTTTAATTGTTCTCAATACAAATTTTGAATTAAATTATTTTCTACCCAATTTTTATTAAAAATTTTAAATAAAATTGTAATGTCTATTATTTTTTAAAATATTGATAAATTATTTGCAATACAATTTTTATTAAATTCCTCGAAAGAATTAAATTATTTTACTCTTATTTTCAATATAATTTTGATTAAATTCTTGGAAAGAATTTAATTATTTTCATAAATGAAAGAATTCAATAGTTACAATTTTAATAAAATTTTTCGAAAGGATTCAATTATTTTTAAAAATTGTACTAAAATTTTTCTAATGAATTAAATTATTCTCAAAAATGTTGATAAAATTCTTTATATTAAATATTCAAATTATTTGAATACAATCTTAATTAAATTCTTCAAATAAATTTAATTATTTTCAAATATTTCGATTAAATTCTTTTCAGAAATTCAATTATTTTAAGAAATTCCTATGCAAAATTTGAATTATTTCATATTCAGGGTGGGCCACATGTCAGTAAAGTCAGTAAAGTCAAGAAAATGTCAGGGAAAAAAATATTTTGTCAGTTAAGTCAGGGAAATGTCAGGAAAATGTCAGGAAAAATTTTTTTGTCAGGGCAATTAAAGAAATTAAGACGGTCATGCAATACATTTTTTGCTCTAAAGAAAAAAAATTTTGTCAGTTTTTGTTGTTTTTGTTGTTATGTCAGTAAAATGTCAGGGAAATTGATAAAGTCAATCTTGTGGCCACCCTGATATTTAAAATTAATAAAAGTTACAAAATTAGCATAAAAAATTAATTAATTTTTTAATTTAAAAAAAAATTATCACCAAAAAATTAAGAAAGAAAAAACAAGATTTTTAAAAACAAAATTTTTTAATTAACTGAAATTTATTAGAAATCAATTAAAATAAGTTACAAATTTTTAAAATAAACATGTTTGTTAATAATTGCAACTAAACATTTGATTATTGAATTTCATTAAAACTTTAGGAAATAAATTCTTCTCAGAATCTTATTACAATTTTTTTTAAATACAAGAATTCATTCAAAGAATTTTGTTAAGAAAATAATTGAATTCTTTCGATAAATTCTTTAACTTTTAGAAAATAATGTAATTTTGTTATAATTTTTTAATTAAAAATGTTCATTATAATTGAATTTTACAAAGATTTTTTTTTAATTTTCAAAATAATCATGTATATTAATAATTATAATTTTACATTTTATTATTGAAATTGTATTAAAATGTTTTGAAAATAATTGAATTCTTCTTAGAATTTTATTACAATTTTTCAAACTAACTGAACTCTTTCGACATATTTTTTGTAAAAATTGTACTGAAAATACTTCAATTCATGCGAAGAAATTTATTATTTATAAAAATGATTAAATTCTTATAAATCATTTGATCAAAACTTTTGAGAATAATTGAATTTTTTAGAAAATTTTATTACAATTTAAGTTAATATTTAAAATAAAAAATTTTGTAATTTGCATAATAACAACAAATTGAACAGTGCGTTTCGCGCGCAATAATAATATAATAATCGAATTATCTTATTAATTATTTGATAAATTATTATCGCAGATGGGTGCACGTATTAAAATTAGCCACGAAGGCTGAGCTACCTCAAGATAATGATGAAAAGTCAAAGAATAGTGAAAACGCACAGGATCATCAGGAAAATTCGCAAGAATACAGTTAAATCACTCTAGTATAAATGTATTTATTATTATATAGTTAAAACAAATCATATACATATCGTCCTCGATCTAAGAAACTGTATTGTTAAAAACTTAAGTTTTACATAGACTATATATTATTATATATGTAGGAATTTTTTTTGGCGATATTATAAAAGAAAATGAAGCATGAAATTTTTTGCATGTCCTTTTATACTCGTATATTATATTAAAAATTATATTAAAGTAAAAAAACAAATTATATATATAAAAAAAACATTTTCCATGTATTATATGGAAATTAATTAATTGCTGCACTTCGTACAAAAAAAGAAGAGTTGGAGTGAATTTTTTTCAAGACATGCGTCTTTTTAATATGTTTAATGATTATCGCCAAAAACTTTCTGTGATTGAGTCAATTGTGACTATCGCTGTCTAAGCGCTTGTTGTTTTTGTAATATTGTGTTAAAAATATATTTAAATTTATATCTTATTCAAATTTTTACATTTAATATCCTTGATCCATTATTTATTATTAACATTTTTAATAATTAATTTTATTAATTATTACTCTTATTAGGTGTTATCATAAAATTTTTTTCAAAATAAGTTTTCGAAGGTATAAAGATAATCAGTTATTCTTAATGGAAAATATTCTCAATCTCATTTAAATTTCAACTTTTATCGGTTTTTCATGTGATCGAGCACACTGTAAAAATAATTGCTCCAGAGTGCCAGACGTAATTGTATAATCTACTATACAATTGTACTTTTCTTTTAAATTTTGCATGACGCTGTACATTTTTCTCCATTTTATGCTTGAATTTCTCACGTGGTAAGTAATGCAAGTCTGTAAAAAATGTTAATTAGAAAAGCTATTAATTATGACTAATATATTATAATTATAAATTTTGAAAAGATTTTGAAAAAAAATTACTGAAGAAAATAAAAATGTTCCACATTAATTTAATTATATAATTGCATTTTAAATATTAGAAAACGTAATGAATGATCTTTTTTAATACTTACCATGTGTTCATCACAAAGATCACATATTATAGACTTTTCAATAAGGTTTTTGATGCTTCGTACATTTTCCTCGGTTCTTTCAGGATTTAGTTTAACATTTATGTTGAAGCCTGCTTCAAACTTGTGTTTCAGTTGTTGAGTCGCTCCAATTGCTATTATAGATCCATTTATCATTATAGCTAAACGATTGCAAAGAGCTTCACACTCCTCCATACTACAGGAAATAATAAATTCAATGTTAAATATTAAAAGATCGATAAATTTAAATTTTTTGTGAAACTCAAAAATTTACAATTTAACAGCGCTTTGAATTTGAAAATTAATTTTTTAGTAAAATTGTAATATACTATTTTTTTAATATTTAAAAATAATTAAATTAAAAGATAAATTTGATTTATTCCCGTATTATTTTTAAATTAAAAATACCTTTAAATAAAAAATAGTAAATTTTATGAAAATTCTTTTTTTACCTATGGGATGTAAAAATGAAGGACTGTCCTCCTGATTGGCAGGATTTAATCACGTGCCACATGTATCTTCGCGCTGCAGGATCAACTCCAGTTGTTGGTTCATCCATTAAAACGAGATTAGGATTTCCAATTAAAGCAATTGCGATACTTAATCGACGCTTATTTCCACCGCTATAAGTTCCGCTTGGTTGATTTGCGCAAAGATTCAATTCTGAAAAATTTCACATCACATTTTATTCTCAAGTAATTTGTTTAGAAAATAATTGTAATAATTAAATACTTCTTTTTTGATTTTAAGAAAATTGATTAATTGTGCAAGAAAAATAATTAAAGTAGTAATATAACTTTCATTAAACTTAATTTGTTGAAGAGTAATTAAAAAATATTTACTCAATCTTTTTATCCATTTGTCAACTTCACTTTTTACTTGATCTCTTGGTACGCCTCGAAGTAATGCAAATAATTCTAGATGATCTTCAGAATTCAACGATTCAAGTAGAGCAGAATTTTGTGGACAGTATCCCATTTGTTCCAAATACTAGAAATGACAAAAATTATACGATTAAATAATTTTTAGAATGAAGAAAATTCGATTTTTCAAGTGAATTTAGAGTTTGAATTTAAAGGGAACACTTTTTTTTTGCAATTTAAAAAAGAAAAGATTTAATTAATTTTTCTTGTACCTCTTCTCTGTTTTTGGAAATTTCTTTTCCATTCAAATACATAATACCAGTATTAGGAAACTCTTCTCCAGTGAGTAATCGAAATGCTGTACTTTTTCCTGCGCCATTAACACCCAATAATCCAAAACATTCTTTCTTCTTCACACTGAAACTAATTTCCTTCACCGCAGCAAGACTTCCATAGTATTTACTCAATTCATAGGCCAAATAAATTGAATTATTACTTTTGTTATCATTTAAAAACTGATTATATTTGAACGATCTTTGAATTTCTGAGGGGTTATCTGTAAATTAAATTATATAATTTAATATTATAATCTATAATAATATAATTTTAATTTTCTTTTATAATTAATATTCTGTTAAGAATTTTTCTTTCTAATTATTGATTAAAATTAAAATTGTAAATATTTATACATTTACTGAATTATTTCTAAGAAAAAAATACTTACCTTGCTTTTTGAATTTGTTGATCTCAGAAGCGACAAAAATCTTCTCCGCTTTTACTTGATCGTCTACTCTCTGAGTTGCTCCAGTTGGGACTATGTTTTTGATCTTTATAAATAATCTTGGAATTAATTTTTTTTCCAATATTCCAATAATTGTGAAATATATGAACGGAGTCAGGCACAAATATAATATACTTTTTTCTAAGCTATCAGAGACTTTGGAATTGTTGAAATAGTCGAAATATTTTTCACACTGTCCTCCCGAACAATTGAGATCTAATAAAAATTCAGTAACATAAAAAAATGATAGAATTTAGGAAATAAGAAAGAATAGAATTCAATACGAAAAGGAATTAAAAATTTATAATCATACCACAACAATCGTTTCTTCTAGAAGTTGAACAAATGTGATATAAATAAAATTCAGGCATTCTTCGACAGTCGGCATTTCTAGTTGCAATTTCAAAGAATGAATATACTCCATAAAAGAAGCTTAGTGATGGCATAATCATGAAAAACTTTTTCTCAATTGCTCTTTGCTCTAAAGCTAACTTGTAACTTGTATTTCCCCTTAAAGTTTTAAAAACGATCCATTCTAAAGCAACTGAAAAATTATTAATTTTCTATTTAATTCTCCGAAAGTCGCACTTTTTCTATTCATCATTTTTTAATTTATATATATTTATATATTTATTTACTCTCCCTGCAATATCAGGGTTCGAGGATCCATATACATTGTTCTTATAGCTAAATACATTAACGCTTAAACTATAATACAAAACCTTACAAACTATTCAAGAACGCAAAAACAAAAACGCAAAAATTTTCTCTCTCTCTCTCCAGTGCCTGGGCTTCCGTTTCCTGTTTTTATTGTGCCCATTGTGGCTTTATCGTTTTAATTAAAAATCGAGCTATACGAAACCCACCCCATTTATTCCCCTCTTTAAACCACATACATTTCTCTTTTCTCATCCAGTTCTTTCATCCATCTCACCCCCTGTCCACTTTCATCCAAAATCCATTTTATTATCTGCCCAGTCCCCCATTCTTCCCCCCAATCATTCACGCCTCTTCCACACCTCTCCATAAAAAAGAATTCCTTTTTTGATACTCACGTAATAATGCAGGCAAAAACGTTAGAACGCTGAAAATAATGCTTGTTTTCTTACTCCAAAAACTAAACATATAAATAAAGGGCAGCATATTCAAGGCGAATAATATTAGCAAGAGAAACATTACACCTGCAATATAAATTGTTATATCATTTTCATTTCCTTTTTATGTTATATCATTTTATTTCTTTTTTATTGTCAAAATTTTTTACTACTGTTATCTTATAAAAACTACTAATTTAAAAAAATATATTTAAAAAAATGAATTAAAGTCTACAATTCATATCCTTATGTACAAATTGAGTAAAACATACCTATTTCGGTTGAATGGAATAATTGAAGATTGCCATTTATGTCCATGATGTAAAATCCAAATATGTAAACAATAATAATCGTCAATAGAAAGAAGAAAAGATCAAAAAGATAAAAACTTCCCCAATATAAGTAGCCCGTTACTCCAGTCATTTTTTGAAGTTTTTTCAGTCCTGTAATTGATTCTTTTAATGGTTGAATCACATAAAGTGCAAATGTCGGCGATAGACATAAAAGCATCAAAAGTGCTCTAACATAATTGTAAGTATCATTATGATAATAAAATTTAAAAGAGTTTTCATTTCGAAGTTGTTCCCTCGATGCATAAATTTGATGATCGTCTCCAAGTAACTTTTTGAGAATTGTATTTGAAACCAAATTAATCATTATTTGCACACTGTTATCCACGTATTCTGAATATAACACATTCACTTCTTTCTTGTATGTAAATTGTTCTGTCTTAAATTCTGCTCCGCCAATTAAATTATTTCTATAATCCGCGTAATCTTTTCTGCCAAAATTTACAATCGCTGAAACAATAAAAATCAAGTAATTTTAGAAAATAATTTATATTTTATTTATTCTATACAATAATGGAATTTTTGGAAATTTTAATGAGTTATTAATTATTTTGTAAATTTGCGAAAAGTGTGAATATTTATTCCTGAATTTTCAAATATTAATAAAAATATACCGTTGCTGACGTTGTCATTTACTTCTGTTGCTCGTCCATTCAAATTTTCAACTATCGTCTTATATTTTTCTCCGTAATAATCCGTATAATCATTTGAAGAATAGAAAACTTGTGGATTGCTGTACATGTCGAGACGAAAAGAAACATTTTGTATTTCACCGGAATCAATGAATGTCGCTCGGATTGCGAAAATACTCAAGAGAGGAATGATAATCTAAAAAGAAATGTCTCAATATTTAATATACAATGCAATAAATAAAAAGTAAATAATAATTAAATATTAATTAAATTAATTAACTAAATATGTGTACCATAAGCAAATGTGTAATTATGTTTTTCCTCACGTATGCACATTTTTTCAAAATAAGTGCAATGAATGATTGCTTAAAACGTTCAAATCCTTCAATCTTATCAAATTTTTCTACAGGAAAATTCTTCTCTTCCAAATTGTCGTTATCTTCCTTCGTCGCACTATTTATTAAACAGTAATCAGTCTTTTATTTTGCTTCAATTAATCGAACATTAATTTGTAAAGTTAATAATTTAATGAATTCTTAATTACTAATTAAGTTAATTCAATAAATAAAAAAATATTATTAAAACTGTAGGCTTGTTAATTATGCAAATAAAAAAACAGGGATAATGAAAAATAGATAATAAGAAAGAAAAGAAAGATAAATACTGAATATAAAAGAATATACCGAAGGAAAACTTGTTCCAAAGTTATTAGTGATACACTAATTCCAGTAATTCCGAGATCATGTTTTTTTTCTTCAATTCTGTCCAAATGTTCGGGCAATTGCTCAGTGAAAGGAACACTGAAAATAATTTTCCCTTGATCGGAATTAATTAATCGACTTTGGTCCGGTAGTTGATTTATTATCCTATCAATGTCACACACATCTTCTGTGGATAACGTTACCTCCATGTTGCCTCCACCTAATGACAAAAAAAAGGATTTTAAATTATGAACAATTTCGCAAGAAATCAAGAAATGAATAATAATGTGGAAAGTACATAAAAGAAAATAATTATTAAATACAATGAAAATGAGTTACAAACGTCTATCAAACCGTAATATATATGGAAACTACAAAACTGAAATTAGACATTAAAAACGAAAAATAAAACTCAAAATAAAATTAACATTAAAATTTGAGTAAAATGGTGTATTCCACGTCAGTTCAACACAAAAAATTTTATTAGGTTTTGGGACTCGGTTGAAATTGGGTAGATTATATCCTCTGGTGGTAATAAATAAAATCCCCAAGCGATTTTAAAAAATTTCAAAAATTGGCGGACATATTGGATTTTTAATTTTTTTGTACTTTTTTTTGAAAAATATATATCTCTGCTTGTTCTTAACGGATTTTAGTTTATGACCTCTTAAATTGTTCGTATTGAAATATACTTTTATTTAAAAAATTAAAATTAAGAAAATTATTTAAATTTTTTGTTTAAAAAATTAATTTAATTTTTTGAAAAGCCATAGAAAAAATATGCTACCTTCAATTTTGATCATTTTTTTACCATTTGTAGCCATAAATGTGTTGAACTTGTCCTAAAATTTTCATCGTGGGACAGCCAGTAGTTTTTGAGAAAAAAAATAAAACGTAAATCCTCGCATAGCGCTGTAGCGCTCAGTTTTAATGCCGCACGATTGTAAATGGAATTTTAATGAAAGTACGAGTTTTTATTAAACCTAGAACTAAAATATGATTTTTTTATAGACTAACGAAAAACTGGGGTGGTTTGGTACCCCAGATTTGAAACAATTGTAAAAGGTTACCTTTTTTGTAATTTTTTTAATTTGTCAACAATGTGGCTAATTTAAAAAAATTAAACGGATATTAAAAGGTAAATAGAGACAATTTTATTTTGATTAAGGCAACTTGAAAATTTAAATATTATTTACAATATATACAAATGTTAAATGATTTTAAAATAGAATCAAAATCATTTATTACAAAGGAGGTTTCTATTTTTTACGGGGGAGTTTCCGAGGTCTTACAGTTTTTCTTTATTTACCTTTTAAAATCCGTTTAATTTTTTCAAATTAGCCACATTGTTGACAAATTAAAAAAATTACAAAAAAGGAAAACTTTTACAATTTTTTCAAATCTGGGGTACCAAACCACCCCAGTTTTTCGTTAGTCTATAAAAAAATCATATTTTAGTTCTAGGGTTAATAAAAACTCGTACTTTCATTAAAATTCCATTTACAATCGTGCGGCATTAAAACTGAGCGCTACAACGCTATGCGAGGATTTACGTTTTATTTTTTTTCTCAAAAACTACTGGCTGTCCCAAGATGAAAAATTCAGGACAAGTTCAACACATTTATGGCTACAAATGGTAAAAAAATGATCAAAATTGAAGGTAGCATATTTTTTCTATGGCTTTTCAAAAAATGAAATTAATTTTTTAAACAAAAAATTTAAATAATTTTTTTAATTTTAATTTTTTAAATAAAAGTATATTTCAATACGAACAATTTAAGAGGTCATAAACTAAAATCCGTTAAGAACAAGCAGAGATATATATTTTTCAAAAAAAAAGTACAAAAAAATTAAAAATCCAATATGTCCGCCAATTTTTGAAATTTTTTAAAATCGCTTAAGGATTTTATTTATTACCACCAGAGGATATAATCTACCCAATTTCAACCGAATCCCAAAACCTAATAAAATTTTTTGTGTTGAACTGACGTGGAATACACCAAATAAGAAATTTAAAATAACATTAAAGTAAAAATTAAAATTAAATAGGGTTGCCACAAAAATTAAAATTTGATTTTCCCTGATTTTTAGACAAATTTTGACTTCCTCCCTGATTTCCATGAAATCATACTAAATAATACAATTCATTAATTATTATTTAATAATAATTCAATTTATAATAATTCAAATAAAATTTGAAAAAAAAATAATAAATTTTTTATTTGAATTATTATAAAAAAAGATGAATTGTATATTATTTAGTATGATTTCATAGAAATCAGGGAGGAAGTCAAAATTTGTCTAAAAATCAAAGAAAAACAAATTTTAATTTTTGTGGCAACCCTATTTAATTTTAATTTTTACTTTTACACATATGGATAAATTCAATTGTGACTGAAAATTTCTATTATTTACTACATTTATTAGATTAAAACTCCTTGAGAAGTTTGATTTTTTTTAAAACCAGGAATGAAATTCTTTAACAAACTTAATTATTTTCAATTTGGACAAAAATGTCCTCTAAAAATTATTATTATCATTAAGAAACAATGTATCTAATTATTGTAAAATAAAGTTACCATAAAACTTTTTCAGGAACAGAGGTGTACCGTAGCTTCTCAATTTTCCCTGTTCAATGAGAGCAGTTCTGTCGCCAAGAATGTCCGCCTCTTCCATATTGTGCGTGCTTATCAAAATTGTTTTCTCGCCTCTCAATTTCTAGAGCAATTTTTTTATTAGGTATATGAAAAATTTATTTCGTTATATTTATTTCTTACAAGTTTTATAATTTAAATTCTTTTTAGAATTTTTTTTAACTAATAATGAAAATACAAAACAAAAATTTGTCACCATACATACCAATAAAATATCCCAAAATTCTCTTCTTGTCTCGGGATCCATTCCTGATGTGGGTTCGTCCAAAATTAATATCTAGAAGAATAATAATTTAATTTAATTAATAATTGTCGTGAAGAAAGTTTTTTTATTAATTAGAAAATAAAAGCCAATCAATAATTGTTATTAATTATCTAATTAATAATTTTTATTAATAACCTAATTAATTGTTCCTAATTAACTAGTTAATTTGTATTAATCAAATAATAATCTTATTAATTAAATAAGCTTAAAAAACTAACCGAAGCATCGCCAATTAATGATATTCCAAGACAAACTCTTCTTTTTTGACCACCAGAAAGTTTTGAGGGAAATTCCTTCATTTTTTCATAAATATTCAATCTCTGAAGTAGACTTTTAACATCAATATCTCTCTGAGCCTTCGTATTGTTTCCATTTCTTAACTATTTTGTTTTAAGTGTTTTAAGTGACGAATTAATTATAGAGATTTAAAGATTAATTTAATTTTTATAGTTAAAATATTTACCATAGAGAAGAATTGCAATTGTTCAAAGACAGTCAAGTCAGGGAAAAGAATATTTTCCTGTGGGCACAGTCCCAAATCAGTCACTATGTCCTTCATTTCTTCACTGATATTCTTTCCGTTTATAAAAACTGATCCTTCACTAGGACTCAATAAACCTAAAACAATATTTTTCTCAGTTTTTTTTACGAATTTCTTTTTAGTAAATTATATTAATTTAATTTTATTAATTTTATTGACGAAACCTGTTAAAATTGACATCAATGTTGTTTTTCCAGCTCCATTGTGACCAAGTAAAGTTGTTATTTCACCTTTATAGAAGTCAATAGAAATTCCAGCAAGAGCTTGCTTTTTCTGTAGATGAATAAAATTTTAGTTCATTATTAATAAATAATCTTTTATTTAAGGGTGATCTTTTTTTTCATAAAAAAAATTCCTGGTCATGTATTATTTTTCCCGGGCATAAAGAAAAAATCTCAAAAATTATTTTCAAGATTTCAATTCAATTATTTTCTAGAAATTTTAAATAAAATTCTGCTCTAATTCAATTATTTCAAAAAAAGTTCACTCAAAAACTAAAATATTTCTAAAATCCACTTGTTTGCAAGACAATTTAATGAAATATCGAATAATATATAGTAATTTTAAAAATTTTCAATTTATTAATAAATCGTCACTTACGGTTTGATTGATCCTATCAATAATATAGGATTTTTTTAAATTACGAATTTGAATACCAGGAACGAACTTTGTTGAAACTGGCTCGAAAAGTGTATTTTGTCTATTATAATCCACATTGTCGATTCTTTGGGAAGAATTTTTGTTTTGCTTGAAGCACTAAAATTTATTGAAAAATTACAATTTATAAATAAAAATTATTTTTTAAATCAAGTTTAATATTAAATACCTTTAAAAAATAAAGCGGCTGTTTTGCAACTCCATATTTTCCGGGCAAAATTTCCGATACATACAAAGCAAGCAGAAAGTGAAACAGTGTACCAAGAATTGAAAATATCGCAATGACTCCTAAACTTATTGACTCAGTATTATTAACATCAGCAACATAAAACATGTTGCTCCAGTGTACTCCTTCCACTGAAAATAATTTCAAATTTTATTTTTTTTCAATCATTATTTTACAATAGATTTAAAATCATAAATGAAAAATTAAAGGAATATGTTTAAAATTCTAAAACTTACTTTTCTCTTCATAAGAATACATTTCCTCGTAAATTCGAAACAGAAGCAAATTGGGAAAAAATATTCCCATATAAGGAGGTATCACATTGTACTTTTTTATCAAAAACATGAAATATATTTGAAGACCGAATGTTCCTAAATAAATAAAATTGTTTGCCAAAACTCTCAAGACAGCTAAAACAAATGGAAAATTAAAATGTAATAATTAAGAAAACATTTTTTATATGAATATGAAAATGAAAAGTAAGTTTAAAAAATTTAGATACTTTACATTTTGAAAAATACGAAGACACATGATAGCCGAAGGACAAAAGATGAATGATATTAAGAAAATGCATGAAAATCACTAAAATTGCATTTCCGTAATATAAAAGTGGCTGACAGTCGGAGTAAAAACATACGCAGAGAAATATAACACGAGGGACAATATAAAGTACACTAAATAACAGTCCACTAATTAGCCAACTTAATAAACTTTGATAATTTTTCACTCCGTTCATTGCCATTAAAACCTGGAAAATTATTTTATATTAATAAATATTTATATTAATTAAATCATTAGAAAAAGAAGAAAAATTGATAAATAAAATACATTAATTCCCAAATTTTTTTCATTTGACGGATAAATTATTTCCACATTGAGTTGAATTGAAAATACCAAAACTGCAACAACTGTGTACATGAATTTTATTGAAAAATCGTCATCAAACTTTTTCTCCTTGAAGGCTAGTGAAGGCATTTTTTGCAAAGACATCTAAAAATTAAAAGTAATTATATTAAAGATATAGCAATTAAAAAATATTACTTTTAGGTAACACAAAAAGTTGATAAAACTTTCACATTGTATGTTACATTAATAATCAGGGTTGCCACAAAAAATTAATTTTGTTTTTCCCTGACCTTTCCTTAATTTCTAGCCAAAATTTTGACTTTTTCCCTGACCCTAAAGTATATTCTGATTCACTATAAAAAATATTAGATACTCAAAAAACTGTTTTACTACATTTATTTACAAATTTAATTAATTGTAAAATTATTCAAAAATATCAATAACTTCTTTTTTAAATAAATATTTAATCATTTTTATTGTTTCGTGGGAAATAAGATTTTCAACATTTCTAATTCAAACCTTTTGAAATTCAATAACTTATAATAAATTAAACTTCCATAAAATTTTTCCAAAAAAAAATTAAATTATTTACAAAAATTTTAACAGGGTGTCTAACAAGGATTCAGAAAAAAATTCCCTGACTTTTCCCTGACATTTCTTGACTTTTTACTAATTTTATTTTTGCTTTCCTGGGACAAAAATATGGTAACTGACATATTTTTTTTGATAAATTATTTGATAAATTAAAAAAATTTTTAATTAACAAAAAATTTTAATTTTTATAGAAATTTCCCTGACTTTTGCATGAATTTTCCCTGACCAAAAAAATTCCCTGACTTTTCCATGACTTCCCTGACCGTTAGACACCTTGTTTAATAAAATCCTTCGCAAGAATTCAGTTATTTTTATAAGTAATATAATTTTTCACATTAATTCAATTATTTAAAAAAAAATAAAATTCTTCGCAGAATTTCAATTATTTTTAATACAATTTTAAGTAATTCTTCGAAAAATGTAATTATTTTCAAAAATTTTTTACAAGAATTCAATTACATTTCACAAATAATGAAATTCTTTGCTTAAATTTAAATATGTATTTTCAAAATCTATTTTAATAAAATTTCTCAAAGGAATTTAATTATTAAAAAAGAATGTAAGAAAATTCGTTGCAAGAATTCCTTTATTTTCATAAATAATACAATTCTTAACAGGATTTCAAGAATTAAAAAAAATGTAATAAAAATTCCTTGCAAGAATTCAATTATTCTTCTAAATAATAAAATGTAATTACAGGGTGGTCACAAGCGTCACAAGTCAGTTTATCAATTTCCCTGACAATTTAATGACATAAAAATTATTTCCCCTGACAAAATTCTTTTCACAGGAAAGTATGAAAGTTTACGGAAAATGGGTAAAATTTATTAAATTTAATCTCTAAATCAATAATTTTAAATAATTCTTCGAGAATTAAATTGTTCAAATACAAAAATTCAATTTTTTATAATAATTGTAACTGAACCGACAGATTAGCTCAGTCGGATAGATGCCTCGCTTGGCGGACGTTTTAGAATAAGTATATGTAAGAAAAATGTAGTACGTAAGAAAATTTCCTCGGGGACACTTGTAAACGCAATAATTAACGCATTAAGGCAATAATAATTGTAACTGTCCATGTTTTTTTCTTAAGTTTATTAAGGTATAATATTTCCAAAAAACAAAAATAATCAAATTTTTAAAGAATTTTAATTATAAATATGACCATGATTTATCTGAAATTTTAATAAGTCTAAAAAAGTAAATTTTTATTTGCTTCATTCCAAAATAATTAAATCTTAAAAAATTATGATAAAAAAAATTCTAAGAATTAAGTAGTTTTGAGAAATATTTTAATGTAATCCTACATATTTAGATGTGGCCACTCTGAATTATTTTCAAAAATTTTTTGTAAAAATTCAATAAAAAAAAAAAAAAATTGTTTATATTGTGGCCTTGGGTCCAAGGCCACAATATAAACAATTTTATTTGACAAAAATTAAGGTCCTGAAAACACTCTACGTTGTAAAAATTCAATTACATTTCACAAATAATAAAATTCTTCGCTGAAATTCAAATAATTTCAAAATCTACTATTTTAATAAAATTTCTCAAAAGAATCCAATTATTTTTATAAATAATACAATTTTTCATATTAATTATTCAATTATTTAAAAAAAATTTAATAAAATTCGTTGCAAGAATTCAATTCGGAAATTCTTTAATTAAATATTTAGAAAATAAAAACTTCAAATAATTAAAAAAAAATTCAATTAAACTTTTTCAAAAAAACTAATTCTAAAGAATTGTAAGTTAAAAGTATGCAAAATTGAAATTTTCAAAGATTTTAAACTTTAATTAAAAACCTTTTCAAAATTCAATTATTTCTAAAAATTCAGGCTTATTTAATATTCAATTATTATCTAAAATTTTAACTGAAATTCATTTTTAATTCAAATTTTAATTAAAATATTCTACGAAAATTCAACTATTTAAATACAAAAATAAATAATTTATTGAATAAATGAATGTTCTTCAAAATTGAATTCTCATAAAGAATTATATCAAAAAAATTTTAAATAATTGGATTTTTTGACGAATTTTAATACAATTTTTAAGAATAATTGCATTTTTGAGAAATAAGATTAAAATTGTATTAAGAATTATTGAAATTCTACGATGAGTTTTATTATTCATGAAAATAATTGAATCACTGTAAAAAATTTTATTATTTATAAGGGTGTCTAACAAGGATTGAGAAAAAAAATTCCCTGACTTTCCTTGACTTTTTACTAATTATATTTTTGGTTTCTTGGGACAAAAATATGGTAACTGATATATTTAATAATAAATAAATATCTCTGACATTTCCTGACTTTTCCCTGACCAAAAAAATTCCCTGACTTCCCTGACCGTTAGACACCCTGTTTATGAAAATAATTAAATGTTTGCGTAGAATTTCTTTAAAAATATTTTAAAAAAAATTGAATTGTTTTGAAAATTTGTATTAAAATACACGGAGAAAAATATAAAGTAACCTTTACTACTTATATAGTAAAAAATTTCCGGTAAAGCATTTCTGGTAATTTTTACTCCAAAAGTAGTAAAAATTACCAGAAATGCTTTACCGGAAATTTTTTACTATAAAAGTAGTAAAAGTTACTTTATATTTTTCTCCGTGTAGTAGATATTGAATATCATTGAATTGGGGAAAATTTTTTAAAATACTTTATAAAAAAATAAATAAAATAATTCTTCTCTAAAATTTAATTTTTTTTAGTACTGTAATAAAAATTCTTGACTTTTCCCTGATTTTCCGGACCAATTCTGTTGATAATAAAATGAAATTATATTATATCAAGCTTTAACGTCGAATGTTAATCTTCTTAATATTTTTGGGATAAAGGAAATTATTCTTTATTCACTAAAAATTGTAATATTTAAAAAAAAATGTAATGTAACTTTTTGTAAATTTTTTAATGTTCGGAACTATGTAATAAAAAATATTGAAAAATAATTAAATCTTTTAAAAATTAGGATAATGAAAAATTCTAAGAATTAGTTTTTCAAAAAACAGTTTAATGTAATTTTTTGAAATTAATCTTCAGCAACTTTCATTTGAAAATTTTTGAGAATTTAATTATTCTTAAAATTTGCAATTAAATTTCTGCAAAATTGGTTCTTTTTAAATTTTTATAAAATATCTTTAAAAATTAATTGTTTTCAATAAAATTTTATAAAATTTCAATTATTTAATGACTTTTATTTCAAAAATTTGCAAAATGTAATATCTCAAAAATCTTAATTCTATATTAAAAATTAAATTAAGTATTTTCCGTATTATAAAAATCAAAGTATGTTGCATTTTATATAAAAGAAATGATCGGTTTTTTTTAAATAGTCGGAAAACGTCATTGAATGGCCTTTCGATAGTTATAGTTTAAATTAAAATTAATTATTTATCCTTGTAGGTTTTTTTGTAATAATTATTTTTCAAAAATTAATCTTACTTAGAAATATAATATAAGACCGTATAATTTTTCTTTTAAACTGTTTATAACTTGAGGCGATAGAACGGCGGACGACTATCAAATTTTGTAAACATCGAGCATAAAGATTGAACGCTTCTTTCAAGTGCGATTCAATGAAAAAATAAAAATAGAGTTATGGAATTTGTTTCTTGATGCTACAAATTTTGCTTTACTAAAAAATAGTGTTATAATATTATTTAATTTATTTTCTACTCATAATCCTAATAATCCTTCATTATTGTAATTTTTGATATTTTTATTTTAAATATATAGTTTTTAATTTAATTTTGTAATTTTTTTGTTAATTCTTTTTGTGTGTTTAATTAATGTAAAATTACTTTAAATTTGTACTTACATTGGTCTCCACAGGTGCACCGAATTTCATTTGCAAAAACGATTGATCAAGACACGCTTGTAAAAAATATTCGAAATTTGCATGGTCACTAGAGTACCTGTAAATATTTTGCGGTCTAATTGTATAGTAAAGCTGTTTTGATCCTTCTAAAGCGTTTACATTTTTGAAAATAATTGCTTTAACATTCAAATAGTCTCCTCCATTTGCGTTTGAACTGTATTTAAGTAGCAATTCCTTTTCAGAAGTAAATCCTTTCACATCTGTCAATATGTAATTAAAAATTGAATAATTTATAAAAAAAAAAAAAGAAATGATTATAATAAATTATAAAATTTATAAAATAAAAATTATAAAGTTATTTAAAAAAATGTTTCAAATTACTTATTAAGTTTTTTAAATAAGATAAATAAATTACAATATTACATTTAAACAAAAAAAAAACAAGAATTTACCTTCATTAGGAAACGATAAACAGGAAGCAGTCAATTTCATTAAATCTTCTGTGAAATAATTTTGTGGTGCAAAATATAAATTAATCAGTGAAAATCGAGGTTTCGCACTGAAAAAATCCTCTATGAATTCATTTTTTGTTAATTTTGGAAAATATTCGTCTCTCATATTTTGTTTCTGATCATTGTTGGAGAATCTTGAGTTGAAATCATTGAATCGTCCAGTAAGCTTATCTCTAGGTATTTGAATACATCCAAATATCAAAAGTGGAATTATGACTTGAAATAATGAACTGATTAACCAATGTCTTCTTCGAATAACAAAGTTTTTCCACAGAAGGAGTTTAAGAACTCTTCTTTGGTCAGCCAACACGGCCATGTTAATTCTTTTTTTTTTATTTTATAATTGTGTCTCAATCCATGAACCTGAAAAATTCATTTTTAAAATTCGTCTTTCATATTTTTCTTTTATTTTTTAATTTATTATTATGCAAATTACAAAACTTCTTATTTTCAAAAATATAAACTTTAATTTTTGAAAAATTTCAAGTTCAAAATTTAAAAAATGCACTTCCTAAAAACATAATTAATTATTATTGTTTATTATTTTCAAAAATTTTAATAAAATTCTTCGCAATAAATCAATTATTTTCATAAATAATAACATTCTTTGGAAGAATTCAATTATTTTTATAAATAGGTATAGTATAATTTTTGCAAAAATTCAATTATTTTCAATAAAATTTCAGGAAAGAATTCAATTTTTTTCTTAATACGTTATAAAATTTTACAAAACATTAAATTATTTTCATAAATAATAACATTCTTTGGAAGAATTCAATTATTTTTATAAATAAAATAGTAAAATTCTTGGTAAAAATTGAATTATTTTCAATAAAATTTCACGAAAGAATTCAATTATATTTATAAGTAGCACAATTTTTTGCAAAACTTAAATTATTTTCAATAAAATTTCACGAAAGAATTCAATTTTTTCCTAATGTGTTAGGGTAGTGGCATCAGTGAAAGAACATTTAAGGAAATGTACACTTTCGACATTTTTTATTTTCAATTGACATTCTTAAATTTCGTTTTAAACATATGCAATGAATAGCAAAATTTCTAAAGAATTTTTGAAGCCTGTGATACAAATTTTATAAATATAACATAATATAACAAATTTCCATCAAATATTGTTTACCAGTGAAAGAAATTTGACCAGTAAAAGAACAGTTGTATTTTCCAGTGAAAGAATAAATAAAATTTATATTTAATTAATAGTGACTAAAAATAACAAAAATTATATGAAAAACGTTACAAATATTCTGAAACAATTTTGCAACTTATTATTATTCATATTTTCCTGATTACGCACCCAGAAATATTTTTTTTATAGTGCTAAAAGTTATAATTTGTGAAATATCGTGATAAATAATCAATTTGTTCTTTTACTGGTATCAATTCTTTCACTAGTGCAACTACCCTATAAAATTAAATTTTTCAGAATTCAATTATTTTCTAAAATTTTGGTGAGGAAAATAATTTTTTCAAAAACAAACAAAGAACGTTTTTATAGAACAGAGAATTTCTTTAAATAATTTATATATAGGTATAAACAGTAAAACTTATGAATTATAAACAGTAATTAATTATGAAGAAGTTGAAAGTAATAAATTTAGGAAGAAAAAAATAGTTGGAAATAAAAAAAATACGGTATTAATGATTTTCGAAAAAAATCGTTTCTCAGAAACATGTGCACGACAGTCATATTATAAATTCGGTTTTTGCTAAGAAAATATTTTCATTTACTTACAATTATGAAAGATCTACAACTTTGGCAATAATTATTCACTATTCATTTACAATCGAGGTGATATTTTATTCACAAAAGAGAAGAATTAGTCTCAATACGAGAGCACACTTAGGCACATCCATATAGGCACATGCAAAACAAATAAGTGTCTAGGTCGTAGTCTAGCGTCCTAATATTACGCGCGGCTTCCACTATCGAAACAGCGATATAACAGTGCTGCCATTCTAAGATACAAAACAGTAAAAAATAATTCATATTTTTTCTCGAAAAATCAATTTCCTGTAAAAGAGAATTTCTAAAAATTGAATTTTATGTACTAAGAATCTGTAAATTAGGAGTTTCTTCAATTTTTATTAACAATTAAATTAAAATATAGTGCCTCGAAAAAGTGAACAATGAGAGCGATGAGACAGACTGATCATTAACTGTCAACTTCACAGCGTGTTTAATATTTCGAATTATTTTTACTAAATATTTCCCACTAATTGAATGTTTTTGTTTATAAGTTCTTTCCAAATAAAGCGAAAAGGACACGAACCATAGAATAGATCGTAGGTATACAGAATATTATTTGTTTGAAATTATATTTTTAACCTTTGTTTACGCGTACTGACTCTGACTCCCAGGGGCGAACTTTGAAATTATGCCTTTACAGTGCAGTCTAATTTTTGGTGCTAACAATTTTTTTCAGTTTTTTAAAATTTTAATGATTTTCAGAGTACAAATTGTTCTTTTATTTATTAATAAGTACTTCGTCATTTTGCTATCTAAAGAACAAAAGTATTTCTAAAATTAAAATTATTTCTTAATTTATTGGACATAATAATAAAATATAAAAATACCTAATGAATTTTCAAAAATTCAAATCGGGCCATTTTAAAATAAAAATTTTTAAGTTGTCGATTTTTATATATTAGATATTATCTTTATTAACAGTTTTTATCTTTTTTACATAAAAGTACAAAAAATAGTTTTAAAATTCACAAACGGAAATTGTAACAGATTAAAAAAAAGCTTGACTCAATAAATTAATTAAAAATTGAAATGAATTAAAGAAATCAAATAATTTAATTTCTTATGAATCTACAATACATGATCCACAAGTTTTAAAGTTCAAATAAACGAAATATTTTTTTAAAAATATTTTTATAAATTCCAGAATGCAAGAAAAATTGATAACTAGAATTTTACATTTAACAACTTTATAATTAAGGGGTTACGCCACCCTGAAATTTTCAAAAAAATTTATTTTTTTTTTTTGCTTAATTTCAAAGTTTATATTCTAACGAATATTTTGAGATGTCGCCGAAGACAATGTCTCACTAATTACAAAAGTTATGGTCATTAGAAGTCAGCGCGGTGGGGACGCGCCGAGAGCTGCTGGAAGCAGCGACTTTCTATTTTCGAATGGTCTAGGGGGCCCTTTCATGATTTAGGAAGGGTCCTTTTCATTGTATCCCTTCCATTCTTAAATAAAAAAAATTATGGCCCAGGAATTGCTGATTAAATAGTAAATTGAAAAATTTTCAAGTTATAATACACTAAAGTTCATTTTTTTCTTCTTTTGCGTTTTTCTCGAAACCACAATTTTCGAGACGGTGTACACGATAACTCAAAAACTATTCAATCGATTGACTTGAAAATTAATATACATCTTCCTAAATAGATTTTCCACAGAGTGACGTGGGATTTTTTTGATTGAATAATTTGAAAATTTTTTATCCAATTTTTTATACGGTAATTTTAGCCAAAAAAAAAATGTCAATTTTTGAAGTGCTTCCATTTGCGTAAAAAATTTTTTTTTTTAAAATGGCTTCGTCACTCTGTTCAAAATTTATCACTTTTTAAGAAAAATATTGTTTTACTTGTTTCTGACAAAAATTGAACTGCCAATCATGTACACCATCAAGGAGTGCTCCGGAAAAATTGATCCACGCCAATAGTTATATCTCCGCCATTTTTAATTAAAAACAATTTTTTTTTAAATATTTATAAAGCTCAATATATGTACTAAAGCATCAATAAATGTAAAGAAGTCCTACCTGAAACAGTTTTATCAAAAAAATTCCTAAAAAACCATCCGATTTTCATGCGTTCAGGGTGGCGTAACCCCTTAATTTGTTTGTTAGTGACTCAAAATTTTTGCAATAAAAATTTAATTTTACGAAGAAATATATAAATTACGTCCAATTAAACGTCATCCAGAACTTTAGAATAAACGAAAATAAAGATTAACAAAAATTATTTGATTTTCAAACAATTGATTGAAAAATTACAATATAATTGTATTTTACAAAAAAATAAATTAATCTTTACGATTTTTAAATTGTACGTGGACACCATCAGCTGCTGTTGTAAATACATTAATTGAACTAAATAAATTATCGTCTTTCGTTTTATGCGAAAGTTTATATTTTTTTAAAATTGTAATAATCGCAACTTTCGTCATAATTTGACCAATTCTCTGACCTGTAAAAAATTTAATTTTAATTCCTAAATATTAACAATAACTATCAATAAAATATTTAGAATTGTATTTTCAAAAAATTTTCAAAATTAATATTTTCCAAGCTTATTTATTATTAACTATTGTATAAAAAAGAAAATAATTACCTATACAAGATCTTGGTCCAAGACCAAAAGCAAGTGAAGAACTGGAAATTTCCTGCATCGCACTTTTTGATCTCAGTGGATTAAATTCATCAGGATTATTAAAATATCTTGGATCACGATTTGTTCCATTTATCGAAACATAAATTGGTGTATTTTTCTCGATTATTAAATCTGTTCCTGGTAACTGCGATAAAAAAAATAAATTATTATTGAAAAACAAAAATTGGTGAAAATTAAAAAAATAAATTAAGAGAATTATAATTTTGAATCTGAAATAATTTAATTTTTGCCTAGAATATTATTAAAAATTTTGAAAATAATTCAATTATTTTTTAAAATTTTATGGCAATTTTGTGAAAATAATTAAATTCTTTTGAGTAATTGAATAAAAATTTTACTGAAAATAATAATTCTTGGACATTTTTCTGACAAATTTAATAAAAAATATAAAATAATTCAAATTTATAAAGAATTTTATTAAAATTTATAAAAAATAAATTAAATTATAATAAATGAATAATAATAAATGAAATGAAATTCTTTCGAGAAATTTTATTAAAATCATATTTAAAGCAATTGAATTCTTGCAAATTTTTCAGACGAATTTTAATAAGAAATTGAAAATAATTCAAATTATAAAGAATTTTATTAAAATTTAATTAAAAATTATTAAAAATAAATTAAATTCTTTTGAGAAATTTTATTACAATTATATTAAAAATAATTGAAATCTCGTCCAAAGAATTTTATTGAAGTTTTAATTTTTAAATAAAATAATGTGCAAAATTATTTAAAAAATAAATTCAATTTCAAATCTTGTGAAGATTCAATTATTTGTTATTCAGAAGTAGAAAGAATTTAAAATTAAATTGAATATTTTCTTTTTTTCAAATGTTGTTCAGAATTTTCTTATGAGTTCTAGAAATTGAATATTTTTCCAGAACTTTTGATCAAATTCCTTGACTTTTCCCTGAACAATTTTACTTTCCCTGAATTCCTTAATTTCCCTGACCTGTGGCAACCACGTAATATTATAAAAAGTAAATATTTATTTCTTTTACGATACTTTATAATTTTTGCTGGCAATTCTGTCAATCATTGGAAGAGGTGGATACAGTCTCAATGTTTCATTGACAACTTGATCCAAAAGTTCCATTTTATTTATAGATTCCAGTGTTAATTCTTCATTATCGAGATGAATTTTAATTTCTTCAAAAAGTTGAGACTGATATTCAGTGTGACGAGACAATTCATAAAGTGAAAATGCAATTGCACTTGATACCGCCTCAAGACCCGCAATATAAAACGATAGAGCTTGACCCAATAAATTATCATCTTCAAATTCTACGAGAAACATTTGAAAAATAAAATCATTTCAATATTAATGTTAATTATTAAATTAATAGCATCGAAAAATTATTAAAAAAATCAAATTGTACTTACTAAAATCAGAAGATTGTTCACCATTCTTCAAGGTCAAAAACGAATCAATTAAGTCACCTCTCTTAGTGCCAAGTTTCTCTCGACTATTCATTGAATTCCAAAATACTTTTCGAAAAAAATCAGCTGGCTCAGTGCAAAATGGTTTTACAAAACCAATCAAATTTGGAATAAAGAAGAAAATTAAGAATACGATTCCTCTTTTAAAACCCGTCAAGATTCTTTGTCCTAAAAATCAAGAAATAAATATTAGAAACTATAATTTCAATTTTAATTATAAAGTCAAAATTCAATAAATTTACCTGCTCTCCAAAATTCATCGTTTTTCTCATCAAATGAATTTGTAGATATTCCAAAAGCAATTGAAGAAATAATATCAGTCGTGTATCTTGAAGAAATTTCCTTCAATTCAAATTCCTTCCAGCCATCATCGTTGATTTTTGTCCTTTCGATAAAATCCACAAGCGGAATGGTACAATTTGTCATCAATGGTACCATTCTCTTTAATTTCAAACCCGACAAACTTGGCGTCATTTTCGATCGTAAATATTTCCATCCTGGTTGATGAATTGACAAAAGATTAATTAAACCCACAGAATCAATTTCATAATCACCGCCGAAACGTCGATTCGAAAAAATATCAAAATCCTTCACCATTATTTGCTTTATTAATTTCAAATCTCGAATCATTAGAATTGGTTTATGAAAAATATAGAATCCCACATATGGCTCTGAATTAACACTCTCGTAAATATCTTGCAACACTTTTCCCGGTGGTTTTTTGAAAGTTAGCGTATCAGTGAAATTTCCAAAAATCAAATTACTACTAACTGGTACTTGAACACCTCTTCTCTGCCAATACGAGAGTTTGTATTTTGAATAGAGATAAAAAATCCCAAACAGTAGAGGAACTATCACAAAACATTGAAATAACATTTTTCTTTTTTAAATAAATAATTACATTTATTTTTAAATATTAAATATAAAATTGAAAAAAATGTTTCATAAAATACTTTATAAATATTTTATAAAATGAATTACAAAAAAGTTACAAATAAAATAATTAGGAATTTATTTGTGTGAATATTTGTTTGTCACAGCACAGTATTGACTTGACTGACGATTTTGTCATATTTCTTAAAAAAATAAATACTATGTAGTCATATCAAGAAGTATTTCAGAACGAATAGAGAAATAAAATTTTAGTATTTACTTAGAAGAATTAACCTTGACTATAAATTACTTATCTTTAACTTAACAGATAAATAAAAAACGTGATACAGTTAAAACTTATCTGTTATTTCCATATCTTTTAAAACATTTCAAAAATATTTGACCTTTAAACCTTTATTTTCTAAATTTGTACTTTTTTGTATCCTTTTCTTTTTTTTTACAAAATTTCAAATTGACTCTGACTTTGAAATTCATTAGTATAATTATTTTTTACTTCCTGTTTCCTTTTCTATTTTTCTTTAGGGAAAATATGAAAAAATAGGTTCTTTTTTTTATGAATACTTTTCTGACTTTTAAAAATAGTTATTCTTTAGTTAATAAATAAAGAAAATAATTCTAAATCACACGCAACCATTTACACTGGAACTGGCAATGGTTTAGAATCAGCTCTGGCAAATTGCAAAAATAATTGCTCTAGTGTAGCGGAAAGTATTGAAAAATCTTCAATACAATTGTACTTTTCTTTCAAATGTTGCATCACGCTGTACATTTTTTTCCATTTTGTTCTCGAGTTGGTAATATGATATGTTAAGTAGCCCTGTGAAAAAAACGCTAATTAATTTATTGCCTACTTAATTATTCAATTAATTCATTCATGTATATGAAAGATGAATATTTTTATCCTTTCGCAAGTCTATTTTCGATTTTAGGAATTTTAGGGGAAAAAAGTGAAAGACAGTGTTTTTTCTTTCACCCTTTTCACATATCTTCCTAAAATCGAAAAAATAATTTAGTATATAAATTTAATTGTTAAAATTTAGTCTCGAATTTAATTTAACTACTATTACTTAATTTAGCTATTAACATTTAATTTTAATACTTTTTTTGTATACTCACAACGTGTTCATCTCGATGTTCACACTCCAAAGATTTCTCAATATCCCTCTTGATATTTAGCACGTCCTCATTGGTCCTTTCAGGATTCAATTTTATATTAATATCGAAACCAGCTCCGAATTTCTGTTTCAATTGTTCACTTGGACCGATGCAAACAAAGTGACCGTTCACCATTATTACCAGACGATTGCAAAGAGCTTCACACTCTTCCATGCTGAAGCAAAAGAATCGGGCACATTTTCATTTTTTTTTACAATTTTAGGAAACTAAATATACAGAAATTTTCAGTACATTGCGATGCATTACTTGCAAAATATTTCTTCACTTCAAATTCAAGTATTTATGTTCAACATAAAGTATTGCTTTCAATAATTCAACTATACAAATAATTAAAGGAAATGAATTTATCATTCGGTAATTAATATTAAAGGTGAAGAAGTTAACAATTTTTCTGAATCAATCTCACAAAACGACAGCACAAAGCTGTGCTGTCGATACATATTAATTAATTAATTCGGAAAGAATGTTAACTTCTTCACCTCTAATATAAAAATAATTTCTCATGTTCTTCAAATTTTCCAAAGTATATAAAATCGACATTCTCATTAATTTGCTTTGACATTAAAATCATGAAATGGAATGAGATAACAATAAAATAGATCGCCAAACTGTTAATTAACTTTTAAAGCTGTAATAAATATAAAAAGAGATTATTTTGATAAAAAAAATTATTTGTGATTAATTTTGATAAACAAACGTTTTTAAAAGCTTGTTTAAACGATAAAACAAATTAAACGTAACAATAAATTTAGATTTCTATCATTAAATTTGTAGACTATGAGAAAATATTTTTAGGGAATTAGCAAATACTGATAATTTGTGAGTGAATTTTTGTGTCTTTTTTGTTGGCCTCATAAACTATGAAACTACCACGAATTCTAATAAAAAAACCTTCAACTTTTTCTATTTCTGACAATAATTTCTTTTCGAATAACTTAATTCCTGAAGAAATATGACATAAAACTATTACTTGTAAGTAAAAGTTTTATGAATTATTTATAAATAATAATTTAAGTAATACAATATAAATTATTTAATGAATAATTTTATTTAAATAATTCAAAAGTAGGTCATTGAATTTTAAAAAAGAGTTGCGTTTACAATTTTCATAAAAAATGAACTTTGAAAGGTTTTCATTTAAAATTAGTTACAATTTTTAATTTGTATATTATATTTTAATTATTAAAAATAATGGATTTAGAAGAATTACATTTAAGTCACAAAAAAATTTGAATTTTGGAGAAGTTACAAATAATTGCAGAAATCCAATTATTTTCAAATGTAATAAAATTCTTCGCAAAAATTCAATTATGTTCTTAAAAATTTTATTAAAATTCGTTGAAAGAAATTAATTATTTAAAAATTTGTTGATAAAATTCTTTATGAGAATTCAAATTTAAAGAACATTCAATTATTCAATAAATTATTTATTTTTGTATTTAAATAATTGAATTCTAGTAGAATTTTCTAATAAAAATGGATTTTAATATGAATTTCAGTTAAAATTTTAAATAATAATTGAATATTAAAAGCATTATAGAATGAATTTATAGAAATAATTGAATTTTTTAAATGTTTCAAATTAAAATAATTGAAAATCTGAATTTTCCATACTTTTAAGTTTTAACTAACAATTCTGTAGAATTAGTTTTTTGAAAAAGTTGCTAAATTTAATAAACTTTAAAATAATTCCGGTTTGATAGTTTTAACTAAAATTTGAACAGAAATATTTTAATTTGAAGAGAATCAATTTGAAGCAATCCTTCCAAATGTACTGAAAATTTCTGACTCCAGTTGAAGTATAGTAAAATTGTTAAAATTCAATTATTTATTAAAATTTATGTCTTGACGTTTTTCGATTATAAAATTAAATTTTCAGTCAATATGAAATATTCAACTTTTAATGAATTTTTAAGTTAAAAATTAAATGAAATTTAAAATAAATTAAGTTCAAATTTAATTGATATTAAAAATTTAATTTTTTGATAAAAAAAGCCCTACGAAAGGTCGTTTTTCATTTTGTAAGCCGGTTGATACAACAGAAATTTAAAGTAGATGTTTAATTTAATTCAAAAAATTAAAATCCTCTATTAAGAAGATAAGCAAATATCGAAAAAAAAAATGTTTACCTGTGTGAAGTGAGAATAATTGATTGTCCATCTAATTGACAGGATTTAATCACGTGCCACATGTATCTTCGCGCTGCAGGATCAACTCCCGTTGTTGGTTCGTCCATTAAAACAAGATTAGGATTTCCAATTAAAGCAATTGCGATACTTAATCGACGCTTATTTCCACCGCTATAAGTTCCGCTGGGTTGATTTGCGCAAAGATTCAATTCTGAAAAATTTCACATCACATTTTATTTTTAATTAATTTGTGTAGACACTAATTGTAATTGATTAATTCTGTAAAAAAATTAAAGTAGTAATATAATTTTCATTAAACTTAATTTGTTGAAGAGTAATTAAAAAATATTTACTCAATCTTTTTATCCATTTGTCAACTTCACTTTTTACTTGATCTCTTGGTACGCCTCGAAGTAATGCAAATAATTTTAGATGATCTTTAGAATTTAGCGATTTAAGTAGAGCAGAATTTTGCGGACAGTATCCCATTTGTTTCAAATACTAAAAATGACAAAAATTATACGATTAAATAATTTTTAGAATGAAGAAAATTCGATTTTTTAAGCGAATTTAGAGTTTGAATTTAAAGGGGACACTTTTTTTTGCAGTTTAAAAAAGAAAAGATTTAATTAATTTTTCTTGTACCTCTTGTCTGTTTTTGGAAATTTCTTTTCCATTCAAATACATAATACCAGTATTCGGAAACTCTTCTCCAGTGAGTAATCGAAATGTTGTACTTTTTCCTGCGCCATTAACACCCAATAATCCAAAACATTCTTTCTTCTTCACACTGAAACTAATTTCCTTCACCGCAGCAAGACTTCCGTAGTATTTACTCAATTCGTAAGCCAAATAAATTGAATTATTATCGTCGCTCTTCTTTGCAACCCAATTATTTCTAGAATGACTTTTTTGCGATTCTACAGACTCTTCTGTAAATTAAAATATAAATTTTCTTCTTTTTACTTAATTAATTATTATTAATTATTATTAATTATTTCTAATTAATATATTATTATTAGCTATAATATCTATTTCTTAATAAGAAGAAAATACTTTACCATGCTTACTGAATTTATTGATCTCAGAAGCGACAAAAATCTTCTCCGATTTTACTTGATCGTCTACTCTCTGAGGTGCTCCAGTTGGGACTATGTTTTTGATCTTTATAAATAATCTTGGAATTAATTTATGTTCCAATATGCCAATAATTATGATATAAATAAACGGAGTCAAACACAAGTACAATATACTTTCTTCTAAGCTGTCAGAATTTTTGAAATTGCTGAAAAATTCGAAATATTTTTCACACTGTCCTCCCGTACAGTTGAGATCTGAAAAATTTGAATTTAAAAAGAAAATTATAAATTATTAAATTCGAAAATAATGTTCTCTCATTGAGAACAAAATTCAAAGAATAGGTAAATTTAAAAAACTGTACTTTTAATAAATAAGTAATCAAATCAATGAGTAAACAAACAAATAAATAAACTAGATACATAAAAGAATCTATAATAAATGAGAAACAAGTATTGAAAAGCTAATAGATCCAATTTTCAAAAAAATGGAGATAAACATAAATTTAATATTTTAAGGAAATAAGAAATAGGATGGATTTATCACGTTTTGAAAACTTGCTCCTCAAATAGTAAGAAAAACAGAAATTACAGAACTTAAGAAATGAAATATAAGAAAAATAAAAGAAAAGGAATTGAAAAAAGACCATACCACAACACTCGTGTCCTTCAGGAGATGAACATACATTGTCTAACAAGAATTTTGGAATTTTTCGACAATCAGCATTTCGTTTCGCAGTCTCGAAAAAGGAATGCTGTCCATAAAAGAAGCTTACTGATGGTATAAGCATAAAAAACTTTTTCTCAATCAATCGTTGCTCTGCAGCTTTGACAGAGTTATTAATTGATAACATAATTATATAAATTATTCCTTCTAATGTAACTGAAAAAATTATTAAATTTTTATTAAATTACCCACAATTTCGTACTACTTTTTTCTCGTTTCATAATTTTCTAATTAATATATACCAAAAAAAAAAGATTTTTATCAATACTCACTCAATAATCCAGGCAAAAGTGTCAAAACGCTTACAATAATGTTCGTTTTCTTTTTCCAAAAACTAAACATATAAACAAACGGCAACATATTCAGAGCGAATAACATCAGTAAGAGAAACATTATACCTGCAATGATAATGTAAATTTTTTTTTATAATTTACACTATTCATTATCAACAATATTTTTTATTACAAAAAAATATTATATCGTAAATACATAAATATTACACAAATAATTTGCGAAAAGTGTGCAAAAAATAAATTTATAATTCATCATCTTCCTAGTTTTGAACATTCAAGTGAACAAAGTTTCATTTTTATTTAAATATTTTAAAAAATTACTGCATAAAAAATAATAATTAAAATTAACCATTTTCTTCATTCAGAATTAATCTTTAATAATCAGAATAACTTTTTTTTTCTTAAAAAATACAAATTAAAAGAAGTAAAAAAATGTCGTTCATTTTAACGTTCGAAACTTTAGAAATATAATTTATCTTGTGAATGGAGTTTATAAACTTACTGAATTCGGTTCCGTGAAACAATTGTAGATCGCGATCGAAATCCAGTATGTAAAGTCCAATCATGTAAATAACAATTGTGATTAAGAAGAAAAGAAGATCAAATAGATAAAAACTTCCCCAATACAAATAGCTCGTTACTCCGGTCATTCTTTGAAGTTCCTTTAATCCTGCGATTGATTCTTTTAATGGTTGAATCACGTAGAGTGCAAAAGTCGGCGACAGACATAAAACCAGCAAAAATGCTCTGACATAATTAAGAACTAAATCGGTATATTTATTATAAAGGAATGACTTTCCAAATGGAAGTTTTTGTCTTGATACATCAATTTGATACTCATTTCCAGCTAATTTTTTGAGAATTGTATTGGAAGCTAAATTAACTGCTATTGGTACACTGAATTCCATATGTTCTGAATATAAAACATTCACTTTTTTGTCCATTGAATTATCAATATTGAATTCTGCTCCGCCAATTAAATTATTACGATATGTCGTGTAATCTTCTTTGCCAAACTTCATCATCGCTGAAATAATATAAATTAATTTAGTTTCATTTCCATTTCATTTGACTGATTAAATTTATCAATATTAGACAATAATTAATTCTTTCTGAATATCTCAATGTTTCATGATCCTAAAGTTCTGAATGTTCATATGAAAGAGATTTATATTTATTTCTTCTTGAAAATAAATTTGTTACAATAATTTTGAGTCACTACAAAGAAAATTAATTCTTAAGTTTCTGAATGTAAATTTAAAATTTTTATTACTTTTTATTGCATATTTAAAATTTATAAAAATGTTTTATAAAAAATATTTCTTTCATTTGAACGTTCAAATCTTTTGGATCATAATGTTTCAAATATATTGAAATTTCTAGCTTTATAACTTACAATAATTTTGAAAAATTAATTAAAATATACCTTCGCTGATGTTGCCAGTTATACTGGTTGCTACCCCGTCCAAATTTTCAATTATCATCTTATATTTTTGTCCATAATCGTTATCATTCGAAGAGTAGAACACTTGGGGATTGTTATGCTTATCAAGTCGGAAAGAGACTTCCTCTATATCGTCAAAATCAGTGAATGTTGCTCCAAGTGCGAAAATACTGATGACGGGAATGATAATCTATAGAAATGAATTTTTAAATTAAATAATCTTTAATTATTCTCTTATTAATCTAAGAGTTAAAAATTAAATAATAATTTATCAATAAAGAAAAGTGAATTACTAATTTGATAATGCAAAATTACAAAGTTTTAATTTTTTTAATTTACTTTATTTTCAAATAGCAACTTCTATTTTTAAATAATTTTAGATTTAAAATTCAAAAAATCCACTTATTAAGTAAATAATTATTTATATTAAATAAATAATAAAATTTTTCTTAGGAATTCAATTATTTTCAATACAATTTTAAAGAAATTTCTCGAAAGAATTCAATTATTTTTAAAAATTGTAATGAAATTCTGAGAAGAATTCAATTATTTCCAACAAATTTTAATAAAATTCAATAAACAAATTTTTAATTACAATAATTAACAGACACGAATATTTTCAAAAGTTGAAAGAAATCTTTTGTAAAAATAATTATTTTCAAAATTATTAATTAAAATCCTTAAAAAAAACAATATTTTCAAAAAAATTAAACAAATTTTTTAAAAGAATTTAATTTTCTACCAATAATTTTAATGCAATTCAATAATGAAATTATTTATTAAATTTATTAATAAAATTGATTACATTAAAAAAAAATTAAGACATTCTTAGGAATTCAATTATTTTCAATACAATTTTTAAAAAAATTCTCGAAGAATTCAGTTATTTTCGAAAATTGTAATAATATTTAGAGATGAATTAAATTATTTTCTAAAGATTTTAATAAAACTTATTAATCAAATATTTAATTGTAATTATTAACAAAAAATATTATTTTAAAAAACTTAAAGAAATTCTTAATAAAATTAAATTACTTTCAAAATTTTAATTTAAAATTATTAAACAATATATTTTTTTTTAAATTTAAAGAAATTTTTAAAAAAAATTTAATTAGGATTTTTAAAAATTTTAATAACGTAGAGTGTTTTCAGGACCTTAATTTTTGTCAAATAAAATTGTTTATATTGTGGCCTTGGGTCCAAATAAACCCAAGGCCAATTTTTGGACCCAAGGCCACAATATAAACAATTTTATTTGATAAAAATTTTAATAAAACTCTTTACAAGAATTCAATTATTTTCATAAATGATAAAATTCTTCGCGAGAATTCAATTACATATGTTCAATACTATTTTAATAAAATTTCTCGAAATAGTTCAATTATTTTTAAAAGTTTTAAAAAAATTCTTCGAAAAAATTTAATTGTTTTCAAATTTTTTGATAAAATTCTTCGCCGGAATTCAATAATTGTCAATACATTAATTTTAAAGTTCGGAACATTTAAAAAGTTAGGAAACAATAAAGCAAACGACTAACGTCAAACTGTGAACAGATTACCAGAATAAAACGATTATTAATGTAGAAGAAGAAGATTAAATGCTAATTTAAATAAATTTGCTCACCATGAAGAAATGTGTGATTAAATTTTTCCTCACGAATGTACATTTTTTCAGAATAAGTGCAATGAATGATTGCCAAAAACGCTGAAATCCTTTAACATTGTCAATTTTTTCTATACAAAAATTGTTGTCATCTATATCATCATTGTCTTCTTTTGTCGCCCTTTAATAAAAAAAGAAAGAAGTGGTGATTTAATAATTGCAGAAAACTATTATTTATTAGTAATTGAATTCTAAATAATTAAGAAAATGTAGTCATTCCCGATACTTAATTAATTTTAAATCTTTCATTTTGTTAAGATCATTGTAATTTGATAATAAAATTATTTCAATATATTCAGGGTTGCCACAAAAATTTAAATTTATTTCTCACTGACTTTCAAACAAAATTTTGACTTTTTCCGTCTGTTCAGTATAAAATAAATTCAATTACTTTTAGAAATAAGAAATCTAGTGAAACAAAATTCAAGAAGAAATCAATTTTTTTTAAGTTTTTTGTAAACTATTTTTGAACATCAAAAACCAGAATTATTGTAGTAATTCTAAAAGTTTGTTATATTTCCAGTACTTTTAATAAAATTCCCTGAAATTTTTCTGATTTTCCTAGCAAATTTCCTTTTCCCTGATTTCCCTAATTTTCCTGACCTGTAGCAACTCTGATATTGCAATAAAAATAGTAAATAATAAAGAATTTTAAGTTAATAAAGAATAAAAAAAATAACAAACAATAGACAAATACAAATAATAACAATAATAAAGAATAAACAAAAAAAAATTATTGTCAAATAAAAATAAAGAAAAATATGAAAGAGTACCGAAGGAAAACTTGTTCCAAAGTTATAAGCGAAACACTGATTCCATTAACTCCAAGATCCTCTTTTTCTTCTTCAATTCTGTCCAAATCTTCGGGTAATCGATCAGTGAAAGGAACACTGAAAACCATTTTCCCAGCATCGGAATTAATTAATCGACTCTCTTCCGGTAGTTGATTTTTTATCCCATCAATGTCGCATACTTCTTCGGTAGATAATGTTATTTCCATGTTGCCTTCGCCTAATAACAAAAAAAAAAGGAATTAAGGAACTAATTTTTGTTTCTAAATAAATAAAATAAATAAAACTTTAAAGTACAACAATTTCACAATAATTTTAAATAATACTTAAATGTTTCTAAGAAGAAAGATAAAATTAATATTAAACAATGAAAAATGAAAAACCAAAAATTCCAAACCGTGAAGAATGAAAACAATAAAAAATACAGAAAATTAATTTAAAAAAAAAAAATAATATCAATTTTAAATTGAAATAGTAATACATAATAATAAAAGTAATGATAAATAATACCATAACAATCAAATAAAGAAAAATTAAAATACGAAATAGATTCAAATCTAATTATGAAATGAAATAAATGATTTGTGAAATAAAATAACCGTAATATTTTTTCAGGAACAAAGGTGTGCCAAAGCTTTTTAATTTTCCCAATTCAATTATAGCAGTTCTATCGCCAAGAATATCCGCCTCTTCCATATTGTGCGTGCTTATCAAAATCGTTTTCTCTCCTCTCATTTTCTGAAAAAAATGTTTTGTTCGAAATTACACATATTTTATTCAGTTGCTTTTATTAATTTCATGATTTAGAATTTCATTCAACGAATCTTTAAAGAAAAATGATAAAAATATAAAACAAAAATTTACCAACGTACCAATAAGATATCCCAAACTTCTCTTCTTGACTCGGGATCCATTCCTGATGTCGGTTCATCCAAAATTAACGTCTATAAAAAAATAAAATTGTCAATTAATAACTAATTAAATAAATAAATTCTATCATTTATTAAAAAAGTTAATAACTTTTATTAATTATGGAAGAAATTAATAAATTTGTATTAATTATTTGAGAAATTAATCATTTATATGAATTATTAAACTTACTAATATTTTTTAGTAACAATTATTAAACAATAAACTAATTAATAGCAGAAAAAAACTAACCGAAGCATCACCAATTATCGACATTCCAAGACAAACTCTTCTCTTTTGTCCGCCCGAAAGTTTGGGAGGCAATTCATTTCTCTTGTCAAAAATCTTCAATCTCTGCAGTAGACTATCAACTTCAAGTTTTATCTGAGTCTTCGACTTGTTTTTATTCTTCAACTATTTTTTTTTTTTTTTTGATAAAATTTAATTAAATTCTTTTAAATCTTGCAGATTAATTTAATTGTTTATGTTAATTATACTTACCATACAGAAAAATTGCAATTGTTCAAAGACATTCAAGTCAGGAAAGAGAATATCTTCCTGTGGACATAATCCTAAATCAGTGACAATTTTATTCATCTCTTTATCGATATTTTTTCCACCTATGAAAACTGTTCCCTCAGTCGGACTTAATAAACCTGAAATAATACATTTTTTTAGTATTTTTAAATTTCTTTTTCTTAAATTAGGTATATCAATTTTAATTATTATTTTAATAAATTTTATTAATAATTTATTTACTATTTAAATTGATTTTAAAATAAAATTACAGAATTTTATTTATTTTTATTATTGTTAATTTTGTTATTGTATTTTATTTATTTTATTGATTATTAAAGAGACCTGTTAGAATTGACATCATTGTTGTTTTCCCCGCTCCATTATGACCGAGTAAAGTTGTTATTTCACCTTCATAAAAATCAATGGATATTCCATTAAGAGCGTGTTTTTTCTAAGGGGTGAAAAAAATTCGCAAGAAATAAAAAATGTAATAATAAATTTTAAAAATATTAATTATTAAAATTACACAAATTAATAATTAAATAATAATAATAATATTAATAATAAATTATAAATTAATTATTATATAGGAATTATAATAATTGTATTTAAGACTAAAGTTATTTTTATTTCGTATTAATTATGTAATAGAATCGCGTGACTTACAGATTGACTAATCCAATTTGTGATATATGTTTTCTTCAAGTTGCGAATTTGAATTCCAGAAACATAAACATCTTTTGAAACTGGCTCGAAAAGTGTATTTTGCTCATTATAATTTACATTGTCAATTTTCACCGTAGAAGAATATTTTTTCAATGTGAAAAACTGAAATTGTTAAAATATTACATGATAAATAGAATTCATTTAAACAAAGATTTACAAAAAACAGTTATAAACAAAGTAATTATTAATGAACTATTGTTAACTATTGTTATTAATTAATGATTATTGGAGATTTAAATTAGAAACGTTTAAAAAATTTGATATTAGTGGGTCAAATTAAAGCTGAAGTAATAATTAATTCAATTTTGTTTCTATTTTAATCATTTTAATTACTTAAATTAAAAAACTAAATATCTTTGTTGCTGTTTTACTTTTAATAATGTAAATTGTAAATTTTAAATGTAATTGTAAATGTAAATGTAAATCATAATGCAAAAATTTAAATTAAAGACAAAAAGAAAATGAATAAAATAAGTAAAAAAAAGTTGAATACCTTTAAAAAGAAAAGTGGATGTTTTGCAACGCCGTATTTTCCAGGGAAAATTGCAGAAACATACAAAGCAAGGAAAAAGTTAATAACTGAGCCAAGAATGGAAAATATCAACATAACTCCTACGCTTCCAGCGGCAGGATAATTAATATCACCAACCAAAAACATATTACTCCAATTCAGTCCTTCCACTGAAAATAAATAGATAATTATTTAATAATAATGAAATTTTTTTAAACTAAATATAATCCAAAAATGAATGTACTTCGAAGTAAAAATTATTCTTAAATTTCAATTTATTACTAAATAGTAATTATGTAAATAGAAATTAAAAGAAGTAATTTTTTATCATTTTTTTAAATAGATAAATTTTTGAAACATACATTTTTTCTCATAAACATAAATTTCCTCGTAGAGTCGAAACAAAATCACATTTGGAAACAATATTCCCATATACGGTATTGGAGTGAAATTTTTTTGGTACGTAAGATATATTTGAAGGCCATATGTTCCATAATAAAAGAAATTTTTTGCCAATGCTCTCAGAATTGCTGAAAAATAATTAACATGTCAATCAAGAAAATATACATTATCATGAAGGTATTTACGAAACAGTAAGAAAATGAAACGAAAATGAAAAATAAATAAAGTAAGAAAAGAAATCAAAAAAAGAAAAAAAGAATATGCAAATAAAAAAATAAACGAAATTAAAAAAAAAAAAGAAATATTGTAAAAAATACAAGTAAAAATAATTAATACTTTACATTTTGAAAAATACGAAGAAATATGATAGCCAAAGCATAAAATATGGATTAAATTGAGAAAATGCATAAGGGCCACTAAAATTGCATTTCCATAATGCAAAAATGGTTGACAGTCGGAGACAAAACATACGCAGAGAAATATAACACGAGGAATAATGTAAAGTGTACTAAATAATAGTCCACTAATTAGCCAACTTAATAAATTTTGATAATTTTTCACTCCGTTCATTGCCATTAAAACCTGAAAAATAATTTTCCAAATTGAATTAAAATATATTTGTATAAAAATTAGAAAAACAAGAAAATGAAATTAGAAAACTAATAAAATACATTAACTCCCAAAGATTTTTCATTTGCCGGATAAGTTGTTTCCACATTAAGTTGAATTGAAAATGCCGCGACTGCAGCAATTGCATACATCATTTTAATATAAAAAAATCTGTCCTCTTTCTCATCTTTATGACCTGGTGAAGGCATTTGTTGCACTGAAATCTAAGAAATTGAAAAATAATCAAATTTGTTGTATGGAAATTTATTTAGAAAAGTAATAATAAAATATGCAAAATAAAATAAATTTCTGATTTTTTTAATAATATTTAGTTTAGTCTATAAAATTTCCAGCACTCGGATCGACTATAAGGATCAATTAAGTCGCTTTAAACGATAAAAGATTTTAAAAAAGTCGTTTATTTAATTCAGTGTTGTCACAAAAATTTTATTTTGTATTTTCCTGATCTTTCACTGATTTCTAAATTAAATTATTCAAAACTTCAATAACTAATTATTAAATAAATATTTAAATAGTTCTTATTTATTTCTCCACAGGAATTAAAATCTTTTAAATTTCAACCTCAAACTTTTCGAAAATTAATTATTTCTGAAAATTAAAACTCCAATCCATCAAAAATTTAATTATATTAAAGAATTTTTGACTAAACTTCATATCTGAATTAATTGTTTTTAATTATTCTTAATTATTTTCTGAAAGTTTTCCGAGAATTCAATTATTCAATATAAAAAAAATTCAATTTTTTAGATCAATTGAAAGTGTAACTGTTCAAGGTTTTTTTTAAAGCTATTAATATATAAACTATTAAAAATATGTAAACAAAAAAATTAAAAAATTTTTATTTTAAAAAAATTATAATAAAAAAGTTTGTAAAATTAGTTTTTCAAAATTATTTAAAAATTTCTTTTTGAATGATAAAATTTTTTTAAATATATATATATATAATTGACAAATTACCAAGTAATTGAAATTTAGTTGAAGTTTTTGAAAATAATTGAATTGCTTAAAATAATTTTTGGAAATTCTTAGAAACTAAGAAATTTTTTGTAAGAATTTTAATTACAAATTTTTGAAATGATTGAATTCTTCAAAGTTTTAATAATAATTCTAAAAACTATGTTTTTCAAAAAATTGTAATAAAATTGTTTTTTATAGATATTTGAATTTTCGAAAATATTATAATTGAATTATGAAAAATGATAAATAAATCTAAGAATGAGTTTTATAAAAATATTATATAGTGTAATTTTTCGAAAATAATTTTTTATTTTTTATTTAATTATAAACGGGACATGCCCTTTCGTACATGAGTACTCTTAACCTAATATCTAATTGTATACAAAAAATTAAATCACTTAAAAACTAGGTTATTAATAATTCAATTTTTCACAAAAATATTACGAGTTTTAAAAAAATATTATAATTATTATAGCTTTCTTTTAAATAAATTTGAAAAACTAATCAATTTTTTGAAGATTCAATAAAAAATAAATATTGTAATAGAATGTTTTGAATCTAAGAAATAAATAAAATAGCCTAATAGTTTTATGTCATTTTTATTATCAAATAATAAAATACAAAAATTCGTATAAAAAATGTGTAAATTAATTTTTTCTTTTTATTATTTGACAGTAAAATTGATGACATAAATCATAAAATCATTATGTTATTATATTCCTTTCATCCAATTTTTTACTTATTTTTGATTATTTTTTGTAGATATTTGAATTTCCTAAATATGTAATTGAAAATATTAAAGGTATTGAAAATAAATTGAATATTAAAAAAATTAGAATACAAAAATTCTAAGAATTACATTTTTGAAAAATATTTTAGTATCATTTTTTGAAGACAATTTTCTTTATCAAATTTTCATTGAAAGATTTTTTTTTTTTAATTTCTGAGTATTCAATTATTTTCAAACTTTACAATAATTTTGAAGAAAAATTAATTAATTAATTAATTAATTTTTCTTTAATTATTAAACTTTTTCAAAATTTGATTTTCAAAAAATTTAAATAAAATATTTTGGAACCATCAGTTTAAATACTTTGCAGTTATATATATTATTTTCGAGAATGTAATTTATTATCTTAAAAATATTATTCAAAAATAATTTTTGAAAGATTTGTCTATAAATATTTGAAAATAATGAAATTTTTTCGAGAAATTCAATTAAAGTTGTTTCGAAAATAATTGAATTTGTTTAATGAATTTTATTAAAATTAAGTACACTCCAACGCCGGTTTAGTGGATTTTTTGGGTTGTGATTTACGATTTTCTTTGTCCTGGCACGTTGTGGCAGTGTATATTCAAAATAATTGAATTCATCACAAGAATTTTATTATTTTTTGAAAATAATTTAATTCTTTCAATTTTTTTGACGAATTTATTTAAAAATTGCACTGAAAGTAATTTAATTTTTATGTAGAATTTTTTAAAAATATTTTGAGAATAATTGAATTATTTTTAGAGAATTATTAATTCTTGTTGAAATTGAATTTCATGGAAATATTTAAAAACATTTGAATTCTTCCGAGGAATTCAATTAAAATTGTTTTGAACATAACTGAATTCCTGCAAAGAATTTTACTATTTATAAAATTAATTGAATTTTTGCAAAGACTTTACTATATTTAAAAAAATAATTTAATTTTTTCGAAGGATTTATTAAAATTTTAGAAAAAAATTGAATTTTTTTGAAATGTGTTAAAAATTAAAAAAAAAATTGAATTCTTCCGAGGAATTCAATTAAAATTGTTTTGAAAATAATTGAATTTTTGTAAAGATTTTACTATTTAAAAAAATAATTGAATTGTTTAGAAGGATTTATTAAAATTTTAGAAAATAATTGAATTCTTTCGTGAAATTTTATTAAAATTTTTGAAAATATGAACAGTAATAATTAATTATGTACTTAATAAGTGAATTTTTTAAATTTTGATTATGAAATTATTTAAAAAATTTTGTAATTTGAATAACAATAATGAATTGAATATCACGTTCCGCGCGTAACATTTGCTAGTAAATAATATAAAAGAGATGGTGAGACTATTAATTAAATCAACATTAAAATATCATTATGCTATAGTATTTTAAGCACTATTCTATTATCTAATCTAAATGAATTCTTCACTATAATTACTTTTGATCTATTTCAGTTTAACAATCTACTTACATTGGTTTTCAGGAGTTGATTCATTTTTATTTGCAGAAATGACTGATCAAGACATATTTGCTCCGGTACGATATTCCGATAAGTACTCAAAGGATCATATCCTGAGCTAATATATTCCGGTCGTATTTTATAGTGAAGATGTTTTACTTCTTTTGGATCATTTTGCAAGTTTTTAAAAATAATTCCTTGGGCACTTATGAACGTATCATTAATTGACAAAGCTGCATATTTAAGTAGTAATTCTTTTTCTGAATTAAATCCTTGTAGCTCTGTGAAAAATTGAAACTGTATTAATTTATTAAATTATAGAATAATTATTTCTTCGAGTATTTTGAAATATTATTATTAATTTTTAATTATCTGTTTTCAATTATATAAATACAATGCCTCGGATCGACTTTAAGGCGTAAAAAAAGTCGCTTTAGTCGATTAAAAATAAAAAAAAGGCGTTTATATAATTCTGTGTTGTCTCAAAAATTTTATTTTGTATTTCCCTGACCTTTCACTGATTTCTAAAAACAATTATTCAAAACTTTAATAATTTTGTTATATAAATATTAATGTTTTTATTATTAGTATGTATTTGAATTTTCGGAAATATTTAATTGAAAATAATTGAATTTCAAAAAATTAGAATGAAATAATTCTAAGAATTACTTTTTTTAATAATATTTTAATATAATTTTTTTAAGCTAATTTTCATTAATATTCATGTTTAAATTTAAACTTGAAGATTTTTCATTCAAACTTGCAAAAACTCGAAATTATTTTCAAAATTTGCAAATTTTTATTTTAAAAAATGTTTATTTTTAAAATACTTAGACAATCAATTTTATTCTCAATAAAATTTAAATTAAAAATTATTTCTTAATTATGTATTTTAAAAATTTAAATATCTTTAAAAAATTATCTAGACATATATATTGATAATCGTTCTATTCCGCGGTAATCTGTTAACAATTTGAAGTTAGTCGTTGTTTGCTTTTTTGTTTCGTAACTTTTTTAATCATTTTTTTAAAAATTTTTTCAATTTTAAAATTAATGTAAGTATTGAAAGTCTTCGAATTGTTGCAAAGAATTTTATCAAAAAATTTGATAATAATATAATTCTTTCGAAGAATTTTATTATACATTTAGGAAAATAGTTGAATTCTAGTGAAAAATTTTGTTAAAATTTTTGAAAATTCTAATTAAATTCTTTTTAAAAGAATTTATTTGCATATTTTTTTAAATAATGGAGTTCCTTCAATAATTTTAATGTTAGTAATTAAAATTGAACATTTTAATTTTTTTAAGGTATTTTCGTAAGGGACATTTCTTGTTCGACCAAATTGAAATAAATATTTTTTTTATTAATTTATTATTAAAAAAAGAAAGAATATTATAAAAAGAAATAAAAATACCTGATGTAGGATAGGTCGGAAAAGATAAACAGCTGGCAGTGAGGTTCATTAAATTTTCAGTGAAACTATTTTTTGGTGCATAATATAAATAACGAGGTCTTGAATATTTATATTGAAAAAGCAAATCATCTTTTGTCTTTACTGGATAATATTGGTCTTTAATATTCTGATCGCTTCCACCAATGTCGGGGTATCTATAGGAATTTTTAGCAATATTGTCTCTAGAAAATTGTATCAGTCCAACTATAAGTAAAGGAATTCCAATTTGCAGCAAGGAACTGACTATCCAATGTCTCCTTCGAACAACAAAATTTTTCCAAAGCAGCAATAAAAATACTCTCCATTCGCCGAACATGTTGAATCTTCAATTTCTTTCAACCCTTATTCCTAAATTCACCAAAAATGGAAAATTACTATTTTTATTAAGAACAAAACAAAAATTTTTATTTAACACTATTTTACGTTTTTTAGATTAATTATTAGTTCCAAAAAAATATTTTTATAATAAATTTCTTGGCGTGAAAAAACCTTTCTCTTGTGAAGTATTAATAATCAGACTGAGTCAGAAGTTTCTTTTTGAAATTATCGATAAACCGAAGAATGTGTCTAAACGCGATTGGCACAATAGAATTCTAAATTAAAGCACGAATTAAATTTAAATAATTAAAAAAAAATTTTATATCATTCTTTAAAACTTTATAAACTTACTTTTTTCTAAAGCAAAATTGTAAAAAGAACAATTAAATAAAAACGAAGGGAAAATATATTTTTTTGCACTGAATAATGATCTAATGAATTAATTCAAAAAATTTTTCAAGTTTATGTACCTCATTCACATATGACTTATAACACTGCAAAATAATACACTTGACTTATAGCATTCTCTAGTTAGACTGATAAAAAACAGTTTATCGAAATACACGAGAATGAATCATATTTGTTATCTATGTAATCAAACGGAAATGATAATATTTATTATCATACAACTTACACAATTTATTTCGAATTCAATAGGTATTTTTCTTTTTTTACAATTTTTAAATTATTTAATTACCATTATTATGTAAATTTACCTTTTGATGGAATATTAAAAAAATGTTAATATTATATATTAATAATTTTAAAAAAATTTGTATTTCAATACGTTAATTAAGATTTTTTTAATGAAATAAGAACCTTGTAAATGATAAGATTAAAAATTTCTTAAAATCTCAAAATTTTATTCGATTATTTATTTCCTAGAAATCGTTTGTGATAAAAATTTATTTCCTTATAAGGTTTTTCCATATCGGTTATTATATAGTTATAAAATTAAACTGCTTTAGCAAATCATAAATTATTTGTCATTATATAATATATAAAATGATTGCAATTAATATATATTATTATACTATATAATAAGAAATAAATTGGAATATATTTGTATATAAATATGCCCTTGAAAATTCTTTATCTTATCTATCTTGTTTTTCTTATAAATAAAAGGTGAGTATTATTTATTTATACTTTATATTTACATCTAAAACCTCTAAAACCGTACCTAATAAAAAAACTAAAATTTTAATATTTATTTCCAACGTATGTTATTAATTATTTAATTTAATTTGACATTTTTTTAGTAAATGTATAAAACATATAAAAGAAGTTTATGAAATTTTAAGATATTTAGTAATATCTAATCTTCTTGATTTAATTATACAATTTAAAATGCATCAATAATTTAACCAATATGACAAAAATACCGGTTAAAATTTTAAGGTTATGTTTACAATTAATTCAAAATAGAAAATAGCAATAGTAATAAATGAAATAACAACTATTTCGTGCTTATTTAAATAAATCACAACTATAGAAAAATTTAACACATACCATTTTTTCTACTGTCACTACGTATTTTCTTTCTTTTAGTCTAAAACATCTAAAATTGATTTACAATTAAGTTGCAATTAGCGCATCTGGCGCACCTTTCATGCCCATAATCACCCATAATGATCGGGATTCTTCGTGAAAATTCGTAATTCTCCGTAAGTTAAGATGTCGTTAGCGATTTCCGGTTTTGACTAGAGCCGTACTGTCGTCGGTCATATTGCACTTCATAGTCAAATAAATAATTGTATTTTTGTGATTGTTAAAATTCTCAATTGAATAAAATAAATAAATAGTAATACATATTATTATAAATTACTTTGGAAAAGAAATGATCTAATATCTATTAGATTTTCAAGAGGCATTTATTACATGTAAATGTAAAGTGTTGAATGTTTTATCTTCTTAATTCGTTGAATAAACGAATATGGCAGTTCCATCATCATCTTTGTCGAGAAATAAAAAACATTTTCTCGGTGTTCCTGCACCTTTAGGATATGTCGCCGGTGTTGGAAGAGGGTAATCTATCATTTACAATTTAATTCTCACCTGTCAGATTAAAAGAATCTATATTTATTTAATTCATTTTCTTATACTTAAAATTCCTAACCTCAAAATTTTGATTGTTTTCTTTTTCTATTAAAATAGAGCTACTGGATTCACCACTCGTTCGGATATTGGACCAGCTCGTGATGCAAATGATGTTTCGTGAGTATTTTCTATTTCAGGGTTGCCATAAATCAGGAAAAAGTCAGGGATTTTTCTTTAAAGTACTGGAAAAAATTATATGTTTACAATTTATAAGAAAATTCTGAATTTTTGTGTCTTTTTGTTTGCCTCATAAACGATGATATTACCACGAATTCTAAACAAAAACCTTAAAGTTATTCTATTTCTGACAATAATTTGTTTTAAGTTATTTCAAAATATTTCAAAAGTTATAAAATTCAATTATTTTCAAAAATTTTAATAAAATTAATTGCAAAATTTCAATTGTTTTCAAAAAATGTTCTTAATTCATTGATTTTCAATATTCTACTATTTTAATAAAATTTCCCAAAAGAATTCATTTATTTAAAAACAATTTTGACAAAGTTCTACACGAATATTCAATTATTTTCTAAAATAATGAAAATTTCACAGGAATTTAATTATTAAAAATAGAATTTACATAAATTTTTTCGAAAAAAAATCAATTGTTTCAAACTTTTTTATAAAATTCTTCGCATTAATTCAATTATTTTCATAAATTAATAATAAAACTTATTGCAGAATTTTAATTATTTTTAATACAATTTTAATCGAATTTCTCGAAAAATGTAATTGCTCTTAAAAATGTTATTCAAATTCGTCGAAAGAATTCAATTATTTAAAAATTTGTTGATAAAATTATGTACACATTCAATTATTAAATAAATTATCTATGGTTGTATTTTTAAACAATTGAATTCTCTTAGAATTTTCTAATAAAAATTAATTACAGTTAAAGTTCTAGATAATAATAGAATTTTGGAGAAATGACTAATAATTGCAATTTTTAGAAATAATTTAATTTTGTAAAGGTTTCAAATTAAAATCTTTAAAAATCTAAATTTTTCATACTTTTATTTAAAAATTCTGTGGAACTAATTATTTTCAAAAATCTTAATCGATATTTTTAAAATTACCTATTTGAAGCTTTTATTTTCTAATATAATATTTAATTAAAGAATTTTCGAATAATAGAACTTTCGTAAAATTTTATTGTAAACAAATGGATTTGAAAATTCTCAAAGAACTTGTTCAAAAATCATTGAAAAGAATTGATTTAAAGAAGAATTTTATTTAAAAATTGTAGAAAATAACAATTGAATTGAAATGATAAAAATAATTTTGAAGAAGTATCTAATAATTTTTAGAGTGAATCAGAATATTCTTTAGAGTCAGGGAAAAAGTCAAATTTTTGTCTGGTAATCAGGGAAAAACAAAATTAAATTTTGCTGGCAATCCTGTTCTCTTTTCTAAAAGAAATCTCACTATTTTATATGGTTTTTTTACATATAGGAAAAATGTAAACTTTCAGAGATGACAGACATGCACCGCCGACTAAACGGGCGAAAAAGAAGGAAGAAGAAGAGGAGGACGAGGAAGATTTAAACGATTCTAATTATGACGAATTTTCCGGTTACGGTGGTTCCTTATTTAGCAAGGTTAATTTTAATATTCTTTACAATTTATTTCCTTACAGTTGACTATTCAAAGAATAACATTTTCTATTTGAAATTTATTTCCTATTTAGAATTTTCTTTTTATCAATAATAGAAATTTTTCCTTCAGGATCCATACGATAAGGACGATGAGGAAGCCGATGCAATATATGAAGCAATCGATAAAAGAATGGACGAGAAACGTAAAGAATATCGTGAGAAACGTTTAAGAGAAGAATTGGAACGTTATCGTCAGGAGAGACCGAAAATACAACAGCAATTTTCTGATTTAAAACGTGATCTTGTCAGTGTATCGGAGGATGAATGGAAAAATATTCCCGAAGTTGGTGACGCGAGAAATCGTAAACAACGAAATCCACGTGCGGAGAAATTTACACCATTACCAGATTCTGTTTTAGCGAGAAATTTAGGCGGTGAAACAACGTCGAGCATTGATCCAACGAGTGGTTTGGCATCAATGATGCCCGGTGTCACGACACCCGGTATGTTAACACCAACTGGTGATCTTGATTTACGAAAAATTGGTCAAGCGAGAAATACACTTATGGACGTGAAATTGAGTCAAGTCTCGGATTCAGTCGCCGGACAAACTGTTGTCGATCCAAAGGGGTATCTCACCGATTTACAGAGTATGATTCCGACATATGGAGGAGATATCAAGTGAGTATTTTTTTTTTTTTGTCTTCACAGGCCTTGGATAGTATGATTTTTTAGAGCTTTCTTTTACTTTTCTTCCAAATATTGCAACAAAGACCACTTATTTAATATTAAATGCAACTTATTTATATTTTTATAACTTAAAAAATAACTATAGACAAAATTTTTAAAAATTATTTATAATTCATTTTTCTAATTGAATTTTCGAAATATACAATTAAAAAGATTTTGAATAATTGAAATTTTGTAATATTTAATTGAATAATTGATTTTTTCAAGTATTTTATTACAATTTTTAAAAAACAACCTTTCAATTCTCAGAAATTTTAATGAAAAATCTTCAAGTGTAAATTTAAACATGAAAATTAGATTCAAAAATTGTATGCAAATATTGTTGAAAGAAGTAATTCTTTAGAATTTTTTAAAATTCAATTATTTTCACTATTTTTAGTTACATATTAATTATTTTTTTAAAAATAGTACAAAAATTCTATTAATATATGACGGGTTCCACGTTAAGTGACCCAGGTCAAAATTTTAAATGTTTGGGATCGGATAAAAATTTTGTAAAAACAGTAGTCCTATTAGATACAATTAAAAATACCAAATATTATTAATTTATTTAAACAAATATAAAAACTGGAGGGGGTCAAAGTTTAAATTTTTGGTCTAACATGGAATATTTGAAAAATTTGTAGTTTCTTTAAAACAAAACGAAAATACGTTTTCTATTTTGGGTTTTTCTGCTGTTTTTCAACACTTTCTAATGGTGTAAACAAATGTAGAGAAAAAAAAATGTTTGACCTTGAAAAATTAAATTAAAAAATAAAATTTCATTTTTTCATCAAATGGACAGTTTTTATTTTTTAAAAAAAATTTTTATCATAAAGGTGAGGTTTTTTGCTAAAAAAAATGTATAGGTCAAAACGTGGGACAAGAACTTTTAACTGGTCAAAATAAACATTTACTTCTGCAATCCACCGCCCCTGCTCGTTGTTGGGCTATATATTGTTTATAACAATTGAAATAAATTATTTTATGCTTTATTAATTATCTGGTGGTCATATTGGATGAATTTAAATTTATTTAGATCATGTGCATCAACGGAATAAGAAAATAAACCTCCTTTTTTAAAAAAGTGTATTAATTTGTTAACTTTGATTTAAAAAAAATTATAAATAATTAAAATCTCCAAAATCGGCCTCGAAGGATGTCTTAAGAATTTATTCCCCTTTAATTTAAGACAAAGAACACTTAAATCGGTTAAAAATTGTAAGCTATAGACATTTTTTAATAGTAAATTGTAAAAAAAATTCCACTGTGGGACGGTGCACGGCAGAAGTAAATGCTTAATTTGACCAGTTAAAAGTTCTTGTCCCACGTTTTGACCTATACATTTTTTTTAGGAAAAAACCTCACCTTTATGATAAAATTTTTTAAAAAAAAATAAAAACTGCCCATTTGATAAAAAAATGAAATTTAATTTTTTAATTTAATTTTTCAAGGTCAAATAATTTTTTTTCTCTACATTTGTTCACACTATTAGAAAGTGTTGAAAAACAGCAGCAAAACCCAAAATAGAAAACGTATTTTCGTTTTGTTTTACAGAAACTACAAATTTTTCAAATATTCCATGTAAATTTTTGACCTGGGTCACTTGACGTGGAACCCGTCATATATAAGAAGTTATCAATGTAAAAAAATACAGTACAAAAATTCTGTTAGAAAATTCAATTATTTTCAAAAAATTACATTAAAATTTCCAAAAATTAAATTAAGATAGTTTTTAAAAATGTAATTCTCAACATTTTTTTCATTATAGTTTCTTAAAATTTAATTAACCCGTTGCCTGTTTGCGACCCAACGTTGGGTCGTGAAAAAAGATGGCCCAGACTGTTTCCGACCCAACGTTGGGTCGTGAAAGTTTTAGCAAAATATAGAAATTTGTTATTTAAATTATAAAACAAATTCTTTTATATCATTATTCACATACTATAGGTATCAATGATGCTAGAAAAAGTAATAAATAAATAATTGTTTATTATTTTTAAGTAATATAACAATTTAAAAGATTTTGATGGACATTTTGTGGCAATAAAATGAATATTTTTCCAAACAGCGAAGGGGTTAATCTCAATTATATATTTTTTTATTTTATTATTTTGCAATAAAAATAATGACATAAAACCTTTATGTTATTTTATTCTTTCTAAGTATCGAATTTTTTACGGAATTTATAATTATTTTATGTAGATCATTTTCAAAATTTGCATTAAAAATTTTTCTAATCCTAAGAGATTAGTTTTTTAAATTACTTAAATTTTCTTTTCATAAAATCAAATATTTTCAATAATTCATATCACAATATTTAAAAAAAAATTCTTAGAATTTTTCATCATAATTATATAAACTTCAATTATCAGAATAAAGTAAATTAAATTATTTAAGAAATCTGCTTTTCTAGATTTTATCATTAAAATTTTACAGAATTTATATATTATTATATTTGTAATCAAAATTCTTCAAAAGCTGAATTATTTTTTCATATTTTCAAAAAAAAAATTTTTAATTTTAGAAATATCTGCAAAAAATAAGATTAAAATTTTTTTAAAATTATTATTAAAGTTTTAAAATAAAACAATCATTTTTAATTTTAACAACAATTTTCTATTAAAATTCTTCGGAAAATTGATTAGTCTTTTCAAATTATCCAAAATTTTTTAAAGCAAATCAATTATTTTCGAAAAATTATTTCATATTCAGAATATTTTTATTAAACTGATTCTCAGATTTCTTTATCATGTAATTTTTTAAAATTCAATTTCAATATTTCCAATTAGATATTTATAGATATTTCAGATAATTAAACAATCTATAGGAAACAATTCCATTAAATTTTTTTTAAAATCTATTTTTTTTTAGAATTGTTATTAAAAGTTTGAAGAATTTAATCATTTTAAAAATTTGTAATTAAAATTCTTTAAAAAAAATTGAATTACAATTTAAAAAGAGAAACTGCTTTTTTAGACTCACAATTAAATTTTTGGAGTATTAATTATTTTCCCAATTTTTAATTAAAAATCTCTAAAAAATCCTTTATTAAATTCAAGATATTTTCGAAAAATTACTTTAGAAAATTTAAAAAAAAGTAATTCAGAAAATTTTTTATCATAATTTTTTTAAATTCTATTTAAGTATTTACTGCAAAAAAAGTAAATTAAACATTCTAAAATTAAAATCTAATTTTCAGAACTTTATCATTAAAATTTGTTTATAATCAATTATTTTTAATATTTTCGGTAACATATTTTCAGTAATCTATATTAATAATCGTTGTATTCCGGTAATCTGTTTGAACTAAAATTAAACTCTTTTAAAAAATTTTATTAGTTTTCATAAATAATTACATTTTGATGCATATGATGATATATATGATATGATTATATGATTACATTTTGATTATATACAAAGAATTTTATCAAAAACTTTTAAGAATAATTGGATTTTTTAGAAAAATGTTATTACAATTTATAAAAAAAAATTGAATTTTTGCAAAGAATTCTACAATTTTTAAAAATAATTGAATTCTTGTGAAGAATGTTACAATTTATAAAAATTATTGGATTCTTGCGAAAAATTTTATCGAAAATTTTGAAAATAATTCAATGTTTTGAAAGAATTTTATTACAAATTTTGAAAATAATTGAATTTAATCGAATAATTTTATTAAAAAGTTTAAAAATAATTAATTTTTTAAAGAATTTTATGAAAATTGTTGTAAATAATCGAATTCCACTAATATTTTAAAAAATAATTGTATTTTTTCTAGAAATTTTATTAAAATTGTATTGAAAATAATTGTAATCCTCCGAGGAATTTTACTGTTTATAAAAGTAAATAATTTTTTTTAAAGAATGTCATTATGAGAATAATTGAAGTCCTTCTAGAACTTGAAAATAATTGAATTTAATTAATATTTTTAAAAATAATTGTATTCTTTCAAGAAATTTTATTAAAATTGTATATTAAAATTATATTGAAAATAATTTAATTCTTCCGAAGAATATTATTATTAATGAAAATAATTGAATTCCTCAAAACAATTTTATTAAAATTGTAGGTATTGAAATATTTATTAACGAAATAATTGAAATTTTGAATAATTGAAATTACAAATCACTGAAATATCAAGAAACAGAACATTTTTGTGAAAACACTGAATAAAATAAACGACGTTTTTCGATTTCTTTTCATCTTTATAGTCGATCCGAGGCCTGCCTTAAAAAATTGAAAATTGATTTACTTTTTGTTTTTTTTATTTGGTATAATTATAATAATCAATTTTCATACTTTTTGTAATAAATAAAATTTTTGATCTTCAGTGACATAAAGAAGGCGAGACTTCTTTTGAAATCGGTTCGCGAGACAAATCCGAATCATCCACCGGCTTGGATTGCTTCTGCTCGTTTAGAAGAGGTCACAGGTAAAGTTCAAGCAGCGCGCAATTTAATAATGAAAGGCTGTGAAGTGAATCCAACATCGGAAGATTTATGGCTTGAGGCGGCGCGCTTACAACCGGCGGACACGGCAAAAGCGGTGATTGCCCAGTCGGTTCGTCATATACCAACGTCAGTGAGAATATGGATAAAGGCCGCTGACCTGGAGACGGAAACAAAGGCGAAACGACGTGTTTATCGAAAAGCACTTGAGCACATTCCAAATTCCGTGCGATTATGGAAGGCGGCTGTGGAATTAGAGGAGCCGGAGGATGCGAGAATTTTATTGAGTCGAGCGGTTGAATGTTGCTCGACAAGTGTTGATCTATGGCTCGCGTTGGCTCGTTTAGAGACTTATGATAATGCACGTAAAGTGTTGAATAAAGCGCGAGAGAATATTCCGACTGATCGGCAAATTTGGACGACTGCCGCTAAACTCGAGGAGGCGAATGGCAATAAGCACATGGTTGAGAAAATCATTGAGCGCGCTATTTCTTCTCTAAGTGCAAATGGAGTGGAAATTAATAGGGAGCATTGGTTTAAAGAGGCTATGGAGGCGGAAAAAGCCGGTGCGGTTCATTGTTGTCAGGTGATTATCAAGTCTGTGATTGGCGGTGGAGTCGAGGAAGAGGATCGAAAGCATACCTGGATGGAGGATGCAGAGACGGTAAATTCTTCTTTTAATTATTTAATTTCAATTTTTTTTTCTCATCCACAAGTTCTGTGCTTTCAAATCTGAACGAAATCTTTTGTCGACATAAATATTTAGAAGATAACTCAGTATAAGGAACAGCAAAAGGTGTAAAATAATTATTTATTCTGACACGTTACTCAATAATTATTTATTATTCACTTATAATTATAATGAGGCTAAACTCCGCGACGTTTTTCAAAACAAAAAAAATAAATTTTTTTCCAGGTAAATTCATCTCTATTTTTATGCATTTAGATTTTTAGGAAACTAATTTTTACTTAAAAAGCAATTGCTCGAAAATAACATGAATTTGAAGCCAAAATAAAATAAATCGTCGTAATATATTTTCGTTTTCGTTTTTAAAAACGTTGCGGATTTCAGTCTCATTAATTTTATAATACATAGTCGTTGTTCCGTCATTCATTTATTCTGTTTAAATTAGTAATTAGTAAGTGAATTAGTCATTTTCGCGTTTTTTAGGTTTCAACAGTTGAAATTTAATAATTTTTAAATAATTTGTTTTCAATTTTTAATATTTTCCCTTCAAAGACAAAACTATTTGAGGGGTTAATAGTAAAAGTGGTTCAAAATTAGGATAAGAGATTTAGTATCAAAAACTGGTTTATTTTGAAAAAGTTTTTTGAGAATTCGATTATTGAAAACAAAAAAAAAAAATGTCCAATTAAGCATATCAAAAATGGAATTAATTCCTTAAAAATTTGAATCAAATTTTAAAAAAAACTAAGTTCTTCAGTTTTAAATTTAAATTATTAAAAACTAAAATTTTTTAAATTTCAACTTGAAACCTTTGTAATTTAAGTAGCATTTTATACCAAAAACATTAATATTTTAATGCAATATGTGGAAGGAAAGTCGAAAAAATCGCAATTCATTAAAATAAGTTTAAATAATCCATAAATCAGGGAAATTAGGGAATCACAATTAAAAGTACTGAAAAATATTAAATTTCTAGTGAATTCATAAAAAAATTTAGACTTTAATGTCCAGCAACAAAATAAGTATTAACAAGATTTAATTCTTATTAAATTTTTTTTCTTCTTCTTACAAACTTTGAAATCGACACCAATTTTAATATAAAACCTTAAAAGCTTTTTCTATTTCTGTCTATAACTGAACTTTACAGAATATAAAATTGAATTTTTTAAAAATACTTTAATTTAATTTTAAATAATTTTAATTAAAAATTCTGACCATAACTGAACTTTACAGAATATGAAATTGAATTTTTTAAAAATAATTTAATTCAATTTGAAATTTCGTAAAATTAAAATTTTAAATAATTTTAATTAAAAATTCTGAAGAAGTTTTTTAAAAATTTTTATTTAAATTGTTTTGGGGTCGTACACATAATTCGTCACGCGAACAGGGGGAGGGGGTGGGGTCTAAAATGGTCAAAAATCGCGTGACGTATTATGTGTACGGCCCCTTTGTAATTCTTTGAATTTTTGAAATATTTAATTGAAAGATTTTTGAATAGTTGAAGTTTAATTAAATTGAATTGTAAACAAATGAAATTCAAATATTTTTGAATTGAAGTTTCAATTTATGTTTATGCTTCTCAAAGAAATTTCTCAAAAATTATTAAAAATAATAATTGATTTAGAGAAAAATTTTAGTAAAATAATAGAATTTTATAAGAAATTCGTTTACAACTTTTATAAATAATTGAATCTCAAATGGTTTAAATTTAAAATTTTAGAAAATTATAATTTTAAATAATTATAGTTAAAAATTTTTAAGAAGTTAATTCTTTTTGAAAAATTATGATTCAAATTGTTTTAAAAATTGTTTGAAATTTCGTAAAATGGATTTATAAACAAGTGGATTTCAGTGTTATTTTAGATAAACTTGAACTTTTACATGTTATTTCCTCGAATAATTGAATTGTCTTTTTTTTCTCTTTTCTTTTTTCAAAAATTATTAAAAATAATTGATATAGAGATGAATTTTTGTTAAAAATTTCCTAGAAAATAATTAAATTGATTCCTGAAAATAGTTTTGGAAAAGTTACAGTAGTGTGAACCAGATTGTTCTTTAGGGCAAAAGAAGAAGTTAAAATTCTGCCTGGAAATCAGGGAAAAAATAAAGACAAAATCAAATTTTCCTGGCAACCCTAACGAAAAATATCGCATTTTTGTAAATATTAAAAAAGGCTCGAAAAGTTATACTATCCGAAGCGTGTATTAATTTTTACAAACTCTTAAAGTAAAAAGTATTAAATTTTCGGTTTTTAATTTAATTTTTAAATATTTAAATTAATTTAATTAGTTTATTATTTAAATATATTTATTTTAATTTTTTGTAATTATGAATTTAAATATTTGTTTAGTTTTTAATATTTTTTAGATTTAAATGTATTGTTTTGCTTAGTTTTGACAATTGTTTAAAATTTTATTATTTTGTAATTAAAATATTTAAAAATTTTTTAAAAATAAATTCTTAACTGCTAACGGTCTTCCTTAATTTCATTAATTAACATAATTCATTAATTTGATTAAATGGAAATTACGTCATTACAGTGCCAAGAAAAAAGAAGTTTCTTTTTTCTCTCGCTTATTTGTTTGACTAGTTATTATAAAAATAAAATTTGAATTCGAAGAAGAAATAAATGAATTTCGTTCATTTGATTGCACAGAACAATAGGGACATAATATTTTTAGTTCTATATCTAATGTTTTTTATTTGTTTAAGAAATATTTTACTTACATTTATCTGATTTTTTATTTAGAATTTGTTTAAATATGTTTGTTGCTGAAGACCGCAACTTTTTTAAAATTGAAAAATTAAAAAAGGACATCCAGATTAAAGATGAATTAATTTGAAAAAAAAATTTCAAATTAATTCATCTCCAATTTTGATGTTTCTAAATCTTGAAGGAATTAACTTTTTCTTCAGAGACCTATACTTGCAAATAATTTAAATTTGAAGCCAAAATTATAGTGTCTCATTATTTTTCGTTCTCACGTTTGAAACATAGTTGTGGACTTCAATGTCATTTGTTTAGGAAATTTTAAAGAATTTTGGTTTTAAATTTGTTTAAGAAAATATATTTTACATGAGTATAAAAAGTAAATTTGTTAATTATCCAGTGGATAGTTTTTTGTATTTATTCTTTCTAAATGTATTAATTTTTCTTCAACAGTGCGCTCAACAAGGAGCGTTAGAATGCGCTCGAGCTGTTTATGCATTTGCCTTGAGCACTTTCCCAAGTAAAAAGTCCATTTGGATGAGAGCTGCCTTTTTTGAGAAGACCTACGGTACAAGAGAATCTCTCGAAGCTCTATTGCAACGAGCCGTTGCTCATTGTCCAAAAAGCGAAGTTCTTTGGCTTATGGGCGCAAAATCAAAGTGGTTGGCTGTAAGTATTAATTTTTTTTAGATTTTTCCGAAAAAATTGTCATTTGAATAGTACCTAATAATTAGAGTGTTTGTTTATTTAGGGCGATGTTCCGGCAGCAAGAGGTATTCTTTCACTGGCTTTCCAGGCAAATCCAAATTCAGAAGAGATTTGGTTGGCTGCGGTGAAATTGGAATCAGAAAATTCAGAATACGAGAGAGCAAGACGTTTATTGGCGAAGGCACGCGCCTCCGCTCCAACGCCACGTGTTATGATGAAAAGTGCAAAACTCGAATGGGCGCTAAATAATTTGGATACTGCTCTGAAATTATTGAAAGAAGCCCTCGAAATGTTTGATGATTTCCCTAAATTGTGGTTAATGAAAGGACAAATTGAGGAACAACAAAATATGAATGAACAAGCTCTTACCACTTACAATCAGGGGGTAATTTTTCTCTTCTATTTATGTAGATTAGGTTTAAATCTGAATTTCAAAGAATATATTTATCGCAAAATTATGAAACGGTGAAATAAGTTTAAATCTTCAACTGTCAAAATTGCCAAAAAACATTTTTTAATAATATCTATAAATAAGAAAAAGAATACACCTAATTGATTGAAAAAAAAGAAAATTTTTTCTTTCTTTCTTTTATTTATTTTTCTGGTATTCTTAAAAAAATTTTTATACATAATTGTAAATTAGATTATAAATTTATGAATTAAATTATAGATTTAGAAATTAAATTATAAATTAAGTGATAGAATTATAAACTTATCAGTTGAATTATAAATTTAGAAGTTAAATTATAAAGTTTTATTCTTATATCACAGATAAAGAAGTGTCCGAATTCGATTCCATTGTGGCGGCTTTTGACGCATTTAGAATGCCACTCGGGACGTGTAACGAAAGCGCGTTCTGTTTTGGAAAAAGCGCGTCTGAGAAATCCAAAGAACGATGAATTATGGCTTGAGGCGGTTAGAATTGAAAATCAAAATTCAGCAACGCAAAATATGGCTCATACATTGATGGCAAAGGCATTGCAGGAATGTCCGAATTCGGGATTATTGTGGGCAGAAGCTATTTTTATGGAACCAAGGCCACAACGAAAAATGAAGAGTGTCGATGCTTTAAAAAAATGCGAACACGATGCACATGTTCTTCTCACTGTCTCCAAGTATGTTTATTCTCAATTCACGATTTTAATTAAGATGTTAAATTTTTTATTATCCAGATTATTCTTTATTGATTTTTGTATCTTTACACCTTATTAATTCAAAGAAATTTTCTACTACTTTTTCTTTTTCCTGGAAACAAGTAAATTTCAAAATTCTAAACAATTCTGTTCTCCGAAAAGATTTCAATTCAAATTTTTTAGAAATTAATTTAATTTCTAAATATACAATAAAATAAAAAATTCAAATAATTGAAATTTGTAAAATTTAATTGTAAATAATTGTATTTTAAGTGAACTTTTCTTCACTTTTTTGAATAATTCAATTCTCAAAGAATTTTCTAACAATTATTAAAAATAATTGACTTAGAAAATATTTTGGGATACAAATTCTAGAAAGTAATTGAATATTGGAAGAGTTATGGTTCAAATTTTTGGAAAGGTTTCATAATTTAGATTTTTGAAGATATAAATTTTGAATAATTTTAATTATACAAATTCTAAATAACTCAGTTCTTTGAAACATTTTGATTAAAATTCGTTATTTATTAATAATTTTTTCGAAGTATTAAACATATCTTCAATTAAAATTTGAAATATCTCAAAAGAATTGAATTATTTTCAAAGAATGTAATAAAATTTTCAAAAATTTTGATAAAATATATCGCAGGATTTCAATTATTTTTACAACAATTTTAATTAAATGCTTTGAAAGAATTAAATTATTTTTAAAAAATTTTATTAAATTTTTTCGAACATATTCAATTATTTTCAAAAGTTTTGATAAAATTCTTTATAAAAACTTATTTATAAGATGTTTATTGGTAATTTTTTGGAATTTTTGAACATTTCTTCAATTGAAAATTTTCAAATAGTGAAATTAATTGAATTCTTATACAGAATTTTATTAAAATAATTGATATCTTTCGAATAATTTTATTACAATTTTTAAAGTTAATTAGAATTCTTTTGAGGAATGTAGTATAAATTATATTGAAAGTAATCGAATTTTTATTATTTATGAAAATAATTTAAATCTTACAAAAAGTTTAAAGGTTTTTGAAAATAATTTAGTTGTTGCATAGAATGTTATTATAATTTCGGAAAATAATTGAATACTTGGATGATTAGTTTTTTGTAAAATTCTTAATTAAATTGATCGTTTGACCAAAGCAATTATTAATTTTTTATTACTTTCTCTAAATTAATACTACGATCAAAGAAAACACTTATAAATTTTTTCCACTAATTTTCTATTTGAATGAGTTATAGTAGAAATTTTTAGAAATAATTAATTTCTTTAAGGGAATTTAATAAAAATTGTATTAAAAATAATTAAATTCTAATAAAGAATTGAACAATTTGAGTTGTACATTTTGAACAGTAAAAGTAATTTTATATTTGTTATCTTGTATAACAAAATTTCTAAGTTTAAAAATTCTAAAAAAATAAGATTTTTAAGTTGCAAAAAACTATCATTTTTCCAAAATTTGTAAAAAGTAGAAATTTTTGTTTTCATTATAACTAAAAAAAATGTCTAGCATACAAAAAAATGACAATTTTTGTAAATTTTTCTTTTTAAAAAAAGAGGGAAAAGAGGAAAATATGCTTAATTTTATGTGTTTTGGGGAGTTTTATTCCTAAAGTTCTAAACGTTCAAGTGAACAAAATTCATTTATTTCTCCTTCAAATTAAATTTTTATTACAATAATTTTTGCTGTAAATAAAATTAATCATAAAGTTTCTAAATATAAAATTTAAGTTTAAAATGTTTAATTTCTATCAATATTTTATGAAAATACTTTTAATGCTTTTAATAAGAAATATTTCGTTCATTTGAACGAAATTTGTGGATCATTCTATCAAAAATTATTTATTTGAAAAAAAACTGAATCAATTAATATATAAATTAATAAATTACAGATTATTTTGGAGCGAGAGTAAAGTTTCAAAGTGTCGAGATTGGTTTAATCGAACAGTAAAATTGAGACCTGTATTAGGCGATGCCTGGGCGTATTTTTATAAATTTGAAAAACTTCATGGAACTGATGAACAACAGGAGGATGTGAAGAAACGTTGCATTGCCTCCGAACCAAAGTATGGAGAAAATTGGTGTAAAGTTTCGAAAAATATCAACAATTGGTGTTTCAATACGGAACAAATTTTAATTCTCGTCGCTAAGGAGCTTCCAATTCCTATATGAATTCAAATTTTTTTGGTTTATTTAGAATTGTACATTTGAAACTAATTTCATTAGGTAAGTAAAAGAAAAGAAAACTGCGAGTTTATTTATTTATTTTCAAGAGAGAATTTAATTTTCACATTTTATTTAAATATTTATTTAAATTTCCAAAATTCTTATTAATTCGTTTTGTATTTTCTTTTTAACTTTATTAAAGACTTTCATAGAACTTTTCTTAAATTACTTTTCTTAAATTTGATTCAATGGATCGTTAATTGTTTTCTTACTCTTCTTTTTTACGTTATTTCTTGTTAATTATTAATTAAAAAATTATTTTATTATTAATAAGCTATTTAATTAAAAATAGTTAAAAAATCCAATATTCAAAATAATTTTAATTAAACGCAATTCAATTAATGGAAAATTAAATAGTTTGTGAAAGTTCCTTTCTCCTTTCACTTTTATTTCTTCTGCTAAAGATTTTATTAAAAAATATTTTTAATATACCTATTTTTGTTTTATTTTCAGAGAAAGACAATATTTGAAAAGAGAAAATTGTTTAGAAAAACTTTTTAAGAAAATAACCCTGCGCAGAAGGTTGTTATGAAAACTATATTAGTTCCTTCACCTCTGACTTTGAGATTAGGTTAGGTAGAAATATTTTCTTTTGTTACTCCAAAAAGAAAGTAGTCACTGAACTGTTTGTCATTCAGCAGTAACTTTAAATAAGTTGGAGTATCGATTCGAACAGATGTGCGAGTGTTAAATTTTTTTTCTTCAAGTGAAATTAATTTAGAAAAAAAGAAAACAAAATATATAAAATGAGTGCAGAAAAAATCGTCGATTTTTTAACTCTTGGTTCGTATTTTATATTTGTAATAACATTTTCTAAAATTGTTATAAATAACAGTAAAAAAATTGTTTTCGAATTTTTAGTGAAAAATTGAAATGAAATAAATTTTTGAATATTAAATTTGAATGTATAAATTAAAATTTAGATTTAAATAAAATTTGTATTATAATTACTTAGGATAATAAAATAATTATTATTTACGATAATATTGTTGTTTTGTTAACAAATGTTGATTTTAGATGAAAATTAATTTAGAAAATTTAAATTTTGTCAATTCAAAAAGAGGAGGGGAAATTTTTTGGCAATATTAAAATTCACTTGATATTAATTTCGTTTGAATTGAAATTTTCTTTTTTTAAGATAATTGTACGCAGGAGTTGATAAAGGAGAGTATAAAAGTTCGCGAGATGGCTTATGCGCCTTATAGTAAATTCAAAGTTGGAGCAGCACTACGTTGTGAGGATGGATCAATAGCGACTGGTTGCAATGTAGAAAATGCTGCCTATTCATTGGCAATTTGTGCTGAACGTGTTGCAATGGGAAAGGCAATATCCGAGGGGAAGCGAAAATTCACAGCAATTTCAATTGCTGCTGACAAAATTCATGGTACAAAAAATACATCACCATGTGGCATGTGCCGGCAAATGATGGTTGAATTTGGTGACATGCCGGTTTATCTAACATCGCCCGATATGATGACCATTCAATCCACATCTGTCGTGGAACTATTGCCATTTTCCTTTGGCTTTGAAAATATCAAAAATGGTATTCAATTTCCATTTAATCACAATAATTGAATAAATTAATCTCATTTCTCACTAATTTTTATATTTTTATGAACAGAAACGAAATTATGAAAAATACAATCGTTTCTATTTTATTTCTCTTTAATACATTTTTTTGTACTTTTAACTTAACATTTTTAATAATTTTTCAAGTAAAATTAACAAAATTTGTTCATAAATTTCCAGATAATTTATTTTTAGTTTTCTTTTAGAAAGTATTATGTTTATTTATAAATTACAAATTGTAATAAAAAAAATGTATTAAATAATGACGAAAGTTGTTTTTCCGCTCGATAAAATTAATTAGATCGTTTCTAATTGAGTTTGAAATTGCTGCTGATAATGATAAACGATAAGCGTGAAAAACAGACTTCAAAGAACAATTTAGTGACGACATTATTTTTTTAGCCTTCTTAAGAAGGCTAAAAATAATATTTGTTCGGGAAGAAAAGCAATTTTTAATTTTTTGTTTTTATTTCTTTATACATCGAATCTACGAGTACAGAAAACCTTTCGTTTTTTTACAATATCAGTTTACTGGTAAAATATTAATAAAATTATTTAAAAAAAAAAAAAAAGAATTTAAACTTAATCGTCGCGTGCGACTGTATTAATATATACAAATTAGTACAACGACAAAAATCGTAAATTAACTGAACTTCATTTTTGATCAGCTTCTGTAAAATAAAATTATATATTCATAGTGCGCTTAGTTTTTTACCATAAGAAGTTTGTCCTCCTTTTTATTTATTTCTTTATTTCTCATCTACCAAAATGGACACCTGAAATGTAAAAAAGAAATTATTAGAAATTTTCAATTATTTAAAAGTAATAAAATCTTTTTTTTGTAATTTGATAACAATGTAAATAAAGAAATTTTAATTTGAATAATTAACAATTAGTTGATTTTTTTAAAATTAATATATTTAATTTACTGAATCAAAAATTGTTTAATCAATCAACTTATTAAAATTTTTAATTTAATTGAAATTAAATATTTTTGAAGAATAATGTAGATTGTTTTAGAAGTTTAATAATGTTTGAATCACTTTAAAAATTCGAGTATTGTTATTAAAATTGAATTATTAATTGATAATTTTAATTCTCATTTTTATGACTATTGTTATTAAACAAATTGCACAATTAAGTACTTTAGCGATAAAAGATTTTTATAATAGATAAGTTTATATCAGATTTACTAAATAAAAATGTCTTCGTTACGATGACAATTTACTAGTATTTTCCCTTCTTATTATTTTCCCATTGCTTTTTAGTTCATTTTTTATAGTAATAAATCAATAACTTATTATTATGCAAAAATCAAAAAATTTTATTTTCAAACAAATATCAACTTTAATTTTTGAATAATTTTAGATTCAAAAATTTTAAAAAATTCAAATTTATAAATATTTTTTATTATTTACATAACTTTTATTAAAATTCTTTGAGACTATTTAATTATTTACAAAAATTTTAATAGATACAATTCTACACAAAAATTCAATTAATTTCATAAATAATCAAATTCCTGACAAGAATTCAATTGTTAATTTTCAATTGTCTCTTTATAAGGATTTTCATAGATTTTGTCAAAAAATTAAATTTTTAAAAATATAAAATTCTCCGAAAGAATTAAATTATTTTAAAGAATTTAAATAAAATTCTTCATAAAAATTCAGTTACTTTCATGTAGATATTCATTAAAAAAGTTTAATTATTTTCTCAGGAATTCAATAATTCTCACAACATTTTTATTAAAATTTCTCGAAAATTTTCGAAAGAATTCAATTACGTATTTTAAAGAGTTTTAATAAAATTCTTTACGAGAATTTAATTACTGTCAATAAAATTTTTATCATAATTCCTCAAAAGAATTGAATATTTTTTCACGAGATTCAATGATATTTAAAAATTTTATCAAACTTCGAAACTATAATTTTTTAATTCTACATAAAAAAAGATACTTTTTCTTATAAAATAAATTTTGGAGCAATAAAAATTAGTTTTTATACAATAATCTATAAGTCACTATTTTTTTTTTGGTTTTAAAATGTTAAATTAAATTTACAAATTATTTTATGATTTTGAATTAAAAACTTTTTTAATATTTAATCTTCATAACACGAAATTAAAATTTCGTTAATTCTAAACTTTTAAAAGCATTTAAAAAACGATTATTACCTATTAAAAAAATAAATATAGATTGAAAGAGTTATAGAAACAATTTGTAGAAATCATTAAAAGGTTTCAAAATTAAAATTCTTGAAAATTTTAATTTTGAGTAACTTTAATTATAAACTTTAATTAACTTAGTTTTTTGAAAAATTTTCTTAATATTATTGAAATTTTCGAATATATGTTATTTAATTAATTAAACTCAGGTATTATTAAAAATAATTGATTTAGAGAAGAAATTTAGTTAAAAATATTCGAAAAGTAATTGAATTTTAAATAAATTACAATAACTGTTTTTAGAAATAATTGCATTGCAGAAGGTTAGAATTTAAATTTCTAAAAATTTCAATTAGAAATATTTAATAATTATTTATTTAAATACTTATTTTAAAAAATTATTGAACTTTTGAATAAATTTAGTTTGAAAATTCCAGAAAATAATTGAATTTTAGAAGAATTGTTATAGTTGTTATTTTTTCGCAATATTTGAACTTTTATTATTGAAATAAATTTTGTGTTTTAAAAAACTCACCATCCGATGTAACACTGGCAGAGGTTTTCATTATTGGTTGCCTGTTGAATTAAAAGATCAACTTGTCGTTGAACGCTCAACATTTGATCGTGTGAAAAATCGCGACCAGTGAGTTTGTCCCTAACTCTATTTGTGATTGCAAGCGCCTTTTTGTTCAGAGCTTCCGGCTGATTACTGTCCCCTAAAAGCGAATATTTCATTTTTAACATTTTCGAATTAATAATATTTAAAGTGAAATTATAAATTAATTATATTTCAGATCTTCGCATTATTTATTTAATTATGTTTTTGTTAATTATTATATATTTTTTCTATTCTTTTTATTTTATTTTCTTTTTTCTTTTTCCTTTTATTCTATTTTTATATTTTTTCTTTTCTTTTTTATTCTATTTATATATTTTATATAGTTTTATTATACATGTATAATAGAATTCTAATGAATAAATAAATAAATAAAGGTATAAACTAAGGACCACTGACAATAAAAATTAACAAAAAAAAATGAAAATTACCACCATTCTCGATACTGCAAGGAGCTCCTTTTTTCGGCAAAGTTGACGTCAGCGAATCAATAATATCACCACGTTCCTGACTACTACTCGCGCTCATTCCCTGAGCATCGGATCTCTTCACCTTCGGCACCGTATTGTCCATGAGACGCCAATTCAACAAAGGATCATAGACAAAAGCTTCCAAAACTGCCATAAGACTGTCCTTATTTCGATGTAAAACAGACATAACGGATTCACAGGTCCTTCTGTATGTGCCCTCAATGCCCGTCACTTCCATTGCATTAATTAACATTCTCGTCAATCTAAATGGAATTTTCTCAGGGAATTTTTCACGTGTCATTGCCACTTCGAAGCAATCACCAAAATCAATGTGAAGAATTTTTCCACTCAAACGATCAAGCATCAAATTCGATGGATGACGATCACCAAGTCCAAGAATATAGCCAACCATTGACATCACTGCCAATGAACGTGTGTAATTTGTCCGACGATCAAACCATACTTCACTTGATGGCGATTTCAGCCAGAGGAGACGCGATAAATCGTCACCGTTCGTATGCTCCAGGGCGTGTTCGAATACTTCTACTTTTTGCATTAACATAAGATGATCGTAATCTGGTGCCATCTGTAATCAATTTTCATTATTTCTTTTTTTCATAGAAAATAAATTTCTATACTAATTTATTTTTATACTCTATAGATTTATATTATTTTGTTATTCATATTTTTGGTTTTTAGAAAGTTTTACTTCTTCACTGCATATTATTTATTCTTTTCCTTCTTTATGCAAAAAATTTTTATTTAGAGAATAGAATTAAAAAATCTTACGAGAAATAAAAAAAATTTTAATTCTTAGATTAAAGGTTTTATTTTTTACTCTATATTTTCTCTCTCAATGTAAACATTTTCTTTCTGACTAAAAAAGTAATTGTTTATATATGAAAGAATCAAAAGAAATCTAAAAATCAAAATTAAATTTAATAGTTATTAATTTTTTATTAAGGTTTGTTTAAACTTTTATTTCTCCTTCTCAATGTAAAAATTTTCATTCTAAAATAAAAAAGAAATTTTTTATAGGTATATAAAAGAATCGTAAGAAATCTTAATTTTAAGATTTTACTTTTCTCTACTATATTAATTTCTTTTCTTTCTCAAAATATAGGAAACTTTTATTTAAATTCGATATGTTGGCTCGAATTTTAAATTTTTTATTAAATTTAATTATTAAATTTTTACTAAAATTAAAATTGAAGTATTTTTAGTAAAATAATTAGTTTCATACTAACTCGAAGCATAATTCGGTGTTCTATATTGAGGAGAATTTTCTTCTTTTCTCGATAATCTCTAATCAGGGTGTGCAATGTATCGCAATGAGGCACCCAACCAATAAGGCCACTATTTGTCGACAATGGTATCACAGCGTATCTCTGCAAATTTCCACAATTAAATTAATTAAATTAAATATAAAATTATATTAAAAATATAATCATATTAAATCAATTTTTCAGATACAAATTCATAAAAACTGCATCAAAAAATTTTTTTCTTCGAAATTGTTGATTACAAACGTTGTAAAAATAATTAAGGAAGAGTCTGACAGTCAAAACAACAAACGTAGTCCAATACTTTAATTTCGTATTGTAAAATAAAAAAAAAACAACTTAAATTCGAAATTCGTTTTTGTGAAAGTGTAAAGAATTTAATTTTTAACATTTTAAACAAATAAAAGTTGCATTTAAATAAAAAATAACAATTTTGTCATCAAGAAATATTTTCTTAAAATTTAGATTATGTTAAATTCTATATCGTTTCTAAGTGCCAAGAAAATTTTTATTTTTATTCCTTAAAGTGATAAAAATTAAATTCTTCAACTTTAAATGAAAACAAATTTAAAACTTAGGTAGTTTGTTTTTTTCATTTAAAATACGAAATAATTGAATTTGACTAATTTTTTTTCTAATTCTTTGTTGAATTATTTCTTCAAATTCAATTCTCACCTGTATAGTAAGATTTCTCCTAAAAGTGTCAGGATCGTGCAACAATAATGTATTAACTAAACCGAATAACTGCATCACACGCTCGTCCTGTCGAAGATCTTCGTGTCCCTTCAAAAGGAACATGTAATCCTTGCCATTACTCCCTAAAAAACAATTCAAAAATTAGAAAAAATGTATACAATTTTTTAAATATATATTTATATTCATTACAATTCTCCTGTAAATAAATTAATAAATTAATACAGGATTACCACATTTTCTTTTTCTCTAACTTCTCTCAATTTTTAAAAATTTTAATAAAATTCTTAAAAATTTCCATTATTTTTGATACAATTTTTTGAAATTTTAATTATTTCAAAAAATGTCAATAATTTATTTATGAAAATTCAATTATCTGTGAAAAATAGAACTCAAACATTTTAAAACCCCAATTTTTCGAAACTTCAGTTTTTAAACCAAATTTTTTACACTAAAAACATGAGTACATTCGATTCTGATTCTTTGTAAAATTTGATTATTTGACATTACAATAAACTTTTTGGAAAATTGGATGTTTTTTTTATATAAGTATCTTTAAAAAATTGAATTAAAATTTTTCTGAAACTTTATTCTTTTCAGAATTTTAAATAATAAATTTAAATAGATAAATTTAAATTAAACCTTCTTTTAAAACTTAAATAATTTTTTAAATAAATCCTACCTATTAATTTTTTATAACAATTGAAATTTTGAAAAAATTTTTGTTTATAATCTGAAATTTAATTATTTGTAAAAATTGCAATAGTTTTTAGCTAAAATCTTTTCTAAAGATAATTATTATAATCAATAACTTTGAGACAGTTATTAAAGAATTTAATTAATTAAAATAAGTTTAATTATTTATGCGATGCCAGAAAAATTTAATAATATTTTTCCCTGATATCCAGACAGAATTTTTACTTATTTCCTGACCATAAAGAATATTCTGATTAATTCTCAAAATGATTAGATGCACACAAGAAAATAATTCTAATACATTTACATATTTGTTATTATCTTAAATTTTAAAATTATTCGAAACATTCAATAATTTTTTAAAATTATTTAATCATTATTATTATTTATTCATAGGAAGTAAGATTTTCAAAAATGTTAATTTGCTACTATTAATTCTTCCAAATTATTGTCAAGATTTAAATTTACATAATTATTTTCTAGAAGTTTTACTAAAATCAACCTATAAATTAATAAAATATTTAATAATTTTTGAGAATTCAATTATACAGAAAAAAAGAAAATTTACTTCAAAATATTCTAACATCCACTTTTGTTTACTATTAAACTTTTTTTCAAAACCTAAAATTTTAAGGACTTTTAATTAAAATGATGTTTATTTCAAATTTTCTAAAATTTCAATTTGAAACCTTTTGAAATTGAATTATTTATCAAAATTGTAAACGCAACTCTTTTAAAATTCAATTATTTTTGGAATTTTTAAGTAAAATTATTCGTTAGTTAATATGTAAGTAATAATTTTATAATAGATTTTCAAGAATTAAGTTTTTAAAAAAATAAGTTCAATTTCACATTCAGTAAAATTTAATTATTGTCAATAATAGAAAAAATGTAAAAATTTGTATTAAAATTCCTGATAATTTCAGTTTATGAGTCAAACAAAAATAAATTCAAGAAAAATTAAATCTTTTTAATATTTTCGTAAGGTGCGGGACACTTTCTAATAAATTCTAAAAAATTAATATTTTTCCAGTACTTTTAATAAAATTCCCTGATTTCCCAAACTTGGATTTCTTATTTATCAAAATAAATAAAATTCAAGGTATTGTTTAAAAATTCATCATGATTATAAAAAGTTTTTAAGTTGAAAAGATATTCAAGGAGAACTCAAGTTTTTTTAAGTTTTTCAAAACTCTTATTGAACACCAAAAACCAGAATTTTTATCTAGTAATTCTAGAATTTTGCTATATTTTCCTAAAATTTTTGATAAAATTCCCTGACATTTTCTTAATTTTCCTGACTAATTTAATTTTTTCTAATCTCTGTCAACCTTTGTCAATCTTTGTTTATTAATCTTGTAATAAATTAAGACGAGGGTTCACTGATAATTTTAACAAAATCAAGAAAATAACTTAAATATTCCAAAAAATTACTTTTAATGTACCAAAAGTTTTGAACGTTCAAATGAACGACGATATTTTTATTGCTTCTTTTAATTTGTATTTTATTTACAAAAATTTGTTTTTTATAATTTAAAACCTAATTTTTAACTAAATTAATTGTTCAGTTAAAAATATTTTTCATCTGAATTTAGTAATTTTTTTTAAAAATATTGGAACATAAAAAAAATTTTCGTTCCTTTGAACGTTCATAACTGTAGGAAAATTAATTTTATAGCAATTTTTTGAGAGGAATTCAACGATTTTAAGAGAAATAAAAATTCAAAAAGGATCAAAATATCTTCAGACCGATTTGATTTTATCACCATTGAATTCTTCTCAAAATAAATACTATAAAAAGAATTTTATGGAATATTTAAATTATTTTCTTGATATGGATAAAAATAACAGTGAACCTTAAAATAAATAAAATTAGACATTTTTTGATTTAAAAGATGGAAATTACCTTTAATGCACAATTTCCTCGGTCGTTGTTTACTCGTAATGACTTGCATCGAACTGTGAAAGTTCGATATCCGAATAATTGGCTGTCCAGGTTGATAGCTTCCAGGCACGGCCAATTCAAGATCCCGACACAATAAAAGTTTTGGACTCACATATTGCAATTCCAAACTTGTCAATTGTGGCAATTGTCGTGAGATTCGTCGAAAAACGTGATAATAAAGATCCCACGCCTGATTCAAATCGCGAACATTGCCCGAAGCTTTAAATCTATGGCACCAATCTTGAGCTTCAACTAAATCCCGTCCGTAGGCTTGATTAAACGATGTCTCCTTCAATGTTTGTGGACCACGTTCGAGCATCGCGTGCAACGGCTCCAATGTATCAAACATACCCTTAACATTTCTCTCGCCAAAGTACAAACGACTCGCCTCCTCAAGACCAGCGTGCCACAACTCATGCCACAATATTGCCACTCTTATCAATTCATCACTAGCCATGATTGCCTGTTGCACCAGTGTGGGACTGTGTTCGCACATATTTTTCAAAATTTTATTAGCCGCCGTTTTTCTCGCGTGACTCGCACTTTTTGATGCGACCGTCAATGGATAGACGAGAGCCTGCGGATGTGATTTGCCAATGTCGATCAATAAATGATGAATGCATCGTCCGACGAGTGCTCTTGGTGTGTCGATTCTAGCGATTAATTGTGGAATCACTTGGAGCCAGGTGTTTATTTCAATCATGCGAATACCCTCGACAATTGCGTCGTAGACCTCTGGCCATTGTCCGTATTCGAACCAGAGTGTGAGGAGTCGCAGTGTGTCTTGAAGAGAATTGCCGTGTGACAAATTGATGGAACGGAAGAAGCCCTCGACGGCAGGAACGGCGTAGCGGGAAATGTACTGGGAACTGCAGAGATTTCGAGAGCCGTTGGACGAAAGGGAATTATCTTGATTTATCATTTCGCCTTGTTGATGTTTGTAGAAGAGAACTGTTTCGTAATTTGTGTAGGCAAATGAATGCCAAGCTTTGTACCATGTGGGATCGTGCTCGGTAGCGGCTGAATAGTAGGTGAGAACCATTGGAATCGAGTGCTCCTTGATACCCTGTAGGGCTTCGGTCCATTCGCCCAGTTTTAGATAACATCTCGCGAGTAAACGCTTCCTTGCGTCTTGATGCTTCTCATCTTCTTGATTTATCACCGAATTTCCCGAATTTGTTAATGACGATGTGACGAATTTCTGCAATTGACAGTAAGCCTCGTCTCGTTTGCCAGCGACCCACATGTGTTTACAGTAGGCGAATGTTACCTGTTAATAAAAAGATCGCATATCAATTAAAAGAATCGAATTTTCAGTTCAGATCGACTTTAACTCCTTAAGTTCCTTGGCAGAGATTTGACAACAAAAGTCTTTGCCATCGACACTTAGGGGCTTAATATGAAATTTAAAAAATCGTTTTAATTAATTTAAAATCTAAAAAATTTCGAAAAAATCGTTTACTTTAATCGATTTTAAATTCCCCTGACTTTTCCCTGATTTTCAGAAAAATATTTAACTTTTTTTCTTATCCCGAAAATAACTTCTTTTCTAAGTTTCTGTAAAATTCAAATATTTTAGAATAATTTTTTGATATTTTATACATTTTTTTTAACCACGATTATTTTCGAAAATTTTAAATAAAAAACTATTCAAACATAAAATTTATTTCAATTATTAATGTAAATTTTAATTATTTCTAAAAATTACAACTGTGTAATTTTTCTAAATTTTTCAATTATTTTTTAGAAGTTTCAAGGAAAATTCTTCCCTAAATAAATGATATTATTAATAATTTTTGAAAGCTTATTTTAATCGAGAATTCAATTAGGTACAAAAAATAAAAATGAAATTTCGTTTAAAATTCGTCTAAAATTCAATAATTTTCAATTAAAAATAACAAAATTTCAACTATTCAAAGGTTATTCAAAGGTTTCATAATTAAATAATTTATATTTGAAAATTTAATTAATTTCAAAAAAATTTGTATTAAAATTAAAAGTTTTCAAAAAACTAAGTTTTTTGAATTTTTTATTTAAATTTATAAAAATTTTCATTTGTTACCTTTTGAGATTTAATTGTTTCTAAAAATTATTACTATAACTCTTTCAATAGTCAATTATTTTGTAGGTAGAATTTTTAACTAAATTGATCCAAAAGTTTAATGATATTCTAAAATTTAATTACGTACATATTTTTAAAGATTGATAAAAGTAACTAAAAATTCAAATTTATAAGAAATTTCATTTGTAACTTTTTGAGATTTAATTGTTTCTAAAAATTATTACTATAACTCTTTCAATATTCCATTATTCTTTTGTAGAATTTTTTAACTAAATTAAAGCTATTTTAATTTCTCCAAAAATTTAATTATTTTTTAGAATTTTTAACAAAACTTCTTCTCTAAATCAATTACTTATTTTTAATAATTTAAAAAAATTTCTTCTTGAATTCAATTCAATCCAATGATTTCCAAAAATCTTCTGAATTTTTTTTTAATTCCAAAAATTACATCTATAGGTAGGTAATTGTTTCGAAATTCAATTATTTTCTAGAATTTTTAACTAAAATTTTTCTCTAAATAAATTATTTCCAATTTATTATTTAAAAAATTTTTAGAATTATATATTTTATTTGCGATTTTTTAATTATTTTTTAGAATTTTCAATTAAAATTCTTCTTTAAATAAATCATTTTTAAAAAATTTTGAAGCTTAGTTTATTCGAGATTCAATAATTATTATTATTGGTAGGTACAAATAAAAATGAAATTTTACTTAAAATTCCCCCTAAAATTCAATTGTTTTCAATTAAAAATTACAATTTTCAACTAATCGAAGATTTCTTAATTAAAAAAAGTCTATTCGAAAATTTAAATAATCTCAACAAAATTTGTATTAACAATTTTCAAAAAATTAATATTTTTGAATTGTTTTTTAAAATTACTAAAAATTCAAATTTATAAGAATTTTCATTTGTAACCTTTTGAGATTTAATTGCTTCTAAAAATTATTACTATAACTCTTTCAATAGTCAATTATTGTGTAGAATTTTTAACTAAATTTATCTAAAAGTTTAATGATTTTGTAAAATTTTTAATTATTTCTAATGATTGCTACTGTAATTTTACCGAAAATTCAATTATTTTCTAGAATTTTTAACTAGAATTCTTCTCTAAATAAATTATTTTCTAGAATTTTTGACCAAAATCCTTTTCTAAATAAATTATTTTTAATAATTTGAAGAAGTATATTTTATTTAAGAATTTTCAATTCTTTATTAGAATTTTTAACTAAAATTCTTCTCTAAATTAATTATTTTTAATAATTTTAAGAAATTTCTTATCGAATTAAATTATTCAAATAAATATGAAATTTCACTTAACATTCTTGTAAAATTCAATTGTTTTCAATGTAATATTACGAAATTTCGAATATTCGAAGCATCTTTTAATTAAAATATAATTTTAAAAATTCTACTAAATTTAAGAATTTAGTTCTTAAAATTTGTTTACTATAACTCTTCCAATTTTAATTTATTTTCTGTAATTTTTAACTAAACTTTTCTTTTAAATCAATTATTTTTAATAATTGCCAAATCTGTCTAATTTTCTGACCTGCGGCAACTTTGTTATTGTGAAAATTCACAAAAATGTAAAAACAAGATTAAATTTTGAATTAAAACTTTTTTTAAATATTAAGATGAAAGAAATAAAAATTGGTTCTAAATTAATACCAATTATTGTAATTTGACAATTATTTTTTTTACAGTGAAGACAAAATCTGATTTATGAGTTAAAAGACTTGCAAAAAGAAAGTAAGATTCTTTACAGAAAATGATTTAACAATACATAGCTATTTTTCACAGAATAAAAATCGAAATAAGTTGCACTTTATATAAAAAAAAGTGGTATATTGTTGCAACATGTGAAAGAAAAGTCTCGTTTTTATCAAATTTTTTTGAAAATAGTCTTAAAAATAGAAAAAAATCATACTGTCCAAAACCTGATTTTTTTTGTGCACATATTACTCGAAAACAATTAAAGGTAAAAGGAATCAAAAAGTAAGAGATGAAAGAAAAAAACGAATAGATACTTGTAACAAAAGTTCAAAAATGTTTTTAAGAAAATGAGAATATTTACCTGTGGATGATGAGTAGGAAGCGGTTTGTCAGGAACCAGCGAAGGATCCATTCCAAGAAGCATCACCAGCGTTTTGTGACACAACATTAAATTTCCACTCTTTCTACAAAGACTCGCGTACTTCAGCCAAGTGTACATATCATCTTGTGGTGAAACAACGAGCGTATGAACCTGAATAAAATAAGGGAATAATCTTAATAATAATAATAATAATTTTTTATTTTTTAAATTATTCATAAAAAAACTATGCAAAACTCGATAAACGTTGTAAACTTGACATTATTAAATAATTGACTCATAAAATAATCGAATAATAATTATAATAATAAAAACCTGAATAATCTTCTGCCAATCCTCGACAATTCTCTGACCACCCTGAAGTCTCTCCCACCACATACTCTTGATAGTTGACCTCCTCTCGGGTACCAATTTAAATTGAATCACTTCCTCCAATTCGGCCAATTTTTGCACCTCGACCATCGCATTATACGCCCGTTGATAACTCTCCCCAGCCATTGCGGTTAATTCCGTGTCCAGTAAATCCCGCGCACTCTCAATTAATTCATGAGCAACGTCGTAACGCTCATCATGAATTGCCAGCACAGCTCGATAGAATGCACCATCTTGCGTGTCTTTCGATATCAACGAGACATACTTCTGCATACTCTCCCACTGATTAAGGCCCCAAGCGGCCGCTGCTGCCATCCTCGCCATTCTTTGCTTCGTCTCCTCACTCTGATTCGACCACTGCTTCATCGCGACTTCATGAAGCTGTCCCCATTCTCCCAAAGCCTCGAGACATCTCATTTCACCCAGAGTCGATTCCACATCGTTCGAATCAATCTCGAGTCTCTCGTTATAAAGTTGAAGGGCCTTGTCCCAGTTGTGCAACTTCTCGTACCATCTCACTTGCACCTTCAATTCAGGCTGACTGTGCTGATTCATCACGTACTCCAACAAACCCTCAGCAGCTTCTTTCTGCTGCAACTTATTATTAATCGATATCAGTGACTCAAAAACATTACTCTTCGAATCATTATTCTTCGAGTCGGCCCTCTCCGAGTCGTTCTTATTCTTGCTCTTGTGAAATTCGTCCTCCTTGTAATGAAGCGCTTTCGCGTAGGCACGACAATGCATTGCTCGTTCACCGAGAATTTTATTATCCAGCGGCAATGGTCCCTTGTCACAGTGCTCCATAAATTCGGCTAAATTCAAAATCGTCTGCGTTATTTCCGGCAAATCAGGCACCATTAGAGCTTGCTGAAGTGTCTGTATCAGTTCGGCTCGATAACTCTCGTTCAATTCGGACCAACACGAAACGAAAGCGGCATTAAATAGATCCCTCGGCAATTGTGAATAAGTCTGTGCCAAAGCCCAACAGGATCTCAAGGCCGGCGACGGTGACTCCTTCAACAAACCAATCGACAAACTCTTAATCCACTCGAGCCAATCGTCCTTCGACACCCGTCTCGTCGCAGTCCAAGCCTTCTGCAAATTCGAAGCGTCCACATGTAAACGTTTTATAGTCGTCGTATCCGAAGAAGTCAACGACATGTCCCTATTTTTATTCTTCGACTGCCTCTGCTTTATCAGAAGATAGTCCTCCGTATCCACCACCGACGATTCAATATCAATCTTATGCACCAACCACTCATAGCGCGTATTCGAAATCTTATGCTTAATAATCACCTTCTGCACCATAAGAATAAAGATCTTGTACTTCTTTCCTAATTGAATAATAATAGCACAAAGTGTGTCCATCGCAGTGTCTCGAAGATCCGGAAATTGATCCAAAACCCTCACCAACGGGTGTATTATTCTCGATGAGAAATCCGTGAAATCTAGACAATCCGACAGATGATCAATCGTCTCCAAAGCGACTCTATTCACCACAATCGGACAGTCCGTGGCGCAAAACAATTTCACAATCGGCGGTAGCACCAAATGAAGATAATTATCCAAATTATTACCAAACTTCTGCAGAGCTTGGAGAAGTTTCACAGTCACCGTACGATCCTTACTAGGATCATGATTCAACACCTTGAGAATTTGTGGTATCAGTTGTGGAATGTAGATCTTGAACTCAGAACCCAATGCAACGGCAATGTGTTCAACGAGCAAAATTAACGTACTCTGTAAGGGACTGTTAACGGTCCAAAATTCTTTAATTAGAATAAAAATATCGTCGAGGTAATTTCTAATATGTTGCTTCACAATTGCGATCAGAATGGCAAGTTGCTGGAAAAGGTACTCACGGAACGTAATGTCGGCCGTGCGGACAACATTCAGAAAACTTGGCATCACCTGCGATATGTATGGAACGCACTTGATGCCCAAACTCTTGAAAATAAAAGTCACGGCCTGCACCACCATGGTATGATGCTGCGACAGCGTGGGATCGCGAATTATTCTCATCAGCGTTGCAATAGCAATCGCCGGGTAATATTCTTCCAGAGTCGACGACGACATATTCACCAGCATTTCACTCGTCGTCAGGTCCTGATTCATCTCCGCGTCACTCTTTATATCCGCCATCGATGTCAGTGTGTCCAACTGGGAGTCAATTTGACCCAAATTCATCTTATGCTTATAGGGATCTAGTGCTCCGAGTAAACCCAGTACTCTTATTGTCTCCCTCCGAATATGCGTCTGTTGCTCCGTTTTCAAAAAGTTTATCAAAACGTCCAACAAAGTCGGATATTGCATGTAAGGCTTCACCACGTAACCAGTACTCCCGACCAGTTGACCCAGAACCCAGAGGGCAACCCCACGTTTCTCGGGTGAACTCGCGTCGACCAACATCTCCAGCAAAATGGACAACAGTTCCGGAAGCCACTGCTGCATTTCGGCACCGCTAACCTCCGCTAAATCGCCAATCGCCTTTAGAATTGCCAAAATAACACATGGATTCGGTTCCGGTTCTTTTAATTTTGGCACTAGAACCTTGAGCATCGGTTCCATGTAGGGACGAATTAATCTCGGTGCACTCACCACGAGATGGTCGAGCATCCTCGCCGCTTGCTCCTTATTCCGCCCCATTCCCGAATACTCCAACTCGGTCAACAGTTGAATCAACGTCTTCCTCAAGGACGGCATCACATAGGCTGGATTCATTATACTCAGTCTTCCAATCGTTCTGCTGGCAATTTCCCGAATTTCGAAAATCTCGTCATTCATCCCAACGAACAGTGCCGAGAGACTCTCGGCCTGCGCCAAATGACTATCAAACGATTCGTCCAAGGAGGCGAGGACCCAAAATCGAACATCCGGATCTGGATCGATAATTCCAACATCGAGTAGTTTTCGGACAACTGAAGAAACAGTGGTCGTCACCGTATGTCCGGGTTGATTTAACGAGAGTCGCAGGAGCCTCGAACACGTTCTCACCGCCTCGAGACGCACCTCCGCCTGTTCCGATGTGAGAAAATGATCCGCGCAACGCTTCACGAACTGTAACAGTGGATTCTCGTCGAAATCGAAAGTCCCAAGGGTCCTCAGTGCCAGAACTGTCGAGGAGACATCGACTTCGGACAGACTTGTCAAATTTGGACTACTCGCGCTCCAGGGTGCTCCAGGATGTCTCAATGGTTTGTGCATCAACACCTGCGACAACATTCTCAGCAAACCTTGCGAAATATCAGCTTTTAACGAAGGCACATCGTGCGCCAGTTCCCGTAGTGAAGTCGTCAAAATAGGACTCAAACCGGTCGCCAACATCGACTCCAAAATGTCCTTAACATCACCGGAGATTGTCTGCTTTACAGCGTGGCCCAAGAGAGTGATACAGATAAAAACGGCCGGTTCCAGGGCAACTCGCTTCTTATTCGACATTTCCTTCGAGGGCAGTGAACTCTTGATAGTTTCCATAATTCTCCCCAAGTAGGGCTTGATCGGATCGCCAACAGCCACAGCAATCAGGCCAATGGTCGTGAAAGCCGCCGCTCTGTCCTTCTCCCTTCCTTTGAGTGTCATCAGCAAATAAGCCAGACAATCTCTCAAATTACTCTGAACAAATTTCTCTCTATTGAAAGCCGCCAATCTTGGTAAAAGATTCATCAACGCGTTCTGAATATGCGGATTACGGGATATTCTCTGATTCATGACCTCATCACTAACATCGTCCAACTTTTCCAACATTAAACCACGACACGCGGTTGATTCATGTGTCGGATGGTGTGAAGACTGTGCATTCAGAGCATTCTTCGACGACATTGACCACTTAGTCACCAGATTCGATTTCAAATGCGGCATCATGAGAAATATATCGTTCTCCTTCTTCTGGGGGGAGCAATTTAACTTCTCCATCAGATCCTCATAATCCCTCTCCCATTGAATATTGCTACACCTCAGCAATTCGTTCAAAACCAACAAAGAACCATGAATACGATCATCCCTATTGAAACTCCTCTCCCTAAAAGAAACGTCCTCGAACCCAGAACAAATCTCATCGTAACATTGTTTATACCACTGCGACTTGTGCATCTGCTTAGCCGTTTCTCTCTGCGCCGTGACGACCAAAGCAGCCCGAAGTGCCTCCACCGCCCCCTCTCGTATCACCGCTTTTGGATCCCTCACCGCATTGAAGATCACCTCGAAAAAAGGCGTTACTTGTTGAAAAAAATACGTAGGCATCGATACTGCCAATTCTTTCAGAACCAAAACGGCCGCCTGTCGTTTCCCCTCATTACGATCACCACCCAGCCATTCAAACGCTCGTTTCACTTCGAATTCCACATAAGCTGCCGTATAAGTGCCCGAAACAAGGGCCAATTTCCCAACAGTCTTTGCCGCCAACTCCATAACACCAACATCGCTCGACGGCAATAAATGTCGGAGATAATTCGCAAATCTAATAGTACGTGTATTTATACTACCAACATCGGCGTCGATTAAACAGATTATCGCCAAAATTCCACCCTTCTTCTCATTCATATCGGAGCCTGAGACCATTTCGAAAATATGATGATTAAATTCGTCCATAAATGCGGTGAATTCCTCTTGTGATGCTTCGCGTAATTCCGTTTTAACGTAAACGGAAAGTTTGCGAGCCGTTTCATTACGAACTTCCTCATGACGCGATTTTAAACGTTGAACGTATTGTTGAACGGTGCTCGACATTTTGAAATCGTTTTTTTCCTCCTTTTTGTTTAATCTAATTTAGTCCACATACTAGAAGAATTGCTCCTGAAACCAATTGAAAATAGTTCAAATTTATATAATTCAACCAGTTTGACACAAAAAGTTTATTTTCCTTGATTTCCAGACAGAATTCTTACTTTTTTGATGTTCCTAAACTTCTGAACGTTCAAATGAACGAATATTTTCGTTTTTTTTATTTTTTTAATTTTGGTACAAAATATTAAATACACATTTAAAAGTGAATTATTACTTACTTAATAAATATTAAATTAATTTTCTATTTTTCATTAAAATACAAAAATATCAGGAATGATCAAAAAGGGAAAAAATTTTCGTTCATTTGAACTATCAAAACTTTAGGAACATCTTTTTTGATGACGATTATGAATATTTTGATTCACTCCAAAAATTATTTGACAGACAAATAAATGTTTGTAATACATTTATTTCTAAATATCTTTAATTGTCAAAATATTCGAAAAAATTGTTTTTTGATAAATATTAAATTATTAATATTAGTTATCCATAGAAATTGAAATTTTCAATAATTTTGAAGATTTCAATTAAATTATTTTCTAGAATTTTCAACTCAAATTCTTTTCTAAATCAATAATTTTTTAGAAAGTTCTGTAAAAATTCAATTATTCAAGGGAAAAAAGTTGTAAAATATTTTTGAAATTCACTTATTTACAATTTAATTTTATGAAATTTCAATTATTCAACCATTTTTCAATAAAATATGTATTCAAAAATTCAAGTAATTTAAAAAAAATTGTTAAAAAACTAACTTTTTCGGTTTTTTTTTTTTTGACTTTTTTGGAATTCAATTATTTCTAAAAATTGTAAACGCAACTTTGGTAGTTTTGGTTTTAAAGTAAAATTATCAAATAATTATGTAAAATTAGTAAAATTATTAAATTCTAATTCACATTTTCTAAAACTTTAACTTGAAATCTTTTGAAATTCAATTAATTATAAAAGTTATAAACGCTAGTTTACTAAAATTAAATTATTTTTGAAGTTTTTAAATAAAATTATTTACTTAATAATTTTAAAGTAATATTTTTGTGATTCTTCTTAAAGATTTAAATTATTTAAAATAAATTAAATTTTATATTGTTTAAAGTTTAATTATTATTATTAATTATTATTTTTGATTTCAAAGTTTATAAGACAAACAAACAAAAAATTCAGAAATTTTCAATATTTTCAAAGATTGATGAAAACCAAAATACAGAATTTTCTTATCAATTCTAGAAATTTAATATTTTTTCAGTAATTAATTATATACTAATTATAAGTAATTTATGAAAATATTTTTAATAAAAAATATTACGTTCATTTGAACGTATGAACGAAATATTTTTTTCAATGTAAATATTTTTATAAATTACACACTGAAACAAAAATGAGAAACATTAATTAAAAATTTTGATACTTTATAAACTTTTTTTAATAGTTGACTCAATAATATAATAAATTTGAATTTAAAAGAAAATAAATAAATTTCGTTCATTTGAACGTTTAGAATTTTAGGAACATTTAGAAATAATTAGGTAATCAAATTTATTGAACTACTTAATTTAAAATTTTGTTTTATTATTTACTGTGTAAAAACAAAGGTAAAAAAATTATAGTTTTCTTGAAAACAAATTCTTTTTTGAAAATAAAATTATAAAATAAAGGTTTGTAGAATAAATTGGAATTAGAAATAAATAATTTAATTCAACTGATTTTTATAGATATTTTTAATTAAATTTTCTAGGTATAATTTAGAAATTACAATTTTATTTGAATTTTGTTTTATTAAAATTAAAATTATGTTTATTAAATAATTTTACAATAATTTCTACACTTCAGAAATTACAATTTTATTTAAATTTTGTTTTTATTAAAATTAAAATTACGTAAATTAAATAATTTCTTTGTAGTAAAAAGTAATAAATATAAATATATAAATTTATTAAAATGTATAATTACGAATAATATAATTTAGAATAATTAAAATCATATAATTTATAAAAATTATTATTTATTATACTAAAAATGTATGCCTTTCGTCTTTAAAAGTGAATTTCTAATTACAAATTTACATTTTTAATAATTGTAAACTTTAATGAAATTGAATTGACAAAAACAATAAAAATTTAAAAATATAGATTTTAACACCTAAATTGATTTCAATTGAATTAATTTCATAATAAAAACGAATTACTTGTTATTTTACTTGTTTGTACTTCTAAATAAATAAATAAATACATTTCATAAAAAGATTTAATTTTTCTTGTTATAATTATCATATCATTATTATTTAAACTTAAAATAATTGAATACTAAATTGTAATCTCAATAACTAATTTTCTAATTAGAAATTTAACTGCAATTACATATTATTTAGAAATAAAGCAAAAATTTCATTCGAAATTCCAGCAAAATATTTACAAACACAAATTTTATGAATACACTTAAATAAAAATGCACTTAAAGTATAAAATTTATTTCTAAATACACAACGACAAATGTAAATTACAAAAATAATTATGTGTCTGGAGTGTGAAATTCATTTTCAATTATTTAAATTTGAAAATCAAGGTTATGAATGTATAACAAACATTTGGAACTTATAAATTTAATGTTGATAAAAAAATCAACAAAGTACGTATTGAAAATCACTCATGATTTTCATTGTAAAAAAAAAGAAAAACAATAAAATTTGAATAATATTTTTGTCAAATACATACCAATTTTTCCAAAAATAAAAGCAACGACCTTGTCATTTTGTTGCTTAAATTGTTGGTTATTGTTTTCCATTCAGTTCGATAAAATAAACGTAATTCCTAAAATAAAGTAAATTTTTCTTGATAAACATTAATTGCAATTAATAAAAACTACTTTTTTTGCGTTATATTGCGATAAAATGTTTTGAAAAATATTAACATAATTATAGGTTAGGATTCTTGATTGCATGCGGAATATACAAAATATTAGGTAACTAATATAAATTCACTTACTGGACAATATTAACTCTTATATTAATTAAGAGGACATGTAATTCTTATAGAAACTTAAAAAATTATACTGTAATTCAAGCACAATAACATTTTTTTGCAAATTTGTTTACAATTGATCGCATTATCAAAATTCACAAACACACCCTGACTTATTTTCAACCAATGAAATCGTCTCAATTCCCTTCGTTCTGCATTGTGATTGATTGAATAATTTTAACCACTGTATTCGTTATTTTTTGTTTATTAAAATTAGCTATTTTTATAAACTACGATATAATTAAATAAATAGAAAATTGTAAGTATAAGTTAACAATAAGTTAAGTGTAAATGCAGATAAAAAATTTTCGGTAAATGTAACTATTATCAAATTAAAAAACAAATCGAGCGGCATTAACCAATTAAACATCGTCTCTAACAGACGAACACATTTTAATTGGTTCGATAGTCTCATAAAGCGTCTGGTTTTTTTGAATTGGAAAACCGTTTGAACTTGCAATCAGTTTTATGGCAGTTGACGCATGGTTGACTGTATTTTGATCAATGTCGATTTAAATCAGTGTTATTTATTGTTTTAGGTAAGCTTTTAAACGTTATTTGTTGAAAATAGTTGTTGATATGTATTCTAGAGAAAGTTTTTTCAAAATAATTCATAATTTTTAATGTAGTTTCTGTGTTAATAGTGAAATAAAATGAATGACAAAGAATTGTGCACAGTTTTAGAGGGTGCAAAATATTCCAAGCGAATTTTAATTATGGAATAATAAATAATAATTTTTTGACAGTTTCTAGATAGATTTTTTCAATTTATTACTTAGAAATTAAATTGTTTTATTATTAAAAAATTGATTAACCTAAAATTCTTTTTTTTTGGAGTTTATTTATAATTTTTTGTACTAAATTTTATTTACTTTAGAACCTTTAGAATTAACAATACTTAATTAATTAATTAACTAACTTCAGAATTAATTAATATTAATAAGTTTGTAAAAATGTATAATTTACAGTATTTATTTTTTAATTTTCTTAACTGAAGGTCGTGGAATATTATAAAAATTCTTTTATTCTATCGAGCGATTTTAATTTGAATAATTAAAAAATGTCTACTTTAATGAAAAGGGGAATTTAAAATAAAAAAAAATCAAAAGAGATGAGGAATTTTATAAAAAAGTTGAATTTGATGAATATTTTTCTTGTTTCATTTCAGAAATGGATAACACACTCGATACAATTCGCCAATCTTCGGATGCAACTCTTAATGAGGAAGTTTCTTATTTATATGGAAGAGATCCAAGTATCATTTCCTATGGACAACAGCGATTTATTACAAAAGATTCGCAAAAAAATTTGTATTCTTTGTATGAAGAGGAAGAATCACATGATGTCATTAATTCCGAATCATTATCGTCTCAAACAGTGAAAGTTTATCTTCGAATGAAGCCATTCCCGAAAAAAATGAAATTATCCAAAGAACAAGAGGAGGCATATTCAATTGTTAATTCGACAACATTAATAACAAAAATGGCAAATATGGAGTGTAATGCAAGTTGTTTGAAGAGACCAAAAAGTTCCGATACAATATGTAAAAAATTCACCTTCTCACAAACTTTTGGTCCCGATACTTCACAATATGATCTCTTCGAGCAAGTTATTCAATCGCAGATGGTCGATTTTTTAGCTGGACAAAATGCCACTGTTATGACTTATGGTAAATAGGGAAAAAAAACCTTTTTCTATGTAATTTCGAACAAATTAATAAAAAGAAATTCTTTTTTAAAAATATAATTTTTTCAGGAACAACAAATTCCGGCAAATCGTTTACACTGCAGGGAACAACATCATCACCGGGTATAATACCTCGAGCATTGGAATTTATTTTCTCGAACATTAATCCAAAAGCTACACCTTGTTATAAGCCAATAAATCATTCGGATGTAATTGCATTGGATAATAAGGCGCGAGGCATTGAATTGGAAAGAAAAACATGTCTATTGACATTTGGATCGGCTGATAAAAATTTATACATTAATGCTTATAAAGAAATGCAAAGTTTACTCCAAGAGCAAACTGCAATTCGACAAAGTACATGTCCACAAGGCTTTTATTCAGTTTGGATATCGTTCGCTGAAATTTACAATGAAACAATTTACGATCTTCTTTCGAATGATATTCAAGCGCGAAGGCCACCGTTAAAATTATCAACCGACAGTCAAGGGAGATCATTTATAAAGGGCCTAAAGACAGTTTGCGTTAATTCTGGATCTGAGGCTTATCAAATTTTAATGGCCGGTCAATATAATCTCAAAGTTGCTGCTACAGCTTTAAACGCAAGAAGTTCAAGGTCACATTGTATATTCACTGTCACATTGTTGAAATATTCAAAGGAAAATTCACCCGATTCTGTGGAAGTTAGCACGTGAGTTTTTTCTTCCCGCCAATTTATCTAAAATAATATCCAGTCCTCTGATTGTATGACTTTGTAGACTTTTTTCGACTATCTTTTTAAAAATGCAATTTATTTCGACTTATAAAAATGCGACACTTTTCACTTACAAATATTGCAACAAAATACTATTTTTTTAAAATAATAAAAATAACAAAATTCTTTTTTTAAAAATAAAACTTCGATTTTCAACTACAGTCAAATTTTCCAAAATTAATTTTAAATAATTTTTTTAAAGTAGATAATTCAATTTTTGAAAGTTGTAATTAAAATTAAAATTAAAATTAATTAAAACGTTTTTAAATAATTAAAATTTTATTGAAAATATTTAATTTTTTAAGTAGGCTATTTCATTAAAATTTCGCTTTTCATATTGTTAAAAATACTATAATTAATTCTTTGAAAAATAATTTTTGAATTCCTCCATAATTTTTTTTCATAACGCGGTGCAAAAAAAGGCACTTTTTTGCACCTTGTTATGAAAAATATCGTTCGTAACTAGTGCTAGCAGTTGCCAATTTTTGAATGAGCACTTTTTTTGGAACAAACTGTAAGCGAAGCTTCGCTTCGCCTACAGTTTGTTCCAAAAAAAGTGCTCATTCAAACATTGGCAACTGCTAGCACTCGTTACGAAATATACTATTAAGATACTTAAATTTTCGAAATATATAAATATGTAGTATTTTTTTAATTGTTAAATTCTTTGAATTTTGTTGTATTTCATGAAAATTTTTCAAAATCAAATTTTGAATAATTTAAATTGTAAAGTTTGAAAATAATTGAAATTTCAGCAAATTTAATGAAAACTCTAAATTTGTTTATTTTTTAACATTTTCTAAACATTCTTGTAATAAATTCAATTATTTTCAAATTTTTTTTCACTAAATTTCAATAATTTGCCAATTTATGAATTACGTAAAATTGGAAAATTAATTATCTTTTACAAAATATTGTTTTTACATAAAAAGTATTTTATTTCTTCCAATCGTTGATCATAAACGTTGTGAATTTCACCCACGTTGTCTTTTAAAAATTATTTGAAACTATTGTTAAAAAACTAATTTTTAGACTTTTTTCATGTATAATTTTTTTAAATTCAGTTATTTTCAATATTTTCAATTACATATTTCTGAAAATTACAAACATCTACGAACAAGAAATATTTACATTGAAAGTAAGTAGGAAATTCGATCCGTGGAAGGTAAAAGTATAGACATATTGGTTTTATGTCATATTTTTATTAATGTCAAATAATTAAAAAGATAGCGACGTTTCGATGACTTGGTTTGTCATCATCATCAGGCTAGGCCTAAGTAAATAAACAATAAATTTACACCACAAATAAAGACGAAAAGAATAAAATATAAAAATTAAAAAAAAAAAATTAAATTAATTTAAAAATAATAAATTTAAAAAAGGTATTTACCACATCACAAAAAAACGTTACATATTAAATTCGCGCAGTAATAACTGGCACGTCGAGTTTTAGAGAGCGTTTCGTCAAGACCAATATGTCTATACTTTTACCTTCCACGGATCGAATTTCCTACTTACTTTCAATATAAAAAATTTCGGAAGGGAATATTATCATTATACTATATAAGAAATATTTACATTACATTTTCTTAAAAATCTAATTTTTTACAATTAATATTAAAATAATTTTTGTAGAAATCAATTATTTAAACAAATTTTAATGGAAATCTTTCAAAAATTTTATTATTTTTTAATATTTTCCAAACTATCTTCTAAAAAGTTCAATTATTTTCGTTTTTTTTCAGTAAATTTCAATTATTTGGAAATTTTTAAATAGCATAAAATTTAAAAATAAATTATCTTCAAAAAATTATTTTATACCTTTTATACTACCTATTTAATTTTTTAAATAACTAAGTTTTCCAATTTTTTTATTATAATTTTTTAAAAATCAATTATGTATTTTCAATCATTTTAGATTCATATTTTGGATAATTAACTTTAAAAACTTTCTAAAAAACAAAGAAAGGTTATAGTTTGATTTATCATAAAAAAATTTAATTTTCGTTTTTAAATTGTGGAATTCTTAAAAATCTTTTGGAAAATTATTAAAAATAATTGATTTAGAGAAGATGTTTAGTTAGAAATTCTAGTAAATATTTTGGAGAAGTTAAAATTTGGATTAATTTTTTCAAAGAATCACAGTTGTATTTTTGAAATTAATTGAGTTTTACAAGATTTAAAATTGAATTTTTTAAAATTTTAATTCCTGTAAAAAAATAAATAACAAGCATTTAAATATTTATGTTACAAAATTATTGAAGATTTGAGTAATTGAATTTTGAAATCAGTGAATTGTCAGGGAAATAAAAAATTAAATTTTGTCCAAATACTAAATAAAGTGAAGGACTTTTTTGCACTTTAAAATCGATCCAAAGCCTGAATACAATTTCATATTCTATTTTAAAAATCTTTTTTTTTATATTTACAGTTTTGCATTCTGTGATCTTGCCGGTTCGGAGAGATTGAAAAAGACTCTGAACGAAGGCGAACGCCTAAAGGAGGCACAAAATATAAATACAAGTTTACTCGTTCTTGGTAGATGTTTAAAATCAGTTTACGAAACTCAAGGTACAAGGCAAAAGACAAATCTCGTTGGTCCATTTCGTGAATCAAAACTCACGAGACTCTTTCAAAGACCATTATCGGGAAATGAGAATATTGCATTAATTGTTAATGTCAATCCATCGCCAAATTTATACATCGAAACACAAAATGTCCTCAATTTTTCTGCAATCGCCAAGAAAATAATAATTGAACCAAAAAAAATTCCACGCAAAAAATCCATTTCAAGATTCTCGAAAATTGTTTCACAGAGCATTAAAACTGTCACTGATTGGGACACGATGGACTTTGAAAATACAGGTTCATATTCATTTTTTCTATAAAAAATTGAAATATTTGCTGATGGAAAAATTTAATTTATGAAATTTTTCTGTTTTTTTAGACGAATTAGACAGCGAGAGTGAACCAGATGTTGACATGGTACATCGAGAGGATTATGACGATGCTATAGATGAAATTAAAAATCTTAAACAAGAAGTTTTGAATTTAAAGAATACAATGGTGGAACGTGATATGGCAATTCGACAAGAATTAACTGATACTTATAGTCAAATGATGAAGAAAATTGAGCACGACTGGAGGTAAATTAATATAGAAATAATGAAATCTATAAAATTTTTTTATTGTAAAAGTTAATTTTTCAAAAATTCCCACAGGAATCGAGTGAAAGATGTAGAAGAACAACACGAAGATCAGTTGGAATATTCTTTAAATCGTTTGGAAACATACTACAAAGAGAAAATAAATAAACTGAAGAGTAGCAGAAAACGGACACGTTTGGAAACTGACGATTTAGAGGATGATGAAGACGAAGATCAAAAGTATTACGATGAAATTGAAGACGAAAATACAACACTCAAATCAAAAATAGAAACCTTAAAGGAAACAATTAAAAATCTACGCGAACTGAAAGATAAAGAAGTCGTGGAGAAGACAAAAATTGCCTTTGAATTGAGTGTAACTAAAGATGATTTGAAGAATGCTCAATCATTATTGGAATCAGCAAACACTAATTCGAGTGAAAACGATAAAAAATATATTCAGGAAATAAAAACTCAACTTGATGAAGCACATGAAAAAAATAAGGTAATTTTTCAGTTACATTTATTTATAATAATAATTTATTTATAATATTAATCTTTTCAGCAATTAAAAGTTTTTCTCAACGAGGCGAAAGAAGAGTTCATAACAATAACAACTGACTGTCGTCTTATGGAGGAAAAATTGAAAACAAAAGAAGAAATATTAGTTGAATATGAAGATAAAATAAACGAACTGGAACACCAATTGGAGATTGTCAACGATTGTCTATCGGAGAAAGTGAAATTCAATGAAATATTAGAGGACAATATTGAGACGAAAAATAGAATTATCGCTGATTTACAAGATGATATTTTGAATATGAAAGAAAAGCAGCACGTACGAAATAATATCATGCACTCCGAAAAGGAAACAATGACATGTGAAGAATTATCCTCTATAGATGATAATAAATCTCAAAATTCACTCAGTAATACAAGTTGTCAAACGGAAACGCCAAATTTAATTGATTCCGAATGTAATACGAATTTCTCGGAAATTAAAACAAATTCGAGTTTATCAACAGAGGAGAAAATTTTACAAACATCATTTCTCGATCAACAGGATGATATTAGTGCCGAATTTGAAAAATTAAAGGAAACCTTCGCTCAACTTGAAATCGAATCAATAGCAAACAAAATGGTAATAATTCAATAAATAATTAATAATAATTACTAAGAAAATAATAATAATTTAATATTTTTAATTCTTGATCACTAGCATTTAGAGGAGTCTGCAGAAAAGATTACAAAATTAGAAATGGAAAATAAAAATCTCGAGGAGGCGATTAAACAGGTAAAGAATAAAATAGTAAATTTCATTTTTTTTTCGAAAATCAATTTTTTAAAGTGAAATTTACAATTTCAGTCGCTAGAGGAACACGAGGAAACGATGAAAGAAATGCAAAAAATTCTTGACGAGGCCAAAGAGAAAGATAATACAAATTTAATGGTATTTTATTCTATTTAATACTTCATATTTTTAATTTTTTAATTTATAATATGAGTAATTATAATGTAGAAGGTATATTCAATGTTAATTTACAGTTCTTAGAAGAATATAAAGAAACAGTTGCCGATTTGGAGAAGGAAAAGAAAAGACTCGAGGAAGCGGTTAAACAGGTAGAATTTAAAAAATTTTTACAATCAATTTTTTCTCGAATTTTGGAAAAAAATTACATTACAAAATTTTTTTTTTTGCAGTCCCAAGAAGAAGAAGAGGCAGCGAAGAAAGAAATCCAACGTACTCTTGACAATGCCAAAGAAAAAGACAACTTTAAATCTGTGGTACTTTGTTCAACTCATATTTAAAAATTTTGACAATCTTTTCAATAACGAAAGAAATTATATTTTTTGTTTTTTTATTATAATAATTGTTAAATAAATTAATTTTATTACAAGTATAATTATACAATTATTTTTATTTATTTATTTTTTACTATTTTACATTCTTTATTGTTTTGAATAGTTTAATTTCAATTTATTTTATGTATTTCTTTAAATAATTAATACTAATTAATACAAATTGACAATATAATTAATAATGTAATTAATTATATATTAATAATAATATAGCTCGTATAATTACTAATTTGAATTAGCAGTTTTTAGAGGAATTCAAAGAAAAATCTGAGGAATTAGAGAAAGAGAATAAGAAACTCGAAAGTAAATTGGAAGAGATGACAGAAGACTTGGAAAGGGTATCGAAAGAAAGAGACACAGAAATTGCGAGTTTACAGAATGGTGAGTATTCACTATTTTTCAAATACGATTTGAAATATGCACAATTCTTTAATTGATAATATAATCAATTTTCAGAATTAAAACAACTGATTCGATCGAAAGAAACTTTAATGGAATCTCATGATAGAGAAAATGAAAAGCAAATCAAATTAACTCTAAAGGCACTCAGAGCCACTGAAGATACTCTTACTAAAGAACAAGAAAAATGCAAAATCCTTCAGAGAAACGTATGACAAAGCATTCCATAAATTATTAATATTTTACTTAATTAATTAACCGAACAATTAACAAAATTATTAAAATACTTAACAAAATTAATAAAATTAACAAACTAATAAATTATTTTAAACTCGTAAATTTTTAGTTAAACTTACAAAATAATTTTTATTACATTTTGTAATTTAGATCCAAATATATTTTATTTATTACATTTTACGTTATATTATCATATAATTATTTTTTTACTCTTCATTTGTAACATTTTTTTATAATTATCTTTTATTAACTTTGACGTACATATTTAACTCTCCCATCTAATCTATTTCGTGATTAATTATATACTTTGAATTTTGTAGAACGAACGACTGGAGCAAGAGGTTCGAGGTCTTGAGGATACGATAAAGGATACATATTTAAAAGAGGAAATGGAACGTGAAATTGTGTCTTTAAAAGGCAAGATTGAAACATTTACTAATGAAATTCAACAGAGGCAAATTGAATTTGAAAAATTCGCCGAAAATCGTGATGACACTATCAAACGATACGAGAATTTGGTATCAACATTACAATCGGATGTTGAACGAGAAAAGAAAGAGGTAAAATATTTTCACAATTTTTTTTGAAAATTAATTTCTCTTTTCTACAAAATAGAAAATAAGTTTATATATTCTTTTTTTACAGAAAAGTAGACTTCAAGATTTATTTCAGAAGCATTCTACGCCAACGCCTAGTAAGGATGAGATTAAAAAATTGAAAAAATCTCTGGAAATTGCTCAAGAACAAGTACGAGCTTATGAAGAGGAAAAATTAAAGGACAGATCGTGTTCCTCTCAAAGAGTAAGTTATAGAAATTTGTTTTCTAAGATTAAGAAAAAATATTTATTGTTATTTGTATAAGTAAATTTTGAAATATAATAAAATATGACCATTTAAAAATTACAATTATAATTTCAGTCACGAAGAGTAAGACGACGAGATAAGGAAAATTGTGAAAATACATCGGATGATGAAGTATCATATCCTGAACGAAGAAAGCGTTCTCCACGTGGTATTAAAATTCCAACACCAATGGCAGAAAGTTCAATAATCGAAGTTTCTAGTACAGAATCTAAGTAAGTTTGTTTTTTCTTTGCAAATACAGAAAAAAAGTTAAATTCTTTTTCACGAGTAGATAATAAAAATTAATAAAATGGATTTTGACTTTTGTAGGAGACAAACAAGAATGCGAACAGTACTTGCTCCTCCAGACCCATTACCAGTTGTTGAAAAAAAGAGAACAATAAATAGAAGGAAAAAATTGTTCCAACAAGATGATGATGTTGTAGATTTAGTACCTTGCGAAGTAAGTATTTTTAATTGAAAGCAAAACAAATTTTTTTAGACGAACAATTTCAATTTTATATTTTTAGACTTTAAACTTTATTTGTAAATTTAGCATTCTAAAATATTGTAGAAAAACTAATTTTAATTACAACGAAATACGGTTGATGGTATTTATTTTATTAAAAAAAAGTAGATTTTATTTATTTTTATGTCTTGTTCTATATGAAATTAAAAAATTAATTCTCAGAAATTACTAATAAGTATTATTATTAATTATAATTGTACTACCTAATAAGTACAAATTTTTATTAAATCAAATTATTTACTTAGTTAAAGAATCAGTTTTGTAGAAAAATTTTCGAAAAAATTGATAAATTATATTATTTTTCAGAACTTTATGTTAATAAGTAGATTTTTTTATTCAAAAAGATAACACTTTTATTAAAAGATTTTACCCTAATTTTTTATAATTTTTATAATTTCGAATCTGAAATAATTATTGTATAGAATTTTAATAAAATTTTTGAAAATAATTGAATTGTTTTAAAAAATTTTATTAAAATCCTTCGAAAATAGATAGATTCTTTTAAGGAACTTAATAAAAATTGTGTTGAAAATAATTGAATTATTTAAAGGAATTTGATTAAAATATTTAAAAATAATTAAATCATATCAAGAAATTTTACTAAAATTGTATTGAAATTAATTGAATTTCTGTAAAGAATTTTATAATTTATGCAAATAATTCATTTCTTGTAAAGAATTTAATTAAAATTTTTAAAAACATTAGATATTTATTTTCAAAAATAAAAAAAAAAAATTTATTGTTTCGAAGGAAGATCTCATTAAAAATTTTGAAAATCATGAAATTTTTTTAAGAAATTTAGTTAAAACTGTATTGAAAATAATTTAATTCTTGCGATAAATTTTATTAAGATTTTTTAAATCAATTGAACTCTTTCAAGAAATGTAATTAAAATTTTTTAAAGTAATTAAATTATTTCAAAGAATTTTATTAATAATTTAGAAGATAATAAATACATAATAATAATTATTAAACAGTTAAAAAGTGAACTTTTAAAAATTTTGAATCTGAAATCATTCAAAGATTCAAGTTGATATTTGCAAATAAAGAAATTTGAAATTTGCATAATCGTAACAAATTAAATATCACGTAACATTTGCAATTTATGAATAGTCAATAATATCATTAACATTAAAATTAATAATAAATAGAAATAAATATAATTATTTATATATTAATTATTGTTAATATTACTATTAATTAATAAAATAATTCCTCTTATTATAAAAAATTGAATTGTGAAATTAATGAATGAATTTAAAAGTGTGAAAGAAAATTTCTTTAATTACATATTACAATATTTACTATAATTATTTCTTTTTTATTTTTTTACAAGCAAACGAGCTGCAAATAAAAAACGCATGTACGTAGGTATTGAAAGTAAAAATTAAATGATAATAATTTTTTTATATTCTTCTAGAATGCGTCACCGCCGGCTCCATCTCCACTTACTGCGAGTAGAAATTTGAGGGCACGAAAGAAATAATTTTCCTTCTATTGTATAAATACAGTGTATAATTATTTTATTTTTATAAACTTTTAATTGTAATAAATAATATTTCTGGTTTAAATCGTTAAACAAATTAAGTTATAAAAAATCTATTCAATTTTCTTAAATAAATTCAATGAAACTTCAAAAAAATAAACAAAAGAAATGTTTAATTTAAAAAATTTAGTTTTTAAGAAATCCTCCTTTTTGATGAGTTTTAATTTTTTTATTTGATGAACATTTTTTTTTTACAAAAAAAATTGTAAAACAATATTTGGCTAATTTATATTAATTTATTTATTTATTCATATTTGTGTTGTATTTTTTTTCTATAAAAAATGTTTTTATTATTTATTATTATTTGTTTATAAACACGCAGGCAAAATATTATTAAAAAATATATGTAAAATTTAAAACCAACACATTCTGACTCCTGATTGGTGAATTCAAGTGGCGCGTAAAATTTAAATTCCAAATAAATTAAATAATATTTATTCTCTTAATTTTATTATATTATGCAATAATTTTGATAAATAATAAAAATTAAATAATAAATTCGGTGAAAATTTTGCAACATTGGGATAAATTGAAAAATATTTCAAGTTTATCATCAACTTATTTGCTATATAATTGAAAATTCCAAAATGTCGGTAGCATTGTCAAAATGGCAGCTACGCGAAGGTTGCAAAAGGTATGATCTGACATTATTTTATTGCTAAATTATTGGTTAAATCACATTTTATTGTACACAATTCATTGATGATTGTAATTTTAAAAACCACTGAATATTATAAAATTGAATTTTGCTTTTTCTAACATTATATTTTAAACAAGAACATTCATTAAAATTTATTGCTAAGCATCTCTTACAGATTCTTGAATATTCCTGTTTTTTTTGTACTTCAATTTCAGTTTCTAAATATATCCAATCAAAATGAAAATGCAAAATAATGAATATTTGTCAATATTTAACATTTGATATTAATGATTGATGACACTTTTTTTTCATGACCCTGATGATGATCCAGCATTTGTCTTTTACAGGAATTGTGCGATTTGAGAGCTTCTTCCTTGAAAAATTTTACAAATATCCAAGTCGATGAGTCAAATATCCTTACATGGCAAGGACTCATTTTACCAGTAAGTTTGAAAAATTTGTTAATTATCATATTTTTTTTTCATTCTAACCTATAATAAACTTACGCGATAACGTATGTATACATCAAGTGACTAATGAGGCTTCTTCATCCGTTAAAAATGTCTTTGTAATGTCTCTTTTTCTACTTAATAACGAATCGTGAAATTAAAACTATAAAATTTGTTTTTTTAACACTAAAAATTTTACGAAAAATATTAATTTCGAGAAAACTGATTAAATGCCTAATTGGGAAACATATTTTTTTCAAGGATAATCCACCTTACAATAAAGGTGCATTTCGCATAGAAATAAATTTTCCGGCAGAATATCCTTTCAAGCCACCAAGAATTACGTTTAAAACGAAAATATATCATCCAAATATTGATGAAAAGGGACAAGTTTGCCTGCCGATAATAACAGCTGAAAACTGGAAACCCGCAACAAAAACGGATCAAGGTTTATTTTATTTTACATTCATTTTCTTGTAGTAATTTTTATTTTTTAGGAATTACAGGCTTCGCACTCATCTACTAAAACCTACTATTTACTACTTTTTTACGATTAGCTACTATTTGGATACTTTTTTTTAAATTTGTGACACTAAAAGATACTTTATTCTTTTTTTTTTGTTTGAAAATTTGCACAGATTTAAATCTATTAATTAGTTGAAATAAAAGAATTATGTTAAAAAATTCTAATGAAATTCTTTGAAACAATTCAAAATTTCAAAATCTTTCGCAATTATTTTTAAAACTAATAAAATTTTTCACAGGAAATAAATTATATAAAAAAATTTAATAAAATTCGTTGCGAGAATTCAATTATTTTCATAAATAATAAAATTCTTCTCAGGAATTCAATCATTTTCAATATAATTTTAATAACTTTAATAACTTTCTTGAAGAAAATCAATTTTTTAAAATTTTAATAAAATTCTTTAAAAGAATTCAATTATTTCCAAAAGAATTTGAATACAAATATTTTGAAAATAATTTAATTATTTTCAATAATAAAATTTTTAATTACAATAACTAACAAACACTATTATTTTAAAATTTGAGAGAAATTCTTCGTAAAATATAAGTACGTTTAAAATTTTTATTTAAAATTATTAGAAAAAACTACATTATTTTCAAAAATTTTAATAAAATTCCTCATCAGAATTTTATTTTTTTTATTTAAAAAAAATTCTTATCAAGGAATTCAATTATTTCTTAAAAATTTTAATATAATTTTTTATTTACAATTATTAACAAAAACGATTATTTTAAAAACTTGAGAGAAATTTTTTAAAAAAATTTAAATAAAAACTAAATTTTCAATAATTAAAATTTTTTTAAAAATTAGTTTATTTTTAGTAGATTTAAAGAATTTAGTCAAACAAATTTAATTATTTTTGAAAAATCTGATAAAACTCTTTAAAAGAATTCAATTTTTAAACAATATTTTAATAAACTTGAATAATAAAATTATTAATGACAAATTTTTAACAAAATCGATTATGTTTAAAAAAAGAATGCAAATAAATTTTTCAAAACGAATCAAATATTTGCAAAAGTTTTAAGGACATGTTTGGGAATTTAATTATTTAAAAAAAAATTATTATTCTATTATTTATTTATTTTTGTATTCAAAACAGTGAATTTTTGTGGAACTTTTTAATAAAAATTGATTTGAAATTGAATTTCAGTTACAATTTCAGATTAAAATTGAATATTAAAAATGCGTTATAATATAATTTATTAATTTATTAATAATATAATTTAATTTAGAAATTATAAAACAATCCTCAGGTAATCTTTTGAAAAATTTTAATTAAATTACTTTTTGCTACTTTTTTAAAATTAATTATTGAGTGCGAAGCCTACAATTATTATTTTGTTTTATTACTCATTTTATTTTTGTAAATAAAATGAATTTGTTTTCTTTTTTAGTAATTCAATCGTTGATAGCATTAGTGAATGAACCAGAACCAGAGCATCCGTTAAGAGGTGATTTAGCTGAAGAATTTCTTCGCGATAGAAGAAAGTTCTTAAAAAATGCTGAGGACTATACGAAAAAATATGCAGAGAAAAGGCGAGAAACATCATCGGCTGATTAATTCGAAAAAGCCTTATTGCACCAAGGTGCCTGATTATGATGAAAAAATCAGGCCCAGATCCATTGTACAGGTCTCAATATGCAAATTATGATATTTATACAATAATGGAAAAAAAATTAAGAACAAAAAAATATTAATATTGTAATAAACATACGGTATTGTAAATTTAGCAAAATATTTGCAAACTCTCTTAAAAGCAAAACAAGAAAACCTTAGAGCTATAATGATGTTTTTTTTGCTAAGTTCTTTTTTTTAATCTTTATTTATTTATTTTCCTAGAGAAAAAAATCCTACTTCAAATGCTTAAAAGAAACGTATAATACGAATGATTCATGAAACGATCTTTTGTTACTTTTTTTTCTAACACAATTTTCCTGAAATAGTAAAAAAAAAATTTTCTTTTCAACTTACCGTTAATATTTTTCTTTATTTTTTCTTTTTTTCGAATTAAAATAATGAAGAACTTTTTTCAGGGAACAGTGTGCAATTGTGTATAGATCGTGGCCCAGTTCTCGAGAGCCAAAAAAATAAAATAAAATAAAAACTGTTTGCGTGCTTACATGCGTTCGATAAGTATATAGAAAATAAAAAAAAATGTTCTTCAAATTGACATTGAATAGAATTGTAGTTGTATTTCTTAAAGAGTTCAATGGTGAATTGTGCCGAGCATTAAATATTATATAAAAAAAATAATGAATAGACTATTTTAGATAAATTGCGAATTAAACTCGAAAGAACTGAGCTCGCAAAAAGCATTTTCGTATTTCGTTTTGAATCTTTGTCAAAAAAAAATAAATAAAAGAAGTCAGGATCAGAATGTAAGGATTAATAATCATAAGTGTACTGTCAAAAAAATCGTTAAATAAACTTTTGTAAAAAAAACTTTGAATTCTTTTTATTATAATAGGCCTTGAATTAATAATACATATATAAACCTATTATGATTTATAATTAATTATTAAAAAGCTATCGACTTTTTTCTATCATTCCGATATTAATTTTAATTCTAAGTTTTCCTAAAGTAGGTACAATATTATTTTCTCATTTTTCTTCAGAAGCGCAATAATTTTTAAAAAATTATAATAAAATTCTCTAAAATATAAAATTTATTTCAGTAAAATTTCATCAATTGAGCCTCCGGAAAGTATAACCACACATAAAATTCTGACGCCCATTGAATTAGCATGACGGTCAGAATTTTATGTGTGGTTATACTTTCCGGAGGCTCAATTTTTTAATTACTTGACAATTTTTTCATTTCTGGAATCTAATTACAGTCAAAAAATCTTGATTAAAATTTTTCAAAAACTTAATTTTATCAGAATTTTAAAATTTAAACAATTTTGTTACATTGTTATATAAATATTTAAAAATCTATTATTATTTGTTTTTCCACAAAAATCAACATTTTTTTCTTATTTTATTTTCAATCTTTATGAAATTTCATTACTTCTAAAAAAAATACAACTGTAATTTTTCGAAAATTCAATTATTTTCTAGAATTTTTAATCAAAATTAATTCAAAAGTTTACCAATTTTTTTAATTACAGTTAAATGTAATGGAAAAATAATTTCTTTATCAATTGAAATTTTCAAAAAATGTTAAGCTAAAAACATTTGAAACTTAATTTTTTTTAAAAATTGCCACTGTAACTTCAACAAAATTCAATTAATTTCAAGAATTTTCAACTAAAATTCATCACTAAGTAAAAATATTTTTTAATAATTTTGTGAAAGTTCTTTAAGAATTTAATTATCCAAAACTGAAACTCTTTCAATATTTATTAAATTATTTTTCTAGAATTTTCAATTCAAATTCTTTTCTAAATCAATTATTTTTGATAATTTTCAGAATGTTTTTTGAGAATTGAATTATTGCAAAAATAAAAAAAATTGTCACTTAGAATACAATTTAAAAATTAATTATGTTCAAAACATTTTTTCAAACTTTTTAACATATTTCTTTAAAAACACGATTAATTACTTTTTTGTGAATTCAATTAACTAGAAAAAGTGTTAATTAAAATTTTCCAAAAACTGAATTTCTTTATAATTTCTGAAACTTCAATACTTAATCTTGTAAAATAAATATTTAAATAGTATTATTTTTATTTTTCTACAAAAATGAAAATTTTTTTAAATTTCAATGGCAAACATTCTGAAAATTAATTATTTCTAAAAATTGCTATTTCAATTGTTTTTAAACTTTTTTAAACATATTTCTTTAAAAACACAATTATTTTTAAAAAGTTGTAACAAAAATTCTTCAAAATGTAAAATATTTCAATAAAATTTGTCGAAATTTACAATTTTTTATTTAATTACTTTTGTGAATTCAAAAAATGTTGAACTAAATTTTTCAAAAACCTTATTTTTTTAGAATTTTTTAATTCAATTACCTATTTAAAACATCAATAAATAATCTTGTTAAATAAATATTTTTCCACAGGAGTTAAAATGTTTTGAAAATAATTATTTTCCACACCTTCAAAATCAAAATAAGTATCATTTCATATCAAAAAAATGTTATTTTATTTGCAATATGAGGAAGAAAAGTCGAAATAGTCGCATTTTTTGAAAATAATTCGAAAAACTCGCCTTTTTTGGAAATAGTAAAAAAAAAGTCGTAAAAGTCCCATTATCAGAGGCCGGTTATAATAATTTATTTAAAAAATACAAATATTAAGGAGAAATAAATTTTTTTTTTTGAAATTAATAATAAGAAGCAGAAATTGTATTTTAAAAGTTGATATAATTTTTTTTTGTGAAAACTAATGATTGATATGAAAATGATTACAATTCGAATAAAGCTAATTTTTTTGTGTTTGATTAGATAATAAGATATTTACAAATTCTGTCGAGAGATAATTAACATAAAGAGACTTTTTTTAATAATGATTACAGTTGTACGAAACGCTTAAAGGCACGATTTGTTGCTGCGGTATAAAAATACAAAAAAACCAAAATGGAACAAATTTTCACGTGTATAATATAGGCATTTCTATAATTTGTCTCGAAAAAGCTATTACAACATAGCCATTACTTCGAATAAATATCTTATTTATAATTTATAATAATAATAATTAATAATAATAATAATTAATAATAATGGTATAAAAATTATTTTCAAATTACAATAAATTGGTGGAAAAAAACAAGGTCACAAATATTAAATTACGACTTTGTTGTTGATTAAAAAATTCGCGCTTTTGCTGCAATCTCGACTTTTTATAATGAAAAAAAGATCTTCATTTTTTTCGTACTGTGCAATGAAGATAATAAATTTTAGTGCAAAAAAAAATATTGGTCTCTCTTTCACTTTACAGTGCTTTTTCTAAAAACAAAAATGAGAGTGCTGAATAGAAAATTCAAAATATTGACAAATTCTTTTGTAAAGAAATTTTCAACGCAGTTTACAAATAAATAACAATTACTTTATTTTTCGAAAAATTACAAATATTAATATATTAAAACGATGGATAAATTAATAATAATCTATGCGATAAAAGGAAAGTTTTTCTTTTAAAACAAAATATTTTTCAGCACTCTAAAAAATTATTCACAGATTTCTTTTTTTAATAACGAAATGCGTCGATTTTTCTTTTTGTTAAAAAATTGAATATGCTTTTTTTGTCGTTTAACAATAAATACTCCTTATAATAGGAACTATAATGATTGAGATACTATTATATTAGCACCGGGAATGTGTTTATATAAAAAAAAGAAAGAAAAATTTACCACAAAAAAATTCTCCCAGTTTCGATAAAATAGTCTTCTTCTTCTTTTTTAACATTTGGTTACTGATTCTTTTTTACTTTCACCGGGTGTGTATAATTTATATATGAAAAAATTCGCACTTTTCTCAAATCACTGTAAAGTGGTAGAAAATTTGTTTTTTTGGTATACAAGTCACACGTATTATTTTTATGCACAAAATTTTCTTGTGTTTTTTCTTTTTACCAAATTGGAGGCGTGTATAAAATTTCATAAAGTCTGTGGTTCCTTATATAAAGATTTGTTAAAGTAAAGTGCAGCATTTCGTTTCATTTTTGCCGTCACTCGCTTCACCTTGATTCTCATGTGCCTTGCGAGCGGCTATTGCTCGCATTAAGTCAAAAAATACCTGAAAAAAATATAAATTCATCAACTAAATTCTTTTTTAAATTCATTTTTCATGTATTAATTAAAGATTTCTTTTAAAAATTTTTTTCTCTAATCCGTATGTTAATATAAATAAAAAATAGAGCATTTTTTTATCCAACAAAATATTTCTATCAATTAAGTAGAAAATTTAACAGAATTTTTATTCATTTTTTTGGTAGTCAAAGCAATTTTTTTAAAAATATCTCCCCGATTTAGAAACAGTTTAATTTCCAAAAATTAAACGATTAAACAATTAATTTATTTAAAATACTATTTTTTTAGTCTATATTAATGGTCGTTGTATTCCGGTAATTATTATTTTTTATTAAAATTATTTACTACTAAAATGAAAAAAAAAAATTTCGATTATTCGCATAGTCATGTAAAGCATTACTATTGATAGATAACGAACGAATAAATAAGTGAAAAGAAATTTGCATATACGAGAAAGAAAGCAGACATAAAACTAGTGAGAAACAGAAAAAAATACAAGATGCGAAAAGTGCAATTAGAATTTTTATCCATTCAAATCATTCAACAACAGAATTCTTACAAATGCATTAATTAAAGAAATTTTTAACGTGAAAATAGTTCCCAATTGTTACTCAATTTTGCGATTTAATTAAAAACTTTTTTCTGTAGCAAAAAGTAAAATTAATACTCAAAAAATAAAATTAATGCTTGAATTATCAAAAATTCGAAAATTTAAAATTTTCTTTTCCTAAAAAAGGTGAATTGTTAAATAAAACTTGAGAAAATTGAGAACAATTTAAACGCTTTTACTCGATTATTTTACGGTAAAGAACAAATCGGTTTTAAAACACAAGAAATATGTCAAACACTTACAATGTAATAAAATTTTTTGTTGTTTAATAAAATTAAGGATTAATTAAGGAAAAAAAGGAATATTTTGAAAATATTGTCGAACCTATAAAATAATGCACTTCTTTTTCTTCCTCTTCGCTCGATCCTTTCCACGGCCATTACTCGCCGATTTGTCCTCAATTTTGCGTGATCTTATCTCACGCATCAAGTCGAAAAATACCTGAAAATGCGCAATCCATGCAATTTCTAAAAAAACAAGCACGAAATAAATTTTGTTTTAAGAGCGATGCACCGTTGCAATTTCATTTTTAATTGAGATCTACATGCGCCTTTTTCTATTTGCAATAAATATTTGATAACGAATTTTGAATCGAAAAAAATAAGAGGATAAATAAAATAAAAAACAATTTTACAATTGTAAAAATGCAGTAAATCTTTGATTAAAATTGTAATCAAATTGTAATCAAATCAGTGATATTTTTCTTTTCTTTTGATTTATCAACAAAAGTTTTGCTGACGAAGCAAGCTGACAAAGATACGTTTTTAAAAAGAAAAAAAAAGAGTGAAAGTGACAATTACATAAAAGCGAATAGTGACAAAACATTTATAATATAGCAATATATGTATATAAAATGAAATTTTACACTTAACAGATACAGTGCATTAAAGTAAATAATAATTAAATTATTTTTAGTCTTTTTTCTTCTCTCTGTTTAAAAATAGGTAAAAAATTTCTCACCTTGTCGACATTTTCTTTAGTTTTTGCACTGGTTTCGACATAAGGAACGCCCCATTGTTGTGCTCTTCCTTGAGCCTCGGCCAATGAAACTTTTCTTTTTTCCTGGAGATCACTTTTGTTTCCCACTAACAAAAAGGGAATGTTTTCGTCGTTTTTCACTCTGAGTATTTGTTCCCTGAAATAAAACAAAAAATAATTCAATCAATATTTTATCAACAATTTTTTTCGTTAATTTTTACTTATTTTTCATATATGAATTTCTAATTTCAAAAAAGAGAAATTGAAACTAAATTTAATATTTTTTTCGCTTTACCTGAATTCCTGTGTGGCTTGGAAACTGTCGTCCTCTGTTATTGAAAAAACACAGAGAAAACCTTCTCCACTTCGGAAATAGTTATCCCTAATAGCTGCATAATCTTCCTGGCCTGCCGTATCCAAAATATCTATTTGTACTTCTTCGCCGTCTAATACAACTGTTTTCCTATAAGAATCTGCTTTTGTCGGCTCATAATCCTCAACAAACTGGGAAAATAAAATCAATTATTTAATAATACAATAATTACTCATTCAGATTTATTTAATAATGCAATAATTACTAATTCAGATTTATTTAGATTCTTATGTATTACTAATTCCCTTATTCAGAGAATAAGTTTTGTAGAAATATTTTCACAAGAAAAATTTAGAATTATATATATTTTTCGTAATTTTGTGTTAAGAAGTGGATATTTTTTAACTTTAAAAGATGCATTTTTGTTAAAAAGATTTAATCTTAATTTTTTTAGTTTCAAATCTGAAATAATTTAATTTTTGCATAGAATTTTATTAAAAATTATTGAAAATAATTACATTCTTTCAAGAAATTTAATTGAAATTGTATTGAAATTAATTGAGTTCTTCTACAGAATTTTATACAAATTTTTTAATATAATCGAATTTTTTTGAAAAAATTTTATTGAAAATTTTAAAAATAATTAAATTTTATCAAGAAACTTTGTTTGAAGTAAACTAAAATTAAATTAATTGAATATTACTTACAAAAATAATCTTTTCAGGAGTTTGAATAAATTATTTTAAAGTAATTGAATTCTTTCGAGAAATTTTATTATGATAATTTAATTAGTTATTAGATGAATTTTTTTTCTTTTAATTTTAATTTTGAAATAATTCAAAACTTGAAGTTGATATTTGAAAATAAATAGAAACTAAAATAAATAATTTATTCTCTATATGGAAAATTTCATTATAAATGATCTAAATTAAATTTATTCTAAATAAAACTTTTTAAATGATTCACGTGTTTTCAACGTTCAAATGAACGAAATATTTTTCCTTAAAACTATTTTAATAAATTACTGATCAAAATAAAAAATAAAAACTTAAATTTTACATTAAAAAAAATTTATAGTGTAAAAATTTTTGAATTTGTTTCTTATTTTTATTTCAGTGAGTAATTTATGAAAATATTTACATATAAAAAATATAAGGTTCATTTGAACGTTAAGAATTTTTGGAGTATACAAAAAGAAAATAATTTCGTTCATTTGAACGTTGAAAATTTTTGGAGCATACAGAAAGAAAATAATTTCAAAACTATACGAAAATGAAAAAAATATTCTTCTCCTCTGTTGACTAAAAATGTGAATAATTAGAAAACGATTGTAAAAATAATTTAGTAAATTAGAGAGTATTACAATTCACTTGGAAAATCGTTTCGAAAACAATAATTGCTTGATAGACCTTTAAAAAAGTCAATGTCATGAAAATAATTCTTCATGTCGTTATTGATAAACGAGTATATGAGGTAATAGGTTATTAAACTTTGATTCTATAACAGGAATTTGATATTCCACCCACACACACCTCGGCATACATAAATTGTAGAGTGAGAGCAGATTTTCCAACACCTCCACTCCCAACCATGATGATTTTGTGCAACGCCTGAGTAGCACCTGGTTTCTTCGACATTTTCTCTTGTGCTAAAAAAACAAAATCAAAAAATGTTAATATTTCAACTATTTTCAAGATGGATGATAAAATCATTATTTCAAATCCATTTGTTTACAATTCAATTTTACGAAATTTCAATTATTCGAAAATTCTTCAATTAAATATATATTTTAAAAAAATTCAAATAGGTAATTAAAAAAAATTCAATTAAACTTCTCCAAAAAATTAATTCTAAAGAATTGTTAGTTAAAATTAGAAAAATTCAAATTTTCAAAGATTTTATAAAAAAGTTTCAAACAATTGATTTTTTCTAAAAAACTTATGCAAATTCAATTTTTAATAATTGAATTCCTGTGAAATTTTCATTGTTTTAGAAAATAATTGAATTTTTTTTGGGAAATTTTATTAAAATAGTAAAATATTGAAAATCATTGAATTAAGAAAAATTTTTGAAAATCATTGAAATTTTTCCATGAATTAAATTAAAATTTTTGAGAATATGTAATTGAATTTTATTACTTATGAAAATAATTGAATTCTTGTGATGAATACTATTAGTTATGAAAATAATTGAATTTTGACTAAGAATTTTGCTATTCATTTATAAAGATAATTGAAATGTTGACGGCAATTTTTTTTTAGATTTTTTGAAAATAATTGAATTCTTGTAATGAATACTGTTGTTTATGAAAATAATTGAATTTTACAAAAATTCCTGAATATAATTGAATTTCGGCGAAGAATTTGCTATTTATAAAGATAATTAAAATGTTGCCAAGAATTTTTTTTTAATTTTTGAAAATAATAGAATTTCTGAAAAGAATTTTAATATTTATTAAGATAGTTGAATTCTTTCGAAGAATTAGGTTAAAATTTTAAAAATTGAAACTAATTTTAACAGAATTGACATTAAAATTTTTGAAAAAAATACTTTATTAAATGATTTATAAGTATAATAACTTTATTATTTCCAGTACTTTTAATAAAAAATCCCTGACTTTTCCCTGACCAATGGCAACCCGGTTATTCAACTATTCATTTTATTTAACATTATTTTCATTTAACTAATTTAATTAATTATACAACAATTTTTAATATTGAATGTATCAAATAAGAAAGTTCCGACAAAGAAAAAATTCCCAAAGAATGACATTCAATTTCTCTTCATCTTTTGTGATAAAAGAATGAAGATGTTCATTCAGCAAAATTAATCTTTTTATCTTTCTCTCTTTCTATCTCTCTCGCGAGTTTCGCGTTACAATTATTTATTTGAAAGGAATGAAATATGAATGAGAATATCATTTCCCACAAAATTCTACGATTAAGATTGAATTCAAGAGATGTGAAAATTCTCCTGTGAAGAAATTGTCTTACTTCCATTAGTTAACATTAGCGGTAAGAAAGACAGGATATGGAAATTAACTTGTCAGTGTGAGAAATCAGTAATAAAGGGTCAAGTGTAGCTAATTATACGGAACATGCATGAGTGTATAACTTTAGTCTCAATAATACTATATTTCTGCTTTATACTATTGATACAATTATTTTTCAATGTCCATATTATTGCACTATTAATAATTAATGACAGGAAAACAGAAACGTGACAAGTTGAATGCACTTTTCTAACATTTTTTCGATATGAAAAAGTTTTCCTTTTTTTGTGTTAAAAAAAACCGAAAAGGAAAAATGTTATTTCACAATAATAAATTTTCATTGAAAAATGAAAGTATAATGGAAAAGAAAGAGAATCTCATAAATAATTAAATAAACTATAGACTTATGAAAGTTTCATCAGCTACAAAACTAGTTACAATGATAAAAGAAAAAATACCCAATGAACTGAACTAAAATAAAAATAGTGAAAGTAGTTATGTAAAACAAAAGTTGAATTATCTTTTAAGACTTAGAAATTAAGGAGAAAAAAATATAAACAAAGAGCAAGAGACAACAGAAATTAACCTCTTATTTTAATGAAATAAAATTAGTTCCAGAAATAAGACATTAAACGTCACTTTTGACACCTGTCACCTGTCACTTGATTTCAGAAAACTGAATGTTTACAATATGAAGAAAATCTTATTATTTTCCGATTGTTAAACTTTAAAGAGAATACCTATCTTACGGTGTGAACTTCATAAAAGCAAAGACAAGTTAAATTGTCCATTGTTTCATTAATGTATAAATAGAAGAATTGTGTATAAAAATTCTTGTCTTACTTATCAATAAATTGTAATGATTATTAGTTTTGTCGGATACGAGAAGTGAATAATGAAAAAGGCGGTGCCGCGCTGTCGTGTTAATATTCTTTCGTTTCACAATTAGTGCATATCGATTTTCTATTTTTTCACTTAAATTCAGTCACTTTTATTATAGAAAATATTCTCAAAATAAAAATGATGACCTTTGAAGTAAATACCTTTTAAAAGACAAATCACAATGAAAAATCTCTTGTATATATATTCACTATTCACGACAATTCACGACTGTCCCACAGTCCCACCGGACAGAGATGCCATTGGGCGGAGGAATTTCATCCCCACTCTTGCACCATTTTACATTTAAGTCAATGTAAAATGGCGCAAGAGTGGGGATGAAATTCCTCCGCCTAATGGCATCTCTGCCACCGGACTGGCTTTGCGTCACTGGAGGTATTTTACGTAAATTACGAACATTATCCAACGTTACCAAAAGATACATTCTTTGAGAGGTAGGGGAAAGCGTATTTACTAATTAAAAAAATATTAACAGTTTTAATAAAGTAGTACTATTTGATATCAATAACTATTCGACTCTAGGTTAAATTTTCCTAATTTTTTCTATAATGCATATAAAATAAAAAATAAAAACAAAGATAAACAATTTTGGAATATTCAAAAATCGGAAGTGAGAAAGAATTCTGAATCACGTAGTCACGTGATAGTCTCGTGACAGAGTGGTCTGCTAGATCTAGAAATTCTGACATTGAAAAAGTAGGGTTAGGATTTTCAACATTTTTATTTACACACATGATTTAGATCATTATAAAAATTGTGAAAATTAAACTTTTAATTAATCTAGGTGTAAAAAAAGGCTTAATATATTTCACTTCCTGTCAAAATGGATCATTTTAGTTCTCAATTAATGGAGGATATTGTAGTCGAAGGAAAAAATTCTGCTCCGTGAGTATAAAAATAAATTTTTCAGACATTGCAACAAATTGCATCAAATCATCATCTTTTAAGAAATATATCAATTTTTTTTGGAATTATCATTATTTACAGAGTTAAAACATTTGTGAAACCGAAAATAAAAAATTCGACTTCATCAAATGGCACAGGGACCAATAATTCAAAACCTTTGAAACCAAGAAAACTCAAAGTTGAATTGCCAACTTTGAGAATTTCAGAAGATTCAGAAAAATTACTTTACGAAACACTCAAACATGTCTGTGGGGAGGTAAATGCAAATTTTCAGAAAAATTTATTTATTTTTAAAAAAAATAAATAATGGAACGTTGATAAATTAATCTGTTGACTAATAATCAAATTTTTCTTAAAGGATTTCAAACTTTTGGATTCTTCCGAATTTCAAAATAAAAGTACGAATTTAGGTAGACAATATTGGCTGGAAAGGGGAAATTTAGTGATTAAAGGTGTCATGGATTTTTCATCGAAAGACTCAGCGCCAAAGTCTCATGAAGAAATTATTCGACAATTCGCCACGTCCACTCTTGAATCATATAGGTATGGAAAAATATCAGGGTTGCCACAGGTCAAGGAAATCAGGGAAAAGTCGAGGATTTTTATTAAAAGTACTGGAAAAAATTAAATGTTTAGAATTGATAAGAAAATTCGGAATTTTTGTGTCTTTTTGCTTGCCTCATAATTTATAAAATTAACCCGAATTCTAAAAAACCTTAAATATTTTCTATTTCTGACAATAATTTGTTTTCAATAACTTAATTCTATTGAAGAACTGCCATAAAGTTATTACTTATAAATTATTTAATCATGGTGTCCAGCTACCTTGAAAACCTTGAAAAGTACTTGAATTTTTTTTGCTCCTTGAAAACCTTGAAAACACCTTGAATTTTATATGACAAAACCTTGAAAAATTACAATTCTTAAAAATAAGATATATTTCCTTGATGTTTTAAGTTGAATTCTCTTCAATATTTCAATTATTTTTATAAATATAAAAATTCTTCGCCGAAATTCAATTATATTCAGGAACTTTAATAAAATTCATTGCAAAATACAATTATTTTCATAAATAACAATATTCACCGCAAGAATTCAATTATTTAAAAAATGAATTAAATTTTTCGTAAAAATTCAATTACTTTCAAAAAATTTAAAAAATTGTGGTCAAGAATTCAATTGTAATTGATATATTTAGATTTATTTAGAAATAAATAACAATAATCTTCGACAAAGTTAAATTATTTTGAGGAATTTTAATAAAATTCATTGCAAAATTCAATTATTTTCGTAAATAATAGTATTCATCACAAGAATTCAAATATTTTCAGAAATATTAATAAAAATCATGGCAAAATTTCAATTATTTTCAAAAAGTTTTCTTACTTCGAGATGGTTTTCAATATTCTACTATTTTAATAAAATTTCCCGAAAGAATATAATTATTAAATAAAAGTTTTTAAAAAATTCTACACAAACTTTCAATTCTTAAAAAAAAAAATTTTTACATTATTTCAATTACATATTTAAAATAGAATTTGCATAATTTTTTTCGCAAAAATCAATTATTTTAAAATTTTTCATTAAATTCTTCGCAGTAATTGAATTATTTTTAAAAGTAATAAAATTCAATTATTTTCAAAAAGTTAAATAAAATTTATTGCAAAATTTCAATTATTTTCAAAAATTATTTTAATCAATCAATTATTTTAAAATTTACCATTAAATTCTTCGCAGTGATTGAATTATTTTTAAAAGTAGTAAAGTTCAATTATTTTTAAAAGTAGGTAATAAAATCCAATTATTTTCAAAAAAATTTATCAAAATTCATTGCAAAATTTCAATTATTTTCAAAAATTATTTTAATGAATCAATTATTTAAAAATTTGCCATTAAATTCTCGCAGTAATTCAATTATTTTGGAAAATTTTAATAAAATTCATTCCAAAATTTCAATTATTTTCAAAAATTTTTCTTAATTTAATAATTTGTATATATGAATTATCTTAATAGAAATTCTCAAAAGAATTTAATTATTTAAAAAAAATTTTGATTGATGTTTCTTAAGACGATGTTCTTTATGTTTTTAATATTTTATCAATAAATAATTATATTTAAAGTTATTTATGAATAACTGTTGTATGTAGAAATTATAAAATTGTTTATAAGTACTCTCTAAATTTGAATTAGTAAAAATTTTGAATTAGCGACTGACTTTTTGCTTTTTAATTAGTAAATTTCACTAAAAAAATTAGTAGAAATGATTATTTATTAGTAAAATTTACTAATTCAAAAGCAAAAAGTCAGTTACTAAATCAAATTAGTAATCATTTTTATTAATTCAAATGTAGACCTTGAAAATAATTATTTTGGACCTTTAAAACCTTGAAAAGTCCTTGAATTTTTTTTTAAATCGCTGGACACCCTGTTAATGAAGTATTTTTTGAAAAATTTTAATTTTGATTCTGTTGAAATTAGTTTCAGTTTTTAAAATTTTAACCTAATTCTTCGAAAGAATTCAACTATCTTAATAAATATTAAAATTCTTTCCAGAAATTCAATTATTTTCAAAAAATTTTTAAAAAGTTCTTGTCAACATTTTAATTATCTTTATAAATCGCAAAATTCTTCGCCGAAATTCAATTATTTTCAGGAATTTTTGTAAATGTTGACAAAGTTATACACGAATATTCAATTATTTTCTAAAATAATGAAAATTTAACAGAAATTCAATTATTAAAAATATAATTTGCATAAATTTTTTTTAAAAAAATCAATTATTTGAAACTTTTTTAAAAAATTCTTCGCAATAATTCAATTATTTTCCTAATAATAAAACTCATTGCAGAATTTCAATTATTTTTAATACAATTTTAATCGAATTCCTCGAAAAATATAATTATTCAATTATTTTCAAAACTTTTTTAAAAAGTTCTTGTCAACATTTTAATTATTTTTATAAATCGCAAAATTCTTCGATAAAATTAAATTATTTTCAGGAATTTTTATAAAATTCATTGCAAAACTCAATTATTTTCAAAATTTTTTCTTAATTCAATGATTTTTAATATTTTATTTTAATATAATTTCTTAAAAGAATTCAATTATTAAATAAAAAATTTGATAATATTCTTCTCGAACATTCGATTATTTAAAAAATTATCTAGGTTTGTATTTTTAAATAATTCTCGTAGAATTTTCTGATAAAAATTGATTTAAAAATTAATTTCAGTTAAAGTCGTAGATAAAATTTGAATTTTGGAGATTATAATATAAAATAATGATTTTATCATATAATCTTCATGTTTTATAATAATATTCTTATAATTTATTGAATTTCAAAAGGTTTGAATTAGAAATTTTGTAAATCCTAATTCCAATGAAAAAATAATAATGATTTAATATTCATTTGAAAAATAAGTTATGGGTCAGTCCACTGACTTTCGTCTGGGGGCTGTTGCGGCTATATTTTTAAAAAATCTGGTTTCAAAATATGTAAAACTAGAAGACTTCCTGAGTCCATTACTCATAATATTATAATGTAAATTTTATTTTTTCAGATTTTATTATTAATCAAAAGTTGGATGTTTAGAGGGTCATTTTGTAACCTTAAATTTTGCACTTTTTTAAAAACATTTTTATTCAATAACTATTTTATGTCATATAGCAGAACTTACCTAAAACATAAATCATGTTTCGTTGAATCAGGAAATGATACAATTTATATAAAAATATATTATTTTTGATTAATTAAATAAAATCGAAACATTTTTCCCCAAAAAAGTATTCCAATTTTTTAAAGTCTATAACTTTTTTCTCAATGCTTCTAAAAATCCAATTTTCTCCATATAGTTAAATGTTGATATGATTTACTTAATATTAAAATTTGACGTAGGTGTTTTGCTTTGTTTTCAAAATATTAATTTTTCAAAATTGTTTAGTTAAAAAGGTTAATTTAAGTTCTGCTATATGACATAAAATAGTTATTGAATAAAAATGTTTTTAAAAAAGTGCAAAATTTAAGGTTACAAAATGACCCTCTAAACATCCAACTTTTGATTAATAATAAAATCTGAAAAAATAAAATTTACATTATAATATTATGATTAATGGACTCAGGAAGTCTTCTAGTTTTACATATTTTGAAACCAGATTTTTTAAAAATATAGCCGCAACAGCCCCCAGACGAAAGTCAGTGGACTGTCCCTTATTGATGTTTTCGAATAATTTTACAATTAAAAAAATTCGTAAATAAATGTAATGGAATATTTTTTTGAGTATCTAATCATTTTTAGAGAGAATCAGAATATTTTTTTAGGTTCAGAAAAAAAGTCAAAATTTTGTCTGGAAATCAAGGAAAAGTCAGGAAAAAAGAAAATGAAATTTTTGTGGCAACCCTGAAATATAAATAAGATAAAGAAACATTTGTTTTTTATTTACAAAATATTTTCAGCTTTCATAATTCACACTGTGTTGAGGCATTGTCTTATTCAAATGGAAATGTTGGCAAGGCATTAGAAATTCTTTTCTGTAAATATTTCCAAGTTAAGAAAAGCAATGCAATTGAATTAGAAAATTTAGAAGAGAGTGATATTGTACAAAGACAAATTGAAGAAAAAGAGGCCTTGGAATCAATTTATGGTGATATGTTCGTTGAAAAGATTAAGAATCAAATTTGGATAATTAAATTGAAATTAGAATATTTAATGAACAAAAAGGAGGATAATAAAAAAGTGAAACCAAAAACAACCGAAAAAGAAATATGCCGATTATTTTTACACGGAAAATGTCGATTTGGTGCAAAATGTAAATTTTTACATCAAAAACCTCAAGTCGATAAAGAAGCAAAAAATAAAAGTTCAGAGGATGATCCTTACTTTATATTAGAAATTCGCTTTCCAGAAGGTAATTTTCCTCTTAATTTTTACTCTCTCAACAAGAAAAATAACACTTTTCCTTCCAGGTTCTAAATATCCGTACGAAGCGCCGTATTTTTATTTCTCAAAAAATGAATCTTCCTTTTGTAAATTAAAAAGTTTGAGAATAATTAAAAGATTATATGACGAGGCATTGCAATATTGTGAGAATGGTACACCGTCGATTTTCGCGATAACATCATTATTGGAAAATGAATTGGAAATAAAAACACATTTGGAGGAATGTAAAGAACAATTTCTCGATAAAGATGATAAATTGTTTCCGAAATTGAAAAAAGACGGCAATGATGGTAATAGACCGACACATCATGCAAAAGGTGGTACAGACAAGAGGAATAAATCAAATATCTCTTGGGAACAAATTGTCAAAATGGACGATGAAATAAGAAGGAAATTTTTCGAGAAACAACGAAATTCACAATATTTAAAAATGAAAGTCGAACGAAGAAAATTGCCCGCCTGGTCAATGATGGACGAAATTCTCGATACCATTCACGAGAACCAGGTTACGATTATTTCCGGTGAAACCGGATGTGGTAAAAGTACACAGGTTTGACAATTTTGACATTTTTTTCTATAATATTTAAAACTTTCGAATAATAAAAATTGAAAAATGAAAAATAAAACAACGAAATTTGCAGGTTCCGCAATTTATTCTCGACGATTGGATTTTGAATAGAACAAAGGAAAATGAAGATCATGTGGAAATTATTTGTACACAACCGAGAAGAATTAGTGCAATTGGAGTTGCGGATAGAGTTGCCGCCGAAAGAGATGAACGTGTTGGACAAACGGTCGGTTATCAGATACGATTAGAAAGCAAAATGTCTAGTAATACAAGACTGACTTTTTGTACAACTGGAATTTTACTGCAAAGATTATCTGGAGATCCGAGACTAACGTCTGTTACGCATATCATTGTCGACGAAGTTCACGAAAGAAGTGCCGAAAGGTAGGAAAATAATTTTTCAAAAACGAGAAAATTAAATACCAAATAATTAATAAAATTAAATGTTACGCGTTAAACAATTTTTTTTAATATCAACTTCAATTTTTGAATAATTTCAAATTAACAATTTTTTTTTAATTTACTTAATAACTTATTAACTAATTAATTATAATAAAATATTATTCTAAAAAAGTATAGGTAATAGAATTCTTGGAAACAATTCAATTATTTTCAAAAATTTTTAAAAATAAATTCTTCGCGAAAATTAAATTACTTTCAATATCTACAATTTTAATGACATTTCTGGAAAGAATTCAATTAATTTAAAAAATTTTAATAAAATTCTTTTCAACAATTCAATTATTTTCATAAGTAATAAAATTCTTCGCAGCAATTCAATTATTTTCACTACTATTTTAATAAAATTTATTTTATAAATTCAATTATTTTTAAAAATTTACATTAAGTTCTTCAAAATAATTAAATTTTTTTAAAATTTTTATAGAATTCTTTCCAAGAATTTAATTATTTTCATTAAAATTTTAATAACATTTCTCATAATAATTCAATTTAAAGAAGTTACATACACTTGTTTGAAAGATTTCAATTATTTTCAAAACTTTGATAAAATTCTTTATAAGAATTCAATTATTTTAAATACAACTTTTGTTAAATACATACGTCGAAAAAATTTAAATACCTATATTCACAAATTTTAATAAAATTTAACAATAATTTTAAATTTAATTTGTTAATACTATTGAGCAAATTTTACAAATTTTTTATTTTCAAATATCAACTTTAATTTTTGACTGATTTCAGATTCAAAACTTAAAAAATTTAATTATTATAATTCTTGCAAAGTATTTAAATAAAATTTTGAAAATATCTGAATTCTTTTGAAAGATTTTATCAACATTTTTGAAAATAGGCAAATTCTTTCAAAGAATGTTATTAAAATTTTTGAAAATAATTGATTTTTTTGGAAAATTTATTTGAATTTTTTTAAAATACCTAATTTTTATTGAAAATTTTGAAAGTAATTGAATTTTATGAAGAATTTATTAAAATTTTATTAAAAAAAATTGTGTTTATTATTAAATTTTTATAAAATTATGATAGAAAATTAAATTCTATTAAACAATTCTATTAGAGTTTTCGTAAATAATTAAATTTTTTTGAAGAATTTCTTGAAAATAATGTAGTTTTTTTTTAATAATTTTAATTGAAAATTTCGAAAATCATTGAATTTTACAAAGAATTTTATCAAAACTTTTGAGAATAATTGATTTTTTAAAAAAAATATTAGAACAATTTTTAAAAATAATTAAACCCGTTCATGAAATTTTATTAAAATAATTGAATTCCTGAGAAGAATTTGATTATTTATAAATTAATAATAGTAGGTATAATTTTTGCGAAGAATTTACAATTTATAAAAGTAATTGAATTGTTTCGAAGAATTTTATTAAAATTTTAGGAAATAATTGAATCCTTTCGTGAAATTTTTTTAAAATTGCAATAAATATAATTGAATTCCTGAGAAGAATTTTACTATTTATAAAAATAAGTGGATTTTTTAAATTTTGAATATGAAATTATTAAAAAATTAATGTTAATATTTTTTTCAAAAATGTTGATATAATTCTTTATTAGAATTCAATTATTTTCAAAAATTTGAATTCAATTATTTTCAAAAATTTGAATAAAATTATTTTCCAGAATAAAATTATTTTCATAAATGTAATAAAATACTTCCCAGGTGTTTAATTGTTTTCACTGCAATTTGAATAAAACTTCTTAAGTAGATTCATTAATTTTATAAATTTAAATAAAATTCTTCGTAAGAATTTAATTATTTTTAAAAATTTAAATAAAATTCTTCGTAAGAATTTAATTTTTTTTTAATTTATATAAAATTTTTCGAAAGAATTCAATTATTTTCAAAAATTACGATAAATAATTGTTTATAAAAATTAAATTATTTTCAATACTTTTTTAATTTAATTCCTTTGTAGAATTGAATTATTTCAAAAAATGACAATGAAATTTTTCGAAACATTCAATTCTTCTAATTCTTTTAAATTAATTTTAAATAACTAGTATTTATTTCACCTTTCAGCGATTTTCTACTGATGCTTTTGCGTGAACTTTTAAAAAATCGTCACGATTTGAAAATAATATTAATGAGCGCAACATTGAAAGCAGATGAATTTTCAAATTACTTTGGAACAACACCAATTCTCGATATTCCTGGCCGAACATTTCCCGTTGAGCAAATATTTCTCGAGGAATTATTTGAAAAAATTAATTATGTTTTTGAGGAAAATTCCAAGTTCAGTCGACGAATTCGTGGCGATTGGGAACAATTGCAAATCGATTTAGAAACAATGGACATTGAATCGAATGGATTAAGTGAACCAAAGGATCATATTCCAGATCATAATCTTACATTACCGCAACTTGTTGGTCGTTATCCTGGTTATGAATTGCCAACTTATAAAGCTCTCTATCTTATGGATCCCGATAAAATAAATTACGAACTTCTTGAGCAAACTTTGGAATGGATCGTTGATGGTGTTCACGATTATCCCCGAAATGGATCAATTGTTGTGAGTAGAAATGAAAATTAATTTTACAAGAAATTTGAAATATTTTTACGATAATTTGAAGATATGTCCCTTTTTTCTGTATTTCAATTTATTTAGATGTTTAATTTAATTTTTATTTATTTGAAAATTGTTGAACAATATGTTTAAAGAATAAGGCCAAAATACGGAATTATTTAATGTTTATTAGTTATAATTATTTTGAGTATTATTAATTGTCAACAATTATTAAATTTAGATTTAATTATTTCCAGGTATTTCTGCCGGGATTTGCGGAGATTCTCACCGTGAAAGACTCATTGAGAGATAGTAAAATTTTTTCAGCGAAGAGAGGACGATTTTTGGTTATTCCCTTGCATTCGTCGTTGTCGAGTGAGGAGCAGGCGTTGGTATTTAAAAAACCAAATGAGGGAATTAGAAAAATTGTTTTGAGTACAAATATTGCAGAGACATCGGTTACAATAGACGATTGTGTTTTTGTGATAGACGCGGGGAAAATGAAGGAAACAAGATTTAATTCCAATCAAAATATGGAGAGTTTGGAAACTTGTTGGGTATCAAAAGCAAATGCTCTTCAACGAAAGGGACGTGCCGGTCGAGTTATGCCTGGAGTTTGTTTCCATCTTTATACAAGTCACAGGTGTTTTATTAAATTCTCCTCGAATCTATTGATTACCGTATTGATTAAATTAACGTAATTTATTTATTCTTAACGTTAAATTGATTTGATTTATTCATTTTGTAAATTTACTTTACAAAACTAAAATAAATTAATTTAAAATTTATTTTATAAAACTAATATAAATGAATTGAAAACTTATTTTACAAACTAAAATAAATAAATTCAAAAATTTTAATTATAATTTAAAGAGTGTAAATTATAAGCATAAAAGTTTTAATTATAAATTTAAAATTCTTAAATTTTGTTTACTATTTAACTTAAATGACAAAAGTATATTAAATTCGATACTAATTCAGTGCTTAAATATTAAAATAGAAATTTCGATAATGATAAAAATTTATTTCTCTAGATTTACTCACCAGTTTAGTGCGCAGCCTATTCCTGAGATATTGAGGATACCACTGGAGGCATTAATATTACGAATTGAAATCATGCATAATGGAAAGAAAGTTGATTTCCTGAAAATTTTAGGTAAAGTTAAAAATAAATAATTTCAAGAAATAATTTCAAGTTATTTTTCAATAAAATATCAAAAAAGTTCATTTAAAGCATAGGTATTTTAATTTTCTACTAAAATCAAAGATTTAGCAAAAATTTAAATATTAAATTATAACAAATATTTAGAAATTCTCTAAAATTCTTTTGGGTCAATTGATAATTGAAACAAAAAACTATTTTCAAGGGAAAGTGAAGAATAATAAATTAAATATAAGCAATATTTGTTAATGTAAATATTGTTTATGTTTAATTCAAAATTCTTTATAGTTTTCTAATTCTTTCTGCACAGAAATATTAACATTTTCAAATAGTCAATAATTTTCTAATCTATATTAATAATTATTGTAGTACATATTCCGGTAGTTTGTTCGCAGTTTGAATTCAGTTGCTCTTGTTTGCTTTTTTGTCTCCTTCCTTTTTTGATAAATTTTTTTTTTAAATGTTTTGAACTTTAAAATTAATCAAATTCTAATTTAATGTTTTGAAGATTAAAAAGTAACAAAAATCGTAATTTAATTTAACCCCTTTAAAAATAAAAATAGTTACTTATAAATTATTATTGAATTGAAACTTATTTTTATTACTGCAAAATACGGTAAATGGTATTTACTTAAAACAAAAAAACACTGGATTTTATTTATTTTTGTGACATCTTCTAGTAAAATTATAAAATTTATTTTCAGAAATTTCATAACACTTTTGTTCTATTAAATTAAAATTTTATTAAATCAGATTTGTCTAGATTCCGATTTATTATTTATTTATTCAGAAAATACATAAGATTTGTAAAATTATTTTCTCAAGAAAAATGTACAAATTATGTTATTTCTCACAATTTTAAGTTAAATAAGTGGATTTTTTCAATTTAAAAAGATGGTATTTTTCATAAGAAAAAAATGTTATTCTAATTTTTTTTAACTTTTATAATTTCGAATTTAAAATAATTACATAAATACTTGCACACAATATTATTACAAGTTTTAAAAAGAATTGAATCGTTTGGAAAAATTTCAATAAATTATTTTGGAAATAATTAAATTCACTTAAGAGATGGAATTAAAATGTATTGAAAATAATTCAGCTCTTAGAAACAATGTTACCAAAATTTTTAAAAATAATTGAATGCCTGCGAAATATTGTATTATTTACAAAAGTAATTGAATTCCTCCGAAGAATTATGAAAATAATTCAATTATTGTGACAGATTATATTACATTTTTTTTAAAAATAAGTGAATTCTTTCGTGAAATTTTATAAATATTATACTGCAAATATTTGAATTTTTTCAATGCATTTTATTAAAATTATTAAAAATAAGTAATTTTATCAAGGAATTTTATTGATATTGTATTTAAAATAATTGAATTTCTCCGAAGAATTTTATTTATTCATGAAAATAATTGAATTCCTTCGAAGAATTTTATTATTCATGAAAATAATTGAATTCTTCCGATGAATTTTGTTATGTATGAAAATAATTGAATTCTTTTAAGGAGTTTTATTAAAATTTTTAAAACTTTCTTGAATTTTTTCAAGAATTGATGTTAAAATTGTATTGAAATAATTGAATTCCTATGAAGAATTATATTATTTATGAAAATGATTTAATTCAAACCAAGAATTTTATTAAAATTTAAAAAAAGTTATTCGTAATAAAATACATAAATAAATTAAAGTAATTTATAAAACTTTTTAAAAATCAACTTAAGCCGTTTTTCGAGCAAATAGTTCATTTGAACTTTGTAATAATTAATAATTGTAATTTATTGATAAGTGTAATTGTTATTCCTAGTAATAATTCTAAAGAATAATGAAAACTTGTTTGTTTTAGGACAAATGCTCGAGTCTCCATCGAGAGAGAATATAAATGCTGCGACAAAACGATTACAAGACGTTGGTGCATTTGATTCCGAATTAATTTTAACACCACTGGGCCATCATTTAGCAGCTTTGCCAGTCGATGTAAGAATAGGAAAATTAATTCTATTTGGTGCTATTTTTTGCTGTTTGGATTCAGCTCTGACAATTGCGGCCTGTCTCTCGCACAAAAGTCCCTTCGTCTCTTCTTTCGAGAGAAAACACGAGTTGAATATCAAGAAAAAAGAATTTGCAGTCGCCAATTCCGATCACTTGACAACCCTAAAAGCTTACAAGGTAAAGCAACAAACGACATAATTAAAATTGAATTGCAAATTTAATTCTTTTTTTTTAAATTAAAATAAAAGTATAATTTAGTTAAATTTCAAAATATTTAAAAATTGAAATTAAAAAAATAATTGCAATTTTCAGAAATGGTTGGAAATTTCCTATAACAATCCCCAGGCGAGTTATAGTTTTGCGAATGAAAACTTTTTATCGATAAGAACATTGCAAACATTGGCTGATATAAAGTATCAACTATTGGAATTATTGATATCAATTGGTTTCGCGCCAATAATGATAAGAAGACGACAAACTGGAGTTGATAGAATTTTAGATATGACTGGCTTCGATCTTAATGCAAACAATGAAAATTATAAACTCCTTCAAGGCCTCTTGTGCGCTGCACTTTATCCAAATGTCGTTAAAGTATTCACGCCTGAGAAATCATTTCAAATGCAATCAACTGGCGCAATACCGCGGCAACCAAAACCTGAGGAATTGAAATTTCAAACGAAACAAGATGGACTTGTCAATATACATCCGTCGTCGATTAATTTCACAGTGGGACATTATGCGAGTCCCTATATTGTCTTCCAGGAGAAAATAAAAACGAGTAAAGTTTATATCAAAGAATTATCAATGGTACCAATGTTGCCATTAATTTTATTCTCGGGCTATGGAATTAGTGTTGAGCAGCATGATGGAATTTTTGTCTTGTCCTTGGAGGATGGATGGATAATGTTCCGAGTTGATTCAGACAGGGTAAAGATTTTCTTTTCATTTTATTACTTATCAGTTAAGTAAATATAATATTCAATTGCGTATTTATTTACTTTATTTCTAATTATTACAATATAATCTATTTATTTATAAACATAATATTGAATTAACTCTTAAATTAATAACTATTATTATATAATAATAAATTATTAACTTATTAGTTAATTAAATAGAACAAAACTTTCGTTTCGCCTCTAAAAATGAAACTTGTTATACTATCCTTTTATTTCAGGTGGCACAATTACTTCAATATGCGAGAATCGAATTAGTTAAATTATTAGAATTAAAGATGCAAGATCCACTTTTAAATCTTTTGAATCATCAATATGGGAAGAAAATTATCAAGGCAATTGTAAAAATAATATCGAGCAATTAGATTTTTACTTTTTTTTCTCTCTTTTCTTTTGTAAAATAGAAACAATTAATTACTGTGAAAATTTGGATTTCGACTTTATTGAATTTGTGATGAATGAGAAAAAAAATAGATTATTTATTAATTCAATTTTTACAATTGAATCCAGAGATATTACATGAATTAACGTTTTATGAATAATTTATTTTTTAATGTAAGAAAAATGAAATAAAGATTGATTTTTGTATTCTAAATAAAGTGTTTTGAATTTTGAGAAAAATGAAATTTCGATTTAATATTTTAAATATTAAATAATATCAAAAGAATTAATAAAGCAAAATTTTTTTGAATTAAAAATCATAATTTACTTTGTAAGTAAATTTAATTTAACATTCCAAATCATAAAAATAGAAAGTTACTTATTAATTATGATAGAAAACTACTTTTTAATTTTAAAAGAAGAAATTTTTGTTAAAAAAATATCCTAATTCTTGAAACTTTTATAATTAAAATTTAATTCTTTGGAGGAATTTGGTAAAAATTGTAATGCAAATAATTAAATTCGAATAACTAATTTTATTAGAAATATTTGAAAATAATTACAATTTTTCCAGAAATTAAATTAAAATTGTATAATATAGGTATTTAATAATAATTAAATTTTTACTTCAAATTTTAATAAAATTATACAAAATAAATAAAATTCTTTCTAGAAATTTAATAAAGATTCTACTTATTAAAAAAATGGAATTCTTTAAAAAAATTTATCGAAGTTATGAAAACAATTGAAGTCTTTCAAGAAAAATTAAAATTGTTTTGAAAATACATAATTGAATTCTTCAGAAAAATGACATTTCGAAAATATTTGAATTCTTGCAAAGAAGTTTATTACAATTTTTGAAATTAATTAAATTTTATTAAAGAATTTTTTTGATATTTGTATTAAAAATAATTAAATTCTTGAAGAGGAATTGAGTTAAAATTGTATTCAAAAGAATTGAATACTTCCGAAGAATTTTATTATTTATAAAAATAATTGAATTCTTGCGAAGAATTTACAATAAAATTTTGCAAATAATTGAATTGTTTCAAAGAATTTTGTTAATATTTTAGAAAATTGTAATTATAACGAATTAGTTAATAAATGAATTTTTTATAATTCTGAATCTGAAATCGTTCAATAATTGAAGTCAACATTTGAAAATAAAAAAATTTTTAATTTGCAAAATAACAATAAAAAATTAAATGACGCGTTTCCTTGCAGTTATATAGATATAAAACTTGTTATTTATTTGTAAATTACAAAAAATTAAGTTAACTATTTAGTTAACATTGAAATTTTTATTTCAAATAAGGAAACTAAGCTATTTATTAATTATAAATCCACAAGTAATGAATAATGTAAAAAAAACAAATTTTTAAATTATTAATTAAAATTACAGTTTTAAGAATTTACTTTTTCGTTTCTTCTTATAATTTACTAGCTTTCTTCTCGTGGATAACCAAATTTACTTCGTTTCGCCTTTATTGCAGCTACTTCTTCTTTTCCAATTTCCTCTTCACTTTTTTTATAAACCCACGAATTAACCGGTGGAATTTTCAAATGAGACAACACTCTATTAACTGTTCCCAAAGGAAGTCCAGTATGTAGAACACCTGCAATTTAAATTTCATTACAATAGTCGATACATTAAAAAATTAAATTGATTGTTTGTCTATTACAGGCTTCGCTCTCAATAATTAATTTTAAAAAAGTAGCAAAAAGTAGCTTTGAGACTGAAAAAAGTAGTACAAAAAGTGGCTAGCTATCGAAAAATTAAATTTGACGACTAAAAAACTCGTTTTAGTCGATTCAAAAAAATCACAAAAATTTGATTCTGTATTTGTCTGACATTTTCCTGATTTCGATAAAAAATATTCACTGTTTTTCTTATCCTGATAATAACTTCAATTCTAAATTTTTATTAAATTCAATTATTTTCCAAATTTTCAGTTAGAATTCTTCAACAATTCGATTATTTTTAAAAATAATTTTTGAAAGTAAAAAATAAATGTTCTTAAATATAAAATTTATTTTAATTAAATTTGACAAAATTTCTAATTAATTTGAAATTTAAATAAAAATGTTTAATTTTTAAGAGAATTCCCAACATATATATTGAAAAAAATTTTATTAAAATTTTTCAGAAGAATAATTTTTTTATAATTTCTATTAAATTAAATTATTTTTACTGGAACAATTTTTGTTCAATAATAAATATATATAATTAATTGTATATCTTCCCTCAGGAATTAAGATTTAATTTAAAAGCTTCTTGAAATTTATCTATTTCTAAAAAAAATTCATATTATAACGCGTTTTTAATATTCAATTTTAATCTAAAATTGGAACTGAAATTAATTTTTAAATGAATTTTTATTAGAAAGTTCCACAAGAATTCACTTATTTAAGTATAAAAACAAATAATTAATAGAGTAATTGATTATTTCTTAAAATTGAATAAGAATTTTATCAACATTTTTTTAAAATAATTAAATTTCCAAACATTTCCTTAAAACTTTTGCAAATATTTTATTTGTTTTGAAATATTTCTTTGAATTTCTTTTTAACAGGTATAATCGATTATGTTAAAAATTTGTAATTAATAATTTTATTGTTAAAATCTATTAAAATATTGTTCAAAAATTGAATTCTCTTGAAGAGTTTTATCAGATTTTTCGAAAATAATTAAATTTGTAATAATTTAAATCTTTTGAAAATAATGTAGTTTTTTCTAATAATTTTAAATAAAAATTACGAATTTTACGAAGAATTTCTCTCAATTTCCTAAAATAATAGTGTTTGTTAGTTATTTTATTTTATTAAAAATTTTATTATTGAATTTTATTAAAATTTTTAAAAATTGATTTTTTTCGAAAATGTTATTAAAATTATTAAAATTATATTGAATTCCTGAGAAGAATTTTATTAATTTTTTTTGTTTAATTGATTTCATGTGAAAAATTTTATTAGTTTTAAAAATAATTTAATTCTTGCGAAAGATTTTCAAAAATTTTTTTAAATTTTGAATTGTTTCAAAGAATTAGATTATAATTTTTAAGAATAATTCTTTTATTTCAATTTTTTGCAGATTTAAATTTGTGCAAATTTTCAAACAAAAAAAAAGAATATAGTAGCTTATTTAGTGTCACAAATTTAAAAAAAAGTATTGAAATAGTAGCTAATCGTAAAAAAAGTAGTAAATAGATGATTTTAGTAGAAGATTGCGAAGCCTGCTATTATAATAAAAAAATTAAATTGAGTAAACTCTATTAATAACAATAAATAACTGTGAATGATAATAAAATTGTAAATGTGAAATATATAAATACGTACATAATGTGACGTCTGTATTTACATCATAACGTGTAGTACGTCTTTCGGAATTTATTTCATGTAATTTGCTAGTGTTCACTTCATTAAGAACATTACATTTATGACATCTTATTAATAACAATGATCCCAATCCGCGGCGATATTCTTTTTCTAAATAGCTCAAAGAAAGTACTTCTCTGCAAGTTGAACACCATAATCTTTTTCCCAGTTCCATAAGATCGACGATGCGACGTCCCTCTGGGGGTTTAATTTCTTCGTCTGGCTCTTGTACACCTGGCTGTTCATTTTCATAAAAAACTGTTTCAATTTCAGGTAGTCTTACAATTTCATTTTTTCCACTGACAATTATTTTTGCCTCAAGTATTTGCTCTTGAAGATTTTCTACTTTTGCCAATTCCTCATCGTCACTTAAATTCTCCTTTCGTGGACGTTTTAAAACAGATTTGTTAATTTCTTTCTCAGTGTCAACTTGCATTTTATTTAATTATCAATCAATTGAATTATAATTGTATTTTTATTTTTTAAATTTAAAGAGAAATGTGTTTTGTTTACATAACCTCACTCTATGTAAAACAGTAAAAGTAAAAAAGAAATTATTAGAGAATTGTCATGACAAATTTTGACAATAATAGTTATTAGTAAAATAAAAGTATATAAATACCTTATTTATCTTCTTTGGTAATAATTGTGATTATTAAAAAACGATTAAAAATAAAGTAGTTATAAAAACGATGTAAACAAACCAACTTATTGCTTGCACCAATAATGAACTTTTATATATTATTAATAGTATCTATAAATAGAGAATTATTTCTACGTTTAAGGGAAAAATTCTGGAGAATTCCCTAATATTCTTTTTTAGAAAATAAGAATTAATTTTTAAAGAAAGAAAGAAATAAAATGATAAACAATCATTCTCTTTGATTCGAATTTGTTTTTGTCGATAAGGCAGAAAACAAAGGAATAATTAAAGTGCGCCACCTGTGATGAAATTTACAAAATAAAATGAACATTTCCCTTAAAAACAAATATGGCGACTTTAATGATGCAAAACATTAGTGCACTTTAAGAAATGATTAGTCTCTTTTTCATAAGTGATTTCGTAAATTATTAAAATAATAATGGATATGGGATTAAGTACAACACTTTTGGCTGGTGATCCACGTCTAGTGGATCACATTGTTGGCCAAGTTAAATCGCAAGGAATTTTCGATCAATTCCGAAAAGAATGTACAGGCGATGTTGACACAAAGGTATGTAGACAAAATGTTTTTTTTTATTTAATTTCGACTATTTTTAAACTTTCCCTGACATTTTTGTTCCAGATCTATAGTTTATTGTTATTTTTAACTTCGAATGTTGTTTTTCGCTAGATTTTCACGGTAACAACTACAATTTTCGAACCTTTAGAAAATAATTTTCAAAGAAACAAATATTTGAAGTTAATTGCTGTGTCCAATTAAGAAGTGTTATTATTTATTATAACTTTTTGAAATTATTTATAAGACTTTAAAATTTTATAGATTTAGAGTTAATATTTTTTTAATTAATAACAGGGTTGCCACTAGTCAGGGAAGTCAGAGATTCTTATTAAAAGTACTGGAAAAAATTAAATTTTAGGAATTCGTAAGAAAATTCTGAATTTTTGTGTCGTTTTTGTTTGGCTTATAAACTATGAAATTTCCACGAATTTTAATTCAAAACCTTCAATTTTTTCTATTTCTGAGAATAATTTTTTTTAAATAACATTCTTCAAAAACTATGAGAAAATAATTATTACTTAGAAATTATTTAATAAATAATTCTTCTTGAAAATTTCGAAATTAATTAAATTTTGAAAGAGTTACGTTTACAATTTTCATAATTAGATGAACTACAAAAGGTTTAAATGAGAAATTTTATAAAATTTCAATTTTTAATTAATTTAATTAGAAAATTTAAAGAACTTAGATTTTTGAAAAATTTAAATAATTCAAATTCTTCTGAAATTAGTTAAATTTTTTAATATATATTTAATTTGTAATTATTAAAAATAATGGATTTATAGAAGAATTTTAGTTAAAAACACTAAAAACAATTGAATGTTGGAGAAGTTATACAAATGATTGCAGAAATTCAATTATTTTCAAAAGTAAAAAAATTCTCAACAGAAATTCAGTTAGGTATGTTAAAAAGTTTTCAAAAATTTAATAAAATTATCGTCAAAATTTCAATTATCTTTATAAATAATAAAATTCTTTTCCGAAATTTCATTATTTTAATGCAATGACTTTCAATATCTATACTATTTTAATAAAATTTTCTAAAAGAATTCAATTATTTAAAAAAAACTTTAATAAAATTCTACGCAAACATTCAATTATTTTCATAAATAATAAAAATTTCATTGGCCTTCAATTATTTACAAATTTTTTATAAATTTTTTCTCAATAATTCAATTCTTTTCATAAATAATAAAACTTATCACAGAATTTTAATTATTTTTAATACAATTTTAATCAAATTCCTGTAAAAATGTGATTATTCTTAAAAAAAATTGTTTAACTCGTCAAAAGAATTCAATTATTTAAAAAATTTGTTGATAAAATTCTACGAAAAATTAAATTATTTTTGCTGTTTCTGTTATAGAAAGAAAATTTTTTTCAATTATTGTAATTTATAATTTTTGTAATTAATAACTTATAATTTTTATAATTAAATGTAATTTTTTAGAATGTTTTCTCTTGAAAAGGATGGTGACTACCATCGAAACGTCGAGACAATTATATTAATAATAAATATGTTGACTAACTAAAAATTGTCTTAAAAATTTTTTAATGGAAAATTTGGATTCTTTGGCCTAAATAAACCTCAAAACACAAATTAAATTATTTTTATAAATAATAAAATTCTTTTTAGAAATTCAATATTTTTGCTAAATAATATAACTCATCGCAAAATTTTAATTATTTTTAATACAATATCAACAAAATTCAACAACGGAAGAAAAAATCAACTTTATATTATTAATACAATTTTAATCGAATTGATTTAAAAGTTAATTTGAGTTAAAATTTTAGATAATAATTGAATATTAAAAGTATTATAGCATGGATTTTTAGAAATAATTGAATTTTGAAAAGGTTTCAAATTAAAATCTTTGGAAATTTAAATTTTTCATACTTTTAACTAACAATTTTGTAGAATTAATTTTTTTGAAAAAGTTTACAGTCGGGCCTCCGAACTGTACGCTTTCAAACTGTACGCTGTCGCCAAAGTGTACGCTGGCTTTAGTTTTTAAGTGCTCCACAGTGTACGGTGGCGCTACTAAATTCAGTGCCGTATATTTGAAAATGTTGCCTTTTAAGGAAGAATCCACTGGCTATTTGTATATAACTGGCTATTTGTATATACAAGAGGCCATTTAAACAAAAAGAAAGAAAGAAAGAAGGAAGAATCTGACGGACAGTCAAATCAAAAGTTATTCCAATGTCATAATTTCGTAATTTAAAAAAACAAATTAAATTTTAAATTCGTCTTGTTGGAAAGGCGAAGAATTTAATTTTGAATATTTAAAACAATTAAAAGTTTCATTTGAATAAAAATTACAATTTTCTGTCAATAAGAAACATTTGTTAAATTTTAGGTTATGTTACTTAAATCATTCATTATTGACAAAAAATTATCATTTTTATTCAAATATATATGTAAAATGTTCAAAATTTAGAAAATTAAATTCCTTACGCTTTTACCAAAAGGAATTTAAAATTTAATTGGACTTTTTTTTAAAATACGAAATTATGACATTAGACTAACTTTTGTTCCGATTGTTTATCAAATTCTTCCTTAAAATTAAAAATTTTACTGATTTAATCAAATTATTTTTTTTTCCATAATTTGGATAAATCAGTGGACTTCTTTTAATTTCATGAGGCAATACATTTTGGTTAAAAAATGTTAATTTTTCTAACATTTATAATTTTAAGAATAATATATATTTTTATGATTTTAATTAATTTTAAATCTAAAATTATGTATATTATAGTCCCAGACGATAAATGAGGAGCAACAAGTTTTCAAAACTTGATAAATTCCTATTTCCTTATTATTTCGAGAAATCGAAATAAATGACTTTCCTGACATAACCACTCAGTTAATTTCAAAATAAAAAATTTGTAATATTTAATGTTTGTAACAATGTTTTTATATTTAATACGTTCTGTTTTTAATCAAACTTTCACATAATAAAGTAACTTTAAGGTTTTGGTAATTTGTTCTAATAACAAACATAAAAATTAAAAGTCAACTTGGTTATGTCAAAAAGTTTTTAAATTGAAAATTCGCTGTTAATAAATTTTTTTTAAATTTAACAGGGACATGAGGATTTGTGAGATATTTAAATTATTAAATTTATGTTTATCTCGATTTTAAAAAAATTATATTTATCAACTTTTGAAAACTTGCTCCTTAAATATATAAGTGTACAGTCCTGAAAATTAAATAGTGGGGATGAGTTCGTCAGCGTACAGTTTGAAATCAAGTGGAGGGGTTATTTCTGGGGTACCGTACAGTTCTGCGGCCCGACTGTATTTGAATTTTTTTTTAAATTATCTAAAGTTTTTATTTTCTATTAATATATTTAACTGTAGAATTTCGGAATAATCGAAATTTCGTAACATTGAATTGTAAACAAATGGAATCTCAAAGAACTTTGTTAACTTTAACTATTATAAAACATGAAGAAATTTTTGTTGCCACTCTGAATAATCAAATATGTAATAAAAAATTAAATCAAATCAAATGAAAAAATTTACAAAAAGTCAGAAGAAAATTATTATAATTTTATTTTTTCACAAATTTTGCATTAAAATGAAAAATTTTTTTTACAGCCGGCCTATCAAAATTTGAGGACACGTGTCGAAAGTTCAGTTAATACATTTTTAAAATCACAAAACTGGAAGCCGGATATGAACAAAAATCAACTTCGCGAGACATTAAGAAAAAATATTCACGATGCATCATTTCTCGACGTGGGTGTTGAACGAATAGTCGATCAAGTGGTAAATCCAAAAATTTATCCCGTCTTTATGCCACAAATTGAAGATGTAGTTTATAAATTTCTCGGTATGGAGAGGCCAAAGCCACGCGAAAAAAATGGATCATGTGTTCTTAAAGATTTATTACCCAAAGATTTGGATCCAGTTTCACCTGAATCTGATAGAAATAGTTTAAAGGAAGAATCACTCGAATCAATGGACATTAGTTTTGAGGATAAAATTAATGGAGAAAAGGAAAAAGTCAATAACGAAGAAAGTAAATCAACTAAAAGTGAAAATGAAGATAATAAAGAGGAGGAAGTGAAAAAAATTGACGATTTAAAAAGTGGGGATGATTGTAAAAATGTCGATGATTGTAAAGAGGAGGAAGATACAAAAAAAGTTGAAGATTCCAAGAAAGTGGATGATTCGAAAAACATTGATGTGAAAAATTCAGAAGAATTAAATGATTCAAGTAGGAAAAGTGATGATTTTAGGAAAATTGATGAATGTAACAAAATTGATGAGACGAAAAAGGAAGAGGAGGAAATTAAATCAATGGATGAAGTAAAAAATGGACAATTTGATTTAGATGAAAATTCAATGGATGGTTTTGAAAAACCTTTGAATACATCATTGACAAATCTTAATTCTTCATTTAGATCGGACGACAAAACCGAGGAGGAAGAGGAAAGTCCACAATTTGAGCCAATTGATATAATGAATTTCAACGAATCCAATATTTCAAATGACTCTCATTTGTCCGGTATTTCTGAATTAACAAGTCATCGGTCTCGTAGTCCCGATTATTCCAATGATTTCTCGAGAGATAATTTCGAATTTTCCAATCAGGATCAAGATTCTCAATTAAGTAAAGTCTCGTCAAATTCACGTCTATCGATTGTCACCGATTTTGGCTCATCGAATCAGGCGTCAAATACATTTTTCAATTCCAACGATGATAGTAAGGACAATTTTAAAATTATCAACGAGGAGGCAAAGTTCGATTTCGACGATATTAATAAAACGAAGGAAACTCTTTCCGAGAAGGAGAAGGATTCGAAGAGTGTTAAGAGTCTCTCGTCGAGGGAAAATTCACGTGACGAGACTGATGTTTCGAAAGAAAAGTGTGAAAATCGAGAGATCAAGGAGAAGAGTGAAAGAAGTGGGAGCAAGGATAGTAAAGACAGCAAGGACAGCAAGGACAGCAAGGACAGTAAGGACAGTAAAGACAGAAATGAAAGTAAGGACAGGAAAGAAAGGAGCGATAGTAGAGATCGAAAGGTGAAAAGCGAGAGTAGCAGGGATAAGAGCGAGTCTTCCAAATCCAAAAAGGAAAAAAGTGATTCTAGGGATTCGAGAGAATCCAGAGATTCAAGAAGACACAAGGACAGAAAAAAGAGTAGTTCCAGCAGTTCCAGACATTCAAAGTCAAGAAAGGAGGGCGATCATTCACGGGAGAAGCGAAAGGACACTCCGGAAAAGACGAAGGATAAAAAGGACGAGAGGGACAAGGACAAAGAGGAAAGAAAGGAAAAGGACGAGCGAAGGGAAAAAGACGACAAAAAAGAAAAGGAAGAAAAGAAGGAGAAGGATGAGAAGAAAGATCAAGAAAAACAAGAAAACACTCCAGATGCATCAAAAAATCTAAAGGACATGTATAAAGAAAAAATACGTGAACTACGCGAGAAAAAAGAACTCACCGAAAAGGAGAAGTTAAATAAAGACGCAAGTAAAGAGAAAAAAGATTCCTCGCGCGACAAGAAGGACTACAAAAAAGATCACAAAACATCCCGAAGTTCAGAGCGTCACGATAAAAGTTCAAAATCAAAAACCACCGATTCAAACGACAAGAAACGTGACGATCGCCGTCATTCCAATTCCAAAGACAAAAGTCGAAGTTCACGAAGCGATAAAGATTCACGTCCCAAAAAAGATGAGAGAGAAACTAAAAAAGAATCATCATCATCGACATCATCATCATCAAAAAGTGACAGTCAATCATCAAAAGAAAAGAAGCAACGCGATGATAAAAAATCAAAAACAAAAGACGATCATTCAAGTATAAAGAAAAATTCCAACGATCGTCGTTCAACCGATCGCGATGGTTCCAATGGATCAAATGGCAAAAGTTCGCAAAAAAGTTCATCGACAAAAAATTTATCAACGACACTAACAAAAGAAGCCAATAATACAACAACATCCAGTGGTGAGACATCCGAAGGAATTGAAGATTCACAAGAGAAAATAAATCCCAACGATGTGGAAACAATGACTAAATTTGAAACCATTGGGAAAAGTGACGAAACTTCCCTTCCATTAAAGAAACGTCCCCTCTATGACGATTCGTTCAGAACTGAACCGAAACGATCAAAAATTGAAACATCGCCAAATATTAAAGAAAAAGAGAAAATTGTTCTCAAAATAAGTAAGGGGAAAATTATTGATAATAATACACCCATTGAGGATATCACCCAAGTACCGGATGAAGAACGTGTTCAAATAATCGAAGTTCCAGCTGATGATTGCGAGGAAACGGAAATAATACCAAACATGACATTAGCCGAAACGGCAATGATCATTCTACAAGGGGATTTAGTCGATCAAACAAAAATTCACAACGATCAGCAAAAGAAAGAATCGAAATTATCACTAATGGAGGAATCGATTCGAAAATCATTGGACGAAATGATGTCCGATCAGAAATTACTCGAAAGTGGGAATACAGTGTCAGAGCAGGCGGTTGAAACCGAAGCCGAGAAGAATCTAGACGGGGAAATCGAGGAGAAAACAGCGAATGATACACAATTTTCCGAACTTGAGAAATGTTTAGATTCAAATAGAAATTCAGAGGCAAATTCCGAATTCGACGAATTGGATGAGACGAAAGGTTCGGAACTCGAGAAACATTTACAAGAATTCGACGATGATTGTGATGATACACTGGAAACAATTTGTGACAAAGAAGGAGAAGAAGAAAAAGTAGTCGAGAAGGATATTTCTCAATTCGAGATGGATAATATTGAGGAGAATCTGGAGAAATTAGAAAGAGGCGATTTCCATTGGGAAGAAGAGAAGAGTTCGACAAATGAGTCGAACGATATTTCAATATCCAATCAAGAGAAATTGAATAAATCCGACAATGATAAGAGTTTCGAGAAAATACTCGCAACAACACTCGAATTACGTGTCTCAATGGGTATAAAACACTCAACTGAGGATTTAATCCGAAATGTTAAAATCGAACACTCAATCGGTGAATATTCGCAAAATCGAAACAAAATCGAAATTATTCCCAAGGTAAAAAATGATACCGAAGATGCTTGCATGTATTTTGTACCCGATAACGAAAGGTACTTGAAATTCACAAATTTTCTCGACGCTTTCGAAAAGGAACTGAATTCAACAGAACATGACTTTGTCGACAAAAACAAAGTCGTCGATAAAAGCACAGATGTCGACAACAAGAAAGACGTCGATAAAAGTACAGATGTTGATAAAAAGAAAGACGACGATAAAAATAAAGTTCCCGATAAAGAAAAAAGTGCCAATAAAGAAAAGTGTGTCGATAAGGAAAAAACTGTCGATAAAAACAAAGAAGACGTCAGTGAAGAAATTGATGATAAAAATGTGGAGAAAAATAAAATTGTCAATGATGTTGATGTTGATAAGGAAGTGGCGAGTATTGAGGAGAATACATCCGACGAGAAGAAGAAGAAGAAGAGAATGGCACCGCCGAAGAGGAAACTATCATCGAGTCCATTGAGTGATATTTTATTGCATAATGCGAATAATAATAATGATGGAAATAAGGAAACCGAAACGGAAGTTATTGATGAAGGTGAACCAGTGGCGAAGAGAAAAAAATTGGGCAGACCAAAGAAACAGAAACCAAGCTTAAGCAGTTACAATCCATCGGGATTAATGAATGGTGAAAATTTTGTATTCCCTCTGAGTCCCGAAAGTGATGTTTCAGCGACCAGTGAAAAAATAATTGCCCCACAAGTCAAAGAGGAAAAAAGGTAAATTTCTTCAATTTTTTTTTTTTAGAAAATTATTTTATATCTTCTTAATTCTACATTATCATGGCTTATTTTTTTTCTAACTAAAAATAATAATCATTTTTCATTTTTTTCTTTCAGTATTTATGACAAAAGTTTAGGAAAAATCAAATAAAAGTTAAAATATTTTCAAAAGTTAGATCTTAAAAAATATAAAGTAGAATTTTAAATGAAACTAATTTAAAATTAATTAAATTAATTTCAGTTATATAAATAAAAATTAACGCAAAATTGTTTTATATTTAATGAAATAAATGCAATTTTCAATAATCAAATAATAATATTATTTTTCTTATTATTATTATTTTTATTCTTCTTATTATTATTCTTATTATTTATAATAATAATATTGAGGAGAAAAGTGACCAATTAAATACATTTTGAATAACAATTTTTTACATTTTTGTTTAATTTTAGGAAAAATTAATTATTGACTATAAAGTTCGATTTTTCCTTAGATTACAAGCAAACTAATTAATTCTTACGCAGCAATTTTTTAGACAAAAAATGTGAAAGAGCTTTTATAAAATAACGCTTCAATTGCTTAGATATTCATTCATTTTCATAATTCTAAATTAATTTTTCTAATTAAATTAATTTTAGTAAATAAACTAATTTTTCGTTAAAAACTGAAAACAAAATTAGTTTTAATAATAATTATATTATAACTAATAACTTAATTCTTTAGTAAGAATAAATTACAAAAAATTATTAAATTAGAAAATTTATTTCTATATAGGTAAATTAATTTTAGTAGGTAATTCAATTAATTTCAAACATTAATAAACAATAAATTAAATTTAGGCCTTGGATATCATGACTTTTTCGACTTTTTTTGATTATATTTTAAAAATGCAACTTTTTTTTGCTAATTCTAAAAAATTGCAACATTAAACTTTTCTTCCAAATATTGAAAAAAATACCACATTTTTAGTATCAAATGCAACTTATTTCGATTTTTATAAAGTATGGATAATAACTATAGACAAATCTTTTAAAAATTATGTTTAAATATTTTTTCTAATTAAATTTTCAAAATATACAATAAAAAAGATTTTGAATAATTGAAATCTTGTAAAATTTAATTGAAAAGAATTGATTTTGTTCAAGTATTATATTACAATTTTGGAAAATCAACTTTTGAAGAATTTTCATTGCAAATTTTGAAAATAATTAAATTCTCAAAAAGTCCACTGGAAAATCTTCAATATTTAAAAATGAAAATTCGATTTTCTTGTATTTTTAATCGACTGAAGCGACTTTTTTTGCGTCTTAAAGTCAATCCGAGGCCTGTAATTTCAAAAATGAATTAAATTAAATTAATTTCAATAAATATACGGGTTAAAATCAAAAAATCGTTGAAATCTTGTCCTGGATAAATAATAATTTGGTTGTTAAAAATTCATGATTTTAAATACAAACATCTTGCAGAGTATAATTTTATCTACAATACCTCGTTATTAAATTTAATTTTTTATTGATACAACAGGTACAAAATAGTAAAAATATGTCCAAAATGTCATCGTGTCCCTATATACATTTTACGATATAAAAAAATTTTTAATTCAATTTTTTATTATATAAAATAAAATTTCTCTTCGTGTACGTGTTCTCCAATGTATAAAGTGTAATATAGGAAAGTGGTCAGAATTTTTATAACACTAAATGCGAAATTTAAAGAATTTTTAACGTGTCCCCAGATTTGAAATTTTTTAATGTCATCGTGTCCTCACACACATATTTACCGGTTTTCAAATTGAGATCACAATTAAAAGTTGTAAAACTATGAAATGAATGAAGTACGATATAAATTTGATAATACGTGAGCATAAAGAAATGTCAAAATCAATTTAAAAATCAGTAAATTGATATTTTGATAATAATAAGAAAAGAGTACATCTTCTTTTTGTCATCGTGTCCACAAGTTTTTTTTTAAGGCGAACATTTTTAAATGGTAATTAATGTATAAAAAAATTTTCTAGTATACGTATATTATTTGTGTAAGTACACAATTAAAACTAAATTCAAGTTTTTGAATAATAACAAAAATAAAAATTCATGTTTATTATTTTTTGTCATCGTGTCCCGTCCGACATATCTTTTTTTAGGAGTGAAGTCAGACGTTACATAGACATAAAGAAAATTTCTAAAATCTATTTGGTTAGTTATCAAAAAATATTTTCAGAAATTCATATTAAAACGATTAACACGCTAAATAATATGTTATTATCATTTAACAGGTAAATTCAGTAATTAAATAATTAAACTAACTAAAAATAAAAAATTAATATTATTACTATAAACTTTTTTTTGTAATTTCATCATATTGAAATAGGTTAAATATGTGATTACTAAAAAAATATTATTAAGCTAATAAGTATTCCTTGATCTTGCATTTTATTATTTTTGACATATTTTAGAACATAACTAACAAAACAGACAATTTTTTCAACATTTCAAAGATTTTATTTTCTTTTAAAAAGTTAGGCACATATTGTCGATTTTTTTATTTTGACCCATACATAATAATTAGTAACTTAAATTGTTAGTAAAAATCAATTTATTTACAAGGAAATTAATTTTATCAATTAAATAAATTCTTCTAATTAAATTATCTTCGAAAATTAATAATTTAATTTGCCATCAATAAAAATAAAAATACAAAAATGAATTTAATTGGAAAAATTATTTCTGTTAATAAATTGATTTTAGTAATTTATTTCTACTAATTAAATTAATTTTAGTAGTTTGTTTTTACTAACTGAATTAATTTTACGAATTTAATAATAATTTCCAAATAATTGAAAAATGAATAGTTAATACAATTCTTGAGTAAAAAAAAATTGATACAAAATTGAAATAGAAAAATTTAGAAAAATTTATTTAAAAAAAATTAAGCATTTGATAAAATTTGTTTTACAAAAATTGACAAAATAACTCGTCGAGAAAGGAATTTATAATGTAATTCTAATAATAAATTATACTTTTTTTTCATTTTCTTACAAAAAAGATTTCTGTGAATTCCTGTCACCGTTATGCAATAGAGCAATGTTAAGAAGATTAAAAAAAATGACTGCAGCCAATGTATAAAAAAATTTTTAAATACAAGTGTAAAATTCGAATTTCTGTAAGTATTGTCGAAATTCGAAACTTATTTTCGATTTTAAATGCCGTTTTATGATTCACGTTTTACAGACATCACGCTCGTTTGCTTTTTCAATTTTATCTGTATTACAGAAAAAAAACACTTGCACTTTAATTTTATTTTTGAATCGATTGTGTTGATATTTTAATTGCATTTGATTGCAAGCAAATAAAAATGGCAGGGATCACAGTTCGTCCCCTTTTTCCCCTATTCCCCTTTTTTTCCCCTTTTCCCCTATTTTTTCCCTTAAAAAAAATAAATCCCCTAAATCCCCTTAATTCAAATATTTTCTCCCCTATTCCCCTTTTTTCAGTAAATTTTTTTTTGAAAAGTAAAAATTATGATTTAATAATTTTTTTAAAAGATTTTACAGGGTTTTCAGCGTTCAGGAAAGTCAGGGACATTTTTATAAATTTAATAAGAAAGTTAAAATTTTTTGTGAATTTAAAAATTTTGTAATCTAACAAGACTAAATTGGTTTTTATTACTATTTTTTACTCTAATTCGATATTAATTTATTCCTCACCCTAAAAGAAGTAATCTTGATTTAATGCGGAATCCTCTAAACTGAATGCATATTTTCCTCTTATATATGGTATCAAAATTAATACTCTTCACTTTAGAGGATTTTTCTCTCGGATATTATTTGCAAATTGTAGTTATGAACTGATGAAGAAAAGTTAATTTTATGCACTAAATTTAATGTTTTTAATTAAATAATTATATTTCATAACTAAAAGTTAATTACTTACATTATTTAATATATTTATTCCTTCATTTATTTCCTTTAAATATTCAATGTTTTTGACAAATGTCAATAATAAAACATCAATTAATTAATTAATAATAAAAATAATATACATTCAAGTCGAATAGTTTTGTTTTGAGAGGAAAACATTAAGAGGATATTAGAAGAGGATTTTTCCTCTAAGTACGAGATTACTTTTTTCTTATATTTTATTAACTATACTATAGTCGAAGAAGAAATAAGGAAAGTAAAAAGTCAGGGAATCTTTTTCTCAATCCTTGTTGGACACCCTGATTTTATTTTTGTAAAATGTTTAAATAGCGCGCAACATAAAACAAACCTTAGAAAACTCCATATTATACCGTAAAAAGAAAAAATGGCTATTTTTTCTTAAATTATTTAAGAAAAAAGGAGCAAAAGAAGTAAGATTTAATCCAAAAAGCTGTAAATAGAAGGAAAAATAAAAGTTTAAAAAAATAAACCCTGTATGTTGTAACAAAATAATTTTTATCGTGTTTTTCAAAATCCCCTTTTTTCTTTTGAAAAATCCCCTTTTTTACCTATTTTCAAGTGAAAATGTACCACTGTGATTCCTGAAATGGAAATAATTTTTTTCAACTGAAGAAATACTGCCAAGGCACATTTTTTGTTTGGCAATTTTTTCTATAAACTCAACGGATTTTTGTGGTGAAAAATTTTAATGTTAAAAATAAATATTTATAATAATTATAATTGTGACAATAAAAAAATTATAATAATTATAATAATTATGACAATGCAAAAATTCTAATAATAACAAAATTATGATTGTTATTAAATAGTTAATAATTAGAATTAAAAAAAAGCTTTCATCAGTTTTTAGAAAGAAATGAGAAAAAGAATGTTGATATTGATAATTTAATTAAATGATATTCATTAATTACAATTGTAATAATTATTTTTATCTTTTGCTTTCAGCCGTCAAAGAAACAATCAACGATACTCGAGCGACGATTTATACAAGCCACGACCCTTATTTGCAAGTTCATCACGACGGAATAGAAGATCGAATCAAGCATAGCAAGTAATAGACTTTCTACGAATCTAAGTATTTTACTTCCACTTATACCAAACTTTAAATAATGGCTAGCTTTAAAATTTTCAACTTCCGTTCTTATATTATAAAAAAAACTGTTCAATATTATTAACATTATAATGCCTTATTATATTTCATACATTCTCTATTTTTCTATAATTAACGCGGAAAAAAATGCTTTACACTAAAAATACAATATTAAAAGTTTTCGCGACTAAAAAAAAAAATGTCGGAGTTCAGAATCAAAATTAGACAAACTATTGGCACATTGTATAGTTAAATTTATTATTATCATTATTATTATTATTAATTATTATTAATAGAAAAACAGATTAGATGCGAGTCACTTAAGTGCTTTGTGAAAACAAAATCCGTTTTCTTTTGTCTCGAAAAAAGAGTGTTGTTACAAGTTAATTTAAATTGTTAAGAAATGTTTTAAAAAAGAAAAGTTTTCTTTAACACGGTGAAATTATGGTTTAATTTCAAATAAGTAAATTTTGTTCGATGTATGTAGATTATTTTTCATTTTTTTTCAAATATAATTGAATGTTTTTTTTTGTTCAGCCAATTTTTAAAATAAAAATTAAAATAGAAGCACTTTGCTTAAAGTCGCACTTAATGCAAATGTAAATATTAAAAACTTGTATATATTATAAAAAATATTTTATATACTCATTACATAATTAAGTAGACATTTTGTATTTTCTTGTTAAACAATGAACCACTATATAATTCGAAATATGTATAAACATGTGATATGTTTCTAATATGCAAATTGTTTTCGATTTTATAGTTAAAGAACTTAATAATAAACTAATCTTTTTATTCAATTACTATTCTTATTTCTTCAAAAATTTCATTGTAATACAAACAATTTTTTTATGGAACTTTTTATTTTTAATTATAGAAATTAGAATTTATACCTAATTAAATTAGAATTATTAATAATATTTTTTCTAAACCAATTTTTTATTGTATTTAATTTTTGTATTAAAATCAATTCAGAACTACTCCTTCAATTTGATTCATAATTAAGCTTTTGATGAATCAATATAAAACTAATTTCCTAATTTAATTCCACATTAATTCTAATTAATTGTAAAACAATTTAAATACTGAGTTCAAAAGAATTATTTCTCGAAAAAAAAGAGAACGTTTTTCCTTCGTTTATTAGCTACAATTTTTAAAGAAATTAAAAAAAAATTAAATCAGGGATTTTTATTCAAAGTACTGGAAAAATTAAATTTTTTAAATTTATAAGAAAATTCTGAATTTTGTCTTTTTTGTTTGCCTCATAAAATATGAAATTATATCGATTCTATTAAAAAACCTTCAATTTTTTCTATTTCTGACAATAATTTCTTTTTGAATAACTTAATTCTTCAAGAAATATCATATAATTATTACATAAAAATTATTTAATTAATAATTTTACTTGAATATTTTAATATATGGGTATTTAATTAATTATTAAAAATAATGGATTTATAGACGAAGTTTAGTTAAAAACGTTTATAAAAATCGATTTTTGGAGAAGTTACAAATGATTGCAGAAATTCAATTATTTTCAGAAGTAATAAAATTTTTCGCAAAAATTCAATTATTTTTACAAATAATAAAGTTCTTTTCCAAAATTCAGTTATTTTCAAAAATTTTGACAAAATTCTCGGCAAAATTACAATTATTTTCAAAACTTTTTCTCAATTCAATGATTTTCAATATCTACTATTTTATAAAATTTTCCAAAAAAATTCAATTATTAAAAAAAAATATTGATACAATTATTATTTACAAATTTTTTTATAAATTTCTTAGCAATAATTCCAAAATTTTCATAAATGATAAATTATTTTTTTACAGAAATTCAATTATTTTCATAAATAATAAAATTCGTCAAAAGAACTCAATTATTTAAAAATTTGTTGATAAAATTCTTTGAAATAAAAAAATTGATTTTATAAAAATAAATTTCAATTAAAAGTTGAGATAATAATTGAATACTAGAAGCATTGTAGGATGAATTTTTAGAAATATGTAATTGAATTTTGAATAGGTTTCAAAATAAAATCTTTGAAAATCTGAATTTTTCAACTTTTAATTAACACTTCTGTAGAATTAATTTGTTTAAAAAAGTTTAATTAAATTTTTTTCTAAATTATTTGAAGTTTTCATTTTCAAATATATATTGAATTGAAGAATTTCCCAATAATCGAAATTTCGTAAAATTGAATTGAGGCCTTGGATCCAATAACTCGCCCGACGCTCGAAGGCACGCGCTAATACCAGTCGGGTAGCAGTGAGTGGCCCAGAGGCGCTCACTGCTCACTGACTGGCAGTTGCGCGTTCCTCCAAGCGTCGGGCGAGTTATTGGATCCAAGGCCTCAATTGTAAACAAACGGATTTGAAAATTCTCAAAAATTATTAAAAATACCTAATTGATTTAAAATAGAATTTTAGTTAAAAATTTTGAAAAATAATTGAATTGAAATGAATGCAGAAATTCAATTATTTTCAAAAGTAATAGAAGAATAAATAATAACATTTTTCTCTAAAAAACAATTTTATTATTTTCAAAAATTTTAACAAATTTTTGGCTAAATTTCAATTACTTTCAAAAATTTTTCTCAATTCAATGATTTTCAATATCTACTGTATTAATACAATTTTCCAAAAAAATTCAATTATTAAAAAAAAATTTAATAAAATTCTATGCAAACATTCAATTTTTTTCATAAATAATAAAAATTTCCCAGGAATTCAATTATTTACAAATTTCTTCTCAATAATTTAATTATTTTCATAAATAATAAAATTCTTTTTAGGAATTTAATTATTTTTATAAATTATGAACTTCATCGCTGACTTTAAATTATTTTTTATACAATTTTAATCAAATTCCTCGAAAAATGTAATTATTCTTAAAAATGTTATTGAAATTCGTCGAAAGAATTCAATTATTTAGAAATTTGTTGATAAAATTCTTTATGACAATTCAATTTTAAGAAACATTCAATTATAATATTTAATAAATTATTTATTTTTGTATTCAAATAATAATTGAATTCTCTGAGAATTTTTTAATAAAAGTTGATTGAAAAATGAATTTTAGTTAAAATTTTAGATAATAATTATTGAATATTAAAAGCATGATAGCAAGAATTTTTAGAAACAAACAAAGAATCAAAGTATTATTTATTATTTGTTTTTAGAAAGAAATTTTAAATTGAAACGAATTTTCAATAAAGCTAAATTCGTAAAACGCGGGTATTTGCAAAAAAATGCTGTTCTCTGATTGGTGGAAATTTTGCACAAGTAGAAGAAAATAAATATGCGCAAATAGAAAAAAACAAAATACTTATTCTTTTTATACAAAATAATTTTAAATTATATTATCTAGATTTTAATAAGCGCATCTACTTGTTAATTATATATATTAAATAAATGAATGGATAATGGAATTAAAAAACAAAGAGAATTATTTAAAAAAAAAGGAAAAACTGCGCATGCGTAGTCTGGAGTAGGTGGCACCACTGTTCAAGAGTTGGCAACAGTTGGTAATGAAGTCAGTCAGTTTCAACGTTCCCCCAAAAGAGTGTACTAGTAGATTTTTAATGACGCATGCGCTCGTCAGTTTTATCGTATTATTCTCTCAAATACATACACACACTTATAAAATAGTGGCGTACGCTTTTGGGGGCGCAATGAGAAAATAGAATTCTCAACACCACATAGACGAGGGAGCCGCGACAGCGGTAGAGACCACCACCACAGTCACAGTACAGTGATCAAGATGGCGAGGGTACAATGATTGCTGATTGCACTCCGGCAACAATTGCAGTGACTTTTTCCCCCGTGTCACATTTTTCTAAGTAAAATCATTGATATTATGTGTGAATTCATAATTGTAAGAGTGTTTAGTGTCAATTGCATGTGGATTATAAGTTACACCTAACCTAACGAGATATCGTGGTGCAAAAAGAGAAAAAAAACCGTTGATAAAAGAAAAGTGGCGCGCGCCCCGGGGTTGAAAGTAAACAAACGATGAGCGCGATTCTAAGTGTCGGCGACCCGGGTGGTCATCTCATTGACCCTGATGTACAAACCATTATTGAGGAGAAGAATCAGTTAATTGATCGACAATATGCAGAAATTGAGAGGCTTCAACGTGAATTATCAGATGTCATCGGCGAACGGGACGCTCTACTCTGCGAAGTGTCAAAATTTAAGTTCGAACTTGATATGGCTGACCTAAAACGATTGCACGTTGACAGGTAGGTGCGACTTGCGAATTGTTTTTTTTTCTTTAACATAAATCCAGATGAATATTGACCGCGAAGGGTTATTTCTGAATTTTGCTAATATTGCGTAACAATTAATTTCGGCTCTGTTTTAAAAATAAGACCGGTTTTTTTTTATTTGGAAACATAATCGGATATTAATTCGTATAATCGCATGAATCAGTTTTTGGTAATCGGATTTTATCTCTTATCGGAATTTTTTGCATACTTATATGTTTGTTTTATTTTATACGAGGAAATGGTGAATATTTCTTTTTTTCTGTGTGTTTTTACAATCAATTAACTCGGGAGTGTAAAAATTGTGTCACAAAGACCACGGGGGGTTTTTATACACATGTGGTCATATATAGAATTCCAGGTTTTATACTTCGGTGAACTGTTTCTATACTTAGGCGGGGAAAATTGATTTCTTTCAAGCACAACCGGTTCCTCGTTTTCTTCTCTCTTTTTTTCCAGTTCTGTTGTCTCTTTTATGTATATATATACATAGGTTCAAGAAGAACGCAATGTATACGTATTCAATCGGCTTTAAGATTAGTTTTTCGATGCGATTTCATGGATTCACGTATACAAGATTCCTTTCGAATTAAAAGTGTGTCAGGGCTCAAAAAGGATTAGTTGATCGTTTTCTTTAAAATCCTGACAAGTTAATTTGAATTAAGTCATCTAATAGTATTATGCTTTTAACATTTTTGTGCTTCGATTACGTTGTACAATTAAATATCAATTTTTCTTCAAATTTTTTGTTTAGTAATTTATAATTAAAAAGCTTTCATTCAAGGCGAGATCTAAAAATAGAGTTTGTCGATCGTAATTGAGATTTTTTTTCTACTTAATTTTATGGAGCATTTTTTTTTGTACTCATGTAGTTATTTAATTTTTTTTATTTCTTTTTCAAGTAGTTTAAAAATGTTTTTTGTAAATTTAGAAAAATTGGGAATTTAAAATAATCTTTCGTTTGACGATTTCTGTGCGGTTATTGCGGGTATTGCGGTTTACCGCAGAAAATTATTTTCTTTTTTTCTTAGCAGTAGTTCGCGAAGAATTTTTGTCGTTTCTACTTTAACACGTTTTGTATAATAGCTAGGAAAATTGATGACGACAATGTTTAGTAAAGACGATAATT